CGTGTTTGCCAAGTCGACAATTTATTTGAGTTTTCCTTTGGCACTGACGAGCCGTTGATATATCCGATGTTGTTGCTGTTGTTGTTCCTGTTGTTGTGGTTGTGTTAAATCTGCATTAAGATTTCATTTGCCTACACAAGACATTTCATATTCAACTTGTACATTTCACTTGGGGGGGGGGAATAGCCAAGTAGTCGCATAATTCAAAACACACGGCCCGACAGATGCCAGTTACAACAGCTGTGCTCGAATATGACGCAGACGCATGAATCGTTAATCGATTGTCAGTACTGACTTAGAATAAGTGCTTTCCACACATACTAAAAGTATGCCAACGGATATACATACATATGTATGCGTAAAGATATTAACCATTGTTGTTTGCAGCTATTCGCCTTGTTGAATGAATGTTGGCCAGGTAAAGACTAGATTCACTTGCACATTCATGCACAATCCCAACGTTGAGCATTTCACTAATTTACAACTTTCACCAGAAATACGTTTTGCAAACCTATTTTATTTACATGCTAATTAAAGCAGAAATTACAACTATATTTATCACTTTATTTGATATCCTACATTCACATAAGACATTACTATTTTAATTGTATATTTTTTAAACGTCTATTTAATTACAGATTTTCTTACTCTGGTTAATGTCCAAACATTAATCATGGCCATATTTTATTGCATAAATAGTCGAGAACTTGTCGACCATCTTATTGGAAATGATAAAATATTAATTAATATTTTGCCGATTTGCGCTGCGTTTGTCGAATAAAACATGCATCTGTAAGAATATATACTAAGAACGATTTAATAAACGATACAGATCAACAATTCATTCCAGAAATGGCAACCGTAGCTATATTATTTTAAGTTAAGAAGTACAAAATGCATCTAGAGACATAAATGCATCTATAGCCAAATTGAGATGAACATAAATTGGACCTTTTCATTCTGTTTGTTAGTTAATATATATATAGCTGTTTTGATTTGACTTAAAATCAACATCGTGACATTTGGCGATTTTAAGACGAATATGTTTTTGGGAACACAGCAGCGCGGATTTTCGCGCAAACCATTTTCAGTTATGTATGTCAGGCCGTACAGAGTGGTACTCATATGGCACTTATTGTACTACAGCATATACCTTTACATACATACATTTATGACATTTAGTGCTGCGACTGACAAGCGCGCTCTTTGTGTGCTCCCAAAATGAATTACGCGATGCTAAACAACAATAACAGCAACAACAACAACAGCAACAACAGCAACAGCAACAACAGCAGCAACAGTAGCAGACTGAAGAATAGCAACATCAACTGAGAGTCCCTTCAGGTGGGAGGGGAACGCCGAAGCACTGTGGCAACTTTACCCCAAAAATATTGCAAATATTTTTAGATTTCAGAATGATTAAAATCCCCAAAACCATATCATGTATATATCATTTTTATATAATAATAATAGTAATAAGGTTTAAATCGCTCAACAGAATATACTTAAATTAATATTATATCTGACTTGGCATTATCTCGCCATTGGCATGCATAGAAGAGCAAATGTTGAAATTATAGGGGACAGGTTCGAGAAGCTAATCCAGTAATTTTCTAGCATATCTAATATTTCCACATATACACATCAATCAGTTAGTTTTGTAAATTATATCGTTAAATTCGAAAATTAGGCAATCAGTTGAGTTATAAAAAACATGTCTCCACCCACTTATTTTACATACGAGTATGTAGTAAATAACAGAAAATGCGGGATTCTTTTAAAGCTTTGTGCGAAAAGATGCCACAGTGCGACGTCATTGTTGGCTTGTTGCATGTTGATAGCTGTTGGATGTTGTTGTTGCTGCTGCTGCTGTTGCTGTTGCTGCTGCTGTTGGATGTATAAAGTCATTTGCACGCAATATTATCCACTATACACCTGAATCCATTCCCAGCCCCGCTCCCCATGGCATTGTCAGCCTTCCTGCCTGGGTTTTCAATTTTTTTTTTTTTTTTTGTGTTGGACAACATTTAATATTTTCTTTTTTATGTTTTCGCTTTTTTTTTTGTCTAATTTTCATGCAATTTGCCTGCAATTTGCGTCCTTTCCGCCTATATACGAATTATTTACAATTTCATTCCGCGAAATGAAGTAAGCGAAAGTAAATTCAAAAGACAACAAGTGAAGGGGAGTGAGTGGGTGGGTGTGGGTGGGTGTGAAGTGGGGGCTGTATGCCACAATGGACGACGCTAACAGCAGCGACAAATAAATTAAATAAAAAATTGCGTGGCCCGCTTTTTGTGCCTTTTGGCAAAAAGGAAATGAATGATTTATGGCATGAAGGGGGAACTGGGGCTGACGAGGAGTGGCGGTGTTGAGAAAGACGGAGGGGTGAGTGGGAAGGGGGAAAGGGGAAAGGAGGAGTTGGTGCGTGCATGCCGCCAAGCTTATAGTACTATGTACTTCTTGCTTTGTGCGCTTTCGCTGCTGCCTAATCCCTTTTGCACTAATTTATTTACTTTGGCTGCCTTTTCAGTTAAGCGCATAAATCAAATAAGCAAATAAAAATTAATTTGAACTTTTCCTCTTTTTCGTATTCTTTTTAGCTGTGAGCTCTCTTCTTCGTTTTTTGTTTTTTTTTTTTTTGTTGCCCTGTAGCCCTTCCAAATGGTGCTTGAGAAAAGGTTCGCTTCACCCAAATGCATATTGATTCACTCCAAACTAGAATGTTGGATAAAAATTCAAATAGGAATTGTAATTCGATATGCTCTCATTGCACAATACCCAAAGTGCAGGGTATCTGCCAGTCTAATCCAGAATATATTAAGTGCTCTTCTTCGTCTTTTTCTTGTTTTGTCTACGAGCTGGCTTTAAAATTAATTAAACTAAAAAGTTGCTCAAAAATGCGAACAAATTCATTTAAGTCGAAGGCTGACAACTTTTTGCTTGGCATGGAATTAGTAATGAATTCGCCGCCGGAAAGTTGACTATTTTGCCTGGTCGTGAATGTGAATGTGGCTGTGGAACGTACAAATGAGAAATCTTGCACAAAGTCAGCCAATTGGAAACTTTTCAACTAGCCCCAGCGCGTATGCAACAGAAATTTGCATGTAGCACAAGTCGAATGCCTCCGGGCGGACAAGCACTAACACAGGTACCACTCCCAACCCCCATCGCCATTGCAGTCAACAAGCGTCTTAAAAATATCCAGTCATTTGTATTATGCAGATCCCATCTATTTGATAGCTGCAAAAAAAATATATCCAATTTGATGCTCGAACTGTGAACTATTCCCGCAAACCCAATAAAGTTCTGCAAATGGACAGGTAACAAAAAACAGAAGCAAAATTCCATCTTATTAGTTTAGTTTTTTTGACATGTGAATACCCACTGAAAACACAAACAATCAAACAATTTACATATATTATAGGTAAATTTGTCCGTTAAGCCTGATTACAAACCATTGGGAGTTACTTGATTTTGTTCTTGTATTCTTTTAAACATTTAATGAACTTTTTTTTTGATATTATAATTTGAATAAATCTTGGTTTCGTGCAGCTAAAATCAAATTGCTTCTTTTTTTTTTTTGTAATTCCCAGAAATCACTGCTCTCATAGCTTATGGTATTCTATTATATATCTTTTTGCCCCTGAAAGATGCTGGAATGATGAATTTTCATACTCAAACATTTGAACTAAACGCAACCGCATTACTTGTGGCATAATAAATTATTTCTCACAGAAGAAGCTAGAAAAATAGCCTTCAAATACATTGTATTTCAGTATAACACTTGCTACCTGACATTGAAGATTAGCCAATATACCCCTTTTATGGGGGTGCACACACGGGGTGTGTATAGCAAATGTGAAACATAAATCCTGGTCAGCCCCAGGAGCACCGCAAAAGAAGATGCTCGAAGGAGACGAGTTTCTAATGGATGCCGCAACCGAATGAAATACATTCGTGTCACATTTAAATACATTATATGAACGTCAAATACAGATGGCCACACACAAACACACACACACACACATAGAACTGTGCTGTGGACGTGTGAAAAGTCGGAAGCAAATTTCTAGCTCATTATCATGCACATTTCAATATCAATTTGCAGAAATATCGCACTTGCGGTCGACGTGAGAAATCCCTTTGAGACAGTTTACAAATGTTCCGCATTGAGCCTGGCGACAGCCAAACCAAGAATTCATTTCAAATGGAAAACCAATTTATGGGTCTCTGTCTCCTTATGCTTGCGTGCGTGTGTACGTGTGTGTGTTGCCGGGAAATTGCTTGCTGTCAGCTGTTCGTTCTGTTTTAAGCCTTTTCATGCCATGTGTGTCCTCCCCGTCGCCGGTCTGTCGGTCAAGTTCCGGCTTTGATGCGTCGTATCCAACCACCATCCACCACCCAGCGACGACCCGGCAACAACAACATTTGCATAATGCCAACAAAGTGCTGATTAGCTTGGCTCTGTCAGTCCCCTAAAAATACAAACAACAAAAAAGAGAAGAAAATGAACGGATTTTGCCTTTCTTACGTGTCAGATGAAATTAGATTCCGGGCTAAATAGAGTTTTTGGCAGGCAGCCTTGACCAGAATGCTAACCACCTCGATAGATCACTGCAACAGCGAGTCTCATGCCAATTTCGCATAATCCATAAAAAATCTAAAAACCACACACATATTCCGCATAGCAAACGTTTTAGTTATACAAATCACACTCAAATCTCATCTGGTTATTAAATAGGCAAGAGCTAAACTGAAAAGGGTTTTAACAATTATTTCGAGTATTCCACAATCGATTCAATTTTGATGAATTTACCAGCAATATCTCAAGCGAGTCAGACATACTTGGCAACTATTTGACATAGACCAACATATATTATTATTTAGATATCTATATAAAGTGATCAACAAAATACGCTTATTAGCCACGAATTGATGGATAGTTAACACAATTCCCCAGTCCGTCCAATCAGTATTCATTTTTATTCATGAGGCAGTTTTGTTGAAATGATGTTTTATATATTTTTTAAACCAATGGTTCGTATTAAGTAAACATTAGTGATATCAAAAAAATGGTATAGAAATACTTGATGAACATAAGATTGTTTGTTGTTATTTTTAGTTTGAAGCATTTAACACTCTCTCAGCTCGAACAGCTATCGAGGCAGCGATGACGATTGCCCATTTGAAGGCAACTCGTGAATATTTGAGTTCTGATTCTGGTTGTTGTTGCGTTGTTGTGTATAATAGATGTGTATAATTGTGTGTGTTTGTGTGTATGTGTGTGTGTGTAGTTTAAGTTAGCCTGGTTAATATTAGATGAAACTCATAAGCGCTACACCAGCTGACACGAACTGGGTAACTAGCCCTTGAGACTGGTCATGCCCGCACGCATCACCTCGTCGACGAGCAGCAAATTGCTGGCAATGATGGAGCAGGAATGAAGGATCTGCTTCTTGACAATGTAGTTGTCGTAGACGCCGAGATCGGTGGGTTTCATGGGCTCACCAGTGGCCAAATCGAGTCCAACAAGTTCCGGACTGAGCCGATCTTCGACAGTTAACTTAACAATGGTGTCCTGTGCATCGTAGCCGCTGTTGATGGCCAGCGTCTTGGGTATGACCAGCAAGGCATCGGCAAATGCCTGCACGGCCAAGCGAGCCTTGCCCTTAATGGTGTCCTTGAACAGGGTTAGCTCATTGTAGGCACGCACCTCGAAGGCACCAGCGCCAGGAATTAATGCCTTGTCCCCAATCGTATTGTTGATGGCGCGCAGACCATCCCGAATGGCATCCTTGATCTGGGTGATTGTGTGCTTGTTGGGGCCCTTGATCAAAATCGTCACAGACAACGGATTCTTGCAGTCCTCGACAAACGTGTACTTGTTCTCGCCGAGCACATGCTCGTAAACTGAACCAGCATAGCCCAGATGCTCCTCCTGCAGATCGTCAAAGGAATTCATGGCAGTGCCACCACAGGCCAAAGCCAATCGCTCCATGTTACGGCGCTTGGCGCGACGCAGAGCCAGAATGCCCTCCTTGGCCAAAGCGTCCAGCGAGATGGGATCGATGCCCTTCTGATTGATCAACACGAAGGTCTTGTCGGTGCCATCGCAGACAGCACGCTTCAGCTCGATGACCTTCTTCACACGCTGATCAATGAATTCGCGCTCGGCCCGTACGAAAGCCTCACGCTCCGTGGCCGTCTTGTAGAAGAAGCCCGAGTTCACTTCGGCCTTCTCGTACTCCAGCGAAACGTTGGCAGTCAATATGTAGGCCTTCTCCAGACGTTTGGGCATATCGGGATGGCGGGCGCCATGGTCCATGACTAGGCCACGCACCAATTGCGTATCGGTATCGGTTTTGTGCTGCATCTCCATCAGCTCGACCATGTGCAGATCGACGGGCAGCATCTTTTCATTGGATATTGTCAAAACAGCATCAACGCACACCTCTGTCAACAGATCGGCCAAAGTTGGATGCACTTTCGTCTTCAAACTAGTGTTGGCAATTTCCATTAGATTCTTCTTGTTGATCTCGACGGGCACCTTGACTTTGTCCAGCACCTCCAGCGCCTTGTCGCGTGCCTTCTCAAAACCCTCGGTCATGATGCGTGGATGCAGTCCCTCCGTCAAATAGATGTCGGCTTGCTTCAGCAGTTCACCAATTAACATAACAGTGGTCGTTGTGCCATCGCCAGTCGAATCATCCTGGGCAGTGCTGGCACGTGCAATCATCGATGCAGTTGGATGCTGGATTTGCATGTCATGCAGCAGCACGTTGCCATCCTTGGTTATCTTGATGTCGCCGGCGCCGGAGACCAACCTGCGTATATTAAAAATAATTCAATCATTTAATTCATGCCAATAATTCCATTAAGAAGTTTCGAGAATGCAACAAAACAAAAAGCATGACTCCATCTCTCTCTACAAACGAACATATGTTCAGACACACACACAATCCACACATATACCAGTGAGTGTATGAGTGCGTGAGCGCGTGAGAAATGACGAGCCCAAAACGGTAAACGAAAACTGCGACTTGCAGGCGTGCATTTAGCCCAATCTTTGTGCACATTTGCTAAGGAGATCGTTGGAGCGTAAGTTTTATTTAGCGCATACTTTGTAATTTAATGCAATTTGATATTATTAATCTAAATGCGATATTATTGCTATCTCAGTCTCGCGATGACGCATGCCGCTCTTCACTACAGCCGGAACGGATTTAACCTCACTTGTGCGGCGACAGCGCAGCTGTCGCTAAATGTTTGTTAATCTCGCGATGGTGAGTGCGCCTGGGCTGCAATCCTTGCGGATGTGCGGGCAACGTGCTATAAACTAACATTTAATTGAAGTTACTCACATTTTGACTGTTCCCTTTGGCCCCAAATTGGTGCGCATTACATCCTGCAAGCCTTTGGCTGCGCTGATGTTAATTGCCAGCGCCTGTGCAGCACGGGCAAATTCGGCTTTTGGGTTTAACAAGCTGATGGAAGCCATTTCTGTGTTTTACGTATCAACAAATTGAAAATTGAGAGAATTGAATTCAGTAGCAACAAACACGCCGACTATATGCTGATGAAGAATCACAAAACAATCGGGGGAGCTATCGAGCTAATCGCAGCTGCCTATTCGATATGCAATCGAATACTTATTAGATTATCAATTAGCAAATATATAATCAAATCACAATTAAGGATTATAAAACAGAGACACGAAACAAAATCCATAAATGTTTCTCAATCGTATATAGTATTATGAATCCTTTTGGACTTAATATAATAAATATATATATATATGCAATAGTACAAGCTATCGATACTTCTTGTAGCGGCGTACTCGCCAATTTGAACCAGCGAGTGGACAGCACCAATTAAAAACATGTTTGCATTTTGGTGTCCGAAAATTCGGTAATTACATTAAATATTAAAAGTTTTTAAAAATACATAATATGTATGAAAAATTAATAGATTTCGCCATGAACTGAAATTTTGCGTAAGAGAACACAAACATTGTGTATATAAAATCGTCGGCTTTGTATATTTTGGCAAACAATAGAGATGTTTGTCAATACGACATAAATATGTATATAAATTTAAATATTTGTTAAACCTTTTGATCTCAGTTGTCTGTTGGCCGACATATCAATAAAGCACCGATACCGATAACGATAAATCAAACTTATGCGTAGCACGCATCACTAAACGAAACTAATTCGGCGACAAAATTTTTTTTATTGTAAGGAAATATCACAAAAAATTAAAAATCAGTGTAGTGTTCCCCCATAACCAGCGTGCAACGGGACGCATTCAGATTGCAAACAAACACATCGAGGGGGAGTAAACAAACACGCGTGGTGCACAATGAGTATGTTGGCATATCCACGTACAAATGATGAGGAAATTTTTCGACAGTGCATAAAGGATTGTGGCGTTGTGACGGCCACCGAGGACTTTCAGTATTTCGTATTGCGCTGCACCTTCTGCAGCGAGAAGTTTCTCTACTTCGATGCGTTCATTGGCCACATGCAAACCGTGCATCTGGAGGATGCACAGCGCACGGGCACAGGCACTGGCAGCAACATGTCCTACACCATGGGCGATGGCATGCTCCCCTCCATGTCGATGACCATGACGGAGGATTGTGATGATGAGACGCATCCCGATTATGGCAATGGCGGCATGCACCATTTTGATGAGATCGAAGACTTGACAGATGCAGACACTGCCCTGCTGGAGCCCCAAATGGTTATCAAACAGGAGCTGCAAGAGTTGGAAAGCAGCGGTGATGATGATGATAACGATAACGATAATGGTAACGGATCCGATGAGGAACTGGACACTTTAGCACTGCCCGTTGACACTGACAATGGCAACGATGTTGATGACGAAAGCGAAGCTATACTGCCCGAAAACGACCTGCCCACACCCAGCACCAGATCTCGGATGAAACGAACGGCACCTCCGCTATATCCTAGAAGGCATACGGAGCCCAGAATGGATGTTAAAAACGAACCGCTGACAGCCGATGGCGATGATTCCATAGATGAATATGCGGATGGCGAACAGAGCTATGTGGATGACAATTCTGGCGAATATCCAGACTATAGCAGCAGCAGCTACAATGCTCAGAGGACTAATCCGCCCGCCGCTGAATCTGATTTTCTCAGCTACGACGAAATGGTCGAGGAATCGCTTATTGGCGTAAGTATTCATAGACAACAACAAAAAAAACAAGCAAATACATATATTTATTTTGAATAACATTGTATTGCAGCGGGATCGTGAGCTTACGATGCACATCAAGGATCGCAAGATGATACAATTCCTGATACATTCGTACAAACGTAATCCCTTCCTCTGGAATCACAGTCACGCCCAGTTTCGGGATCGTGTGAAACGTGCACGCTTTCTTGACTGGATTGTACTGGAGTTTAAGAATCGCTTCAATATCTCACTGGCCAAGGATGCCATCACACGCAAATGGGACAATCTGCGCACCGTTTACAAGCGCGAATGCAATCGCATGGCTCTCGAGAAGACAAATATCAGCACGCTGTGGTACTTCAAGGAGCTGCACTTCCTCAACGAGGTCTATAGCTATAACTCGAAAATGTCCGATGCCGTTGTCAAGGTAATTCAAGTTGAGTTTTTATACACTTGTAAAGGGTATTCAAATTTTGTCATAAAATCTGGATGTTCAAATGCCTGAAATCATTTTGAAACTATATGCAATTTGTTTTTAAAGAGTTTATAACGACGTTTATTAAAAATTGAAAACTGTTGGCTAATAGTCAATTCATTTGTGTTGAAATCAACATTCAACATGGCTTATGTATATAATTAATATCCCGTTTGTGTTCCATAGGAAACATCGTATAGAAGGCGCTTCTCGGCCATATGGAACGATACATCGACCGCTAAACTGTTGGTGATGGTGAAGCGTTATCAGTGCTTTTACAATCGCTTCGACCCGGACTATCGCAGCAAGGAGCGACGCGGCGAGGGACTGCAACAGATGGCGATGGAACTGCAGCAGCTGATCGATGTGACAACAATACAAATATCGAAGCGAATCTCACAGCTTCGCTTCGATTACTCCAAACAGAAGATGGAGCGCTTAACTGCGGAGCGTATGGGACGCAAGTTTATACCCAATTATATATACTATGACCAGATGAGCTTCATGGACGATGATATACCGCCTTTCAAGTGCCAGCATTGTAGCGAAATTGTGCAAACGCTGCGCGAACTCGACCTGCACATGCTGAGCCACCAGCCAAGCCTGGGCGGTGGCTACTACTGCAACGTGTGCAATATACAATTCAACCATGCGGACGAATTTGAGAATCACAAGCAACTGCATTTGGGCGCCGGCAATGAGGTTAAATATAATTGTGAATTGTGCACGGCCAGCTTTCGGGAGAAGTCCAACTACGATGAGCACTTGCGTCGCCACAATGATGAGCTCTTTCTACCCACACTTGCGCTGAATCACAGCATATTGGACAGCGCCGGCGGCGATGCTGACAATGCGGGTGGCGATGCCGCAACTGCTGGCAGAGTTGTTGTTGGGGATGAGGAGGATGTGTTTCCAGCGGACGGATCAAAGCCCTATACCTGTGAGGTGTGTCATCGCACATTTGCCTCGCCAGGACATCTCAACGCCCATCGCATTGTGCATCAGGATGAGCGCGAACGCTGCTACAAATGTGATTATCCGCAGTGTAGCAAATCGTTTGTGTCGCGCCACAGCCTGTTCGAGCATTTGAAACAGCACTACAGCAACGAGGAGTTCAAGTGCGACATCTGTGGCAAGAGCTTCAAGTCCACCAAGAATCTGCAGAATCATAAACAAATCCACGATAAGGTTAAACGATACGTCTGCCAAATATGCGGCTCGGCATTTGCCCAAGCCGCTGGCCTCTACCTACACAAGCGTCGTCACAATCGTCCCAATGGCAGTACGGGCTCCGTTGCCGGACGCTCTGCTCGGACCACACTGTGAGCGATCCGATCCTTTATCACTGATATCCCGTTTGCCCTGAATTATGTTAAATCCCACAGTTTTAAATTATTTATACTATGTCCTCCAATGCCAAGAAGCGGTAGCTATTTTAAATGCCCATAATTGTATTTAGTTATGAAAATTATTAACGTTATTGAATCCGATTTTTATTATTATTATTATAATTTAATTTAATTTAATCATTTTTTTGTAATTTGCACTTCTATTTAACTTCTGTTCACACTTGTACTTAAGATTATTTACAAATTGTCCGTAACTAAGCCAAGAACTTTAATAGATCTAAGCCAGGATGTAGCTACATCTGAAACACTTACATATATATTATATCTTTATATATATAAATATATATATATAGATATATCTGCCGTCTTGCACAGCACAGCTCAAGGGTTCATTTTGGTGGCAATGTCAAAAGAGAAAAGAAAATTGAATGAAGTGCAGCTAATTACATTTATTTGTGTCACATTACATACGATAAATTATGAACTATATAGAGATATGTATATTGAAGACATACCCCCAAAATGTGCATCAAAATGGTGACTTAAGATTTTCGACGAGGCAATGAGGCAAACACATTCCACATTAGTTAAATGATTAATAAGTGTAAAAAAACAAGTATTTCTTAAAGTATTCTATGTACAATACTATGTATGCATACAACTTATATTTATTTAAATGCGTGTGCGAGTCTTAAAAATTAAACAAATTCGAGATCAACACAAAAAACAAAAACAAAAAAACTACAGAAAAACAGAAGTAAAAAACAATAATAGCAAGAACAAGAAAACCAACAATAACTGTTTTTAAGCTCAGCACTAATGCATTAACATAATTAGAATACATCGATCTAGTTTTAGTTAACAACATAAACGACTGAATCTGAAAAAATACATTTACATACACATACATTTACATATATATAGTGTAAAAACAAAACAAAAACAAGAAAGAACGGTTATCTTAAGATTGCATACCCTTGTAGACCGGTGCCTATCTGCAGACATCCACGTTATAGTTCAAAGTTCTAAATATTTGCTTCCTATTTCACGTCCTGCTGCGAACTTAATATTCGACAGTTTTGTACGTACATTATATCCACTCCAAATCGTGAAAAAAAAGTAATCTTTCGAGCGATTGTTCCTATGACAGCTATATTATATAGTGGTCCGATCTGGTCATCTCTGACCTATGTTCTGCCTTTTATTTTGCGTATATAAGACTAAAGAACATATATGTCAATATCGATTCGGCTAGTGATGCTGATCAAGATTAAATACAAACACCTAATGGTCTCAATGCACTGCAAGCTTGAAGAACATATTAAAAAATACGCTACAAGGGTATACAGAACACAAATGTATAAATCCTAACTACGGCTTGCCGTAGCGGTAATCGAAAAACTTACAGACTCAATATATATTTTTTCTATAGCAGCTACATAAACATCCACGACTATCCTAAGATGAAAACTAAAAAAAATCAATCAACTGGTTTTTTTTTAATAATTTGTGCAATTTTCGGTTGTAACCGTTACATTCAAAGATTTAAGAGGTTTATATGATACCAACAAATATTTGAAAACTTTTCAAAAATTCAGACCACACACAGAGAGAACACAAACCAATATTTGAATATTTCGTATCGGGATTGTAAATAGTTTCTCACATTTGTAATTATGAACTGCTTGACAGCAGCAGCTCGCGCCGCCATTATCGATATCTGTCGACTGTAAATGCAACCGATTGCACCCCCTAACGGAAACGATTAACGCAAGAGTGCAACAACAACAAAAACAACAACAACAACAATAGCATTTACGTAAAAAACATATATTTATAATTATGTACTTTTATAAGACGAGACAAATTCAGCATTAAACATAAGTTCATTTAGCACAATTGACAGAGACAAGATGAATATGTAAATGTATCCAGCAGCCCTAAATTTAAGTATTTGATTAAAAATTGCTTACTCATATGCATTAAGAATTAGCTTACACACACCGATACAAATGCATACGCACATGCGTGTTGCGCGTGTGCTTGTGTGTGTAAGATTAGGCGATAAGAAACACTTGCGTATATCAATTGAAACTCTTGTGTGTTTTGAATAACAACAATTGTGAAATAGTTAACAGCAGCTGTAAGAAACTTGTACACAAATAAGTTAACGCAAAATTCGTATAAGAGGCCGTAACAAAGTGCGCTTCCCTAAGCTATTAAAAACCAACTACAAACAATTCAAATACATGATCATATATATATATATATATATCATATATATATATATGCATGCACAATAACATCTGTATGTATATATTAATTTAAGGAAAGACAAATCAAACAAGTAAGCATGAATATCTTTGGCCCGCCGAAGATTATATATCCTTGTAGACGGGAGTTAGGTTAGGTTACTTAGGCCGTATTTGGCCCGTTGTGATGCCGAAAGGGGATCTAGGGGGGTGTTTCCTCCTGCAGTCGTACGTCCAAAGCATTTCTAAACATTTAAAAATTTGACCAGCCGGATGCGTTTATGAATTTCGCTATCTTGGCCGGTCTCATGTGTCGGAGCTCATTGGCCATGTCTGGTGTGCTATGCGGGCACAGGTGACACTTTGCCATTTTCTGCATGACCTGCGCCTGTACTCCTCCTTGATGTTGAGCTTACAGGTAGCTAGAGGCATACTTATACCTGGTCGCGTTTGGAGCCGTCTGTAAAAAAGGTTATGGTCGCCGGTGGACCGGGGGTGCCATGAACCCATTCCTCCCTTTGAGGGAGTTAATCTGCCGACATTTATTTATTATTATGTTATTGTTCGTATTCATCAAATTTGTTATATGTTTTCTGTTTTACGACTGGCTGTGAACCAAATATTCCACATTTGTGTTACACATTGTTATATTGTTTTAGTTATATTTATTTTTTGTTTTTGTCCGTGCCAATATCAATCCGACAATTTCAAAATCAAGCCAAATTTGAGGAACATAATAACACACATATTGACGCACATGACTATTTCAACTCGGCTGATGCTGATCAAGAATATACACGTATATATATACTTTTGTGGTCACATGACACGGCAAAATTATGATACGCTCTACAAGGGTATAAAACCAACAATTGCAAAAACAAAAACAAATATATATATATATTTAGAAAGACAACCAAAATAAACCAGACGCGCACAGAGATTATGATCAGCGCCAAAGTTCTACCACATGTAAATTTCAATAAAAACTATAAATACAATTTTATTTTTTTGACCTATGTCTTTAATCTGTACATCCTTTAGTCGTCTACCACCATACATAAAAGCATATGTGTAAACTAAATTATATATGAACCCGCTCTCTAATTCATTTCGAGATTCTGCCTTATTATAATATAAGATATCCGTTCACTTTACCAAAGTGAGCTTTTGGCTGCCGAAAATCGAAGAGTTCAAAAAAAAAAAACCGAAACTATTCAAATTATTTAATTTTAGGTCACAGTGAAGACTTGTTTGAGATGAACATTTCAGCTTATACCTAAATGCAATCAAAATGAGTGAATGACATTCAACAAAAAATTCAAAAGTGCCTGGTCTCCAGCTCGTATACAATATTAAAGCAGCAAGTGTCGGTAAAGCAGTGTTCAAGCAGTCCTTGGCCAGGGCCAACTGCCTGCCATCCGACTAATTAATTAACTGACCATATTGTCTTGTTTGGTGCTTGGTGCTACCATAGAATGAGCGCATCAATTAATTTCAAATTCGTGTTAATAATTAGCATCCAATTAGCAAGCCCAAACATTAGCGCACGTTGAATTTGTTTTTGCAAATGATTTGATTAAGGAAAGCAGACAGCAAACAAAATTATTGCTGACGCATCGTGACCCATTATATTTCCACCAGAATAAACATGCTGGGAATCTAAAATATATCTAGATATGTTATAAACTCAGAATGTGGTTGGCGCGTGCTCTTTTTGTACTCGTAGATACATCGTAGTTTCTATGTGCATGTATGTGTGAGCGTGCGATACTTATAGCGGTACAGTGATTGCTCGCAAATTGCAACCTTTTGGTTTAGCATACATTGTTATTAAAAATGTAAAAGTTCCCCAAGGTTTTTGCAAAACTATACCTATAGTTACGCCCAAGACTGTAATAGATGATTTTCATTTGTGGATAGTTCTCATTTGCGAATGAGCACTGTGCTGAAATTGTGTCAAACACACACACGTTAATCAGCCAGGAGATGGATGGCAGGCAGTGTCGACCGATCGATCGATTGGCCAAAAGTACAAATGAAGTACAAATTATGATAAATGAAATTCGATTGAATTTTGTTCGATTGAAATTACTCATGGCTGGTTTGGCCAGAGATAACAAATTATATTTAGCCGTCGGCTCTCATACTTATTATTATTTACATAACAAAAAGAAAACCAAATCAAAAATAAAGAAAATAACAATAATCGTTGTTTAAATTGTTGGCTCTTCATTCCCATTCTCATTCACATTCTCGGTTGGTCTGCTTGTCTGTGACAGATCCGGTTGGTGGTGACACGACGACACTGCGTCGCTGTCATGACTAGAACTATGGAACTAGATAAGTTCGCCCTGCTCGTTCACTTTGATGATACGGACGCGCTCCTGTCGCTTGGAGAGCACCTCGTCAATGCTTTCGCCATGGGCGAACAGGCCCAGATTGTCCTTGATCAGATGTTGGACGGCGCAGCCATCACACTGAAGGATAACAACTCCGCTGTAGTAGGCCTCCTCGCTGATGGTCTTCGTGTTGCGTGTGTTGCACAGCTTGCACATATACACGATCTCCATGCGTCGCTGCATGCGACGGAAGCGTTTCAACGTTGTCGGCGACAATGAACCATTCGCCTTGACGCCCGCTTTACCATTGTTGATGTCGAACGGCTTGGCTGTAAAGCGACAGGCGTCGATTATCGATCTCGGTATGGAGAGCGATGCTGCTGCTGCTGCTCGTTGCCAATCCGTCAGCGATTTGTTGTCCGCATCGAGATCGGAGACCGGCACAGGCGACGACTGCTGTGTGGCATTGATGATGGCGTTTTGTCCATTTTGGCGTAGATAGTTTAGCGTACGCGAGGTAAATAAATTGCGCAATGCGTTCATTTTACATAGGCATATTAGCGGTTATAATGGATACGGGACTATTGAAGATTATTCGATATCAACCAACACTGGCGAACTGCACGTGTGAATTATTTAGATGCTACTGAGTTGTTATTGCCCATAAACAAACGACGCAGTTTGCTCCAAAGCCAGGGCAACTCGAGCTGCTGCTGGCGAGACTTCCCACTGATTGCCTAAGCTAGCGATGGTCCCCAATCAAGTATCGATAATTTAGTGACCAATATAGCATTCAGATTTTGTTTGCCAACAAATATGCTAATTGGAGTAATACGCATGAGAAATCGATCGTATCGATAGTTTACCGCATACTAGCATTATCGATAGGCTTTCGATAGCCGAACCGGCAGCAACCAAAACAGAAACAGAATTATGTATAATTTCCGTTTGCTGCGTCAACTGCGCCTTGGTGGCATAACTCAAGCCACTGCAACAAGATTAACACAGGCTCCAACATGCCGTCGACTACTGGCTAGCCATCATAAGCGCCGCCCCCAACTAGGCGCAGTGCAATCGGATCAGCTGCAGCAGTTAAAAACGGACTATTTCGAGCATCGTCGAGAGCTGAGCAACGAGGAATGGCAACGCGTGCGGCAGACGTTGACCGACAGCTACAAATACATCAATAGCAGCAACGTGGACGCCGTCATTTTGGGTCTGTGCAGCACAGCGGAACAGCTGCCGCTGGCCAAAAGCTATCTGGGATATCTGCAGGCAGAGCGAATCGAGCCTAACGCGGCGACATTAGGTCGCTTGTTGCGTGTCTACAATGCCGCCCATCACACACGTGCGCTCAGCGACGCGGAGCAGTCGGAAATTGTGCACATCTGTGATGCAGTGCAGGGTGCGCATGAGACGCTGGATGCCAGCAGCTGTGAACATTTGATCCACGGCCTGGTGGCAACCAATCACCACTGGCAGCGCGCACTACCGCTGCTTGAGATGATGAAGGTGACCAGCACGCCCAGCGTAGCCGCCTACAGTGCACTGGCAGCCAAGGCATTTAGCGTGGCACAGCCAGAGCTGGCCTGGCGTCTGCTCGAGGAGATGCTGCTGGCACGCAAGCTGCCCAAGTGTGAGGTGTATCTGGCTCATTTGGCACACAGTGCACAGAATGCGTCCACACTGGTTGCCAATCTGGAGCAGTTATTGCAGTTCCTCGAACGTCATGACATACTCATCAGCGATCTGGTGGCTCAACAGTTGATGGCATTGGCTCAGAGGATGCCGCAACAGTTCCAAGTGGCATCCACTCGACTGGACCGGATGGGTAAGTGCACCGCTTGTCAGCAGCATCTGCAGCATGTTGCCATCAGCGATGCACAATTCGCCGAGCTGCACGAATCCTTTCTGGCCAAGGTGCTCATACGGAACGATGTCTTCCAAAAGTCCACGCCCGAGGAGGTGGCACGCTTTAAGCAATATGTGGAGCAAACAGCGCCCTATGATTGCGTCATCGATGGGCTCAACGTCGCCTACTCCACTGGCAACAAGAAGCCACCGCAGCAGCTGGCCAAGCTGCTGGCCACCGTGGTGCGTTACTTCAAGGAACGTCGCAAGCGAGTCCTTGTCCTTGGCCGTCAGCACATGCGCAACTGGTCCAAGCCAGTGTGGCAGTATATCCAAAGCAATGCCAGCGTTTTCCTAACAAACAATCTGTGAGCAGATAACACAACTCCAATAATTATGATTATTAGTAATCCATATCTACTGTGCTCCGACAGCTCCCATGATGATCCATTTCTGCTGTATGCAACGCTGCGCAGCGGCCAAGAGACGGACTTTTTCTCGCGCGACCTAATGCGCAGTCATGCCTTTCTGCTCGGAGGCGATCTGAAGGCAGTCTTCCGTCGCTGGCAGCAGGAGCATCAATACTCGCTTGTCACCCAAACGCAAACGGGTCAAATAATTGTCAAGGAGCCCATTCGTCATCGCCTGAGTGCCCACAAAGTCAACAACGTGTGGCATGTGCCCTGCTGCGACACCTATATGACCCAGCCGCCAGACAGCTTCGAGGTGCCTGAAAAGTGGCTCTGCCTGACCATTACCTGAATGGAATACAAAATATTTATGTAAATACTACAAACTAAATCCCTCACAAACATCATAAACATGGTCAAGACTTCTTTCAACAATTATACAATATTAGTATGCAAGGCAATGCTCGAGATAAGAACAATTTTCTGATGTTGAAGGACTCTCGTCCTTTTTATCGGCATGCCAAGCAAGTAAATCCGGATACACCATTTTTTGAGATACCATTTTTTTGGATTTCGATTTAGTTAGATTTATTTTCCAAATCTTGGGAGTTTTAGAATGCAAATCGACAGTCCTTTTTCCCGTGATCTCAAAAATGGTTGCCTCTTCGAGATCCTTAAGGACTATAACTATTTAATAATAAACATCATATTGAGTATTAAGTTCCTTTAAGATAGTTTTTGTTACCATCTTAATTTCACTGCCAATTAAATGATTAATGATTGTTGATCTGCCTGTGCCTTAAAACTAACCCAGACAGTAAGTCAGATATGTGTACATAATATGTATGTATTTTTAATGGGCAGCCCACACAAGTGATGAAGAATGTCAATACGATTCAATTGGCATTCCGGTTAGTCGCAGTCGAGACGGGTGCATTTCCGGAAGGCATCATAGTTCAATGGGAATTCTCGTTTCCGCCGCTCATTCCTCACCTTCTTTTTGGCGGCGCACATGAGGCGCTCCCTTATGTAGTTGTCCATTTTGAAGTCGGCATCTGGTGCCGTTGCCGCCGTATTGGTCACCTCGTTGGGATCGCGCGTCGCCGCCGTGTCCAGTGCCTTAATAATCAGACTAAGTAGCGCATGGGCCAAGCGATGGCACACATCATATTCAATGGCATCCTGACTGGTATAATAGATGGCCGATTGTGATGTGGGCTGCACACCAATTGCCAGCAGTATATTGCAGAAGATGCCACGCTGCATACGCGCATACGGATCGACCAGCTGCGGTGGTATACGCATCGTTGTCCCCAGATGCGCGATAAACTTGGCAAACTTCTTGATCAGCACATTGAGATACTGCGAACGGCATTGCCGTTCCATTTTGGACAGCATATTGTAGTACATCTCCTGTTTGCGCTTGAGGAAATCCTCCTTGCGACGCTCCTTCTTCTTGGTGCTCTTGAGCACATCCTCCAGCTGCCTGAGTTATGTTTATATATAATTATTTTGTATATATATAATGCAACACAAAAAATATTTATGATCACTTACTCTGTTGTAATCGCATTGTATTTGCGCAGCATGCGCTTGATGCGCTTGGCCCGCAACTTGGGATCGTAGACCTTCTTGAACTGGTCATAGTTGTCAAAGAGTGTGTACTTTTTGGGTTTGGATAGGGCTACGTCGTAGGCTCGGGCCTTGGGTGGCAGCGCCGGCTGATAGGCCATGCGTTGCACATAGGATTGCAGTTTGGCGACATTTTCCTGCTGCCGTTTTTCTCGATTCTCTGGGCTGCAATAGTCGGTATCCTCCTCTTCAGCTTCTTCAGTTGTCGATGTGGGCAGCGCCTCATCCCAATCTGATACATTTGAACTGGCCATAGCTACAGCTGCTCTATTGCACTTAAAACTCGCGCTTTCCTTAAAACAAACACAAAATTTTGTTAAAGTATACAACAAAAAAAAGAAAATAGACTGAAAAAAAAAAACGAAAATATTTCGAATTGATTTTTTTGTCTTTTTGAAACTGGCAATTTAATGTAATGCTGTCGAGTTTGGAATGAATTGTAAATACATTGTGAAAGAGTCGAGCCAGGAGAAAAACCAATGCCGACTACGATTTTCACAATTTTCAAACAAATGTTGCCAAAATTTGCGACGAGTGTCGCCATCTTTTGCTTGAATCTGTAAGCTTTACGTGGATATGTTTATTACCAAAATGGGAATTCACACAACAAAAATAACACAACTTTCGCTTCGTTTATTTCGCTGGTGGTGACAATCGCAACAAATCTAAAACTATTCTATTTGTATTCTATATAATTAGCATAGGCTTCATTTTGTCATTGATTCAGTAGGACTCATTTTGCACTGAACGCTCCAGGGTGAATGTGTACTCCTCGGCCAGTGCATCCACGGATAGCTGACGCGTCAGAAAAGCCAATATGCCGTCCACTTGCATCTGCGTGCCACTGAAGCGATCCTTGCTAGCCAACTGTGGCGCCAGCTCAAATGGAATGTCCTGCACATAGCTGATTGGTGCATTTAAATTTTGGTGTGGTCCCATCGCTGTTCGTGCACCGTGCGGCGGGGGATAGGGCAGCGGGCCATATGCTGATGGTGGCATGGGCGGGTACATCATGCCACCAGGCGCTGTTACGGGATCTACGTCAGTTTTGCGATCCACAAATATGAAATCATCGCCGTTGCTTTGCTTGGGCACATCACTCGGTCCCTGGATAGCCTCTTCGGTGGGCGTATCGGCTGGCTTACGTTTGCCAAACAGCGAGAACATGATAGAGTAAATAAAAGCTTTCACCAATATTCGCAATGAATTTCTGACTTTTACGCAGTTATGGCAAAAGTATTTGCCATTTGTTGTGAAGTAAAGATTATTATGAATGTGTCGTTATCGATTGTACATATACTGTAAACAATGAAGCATCGATCTAATTTAAATCGATGCATCGACAAAGTCAAATACATCGATATTTGCTAGTCCGCCGGCAGACGAATGGAAAGTTAAATGAATGCCGATCAATTTTTGTCGTTGCCATACTTGACATATTTTCTAGCGTGGTATATTTTTTTCAACTAACGATTGTGTCCGTTATAACGAGGCGACGCTTACATATACTTTAGGGTTTTATGGACAATAAGGCACGAGGCAGCTCTATCGTGCGCATGCACTTCTAAGCGATATATATATCGATTTAAGCGGGCAGCCCAATTGGCCACAAATGCAACGCTGTGATTGGTTTTGGTTTCAACTACTCAAAGCTAACAAACTCCTGTTATCGAAAAAAAGGTTAAAAAAATGTCTAAGTCCGACCAGGATCCAATTGGTTCGCTGAGCATAATGGAGGTACGTATATATATATATATGAGCCGACAACTGCCTATCTCTGAAACTACGTCAACACACGCTGCCGCTGCTTGACGTCGCCGCCGACGCACTGGATATAGATGCAGAGATTACAGATACATAAACTTGTCTCATATATTTGACAACTTTTTTTTTGTTCGCTTTGCAGCAAATCAAGATTCTGATCAAGCCTCCGCCAAATGAGGATGAGAAACTGGTTCAGCGTAGCAACAATACAAAACACCCATATTATAGGCGTCCTGGACGCGGACATAACCACGATTTGTGCGATGCCTGCGAGGAGGGCGGAAATTTGCTGTGCTGTGACCGTTGCCCCTCCAGCTTTCACCTGCAATGCCAGTGAGTTAAATCAAAAAGCGCACCGAATACAGACAACCACAAAGTTACAAATTCTTGTGCCCACTTTCAGTGATCCACCGCTCAATGAGGAGGATATACCGACCGGTCAATGGTTATGCCATAGCTGTCGCATGGCCAAAGTCGCACAGCCCACGTCTAACTCGAAATCCAATTCAGTGGAGCGTGTGCCGTCAGGAGGCAGCGGTTCACGCGCCCATACACCCTTATCCGGTGATCTGGAGTCGATACCGTTGAAGATACGCAATTTGCGCAAGCGGAGCAGTAGTGACCGGAACAGCACCGAGAAGCTGTTGTCCAAAATGCCGTTGGCAATACAGCGCGCCCTTGACCCGAACAGAAAACCAACGCCACTGGACGATGTAATACGCGCCGCCAGCATGATGAATCCGCAACAGTTCTCATTGCCACCAGAGCTGGAGCTGCACACCCAGTTTCCTGGCAATGGCAAGGTGCAACCGGTGAATCAGCCACACAGCGGTTCGACTGGTGGCAATGGCCATCGCAAGCCGAGCAGTCAGCGACGCAACTCCAAGCCATTTGAACTGGACGGCCAGGGTCTGGTGCCGTTGCCAGCCAAGACGTGTTTCTATTGTACGCGCAGTTGTAAACGGGCGCCGCTCATCTCATGCGATTATTGTCCACTGTATTATCATCAGGATTGTCTGGATCCGCCGCTGACATCACTGCCAGCCGGTCTCTGGATGTGTCCCAATCACGTCGAGAATTTTATCGTAAGTTAAATTGAATTTAATTATTTATACGCTGATTGCTCTGATTGTCGGCTTTTGCGCAGGATACCAACATGGCGAACAGCATCTCAGCAACGGAACGAGTGCGCCTGTGGAATCGCTTTCATCAGCCGCTCGATCATGAAAACGTCAAGATGGAGTTCTTTCGTCGCGTCAATTCACGCAATCCACCCTTTCGCATGAAGCTGAGCACGCGCGGACGCGCCCACGTCGAGGTGCCGCCCATGGTCCGGTATCACTACGAGCATCCGCCGGCACTGCTGCCATCCATGCGGCAAACGTTGCGCTATGATCGTGTCAAGCGACGCAAACAGCTGCCCACCGCTGTCGAGGATATATCCAGGGAGAGTGTCACCGAATCGCTGATCAAAGATATTGAGGCATTGCGCTGTGCGCGTGCCAAATTTCGAGAGATCCAACGGGAGTATGGCAATGCGGATCTCGATGGCAACATTAGCGACAGCGATCCAGAAAGCGGAGCTGAACAGCAGCCACAACGGACGAGCAACGGACTAACGACTGCTTCGGCCCACAAGCAGCTGGAAGATATTCCAGCTGATGGACACAATGAGCGCAATGAGTCCATAAACACGCCGGCGGCGCCATCGGAGCAGCAAATGAAGCAACAGCAGCAGCAAAAGCCAAACAACAGCTGCTACGGGCCGACGAATTTGGAAATTAGCTTCGAGGAGGATGAGGATGATTGCAAATCGAGCAATCTGATTATTGATGCGGATCTGTGTCATCTAGATGTGGACATCATTAAGAAACTGGCGCATCAGCGTCTGCAACAGCTCGTCCAGGAGCATCCCGAGATTGTTACCCAATACAAGAATCGGACTGCGGCGCGTCGATTGCGACAGCTATCGGCTAGCGGCGGAGAGTCAGCGCTACAGGGCGATCTGGCGCCGGAGGATATGCGTCGCTTCTCGCTGCTGTTCACCAGCGAAACATCATCGATACTCGCCCAGAAAAATGGCAATGCCGCCGATGAGGATCCCATGTTGGCTCTGCATCCGGCACTAGCCACAGCCGCTGCCATTGCGGCAGCCGATGCTGCCGCCGAAAGTTATGTGCCACGAATCCGCACCGATACGGAGAAGGCCTATGAGCTAGCCATGCGGCTCGAACTGAAGCTGCTCAAGTGCAAGGTGCGATCGCGAGCGGTACTCACCCCGCTCGGCGATATGCTCGAGGATAGTCGCTGGTTTAGCTCCCTCGATCTGGATCACTCGATATTCATGCGCTATCGCACACTTTACATTGGCTATGGTGGCCATTATACGCCCTCAACGACACTGGGGCAAACGGAAACGGTGGATCTGTCGGCGATCGGTTATTGTTCGCGGATATCGCAACAGCATGCAATCATATTCTACGATGAGTTCTCCAAGTCGTACGAGCTGATGAACTATTCCGAATTTGGCACTGAGGTCAATGGCCAGCTATACACATGCGATCTGGCCGATTATACGCCCACGCATGCCGGCAAACGGATGCGTGCCGACGATACGGAACTCAAGCGGCGCGTCGATGATCTGCTCGATAAGCGTCGCTCCATCCAGCGACAGTATGAGGCCAAGGGAGAAGCACACGGCAGGTGAGCATCCCACAAATCTCCTATATATATATATATGGGGACTAAGATAACATCGAAGGTAGTCCATGAAGTTCGTTCAAAGCTAGACCTACTCGGGACTCACAACAGGTCCCGGGTCACAGGGACATAGCGGGAAACGAGGCGGCTAACAAGCAAGCAAGAATGGGGGCAGAAAGGCCCCTAACAGGACCAGAACCGTATTGTGGCATAGGAGACACACTATACGACTGGAACTTAGACACGAGAAGACACAGAGACGGCATCAGAGCTGGTCAGAGGCAGTAGGACTCCGACAGATTATAACCATGGGAAAGAACAACCGGTCTATTGACAGGACACTGTAGACTAAGGAGTCATCTGACAAAATTGGGTATATATATTAGCGATCTCTGCAGGTTTTGTGAAAGAGAGGAGGAATCCTCGATGCACATCCTGGCAGAATGTGTCGCCTTAATTAGAAGAAGAAGCAGCATCCTAGGGGCGCATGTTTTGAATTGCAAAGACATAGTAGACCTCAAATAGGTCGCGGTGCAGCTTCCCCCCTAATAATAATAATAATAATATATATATATCAACATTGTATGTATTGTAACAATGACAACAATTACAGACTGGCGCCCGTTGTTAAGGACGCGTGTCGCTGCCAAGCCGCAAGCCCTGTGCCGTTGGTGCCGGGTGCCTGGGAGGGAACCGCTGTTCTCGCCCATGGCAGCCTATTGCGATTTGGTTGCCTCACGTTTGTGTTCGCTGTGTCTCCAACAGATGCGATGACTCTGCGGCACAGCAATGCCAAATGACAGACCATGTAGGGGTTAAGTGGCGACAGTGCGAATGCAAATCAATTTGCCGAGCTGGGCCGCAGAAGCAGCAGCAGCACCAGCAACAGCAGCAGCAACAGCAGCAGCAACAGCAGCAGCAGGTGCAGCAAGCGCACATGTCGCAAATCTTTACGTTTACTCAATCAAGCAGCAGTGGCGAGCAGCAAGAAACACCAATCTCAGTGATCGGCAATCGGTTTGGATCACACACACACACACAACCAGGTGCCCCAGTGCCAGGAATATTCCAGCTCCTCAAAATCCCCAAATCACCAACTTACGCCACAAAATAGAAAGAGAGCTCGAAGTGGAGACAGATAGAGAGAGAGAGAGAGAGAGATAAAGAAAGTGTGAAGGATTACAAACCAATTTTGGGTACAATTAATATTGCGTTATGCATCATTTTTATTACATATGTAATTTCTTTATTTTTATTTTTATTACTAGAGGTATCCATTTTAAATCCCCATGATTCTTTCCCATTCACTTCATCTTCTATAGCTGTATAAGGAGCATCGTCGTAACACATAATGTTTTGTAAGCAAATAGATTTTTCAAATTCTTCATATTATTCTTCTATACTGTGGTTTAATGTGAGTTAGGCGAGCAACTGAAACTCGCAATTAGTGTAATACAAAAATAAAAAATACAAAAAAAAAAATTTTAAAAATGAAAACAAATTAATTACAATCAAATGAAAAATATATAATAATAAATTAAATAACATTTAAGCATGCAATTTGTATACAGACGAGAAATGTAATTGAGAATTACAAGCCAATACAATATAAAAGAAAATGAAATGAAATTCAGATTGCATGATGTACAGATGATGCACAGGTGATGAATGTATAATGTATGTCTCTTTATATATGTATATATATGTGAGATAAGACAGAAATTAATTGCGAGTGGAGGAGATTAAGCGGTGCTTTACGTCTAGTTGTAAGGTAAGGCATAAAAGGAGGAGTATAGCATAAGGTAAGTATATATACAACAGCATCGGAAACTGGCATTGGGATGTCGACTGTGCGGCAGCATGCCTTCACTTCCAGTTCCGGTATACGCTAAGAATGCACATTTTATGCATTGCATATAAGTACGTACGGCTAGACACGCTAAAAAGTAACTATTGATTATACATATAATGGCTGCGGCGGCAGCAGCGGCGGCGGCGGCGACGTCGACGGCGGCACAGCAAGCCCAAAAAAACGCATTCTGGATTTCGCTGCATCCTTCCAGTTGATCTAGGAATTTGTGGCTGAGTCTTCAGGCTGTGACTGTGACTGCATCGGCGGCTGCTGTTGCTCCACGTGAGCAGCTGATTTGGCCGCATTACGGCTGGCACGGGAGCGTTCCCATTCAAGTTTGTGCTTGCGCTTCGTATGATGATACATATTCGACTTGGAGCGAAACTCTGTGGGGCAGAAGGCGCACGTGTGCAGCTTGACGCCTGTGTGTGTCGCAAAGTGTTCCTGCAGCAATTAAAATCCAAATATTACAAATCTCTCACAAGATAGTATTATATATGTATATGTTTATACAAACACAACTAATTGTATCTATTCTATATATGTAGCAGAATACTCAAATTTATAATGTCCATTAAAAAAATATCGTTAAAATACCTATATATATATGATTTGTATTTTCTTTCTGATAAATACTCAAATCAAAAACTGTCTCTGATATATGCATATATACCTATATATATATATATATATATATATATATATAACTGTCTCTGATATATAAATATACAAATATTAATCACAGACAACCGAAATATCTGAATGTGCAACGAAATAAAAGCTTAACTATAAAAACCAAAAATGAATATTATTGATTATTAAAATATTACAATCAAAATCAACTTTTCCTTTAAATGATTGATATTAGTTGTTGGAGTTTCGATAATTATATAGACGTAGATATAGAAGATGCGTGTAGCCGGTGCTTACCTCCAAATAGCGCTTCATTTTGAATGACTTGCCGCAGATGTCGCAGGCGTATTTGGCTTTGCTGTGGCAGCGATGATTCTGGCCCGGCAGCTCGCCACAATTGGGGCAGATGGACAACGCCAGGGAGTGACTGGGACTGGATCCGGGCATTGTGTTGTGCTTGTTGTGCAGGTGATTGTTGAGCGCGCGCTGATTGCGCAGCTGCTGCCCACAGATGCTACACGTGTACGGCTCCTCTGCGTTGGGCAATGCTGGTGCCGGAACGGAAACGCAGGCAGAGGCAGAGGCAACAGCAGCAGGCGCTGGGGTTATTGTTGGTGTGCTAAAAACAAAAAAAGAGAGCAAGTCAGGCAACAATTGGAAAATCAAAAATTGGTTCACCCATCGAATTACCTGCTTTGGGTGCTTAGCGCAACGGCTGCAGCTGCTGCTGCTGCGGCGGTTGCTAGTGAGCTGGTGCCGGTGCTGGTGCTGGCGCTTGTGCTGACCGCCGCCATGGCGGTGAGCAGCTGCTCCTGATGCTGTTGCATGATGGTGGCGCAGAGTCGCTGCTGCTGTTGTTGATTATTATGATGATGATTTGCAGCGGCGGCAGCAACGACAGCGGCGACAGCATTATAGTTGGCAAGAATGAGTTCATTCTCCTTGCACGTCCGCAGCTCGGTCTTCAAGCGCTTCTTGTGCAGATCAGCGAGATCGGCGTCATTGCTGCTATCCTCGCTGGCGCTGGCACTGCGCTCCGTATGCTGCACCTTTTTGGGCGAATGCGTTTTACGGCGGCTGGAGCGTGTCACTCGCTTAGCTGGGATCGTTGGCGGACACACTTTGGCCACCGTCAAATTGATGGCCTCCATTGGCTCACACTTGACAATGCTAAGCGGTGGTGGTGATGGCAGCGGTGCAGTTGCTTCGATTTTTAGAGGCGTCGCCGCTGGCAGAGGCGGCTGAGCTGCAACTACTTTATTTAGTATATCCTGTTGTTGCTGTTGTTCGTTTGTTTGCGGCTCGCTGGTCGACAACGTTATGGCATCCAAGGCAAACTTATCGCTGTCACCATTGACGCCTCTTTGGATTTGCACGTTGTTATTACTGTTAATCTTGGCGGATTCGCGATCGGCGCGCGCCTTTTGCCACTGGGTGTTGTGCTTGGTCTTCACATGGGTGTACATGTTGGAGCGACAACGAAATGCTGTATTGCAATAGGCGCAAGCAATGGGGCGATCGCCAGTGTGTGTGGCCACATGCTCTTCGAGATAGCGCCGCATTTTGAAAGACTTTTCGCAAAACATGCAGGGGAACTTGTTCGCCGCCGCAGCTGCCTTGGGATCGACCTTAAGGTAAGATTCATGAAATTCGGTTTCGTCTTTAACTATTGCATCGTAGACTGCAGGCGTTTCATCGGCATCCAACTCGGGCTCCGGCTCTTGCTTAAAGTCAATGATGGCTGCTAACTGATGATGCTGCTGCTGTTGTTGTTGTTGTTGCTGCAGTTGTTGTTGTTGGTCCACATCGCCCTCCTCCGACCAGTTGACATCGCAATCAATCTCCAGGAACTGACTGCAGAGCGTTGTCTGTTTGTGCTCCACCAGCTTCCAGAAATTGTGAAAACTCTCCAATTGCACACAGCAATCGGTGCAAATGGATGTGGAAATGGCATCGTCGCGAGAGAGCTACGTTGACAGGATAGAGAGTAAAGCGGGGGGCATTGTTAAAGTACAATTTGAGTGCAGGTTGGCACAGGTGGGCGGCAATTAACTTACACAGAGATATAAATGCGTCGATATCAATTGGACCAAATAGTTTTCCGGTATTGTCTTATTTTCGTTGGCCTCTTTGTCGGCGCCAGCGAACAGTAACACCGCATTCTGCTCGTCCAATGCGTTTAAGCACAAGCGACAAATCATTTCGTTGGCCAACTAATTGATATCGACAAACATTTGCACTATTTGGATCTTTATTTTATTTATTTCCAAAATTGCGGATGGACCAAGTGCTAATAAAACAATCGATGGCCCCACTACACAAATGTTATCGATTATACTCATAGACGATACGTTAAACTATCGACGTACTTGCATCACTGAAATCCAAATAGGGATGCTCATGTTAAAAAATAATCATCGCAAGTGCTTACTGTTAACCGGTTATTGAGGTTGTGATAAAAAATAAATAATTAAATAATTAAATTTTAAATATGTCTACCTCTGTTTCCACAAAGTCATTGTAGTGTGTAGACAGACAATGTTTTTTAAAATTAATAAATATATCAAATAAAATATATCGATATTTTCAAAAGTATCGATATATGCCGAGCAGCTTCAAAACAGCTGTAGTAAAATATTACATAGTCAAAACACTTGATCCCAAAAACACACACACATTGCAAACACACTCAGATACACCCTTCAGACCTTAAACGTACTCAACATTTTTTTATAATTTTCGTTTTGTAATTAATTTGTTTGCGGGAGTAGCCAGGATGAGTAAGACAATAACTTTAGCTGAAGTTAACGAGCACAAGAGCGCAAAGGATCTCTGGGTGGTTATCGACAATCAAGTGTATGATCTGACAAAGTTCCTATACGAAGTAAGTTCGCCCTGCCATCAAAGTGCAATGTGCATAGTATATATAATATGTGTGCCCTAAATATCCAGCATCCTGGCGGCGAGGATTCGTTGATTTCGGTTGGTGGTCGCGATGGCACACGGGAGTTTAACGAAGTGGGCCACAGCCAGGAAGCACGGTAATAATGATAACCAGTTAGTCAAGAATAGCCAAAACAACAGCAGCAAATAGGAAAACAGCAAATACATATTACTATTCATATTCTAAATTGATATAATTTCAGTGAGATAATGAAGAAGTTTTTGGTTGGCAACTTAGCAGCCAGTGATATTAAAAAGAAGCCGCCAGTTGGGTAAGTTGTCTGACTGCATTCCCTGCACATATGTATAAAGAATTTCAGCACTGCGATCCTCATTTGTACATAAAGCTAAACATAAATGGCATCTTAGGCTAAATCGAGAGTCGAGTTCTCTGGAATTGAGAACATAACCAAAATAACAAACGAACTAACGAACGAGCAGCGTGGTCGAGAACAACGACGTGATAAGCATTCGAATTGAAATCGAATGTGGCGGAAAATTCATCAAAATTATCATCAACGGTTGCGGCATCTAACGCCTAACGACAGTATCTAACAGTTCTCTTCTAAAACTCGGGCATGACTCAGCTGAAACTGAAACTGCTTACGCATGCTGCGTAATCTTTACCTTGACCAATTAAATGAAGGGTTATCAACGAAACTCGAATACAATTGGGCAACTGATACTCTATCTTAACTGCACATCTATCGCTAACCGGTCGCATACATTATGTATATATATATACATTTATCCAATCCATATATATATATATATATATATTCTTTTTTAAGCTTCAAATCCTTCTCCAGCACCAAAGTAAAATTCTACAAAATCTAAACCATCATCTACGAAAGTCAGCATGTAAAATTATAACAATTTGTGAGTTCTAAATTAAAGGAGTAAATTATCACACATGCATCCTTATATGTTCTCATTCATTTAAATATATGTATATAAAATGCAAATTTAACTTTTATTTTTTTAGAGATACAGCAAACTAGGCAAAAATTACATTTTGATACGATCGCCACGGATAGAAAATAGTTGAAAAACTGTTCTTCGTTTGATCGATTTGAAACTTATTTGTAATAGATTTGAGATATCAAAAAAAAAACCCTTTCTGCATTGTGGATATATGTATAAAATGTTGTATGTAATAAATATCAACAGCACCCTATCAAGAAAGCATCTTGTATTTAATTGATGGCATGCAAACAATCGACCAAAATCACTTTCACTATCTCGCTCTCTACCTGTATTGCTTTCTCTCTCTCTCTCTCTCTCTCTGATCTGATTTTATTTTGCAAATTTTGTTTTCTGTTCAACTAGTGCCACGCCCACTGATACTATTGACACTGATGCGAATGCGAATGCCAGTAATGAGCCTGCTGCACCCAAGCAATGTTGCATCTTGAATTAATCATCCGAAACCTAATCCTGATTCTTATTCCCAATTCACCCACTACTAATATCACCAGCAATTCGCATTTAACTAGAGTAGCATTGCTTACCATATCCATAGATATTTGATATAATATGATGTTGTTTACTTTTGTTGCAACAGTTGCAGAGAAATTGGACTGGCCGTCGGCGCCATCATCCTGGGCATGGCACTCGTATATGTCATCAAGCGTGGCATGGCCAACAAAAACTGAAGAGAGCTGAAGCCAGCAAAACAAAGGGATTCCAATCGATGCGATTCGATGCAACGACGATTCAACGATTTTTACCTCATTTCCTGCAAACCATAATTTAATTGTTTTTAAACCAAGTCGCTAACTTTGATATTACATTTGTGAAGCTCGTTGATATTTGAAACCAGTAAAGCAGTTAATAAATAAATGCATTCAACCACTAAGCATACAATATTGTATATATATAAACATACAAATAAGGAACGAATAGAAAATAAATATAATTATAAATAACAAGCAAGTAATAACCATGGGAAAGAATATGCTTACCGATCTGCTGACAGGACATTGTGGACTAAGAAGTCACCTAACCTTTATAGTAGTGAACTATGCCAGTTTTGTGAAAGCGGTGATGAATCCCCAATGCACATTCCAGCAGAGTGTGTCGCCTTAACCAGGAGAAGATGCATCATCCTAGGGATGCATGTAATGAGTTTCAATCACAATAAGCACTCAACACAACAAAGATTCTCATTCGTGCGAGAGCTGGGGTTGCTGGAGGAGCTATACGCTCAGTAGGGGGGCACAATAGATCTAGTTGGTCGCAGTGCAGTTGTCTCAAAAGATAAAAATAACGAAGAGCAAATAAATAATCTGAAATTGTTGGTAGATCAAAGCTTTCTTCCTTTTTAACAGCTGGTTGAAGAAGAGATAAATAAATGACGGAGGCATTGAGCTGGTTGCTCCAACAAACTCCAGCAATATCTAGCAGATGCAGTTACGCTTCACCGGAGAAAATTCAACTTGCCAACGGTTGCGTCGATTAGCGTTCTCTGCACTCAACTGTTGCGCAACCGTTAAAGTTGCGTTAAATTTGAAAAAAAAAAACAACATTTAACGTTCATGTTTAGGGGCAATTATCTTTTTGTTGTGTATTTTATTTAATTAATGCGTTTCGTATGCTTAAGTTTTTTGTTGTTGTTTTTTGTTTTATGCTTCTTTTTTTCTTGCGTTGAGTTAACTTTTTGCTTAATTTGAGAGTGTACAGAGTAATGTATGTACTTTAAACTTATGAATATATATATGTATATGTATATGTATATATATAATATATATATATATATATGTATGTATAAATATATATATATATATTATGAAATCCACAAAACGTGCCCGCTTCGATTTTAGTTCTCATCGTAGAGGGGCGTGGCATCGCCAAGATTCATGGAGTGCGGCGATGTGTTTGTGCGCGGCGTACTCCGCACCGACGACTTGGATGATGAGGAGTTGCCACCGCCTCCGCCGCCACTGGCCGCTGACGCCGACGCAGCTGAGGCGCTGCGATTTGAGCTGCTCGTATGATACTCATTGGTGGGTGTCGAGCCGGAGCCATAGCCACCGCTACCGCCACCGCCGCCCGTCGAGCTGGACATGCTAACATTGCCAAGTTGCTGTTGTTGCTGCTGCTGCTGTTGATGATGTTGTGGCTTGCGTCGCGCCCAGGAATCATTTGCCAGCTGCCAGTCGTGATTCTCTTTGGCGCGTTGTTGCTGCTGCTGCTGCTGGTGATGATGATGATGCTGCTGCTGTTGCTGCTGCTGTTGCAGATGATGATGATGTTGCTGCTGCTGCTGTTGTTGCTGGTGATGATGGTGGTGGTGATGATGTGACATACTGCTGGTGCTGCTATTGTAGGCATTGGGTGCACCCATATCATAATAGCGGGGCGTTGTGCTGCTGCCACCGCCATAATGATGACGCTGGCTGCTGCTCGACTGCGAACTGGGGCTGGGCACATTGTGGCCGTAGCGCGGCGTCTGCGAGGCGTGCGGCGTGTATGGCGTCATGAACGGTGTCTGCCCGCTGGGCGTATACGGTGTATTGATGTGGGCACCAAATGTGGGCGTGCCACTGCCACCATAATGTCCGACAGCAACAGCAGCAGCGACTGCAGCCGCTGCAGCTGCCGCCGACGAGGACATATTGCCAGCCAAGCCAGCAGTGCTGCTATAGCCACCGCCGCCGCCACCAACACCCATGGAATGCGTTACGGAGTAGGCGCTGGAGGTGCGCATATCGGTGCTGCTGATGCCGCTGCGCGGTGTGCCGCCCGAGATGCTGCCCGAGGTACTGAAATTGCCACCGATACCACCAACACCAGCACCAATCGAACTCAGCGATGCTGAGGAGGAGGATGAGTTTGGTGGTCGCATCATGCTGTGCGAATTGATTGGCGTATTGCTGGACGGTGTGGCGCCAGCGGTGCCAGCAGACATGCTCGCCGTCGGTGCGTCCAGCCAGTGCTCCTTGAACCAGCGCAATAGGCTGGACACCGTATCAAAGATTTGACCGCGAAACCGATAGCCCTCCGGCATCACGGTGACATACTCGTGCCGGACCTTCGTCTTGGGCAGATAGGCGAGCAGAAATTTGCCGGGCATGCTCTTCGAGGCGGTAAAGAAATAATGGATCTTCTTCGGATCGCGGGTCTTCTCCTCGCGCAACAGCTGCTCCATAAAATCGCGCTCATTCACATTGGCGGCGGCCGTGTTCGGTTTGTAGTATTTGTATTGGATTAGTTCGCGGGCATTGAGCGCCATTGGGTTGATGTGGCGGGCGATGATCTCGTCGAGATCTTCGAATTCCTCGGTGCCAATCCATAAACTGCGACCGAGACTATACTCATTCTCTTTGCCCTCCTCGCGGACATCGATGTGCTGGAAGATGTCATCGGCCACCTTCCACGTGGCCGTTAAATGATCCTTCGATTTACTGCTGGGCCGCAACGCCACCTCGCCCTGATCCGCCTCGGCGAGCATGGCAATCACCTCCGCATACGATTTGTTAAAGAAGCTGGGATGGGCGATGACGCGACGAGCGTAGGTCTTGCGTTTGAGCGCCTTTGCCTTGGCATCGGTCACCTTGCGATTGTCCAGCTCCTCGGTGACAAAATCGTAGAAGGCATCGCGTCGCGGCCGCCACTCATTGTTCACATCCTTCAGATCCGCCGACTTTGAGCTGCAGTCAACGGAGAATCGATCAATATCGATCTTAATGATTCGCACATGAATCGTTTGGGTGACACGAACACGCTCCTCCGGATTTCGCACCTGTTTGTCCGACAGATTCTTGATGTGTATGAAACCGGGCAGACCATTCTCGAGCCGTACACGAACACCGGACGCCTGGCCGGGACAATTGTTGTCGTCGAAATGATTCCACACATCTGACAATTCGGGAAAATCATCCTTGTGACAGAACGGACACTGCCAGCTATCTGTGTCCTCGATACGCACCGGATTCGCTGTGTCCAACTGATCGCCCTGTGGCCTGCGATACGTGAAACCGGTCACCATTGCCGTCACACATTTGCCGACATAGAAGGAGTCGGGCGTCTCCTTAGTGAGCATATCGAACAGTTCCTCGGTGCTGGGCTTCTGGAAGGGTGTACGAAAATCCTTGTACAGGCAGCTCAGCTCATTCCTTATATCGTAGAGGGTGGTGCTCTTGCTGCCAAAACCCTGACGCTCCAATTCGACAGCGAACGCATCCAGATCCAAATCCTTGAGTCGTTCCGGTGACTCCAATATCTCTTCGAGAGCACCGGCCGGATTTGTCTCCTCATCATCGTACTCCATTGCATCGATGGCCATTTTGCGTGCCCATTCGTATGTCTCCGGGTGGACACGTGATCCGTCGAGCACCTCAACATATGCCTCGGTGCTGTCGCCCAGCGAACTGGTATCGATCTTGATGAAGCCACTGCAATTGATAAACACCTTCGGCCCCAAATGGCAAACGGTTACCAACTGTGTACGATTCTCCAAACGCTGATTGCTCTGCTTGAGCAGCTTGAGCAGCGCCTGACCCTTGCGCGGTCCCAAACCACAAATGTACTGCAACAGATTGACTGTCCGAGAATTCTGCACCATCAGATTGATGTCGAGGCCAACCTCGCTGGTGCGATTGATGAACTCCAGGCTGAGCTGTTCGAGGAGCAGATCGCGCGGTACACGCTCCTGCAGCGGATGATAGCGCAGACAGAGTATCTCGTCGTCGGCATCGCATAATTGCGAATATTCGACGAGAGGATCCTGCATTTTGCGGGCCAGCGATGCGGCCTGTTTGAGTAGCGGTGGATATTCCTTGAAATCGATTTCACCCTTCTTGGAGTTCGCATAGATTTTGGCCAGTTCGTTGTCAACGATCTCCACCTCGATGGGCGGAAATTGTTCCTTTGTCTCCAGATCCTTGAGTATCTCACGTATGTCCGCCTGTATCATTTGCGCATCCCGCGACTCGGCGCCAATCACAACAATGTGCGGCTTCTTCAGCTTGATGAATTCGCGCAACTTGCGCAAATCGGCCAACTTTTGTGCCTTCTCCTCGGGATTGTGCGAACTCTTGCGCTTGAGGATGCTCGGCAGGCGCAGATAATCCGAAATGTCGCCCTCAACGCTGGCAATCGCACAGAAAGCGGCCACCGACTGATCCGGATCGTAAGCAAGGCCCAGCGAACGGATGCCGCGCAATGTGCTCCACTCCTCGGCATTGTGATGATGGGGCATCTCTGGCTTGTACGGTGCAACCTTAAGCCACTTGTACAGCTTGGCGATGCAGGAGCGCAACACAAACTGTTGCGCCTCCTCGTGCAAAGTGGCACGCAACTCCTTGATCAGATCGGGTATCACCCATTTCTTGAGCGCCATCTGTACGCATTCCGCTCGCAATGCATTCCAGTCCAACACATTCTTGGCAAACTGATCCAGGTGATAGAGTTGAGCGGCCTCGGTTATATAATCACCAGGCGGGCCATTCGCATTCGCATTGCCCTCGAACTCATCCAGAAATTGAATCTCGAGCAGTTTCTCCTCCTCGGCCATCAACAGTTTGATGAACTGATCGCCAAAGAGATCACCGACCGGCTTCTTGGCCACATATTTCATCGAATACACCGGCGAGTTCTCATCGATCAGCACCATGCCGTTCTTCGTAGGACGTATGTTCAAGCGTGCCCTATCAAAGTAAACCTCACGCATTGTTTTGCGCAACAGCGGCTCCTGTGCCAATTGGCGGGCAACAACATATTTTGCGGCATACAACACCTCGTCGACGGTCATGAAGCGTGGCGATAGATACTGTTTGGCCAGCTCTGTGGGACTGAGACTCTCCTGGTTGACCTCGTTGCGCTGATAATTGTCGCGTAGATTTTCGGCAAACTGTTCAGGCGTTAGACCCACATGCTTGGCAAAGCCACAGATGCCCGCCTTGCGGAATATGGCATACGGACTGCTGTTCGATGCCTGCTTCAATTGATCGTCCAACTCATCCTCGTCCTCGTCATCCAGTTCGATTGTTGGATCTGGTGCTTTCTCGCCACCAGCACCTGCAGCAGCAGCAGGATCGCCACCATTTTCGCCATCACTGTTGGCCGCCGCTGAGGCTTGACGGCGAGCGCGTGCCTCCCGCCGCTCCTGCATCTGTTTGCGTCGCAGCTCCGCCTGCATTTTGGGCAGCTCGTGTGAATAGTTAAGTAAGAAATACATATGGACATCCTTAAGCTCCTCCATGGACTGTACATCGGCCAGGCGCTCAAAATCGCTGTCGAGCATCAAACGGACATCGTCGGGCAACGGTTTCTCCGGATCATCGCAAAGCGTCTCCAGCTGAAATTGTCGCATCTTCTCGAACAGCAGCTTCAGTTTCCGTTTGCGCTCGTTGAGCTGACACCATCGCTCGTCGTAATAGTAAACCTTCCACAGATCATCGATGTTTAGCTCCGGCTTGACATACTCCTTGCGATAGAATGCAATGAAGGGCACCTCCAGCTGCTGGTTGCGTATAAATTCGAGCGTCTGTTTGATTTTATTGACGGCTGTTGGCGGTTTGCGCATCTTCTCCCGACTGTCGGCCTTCTCCTGCTCGGAAACGGTTGGTTTGCAGAATGCAAAACGATAAATCCAATTGGCCTCATCGTTCAGCTCATTGGAACCCTCCGGCACCGGTGTCACAGGCACCTGACGCAATTGCATCCGTTCGGGTATATCCGTTTTGCGTATCTCATTGTCCAAGTCGGTGAAGTGGCCACGTTTCAGTTCGCTCGGCTCGTATATATCGAATATTGTCTTTTTCGTTGATTTCTTTTTCGGTGCCTTCTTCTTTTTCGCGGTACGAAAATCATCGCTGCTCAGCAGATCCTCATCGTAATCATCGCCCTCCGACTCCTCCTCGTACTCATCCTCCTCGGGCTTGTAGAAATCGTCATAGTCAAAGTCAACTCCAAATATATCTTGACCCTCCTGCAGTGAGCTGTGTGTAGGTAAATCAATCAATCATCAATCAGTATTGTGAATTGAATATAATTTGACTAATATAAGAAGAATACTTACGCATCTGTAAATATGGGTCGACGCTTCTTTTTCTTTTCGGCAATGGGCCGACCATTGTCATCCACTATAAAATCATCTGCATCCGACTCGCTATCCTCGTCATCAAATGGATCCGTTTCCCGAATGCTGCGCTCGCTGCGCCTCTCGATGCTCTGTATGACAGACAGACAGACAGATAGACATATGGATAATTTAACAATTAGCATATTAATAATAATATTTCAGTGCATACATCATCGTTCTCATCGAAGAGCTGCTCGGCGATTTGTTCGCGGGCGAGTCCCTCGTCCACATGCTGCTCCTCGCCATCGCTTTCGTTGTCGTGTATCCGTCGCAGGCGCTTGAAACGTTTCTGCAATTGAAATATGACCATCATCAGATCAATAGATTGCAAATAGAGAAGTTTAAATAGAAATTGGCCAATTTACGTGTCGTTCAACTTTGACGCCCAAATTCTCCTCGATCAGATCGTAATCATCGTCCTCGAGTCGATCATCTAGATCATCGTCCTGATGCTTTTTTCGCCTCTTGTTACTGCTACCTTCCTCATCGCCACCGCTACCCGTATCCGAATCATTATCGCTGCCATCATCCTCCTCAATGGGATTGTCATCAATCAGATCTCCAAGCTCCTCCCGCAATCGCTCGTCATCATCTGTGTATACCATGAACAAAATATATATAGCAATGTATTTATAAACATATACATGGATCCTTCATTTTGCGAGCGAAAAATCAATAATTTGAATACAAAAATGAACTGTATTTTTTTTAAAATGAAAATTGATTTCACTATTATGAATTTTATGTATATATAACAGCAAGTAAGGAATTGGATACGGGAGGTGAGAGATGCTAGAAGGAAGAATTCCGAAGGATAAGAAAGTCAGGAGGCAAAAACCAGGCGATGGGAGAAGCAAAGAGATGAGAATAGTCAGGAGGAGGGAGAAGTCAGGAGAAGGGAGAAGCCAGTAAGAAGTGGGTCTCAGGATTCTCCATCTCTTCCAAGGGAATATGGGTTTATTCTCATCTGCATCACGACAAGGGTAACAAAAAAACATCGCACATAACCTCAAAGTTGTCAACAAAACGCAGACAAATGTCTGCGCCAAAATGTACAAGAAACATCTAAAACACACAAACACACACACACATATATGTATATAGTGCTGTGATGCATTTTGCAAAAGTGCCTTGGATGTTGGGGGGTGAGGGGGAAGGGTGGCCAAATCAACCGCTCAACTGTCTGGTGAAATACACATTAATGTATACAACATTGAAATTGATTGACTGATACTCATACGCACCTTCTTCTTCCTCGCTGCTGTCGACAACGGCGGCTTTTAACTTTTTCAACCTTTTCCGCTCATTTACATCCAATTCTTCCTCATCCTGACGGAGAAAAAAATGCAATACATATAAACATATACATATATATAAACACACACACGCGTAGACACACAAGCGCGCCTAGAGCAGAACGCATTTGGCGCGCGTAGCAATTGGGAAAACGATGCATACCTCCGATTCGGCGGCTTCGGAATCCAGAAATTCAGCCATTATAATAAATTAAATAACTAAAATATATGCTAAAAACGAATTTAACTAAAATTAACAGACAATTTAACCCCTCTTGCAGTGTCACAATAAAAAAAAACGCAGAAGCGAAGAAACGTCATAAATTGTGTGTGTGGGTTAGCAGTGTTGCGAAATGTGCGCAGAGTCTGTCAAAAGTGCAACGGTCGCATGTTGGTGTTGTCGATAACATTTGCCAAAAAAAAAAGACACACTCACGCAAGAAGTGTGCCCGTTTGGGCCATCACTATGTTAATGTAGTGGAGCATAACATTCTTATTTGCTCACAAATCAACATGTGCCTTCGAGTACTGCTAACATTGGACACAGTGTTGGCAATGCTGTCAAGCGGGTAGCAAGAACGAACCATCACACGACACGAAAAGACACAACACGACTCGACTTAACTCAACTCGACTCGAGCAATAATCAAATAAAAAGTGTCCGTGTTCTCAGTGCGCGCTTCTTAGTAAACTCACATGCTTAGTGATAATATATATATATACATACATCTAATATCCTCATGCTGAACTCCAATAAACAATTTGCTCCACTCTGAAAATTACATTGTTTTCCGTCAGCTGTCAGTGTCGACTTCTACTTCTCAATTTCGGCATTTAGTTCTCGGTGTGTGCGTAGGTGTGCGCTTGTGTGTGTGTGTGTACGCGCTGCTTGCAAAGCGTGTTGTATTCCTTTTTTTTAGTGTGTGTTTGGTGTGAATGCAAAATTCACACCAAAATGAATTTGTAACAAATATACAAAGTACATATATATATATGTATATAACTGACATTAACGACACAAAAAAAAAACAGCAAAAAATGAGAAAACACTAACAGCAAAAAGAACTAAATAAAAACCAGTCAAAGCAAAACCAACAAAAACCATTGAAACGAAAAGTTCGAAGTTTAACCCAAAAACACATCAAAAGACACCAAATAAACCCAAAAACGGAGCAAGCTACGCTCTAAATAGAAATTAACATTACTTTCTGTTCTAAAATACACAAAACAACAAATAAATAAAGAAGGCAGAGGCAAAAGGAAAAACAAACCAGAAGACAACAAAACGATTATTCGACGGCAGCATTATGGACATAATCAATAAATTCAGCGATGCATTTTGGAGCACGCACATTTGGCTGCCGCCAAATACAACATGGGAGGATATTGCGCCCGGCTCGCGTCCAGATGTTGTTCACGCCAATTATCGGGATCTGATTTGGCCAGTGCCGTTAGCCGCTGTCGTTATGCTGGTGCGTTACACACTGGAACGGTGAGTAAACTTCAAAATGCATACAAACACAAGTAAATACGTATGTAAGTATGTACACACACACGCCCTTTTTTTTTAGTGTTTGTCGCAATTCATGAAATATACGCGACATATAGATGCATGTTTGTGTGCGCTGGTTTTTTTTACTGTAAATGTTCTCATTGACCGCATCGCGTCGCTTTCAAGCAATGACATTGTGCACACACAGACAGACACACCTACACAACACATGCATACTGTGCAATGTACAGTAAGCGGACGCCGACACAGGCCACAAATACAAACGCATATTTTTTATTTTTTTTTGCTCTTAAAGCCAAACATAACCTCACGTGGAAACGCCCAACATTGTGTGTATGGGTGTGTGTGCGTGTTTGTTTGTTTGTGTTGGCCTCCCTCTGCCAGTGCGCCATCAGCAGCGCCTTGCAACTTTGTTTTCCTTCATCCACTTCTTCGATTTCAACAACAACAGCAGCGGCGACATCGTCGTCGGCGTCGCGTTCCATGGGAATCTCAATTTCCCACAAGAGCTCAACGATCTGTTCTGTCTCTGTTACGCTGTCTTTCTCTTTCTCGCACCGCAAGAAAAACACTGCTATTTGTTTATACTCGGATGCACAAGCATATATAACATAACCATAACAACATAAATAGTGAGTTGCATTTTTCTTGCAACCTTTCCATTGGAGTAAACTGTATTTATTTGTTTTAGTTTGATATGTAATTATTTTCTTTTTTTTTTCTTTATCTGTATATAATGGAGCCACAAAAAAAAGTGAAATAAAAATATTGTTTAAAATGCTACTGATGGCAAAAATTGGATAGCCACATTTTCAAAAATCGATTGCAGTGCAAATGAATGAGTCACATTACGTTTAGCAGCATTTGCCACAGCGTGCTGAAAGCATTTACTACAGCGTTTTGCCACACTGTACAGATAAGCATTGGCCGCTTTTTGGGGCCAATTAACCTTACGTTTCGTTTGCTTACCAAATCACACATACAAATACAATGTGTGTGTGTGTGTGTGTGTGTTGCGTGTAGTGTCGCTTGCATTTTGCATGTGGTAATTAACATAATTACAATTGTTCACGTGAATATTTCGCTAACAATGTTTACATACATATGTATTGTGTATTTGCTTGTGACAAATTGTGACATTTTTGTCTTCCTTTTTTCGTAATGCGGCCAACTTCACGATCCAAAATCTTAAATCGTGAAACGCTTTTATTGAACTTTAACCGCATAAGGCTAAAATGTTTGCCATGGCTGTCTTTTTATCTTACTGCTTTACTGGTTTTCTGATTTGGTTTTCAAACGATTTTTGTTTTTGTTGAAACGAGAATTGGCTTTCAGGGTCGTCAACAAATTTGTGTGTGCGTCGAGTTATGATTATATATATATATATATTTATATGTATATATAAATATATTTTGTGTGGCAGCAAACAGTGGGCAAGGGGGCAATAATTCGTCACTATCCAATTAACCCTTGCCGCCGCCACCACCTACATTCTTTTTCGAGTACATGTTGTTGATAAGATTTGTAAGTAAGATTTACGTAAAGGTAAAACTACATTTGATAATGTGCCACTATCGCAATTACGTTAAGCAGCACATATACACACATACTTACATGCATTTGTATGCTGGTGTGTGTGAGTCAGTCAGTCAGTAGTTAGTGTGAACGAAAGGGAACGCTAGTGACTCAGTTCCGTTCCATTCCCGGCAAGTTTTTAAAAAATTACCGCACACTGGAAAGTTATGAAAGCTGCAAATCCACACACACACAACTATACATACACTTAAGATTCTTATGTAGGAGTATATGAATTTATGCATGCAAATATGTATATTGTGTATATATGTATGTATATTTTTTTTGCTGCGATTACGTATCAGGCGATAGACCCCCTCACAGACCTCATGGCCCCGCAAAGCGATATACAACATACATCTAGCTCTTAAAATTGGCCCACACACACACGGTTAATCTAATCAGGGTCGTCGACAGTTGAATTGTCGACTGCAGTTTCTTCCATATATATTTGGCGCATTGTCACTTCAATTCCCAAGAAAAACACATTCGCATACACGTTTGTATCTGTATGCATGTATGTATTTAGATGTGTGAGGTTATTGTTGTGCTTAATCTAAACTTGTTGTTGTTTCTGTGCTGGATTATCGCTGTTGCTATCGTCAACCAATTGCCCAAGCGAAAGGCAAAAAAAGAAAGAAAAAAGATTATGCACGTGTTTACTCACACTGAAAGAAGGCAGCCCTTATACGTATTTACACAAACACACCCACATTTACGCATACGGACAGGTGGCGCTTCTTAAACGGTCAATTAGCACCGTTATTGTTGTTCTTGCTCTTTCTTTTCAAATTTAACAGTGTACGATAACAGTTTGATTATCAGAGCGAATTCCAATGATCTTGTTATCGCCTGCAAAATGCTCAAAAATTGCTCTATTTAATGTAGCTTATGCTTATGCATATACACATGCATGAGTCATCACTTAAATGTACATACATATATGTATGTAAATATGCATGTTTACGATTTTTTTTTGTAGGTTTGTTATTGCAATCTTGTACAATAGTTTGCGTGTTGAATTATCATCAACAAGGGTATGTGTGTTCTCTCTCTCTCTCACTCTGTAATTTGGCCAAATGACATGCGTCACCCGCACACTTATATATAGAAATAAAATGTGCATGTTCCCACTGATAACAGCGTAAATTTTCGGTCTGCTGATGTATGTACACACATGCATACATAAGAGAGTAAATATGTACAAAACATATATACATGTGCATTGAAAACAAATTTTTTTCGATAATTGCAGTGTTTATCATTAATTACGAATCGAGCGGTTGGTCGCACATGCACACACACAAACGTGCATGCACAAATATAACTGTTATTAGCTGCACGCACATCGATAGTCAAGTGACGGTGTCAACTGTTATCGTCACAAAATGTTATCGATGCCTATGCACGAATTTTATTTTGCATTCTTTATGCATGTGTGTGCATTGATTTACTTACTGTAAAGTGATACTCTAGTCTTATCCAAAACTGATCGCTTTTCGGGTATCAGATGACTGCTGCAATTTGTATGAAATGGTAAAAGTTCTGTTCGTTGCCAAAAAGTTGCGGCTGCGCCATGACATTTACATCATCATGATTGTTGTTGCCACGTCCAGCTGCTGCCGCTGCTTGGTGAGTTGGTTGCGACGCTTATATTTATCAATTGTTAAGTGCGTGCAGCGCGCACTTTGCGCCACCTGTCGTTTCTGTGTGTAGGTTCTCACCGGTACCGCAGCTGCCGACTGTTGTTGTTATCGATAGTTTGTGTGTGTGTGTGTATTTGAATCTTGAGAATGGTCAGCATACGAAATATTACTGGGATTTAATAATATTGATTGATTGACAGGCGCGTTATTGCGAAGGCAGCTAGGGTGCCGTCCTCCCTGCTCCCTTCCCTCCCTCCTATGAGTGGGCATTACAAATTCTAAAGTTGTCTCCATCGAATTGATGTATTGTATAATTATGTAGAAGCGGGCTTATGTACACAAAAGTACATATGTACATAATGCGTACTTCTGCGGGCACAAGTGTAAAAATTCAATTGAAAATAAATCACTTCTGCTGGTGCCGGTCGCCAGGAGGCGCTACACTCCAAATAATTAACCGGGCATATTAGTTAATCAATTTTGAGAATAACATTGTTCCTCATTTTATTTCTATATAAATATAAATAAATGTATATGTGGGTCTACGTTCTGGCGTTCCTTAAATTTATATACTAGTATATATAACTATTTATATGGTATAATCGAGTCAACTCCCCCTTGTTGCGATCAGTCATGTGTTGCTTTCATTTCTGCTTGTGCATTGAACTTGAACTTGACTCAACTGCACAGTGTTGTAAAACCACAAAGTAATACACTCCAAAGCAAAGCAAAGCGAGCTAATATTTATTGTTACAAATAAAATTAATTTTGTCGGAGGGCACAAGCCAAAAGCAGCGACCCCTCTGACCGAAATTTTATACCCTTTCTGTATGTATATTAATTATTTATATACTTTTTTTTGGTTGCCTTAATTTGAATGAACTCTTGAGCATGTGCTTTGCATCTATTAGTGCAGATAATATGAAAACTGACAATAACAACTTATTTTAAATGCTAGTCTCGGCCGGGGGCTGCTGGACGGGACGGGATTGGACTGTGTGATCTTTGGGGCCTGTCCATTTTTGATTTCATTAGTGAATTAACTTCCGAAAAGCGTCGCCCATACTCAAATGTGTGTGTGCGCCAATGATGTGTGCCTAGCAGTGCTGCTCCCACTTGTTTATGCGTGTCCAGGCCTTAGCCAACTGCTGTGCATTGTTGCCATGCTTCACACGTGCCAGACAAGCACAGACTGACAGAGACAAGCAGACAGATAGCTTTTGTAGACGGGGCCCCAGGCCCATATTTAGTTTTTGGTATGGAATTTCAATGTGCTGTAGAAAAAAACAAAAATTTCCGCATTTTATTGTTTGGGTTTGCCTAAGTTGAGTTCTTTCTGCTAGATTTTTTTTTATTTATTTTTTGCATACAAATTGCCAAATTGAGTATGCTTAATAATTCTTAGCCTTATAAAAACTCATAAGAATTGCAGAAATTTATATACACTATATCAAGAAAATATTTGCACACAGGAGAAATTGCATATTTTCTCGTTTCTCTTGCAAAAAAATGAATTTTATTACAGACTTTTATTTTATTTCATTATTAACTGGACTTCTTAATTCAAACGCTGTTATTTTTCATAATGTTCGGCTGAAATGGGAATTTCAAAATTGTAACCAAATGGTTATTTTTGGTTTTGAAAAGTTCAAAATGGTTTAAGTTAATGAATCCTGTTAATTTTTGCTTTAACTAGTTTTAAGAACTCAATTTAACAGTATGACAAATAAGAAAAAAAAAACTTAAAATTCAATAAAATATATATATTCTCTCCCAAAGAAAGTGATGAAATATGAATAGTTTCCTGTGTCCAAACACTTTTTTGACAAACTGTATATGTCCATTTATATTTGTATACCCTGTGGTCATGCAAAGAAGACAACAGGCATTTCCAGGGTATATCCCAAGTCTTCATGCTTGATTATCATCGGTGGCGTTGATTAACTTTTGGGCATCATGCATTCTATTGTCAATAAACCAAAACTCTTCTCTATATCTCTATATGAAAACATATTGACATATTGACAATTAAATAGATAATTAAATTACAATATGCAACTGTTGTTGGCTTGGCTTATTGCAGCTTTTGGATATCACCCGTTGGCAAATCGTTGGGCATACGAAGCTCTAGACCTAAGAAAGCGGCAAATGTTCCTATTTTAGAGACGGCATATGCCAAGTCAACTCGATTGGACCACAAGTGGGTGAGTAACTTCTTCCGATTGCATCGGATCGGATCTGTTGTCATTATATGTATGCAGCTGCGGTCAAATAATAATAATAATAGCTCGAAATGTAGCAGAAAAATGTATTTTCAAGTTACAATGCCGAATTAATATAGATAGAAAATCGTGTAATGGCCAAGATATAGCAGTTAGAAATTTGTACTTTTATAAGAAACGCCTAAATATTATCATGTTTTGGATTTGTTGGTAGCTGGCACCGCTGTCCAAACAGGCAGATATGACCGAGCGACAGATCGAGCGGTGGTGGCGTCTGCGTCGTGCCCAGGACAAGCCATCGACACTGGTGAAGTTCTGCGAGAATACATGGCGATGCATCTATTATCTGTACAGCTTTATATTCGGTGTGATTGTGCTGTGGGACAAGCCCTGGTTCTGGGATGTCAAGAGCTGCTGGTATGGCTATCCCCATCAGGTATGATTTTTCTGAATCAAATCTACAAAATATACGCAACTATCTCCCTCTCTCTCTATCTCTCTCTCTCTCTGTGTATAGTCGGTGAGCAATGATATATGGTGGTATTATATGATATCGATGTCCTTCTACTGGTCGCTGACCGCAACGCAATTCTTTGATGTGAAACGCAAGGATTTCTGGCAAATGTTTATACACCATATGGTCACACTGTTGCTAATGTCCCTCAGCTGGGTGTGCAATCTGCATCGCGTTGGCTCCCTGGTGCTCGTCGTCCACGATTGCGCCGACATCTTTTTGGAGGCAGCTAAACTGACCAAATATGCCAACTATCAGAAGCTCTGCGATGCGATATTTGCCATCTTCACCGTCGTCTGGATTGTGACACGCCTCGGCTTCTATCCGCGCATCATTTACAGGTAATTTCATATCCCCTTAATATTTCTCGCTTTAATATTTATCGATTATTATTTACAATCGATTGCTGCAGCTCATCTGTGGAGGCACCTCGCATTTTGCCAATGTTCCCAGCCTATTACATATTCAACTCGCTGCTGTTGATGCTGCTCGTGCTGCACGTTATCTGGACCTATATGATTCTTAAGATTGTTGTCGACTCATTGCAAAAGGGTCTGGTAAGTATTGCCATTCACAATAGTACGTTCATTGACTGAATTGATAGATTGACAGAGAGAGAGAGAAAGGATAGTGAGAGATATGTGGTCGTATTAAGAGAGTTCTTGTGACGTCACAGCAGGACTCAGCGAGTAGAATTTTACAGTAGCAATTCGATTTCGAAATCTACTTCGTATAAGTGAAGCTTCCTGTGATGGATCGTAAACGGAAAACTGTTAGAACCCATATACCAAGATTTAGACTATTTTATTTGCAGCTGCAATATACAAATTATATAGTAATTATATATATATATATTCAAAATATAGAAAGCTTAGCATATATATTCAATTTTATAACTTATTCTAGAAAATATAACAAAAAAAAACACTACACACTAAAAAAGCTGGAATATAAGCAAAGCGAACTTGTTCAAAGGTATAGTAAAACAGCTTAGAAACCAATACATAACGGAAATATGTAAGTAAATGTTGCTGAAGCTATTGCAAAGTCATGTTTGTGCATGAATTATAAGTCTGAAAAGAAGAGCCTTAATAGATAATGAATTACATGCAGAAGAATGCATTTGGGAAGATGTTTCTCATTCACTAGTTCGCTACTGGGTTTCGTTAGCTAATGAGTGTTGGTAAATGTCGGGGAGAAGAGCATATGAGCATCAATTGAAAAACATGAGCAAAAGAAAAAGTTTAACGAATAAATAAATCTTATCTATTGCTGTGCTTTTTTGCAGATGTCCGGTGACATACGCTCCAGTGATAGTGAGGATCTCACAGACAGTTCGGGGAATGTGCGCGTGGCGAACGGATCAACGCGCTCCAAGACAAAATCGGGCAACGGGCCAACAGCGACTTCTGCTTCGGCTGCGGGTGGTGCTGCTGCTAGTGGCGTTACCCAGCGCAAGGGAATCAGCAGCAATGCGAACAATCACAAGGCTGAGGCGGCAACAACGACAGAAGCATCAAAGTAAACTGTTGTGCAGCTGTTGACTGGATTGGTAGAGGTGGCTTCAAAGCAACAGGATTAACAACAATCAACAGCAAAAGCAAAACAGAAAACAAAAAAAAAAAAAAAAAACAACAAAAACCAAACCAGTTCAGAACGTTTTTTATGTTAATTATTTTTTTTATATTTAAAAAAAATTTTATTACTTTTTTTTTTTTATAAAAAAAAGATTTGAATAAATGCGAGCTAAAGAAAATGCTCAATTCGAAATTCAAATAATTTAACACGTGCACAGTAAGCGTGACAATTATTATTTATAGAGTTTTGTGTTAAACCAAAAATAGAGAAAAAAAACTATAAACTAAAACAAAAGTTATTATTTTCTGTAATTTAGGCGAGGGCAGGCAAATGTTATTATAGTTGCCACTGTTGAAGCAACAACAACAAAAACACCAAACAAGTCGGAGTAACAAAAAATACAAATAAATAATACAAAAATAAATAAATAAATAAAAATGATGAATGAACAAAAAACAAAAAGCAAAAACAATTCAACTTTAAATTCGCTACGAATTCGCTTAGACAACAGAATATAACAAATTTAAACGAATAATAAATACAAATACATTCAACTGCTATTGTAAATATTTTAACTGTACGTTTTCCCAAATAAATAAATGTATGTATGCCAAGTAATAAACAAACAACAATGGATCTTTCCCCAATATATGATATAATATATGCATGAGCATGTTGTAGACAGAGAAAGAGAGAGAGAGAGAGATGGAGACACTAACACAATTCTTCGTGGTATTACTACAAATATACTAATAATAATAGTAATGATATATTGGTTATCGATTTTAGATACATATTTCGATCGTAAAACACTTTTCTTTCCTATCATTCAAATTTGATGTTGATTTCATTTTGAGCACACACACTTCATGCGTCATTATGCGGCGTGTCTGCGGCATTGCCACAGTTGCAGTTACCGGCGCAGTAAGCGTCTGTTGGCGACCTTTGACTTTGACAAGACAATAATTGAGGTGGACTCGTACAAGGCGCTCAGTCATCTGCTGGCGCCGGAGCAGCGCACCGATCAGTTGCAGGTGCTCATTCACAAGTCCGGCTGGATTGTGTATATACGGCGCGTGTTGCAACTGTTGCAGCATCGCCGCTTGAGTGCAGTACAAATTGGTCAATTTGTTCGCCAGTTGCCGGCTGTGCCGGGCATGTTGCAACTGATGCGTCGCATCGGTACGCAATCCAGCACACAAATGTGCATAGTGAGCGATGCGAATCACTATTTCATTGGGCAGTGGCTGGCGGCGCACGGCTTAGCGGAAATATTCGATGCCATTTATACGAATCCGGCCGTTGTGCAGCCGGATGGGAGCCTGCTAGTCGAGCCGTATGAGCAGCAGACGCACTGCGACCAGTGTCCGCAGAATCTGTGCAAAGGCGGTGTGATGACCAGGCTAATGAATGACCCGACTGCACAATACAAACGCATCATTTATGTGGGCGATAGCTGCAATGATCTGTGCGCCATTCGCTGTCTGCGGACGCAGGACATCGCCTGCATTAGGCAATGGGAGGAGCTGCATGGGAAGCTGGCGGCTCATCGGGATGAGTTGAGCTGCTTGGTGATCCATTGGCGCGATGGCCATGACCTCGAAGAGCAGCTATTCGCTAATTGCAATTCGTATTTGTAGAAAATATATAAAAATAAATTTGATGATAAGGCAAAATTATTAATGCTGCTGTTTTATTTCGACTTAAAAATATGTTTCTTTTCGTGTTTCGTCTGTTGTATGTATATACAGTGTCTCCCAGCTTATTTCAGCAGTGTCTAGCAAAAATTTTAAAGTGCTATAAAGTTTAAACAAAGAAACAAACGCAAAATGTTTAAATGCCAATTTGTTTTATGTTATATCACGTTTGAAAAGGAAACTTCAGTTTTTACTAAAATATAAATTAATTAACTAAAATTAGTAAAAAACTGAAAACATATCCAAAATACAAGTCAAAGGTTATTTCGAAAATTCTTAAAAAAGTTACATATTTGCCGTATAAAAACTTAAAAAAAGATGTTAATACTTAGGATGATATTCCTTAGCCTTAATAACTTCCCTTAACCCTTATTCATGGAAAATACCAGCTTCCGGGTAGTTTCTGGACTGATTATGCTCCACTCATCCAGCAGAGCATTTTTGAGATCGGATCTGTGATTCCGGATGTTATTTTCCAGCAGAGCCCACAAATTTTAAATAACATTTAAATCTGGAGACTGGGCCTGTGGAATTATCATGTGGGGGCAGTTCCAGATAAGCCAGGAGTGTACTAATCCGGACTTTTGCTTGGCTGTTGTCCTGGTCGTTGTCATGGTAGAAAGTACGTCGGATTTCTAGCTTCTTGGCACTTTGGAATCAATTTTCCTTTAATATACTGAAATACACACTCTTGTCCATTGTTGTTTCAAAAAACACCAAATTTCCGACGCCGACTTCCGAGATAGATGCCCATACCATGACACTTCCTCCGTCGTGCTTGACTGTTGCTTTTAGGATTTTGGGATTCAGCTCAGTATTGGACTGTCGCCACACATAATTCCGTCCGTCTGAGCCAAAAATGTTGAACTTAGGCTCATCTTCAAATATGAATGTGTTCCAGAACCAAATGGACAAGCCAAGTGGGTTTTGACGAATGTCATCCTAGTCCCTTTATTTTTTGCGCTTATAAAGGGCTTCTTCCGTGGTACTCGGGCATTAAAGTCATGGTTGCGCAGAACCCGGCGCACAGTATCCACACTGCACTTTTTCCCCATTTCGTCCTCCGTTCCGTTGTTCAATGGTAGTCCGCTTGCCCATAGTCCTTTTTGGCTGGTTGCACCCGAGATGCAGGATATAACTAAACTGACTACGAAGGATAATTATTTTATGGCAGGCAATTAAAATTTTTGCTAGACACTGCTGAAATAAGCTGGGAGACACTGTATATATATATATATATATATATATTATGTATACGTATATATATATATTTATAATAATTCACTTATTAAGGACTAATTGCATAAAATTCAATGGAAAATTAGATTTTTACCAAGTGCAGCCAAACAACTGCTGCGATTTGTTGTTGGTTTTTTTTTTAAGTAGACGATTTTTTGTTATTTAGTTGATTAACCGTTAAATTCTTAGCGTAAGCGTTGCCACCTTTTTTCTGCTTACATTTTTAAGAATTGTTCTTTTTGTTTTTTTTTTACCTAATTCACACAATATTTGTTGTTAATTCATTTTGTTGCTTGTGCCTAACTTTTTCTTTTTGTTTTTAATATATAAATATATATATATATATGTATGTGTGTGTATATGTACCTGTGTGTGTGTGTGTGTGTGTACGTTAGCATAAATTACATGTATAATACAATTTGAAGCTTAATTAAATAGTAAATGTTGTGGCTGTTGTTCTCTTATCGTACAACAAAAGAAGCTAGCACAAAGCAGCTGCCGCCCAACAACAAAAAAACATCCAGCACACTACTTATATATACACACACATGCATATGTACGTACATATATACATACATACATACGTGTACATACATACATATGCATTTGCATTTTGCGCTTAGCTAATTTACATGGCTAAACTTACTGATTACAAAATAGTATTACAAGTACATACACAATCATTTTTTGATAATCAAAAAAAAAAAGAAACGAAAATTAATAATAATAAAAATAAATCGATTTCAGCTTAATTAGCGCAATTCATTTATTACATAATCTTTATTTTATTTATATTATTATTCGTATTGTACAAGTGTTTAGGCTAAGGACATACATACATACATTAAATGATATTTGAATATTTCGATGAAACACACACTTAAGCAAAAAAAAAAACACGGTGTGTGTGTGGGTGTGTTTGTGTGGGTGTGGTTGTGTTTGTGTGTTGGATGGGGAACAGAGTGTGAGAGACAGAGACGACAGTGTTATTAATTACAAACATATACAGTACACAGCGTCTGCAACGGTAAAAACATGTGTCGACAGCTGATGCAAAAAAAAATGGCATATTGTCAAACGTTAAAACGGACACAAAAAAAGTGTGGACAAACCAAAAATTTAACTATAATGGAGCTAATGAAAGTGAATGTGTGTGTGTGTGTGTATTGTAGCTTAGATGCTAATATCAACAATTCAATTTAGGCGCAGAAGCGTACATCGATTTTGTTGTCTGTTGATCATTTGTTGTTGTTGTTTGTTGGTTTTGTTGTTGTTGTCATGTCATATACGTTTAATTCGTAATATAATTTTGGCAGAATCTTGCAATTCTTGCCTGCTTAAGTAACATTATTTTAAGCATAAGTTATATTTATGAATATAAAACCATTGGACAAAAAAAAAAAAAAAATACAATAATAGTAATAATAATAATAATAATGTTTAGTTATTAACATACGCCAAACCGCCGCATACATATACAATAGCTTTTTGTGTTTTAGTTTTTAATATATTTTTGCTTGTTAATACTATGCACGTGTGTGTTTGTGTGTGTGTGTGTGTGTGTGTTTGTATTGGTGCTGTGATAGGAAGTGGGCTGGGCGGGAGCCGGTATGTGTTGCAGGGGGGCTTGGGGCAGATTTTGCTGCTGTTGCCGTAGCTACTGCATCTGCTGCTGTTGCTGCTGCTGCAGAAGCTTTTGCTGCTACTGGTGCTGTTGCTGCTGCTGCTGTTGCTGCCGCGTCCCGCGCTTACTACAAGTCCGTTAAAGTGCGCTTGGCACAATAACGTATAACCCCCACTCAGGCAACAACCGGCGGCGGTGCTATGCCAATTGTTGTTGCTGTTGTTGAAGCTGCTGCTGTTGTTGTTGTTGTTGCTGCTGCTGTTGTTGCCTGTGTTATTATTGTTGTTGTTGCTGCTGCTGAGTTGTTGTAATTGTTAGCTGCAGCAGCATCCTCATTGCTGTTACGATTAAAGCTGCTGCACTGCATCGTTGCCATATCCGGATGACTTTTATTGATGCCGACTGGCATCCGTTTTCCAGAGTTGCTGCTGTTGTTGTTGTTGTACGGCATTGTTGCACCGCCCGTTGCATTCGCCGCCTCAGCTGCAAGCGGTGGCGCCATTAAAATTGCACCACTGCCATTGGCACTGCTACTATTGCCACTACTGCTACTGCTGCATGACTTTGGACTGAGTGCAGGTGTTGCTGCCGCCGCTGTTGTTGTGGTTGTTGTAGTAGTTGTGCATCTGTCGCCACCATTGATGGAATAATGCAGCGATGATGACGACGACGCTGAGGTCAACTGCAACTGGACTGATGCGGCTTGAGATGCTGGCGACGATTGCGTACAGGCAGCGGCATTGCTGCTGCTGTTGTTGCTGCTGCTGCTGCTGCAGCTGCTGCTGCTGGGCGTTCTTGGTGGCGTTTGGCGCTTGGCGGGCTTGGCACGGGCACAGGGCACACAGAGCATGGTGCAGTGTTCGCGCAGTTGGGTTATATGATCGATGCGATACTCGTTCATCCACTTGACCTTTTTGTGCTTGACCGGCGGCTTGACGATTGTCTTGTCGCTGATGTTGCCGTTACCGTTGCTTCCGCCACTGGGCGATAACAGAAACATTGATGCCGATTGCAATTGCAGCGCTGCCGTCTGTGGCAGTCCCTCTGGACGTGTGGCGCCGCAGCGCATACAAATCGAGCAACGCTCGCAACTCCAGCGACCTATGGATATATATTTTATAAACTATAAATTAATTATAAATTAAGGTACACCTCACCTTCGGGCACAGTTTTGACACCGAGGCAGTAGATGTGATAGCCGCGATCGCATTGCTCACAGTAGAGCATCTTGCCCGGCTGTTGGCTGCTGCGACACTTGATGCAACATTTGCATTCGGCACACTGCCAATTGTAGTTCCGCACCCGTCCAACCATTCGTTGCGGCATCTCAATGCAACTGGGATGCACTGCAAAGCAAAGCAAAACAATTTCCCTTATTAAATATCAACTCAAGCAAAATAACAAAATGAACCAAATTAGTGTTGCCAAATTGCACAATATTGAAATTCACCGTAGTTTGTTCATTCAACACTTCGTGCAATCTGGCAACATTAGCTGAGGTGAATTTACCACAAATGATTCTTATGCATTATGCAACGCGAATTCACCTCAATTGCACACTTACCTCTGCGCCGGCAGCTATAGCAGCGTATATAAGCCTCGGGCATATTTCTCGCATTGCGATGCTGACTACGGCGACAGACGCCGCAATTGGACGACAGTCTGGCATCCTGCTGTTCTCGCTTCTGCAGCTCAGCCTCGCTGTTGGAATTCATTGAACTGCTGCTGCCACTGCTGCTTCTGCTGGCGCTGCTGCTGCTGCAGCTGCTATCGCTGTCGCTGTCACCATCGCTATCCTATATAAATAAAAAAAAAATGTTAGCTTTGCGTTTGCATGTGTTGTTTTCATACATTGATATCGAAGGTAAAATAGTATATTGGTTTTGTACATGCTGTCTGTATAGATGTAGACTTAAAACATGGAATATATACTGGTCTGTGCCCGTGTCAGACAAAGTGTAGAAAATTTTAGTAATTCGAGGCTATGAAATCGATTAAGGTCGATCTTCCACAATTCAAAGGGCGTAATTTAGGAGCTACAAGTTACCAAACTTTGGAAAGAAGGTTACGAAGGAAGCCCTTCCAAAATCCGTCCAGTCCCGCCCAGTCCCGCAAAGTTAACAAAAGCCTATATTTACCACAATCTTATAGGGAAACTCAGACGGTAAATTACTAAAAATCTCCTTCGAAGATCGATATTTCTTGGAAACATATTATAAGCTGATATTACTTATTCTATAAAAGGATTTCACAGTCGGATACACCCGACTGCAACGGTATCTCCTGTTTTTTTTTTAATTGAAATGCTTACAGAATCACTGCTGCTGGCGTCGCTGCTGCTGCTGGCGCTGGAGTACCCGCCAGCACACATTTTGGCCGGATCATTGCTGTTGCGCATGGGCTGCTGTCGCACACGCGGATGACGTCGCAACGCCAACGAGGTATCCAACAATTTTGATGATGGCGGCTGCTGTTGCTGTTGTTGCGACTGTTGCTGCTGCTCCTCCTTAACAACAGCAGCAGCAGCATCGAGTTGCTGTCGCACACGCTGCTGACGTCGCAACGCCAGCGCCGTCGACAACAACTTCGATGATGGCCGTGGCTGTTGCAGCTGCTCCTCCTTAATAGCAGCAGCAGCGGCATCGAGTTGCAGCGCTGTTAGCTTCTTCTGCGGCTTCTCCAGCGCTGTGTTTAGCGGATATGCTCTGCAAAATCAAATGGAATAAAATTTTAATTGTATTTCGGTTATGTTTTTGATTAATTATTATTTGCAACGGAACTTACCTCAGCTGGGCGGGCGTTAGCTGTCGATAGTTGGACGCAAATTGGCCGGGCACCAGAGCCAGCGGATAAGCATAATCTAGACGCTGATAGGCGGCATCAAAGGTGCGCGGTGCCAGTAGAAATGGTGGCGCCGGCATATCCTCAGCCAGCGCCGCCATTCGCACCGTATTCGCGATGGAGCGATGCAAAAGTGTTGAACTGGGCGCTTCTCGTGCCACCGGCAAATTCATTGTGAACGTTTGCAGATCCAAGCACGCCAAACGCTCCTCCTTGCGACTGTCGAGAAATAAGAAACAGAAGAACACAAGCTGATGTGAAACAGAACTGATTTGGCATCTATGAGGCCAATAACATGCTGGTGGCAAGCAGCATGATGCATTACTGCCTTTTTTTTAGTTCATGTTGATGACTAAATTTAACTGATTTTCATCATTCCAGTGAAATGTGTGATTTCCTTCTGTGCACTCTCTGCTCCGTACCAGGCCTAATAATTAACTTTAGGAACTTAACTAGAACTTTCTACTAACTTACTTTATACCCAATATCGCTTTAAGGCCAGTTATGAGACCGTTCAATTGATGTAGCTATGCAATTGTTAATTTAAATTTTAAATTTTATTCCTTGATCTTCAAACTAACACTAACACAGAATGGGAGATAATTCTCAAGCACTGTTTGCCATGTCCTTGGCCTATTTAATATCATTTGATAGCTCAGTTTGTCAGTCTTTAATCAAATCTTAACTTTTGAAAACAAAAAATCAGTAGAGAAATTAAATTTGTCTTCATTTTATGCAACTCGCACCTAAATGTGCCAAACAATTTGAGTCTGCACTGAGATTTCCTACTTGCAAATGTATTCATTTATTATATGTTGTATTTATTGTCACTTGTATCTATTGACACTTCACACCTAGTTTATTCTCCCAAAAGGAACCAGACTAGGATACATTAAATACAGGTAGTAAAAACTTTGCTTCCACTTACGTCTTGTTAAAGTAGCCGTTCCATTTGCTGGTGGAGAGCATTGCGCGATCACGCGCTTGCAGGCCACGCCCATTGCCAACGGTGAGTCCGAGCGCCTTCTGCTTGGCCTCGATGTCGCGCAGATGCTTTTGGCGTATGTACTCCTTGTACTCCTCGTACTTCTCATGGAAATCGGTATACATGATGTCCAGTATGTCCGATGCCCAAACGGCTGTTATGCCCAAATCGCACATTTTCTCGCTGACCAATCCCTTCTCCTGCAGCCAGTTGCGCTCCTCCATGTCAACGGCGCGACGCGGCAAATCCGGGTATTTACGCTTGAAACTCGTAATGCCCAAATAGAGTGCAACCTGCTCCTGGATCATGAACGTATCGCGATTCTTTGACGGACAACAGCCTTTGGGCGGTGGCCAATCATATTCCGCTATGGTCGCCGCATTAAAGTCCGTGCTGCAAAAGCGAAAGTTGTGTTAGAGGACAGAGCGAAAGAAATAGCGAGATAAAGATAGAGAGAGAGAGAGAGAGAGAGAGAGAGAGGGGGGAAACTTACTCTTCGGCCACACAAATCTCCATTTTCTTCTTCTTTGGACGTTTGAGCGCCGAACCGATTATGGCATCCACAGATGATTGACCCTGATTTGAGTCCATTAAACTGATGCTGCTCTGCATCGAAGATTGCGACTCCTCGTTGTTAAGGAAGTCCGGTTGCCTATGTTATAATTTTTGTGATTTTAAATACCACTCACAGCAAAAACAAAAAATATAACTCACTTTTGTGGCGTCAGTGGGGGCTCCATGCTGGTCACCGATTGATTGCTGTTGTTCAGATCGGCACTCATGCGTGTGTCCTCCTCAATACCTGGGGTGACTGCAATAACAACAACAACCACACACATTATTTTTATTATAATACTAATTGTAAATTTAAATTTGAATTTATGCATTCATTTTGTTAGCCGGCAGCGCCAGCGTCCTAATTAGTTAAGAGAGGTTGGTTGAGCGAGAGCAGAGTATTCGAAAGAGAGCACAGCGCAACAAATTAAGAGAGCGCTGTGTAACAGCATTGCCAGCATGCAAGAAAAAAAAATATACACAAAAAAAGAAATTCAACTGTGGGGAACCCGCCAGCCAAAAAAGAGCACATGCGACGCTCTCTCTCTCTCTTTCTCTCTCTGCCAAAGAGCAGCGACGCAGCAGGTGTGGTGAAGATGGCTTGGAGCGTCGCTGCCTACAGACGCAGCACTAATGAGAGCGTGAGCAAAAAAAAACAAGTACGACAATATTCAGCTGATTAAAATTACAGGTGAAGAGACAACGACGACAAAGCAAAAGCAAAGTGCTGCTGCGCTGCGCTGCACTGCCGCTGCTACTGCTGACTGCGGTGTCGCGTGCTGTTGTTCTTGTTGTTATTGTTATTGCTATTGTTGCAATCGTATGCGTTTTTGGTAGCTGTTGGCAATGAATGCAGCCAGCGCGCGCACGCCTCTGATTTTAATTACGACACAACACTGTTGTACTAGCTATGTATGCATGTATGCGTAATTTGCATGCCTGTGTGTGTGTGTGTGTATGTGGGCGGGAGTGTGTGGGTGTGTGTGTGTAGCTGGTTGCTTTTGCTTGTGCTTGTGAGCAACATTTACGTAACAAAACATAAACAAGTTGCAGTAGTAAATACAGTGGAGGAAAATACAAAAACAAAAAAAAAAACAATTAATGCACACAAAGAAGAGCAAAATTAACTTACAATACAAGAGCACACACACACACACACACACACACACACACGTGCACGCGCCATAGAGCAGACAGCGCGGCATCCTTTGAATGAATCATAGCAATAAGCAGAGAAAGAGAAAAGCTTTCAACGCCGACGAGTGATTACTCTATGCGGCAAAATTAATAATACTAATAATAATAATGATCATTTTAATAGTATTACGAATAATAATATTAAAACAAATAATTATAGTTGGGCTTAGCATCCAAAAATATGCATAGCTCTAATAATTATTATTATATAAACGAGAAAATGTGTGCAACAAGGCGAACAAGTTCTATAAATAAACCAACCAACAACAAATCAAAAACAATCACATTTCCAACCGTACCAGTTTTGGAGAAAAGGTATACATTTATATTATTTTTATAGATTATAGACTTACCGGACTGAAGAAACCCTTGATGCGATCCGGATCGGGCTGATGCTTGAGTCCGCCAACGCAACGTGGCCGACTGAGGGCAATGGCTTTAGCAACGGCGCTGGCACCGCGACTCATACGTGGCACACGTGGCTGCGCCGAATTGGCATTGTTGCTGCCGGTACGCGATGAGCCGCCGGCGCCGCCTCTGGAGCCGCGACCACGTCCCCGGCCACGTGTCGGAACTGTGGGCACCACCGTTGGACTGCTGCCGGCAAAGGCGCCCAAAATGCTGTTGTTGTTGGCCTGCTGCGAGGATTCATCTGTAATCGAAACGTAGGCATTGGTTAAGCGAATGATTTGACTGACTGATGATTGATTGTTGATTGATATAATACTTACCGCCCGAGTTGTCCAGCAGTGTGCTGTAGTTATCCTCGTCATGGGAGTCATGCTGGCTGCCACCGCTGATGCTGTTGGTATTGCTATTGTTGCTGTTGCTGTTGTTGTTGTTGCGCAGCTGCTGTGTGGCCATAATCGATGAGAAATCATTGGGCTGAAATATGACATCCGGCAGCGGATCCGATGACGATAATATGCTTGTTGGCGGCAGCATTGAGCATGTGCTGCCAATCGATGCAGATGTTGCGTCTGCCCCTGCCGCCGCCGCCGCCGTTGCAGCAACAGTAGCTGTTGCTGTTGTCGCGCTGCCATTGCTTGTAGATGAGGAGGATGAGCACATGGTCAGATCGATCTGTGCTGCCAGAGCATAGGCCATGCTATTGTTGTTGTTGCTGCTGCTGTTGTTGTTGTTATTGTTGTTATTATTATTGCTGCCGCTGCTGCTGGTGTTGTTGCTCTCCGCATCGTTGGCAGCGCCATCGAAATGATACAAAAACACAGCCGCATCCCGGTCAGCTTTAGCAGCAGCAGCCACAGCCGTTAAAGTTGCAGCTACCGCAGCAGCGGCTGCGGCTGCAGCTGCTGCAGCAGCAGCAGCTTTGCTTTGACGTTTGCTAGTTTTTTTTGCTGGTGTTGCCACCGTTGGCGTTGCTGCACTGCGTCGTGTGGCACGCATCGGCCGCTGCTCGTTGCGTCGCGGCGTTGTTGCTGCTGGTGTTCCGCTTGTTGCTGCTGGTGTTGCGAGCGCTGCCATCAGCTCCGTGGCATCCATTTGATGCATAGACGGCATCAGGTCGTTTGTCCGTGCCGCCGACACCGCCGCCGGTATTAACAGATCCGGCTGTTCCGCACTAACCATATCGATGGCCAGCCGCTTGCGCAGCAACTGCACCCGTCGCGACTTCACCGCACTTTCCACCTTGGCATCGTGCCGCTCTGCTGTTGTTGGTGTCGCTGGTGATATTGCTGATCCTGCTGCTGTTGCTGCTGGCGTTGTTGTCTCATTTGCATTGCGTTTGGGGCGTCCACGCCGTTTGCCACTGCCACCTACTGACAGCCCCAATTCAGCGACAAGGACGCCCCGCTGCTTTGCCGCGAAGGCTGCTACGGATGCTGCTACTGTTGTTGTTGTTGCTGCTGTTGCTGATGAATCCACCAATTCCTCGTCGTCTAGCAGCAATGTGCCATTGTTGAGCGCTTGCTCCACATGCAGCAACTGCAGATGCTTCTGTTGCTGCTGATGAAGTTGTTGCTGTTGCGGCTCCTCCAGCTCTGTGTTGAGTATTCGCTCGTGTTTCTGTTTGCGGCTGCGATGCGTTGGCTGCTGTTGTTGTTGTGGCGTTGTTGCAGCTGCTGCTGCTGCTGCAACAGCAGCTGTTGCTGCCGTGTCATTGCTGCTGCAATTGTGCGTCTGCTGATCATTTTCATTGTTGTCCGTTCGCCGCTGTTTATTCGGCGGCAACTGCAATACACATAGCAATGCAAAATGATTAATCTTAGTTCAAGTTATGCTCTTATTTAAAGTTCAACTCGTCTTGAACCAAATTTACTTAAAATTACCATTTCTTTGCTGTGTAACTAGTCTTCTGACTGAATAAATAAATTTGTAAGTAATCAATTGTAAAATAAATCCTTAATAAATATTTCTTTTTGATTGACATAATTTTCATTTCATACAAATACTGATCAATCGAACTATCGTTATCATTATCGTTCCTATATGATATATTGTTCCTATATGGCATTGTAACTACATGGAATCGGCTGGATCAAGAATATAAGATAATATATTTGCTATAGAATCGAATTCGTTTTCCAAGTACCCCGACAGAGTTTGACACTTTTATTGTAATTTAAATTTTTTTTTTTTTTTTTTGTTAATCATCGAAAGGATTAAGAGCTATATTTAAAGATAAATAGCTATATCACTGAAGCCCCAAATTGAATGCAAGGATTACTTACGCCACTGGGAGATTCTGCCTCGGTTTGTAGGTGTTGCTGATGATGGTGTTGCTGCTGTCGCTTCAAGTGAATCTCATCGGTTTTGAGTTGCTGCTGCTGATGCGATTGTTGCTGATTGTCTAGCTTGTGATTTAAATTTAGATTCAGATTATGATTAATATGGTTGACATGATTGCTCAGCGGTGCTGGTGGTTGTTGCTGTTGTTGTATTGGCGGCAGCGTCGTTGCTGTCTCCGACTCGTAGGCACTTTGCATATGGGGCATCATCATCAGCTGTGAATGTGTATGCGGATGCGGATGTGGATGTGGACTGCCCTCGGGCGTATCCAGTATCTCAATGGAATCGATAATGGGCTCTGTTGTGGCTGCTGTGACGATGCTTGTTGTTGTTGTTGTTGATGCTGCTGCTGCTGTTGCAGCTCCATTCGCCATTAGGCGTTCAGTTAGCTGTGGATATTTTGCAGCAGTTGTCAAATTGCTGCTGCTGCTGCTGTTGTTGTTGCTGCTGCTGCTGAAACTTTTCGGCGGCGCCGTTAGCTGACTGAGCAATATATTGGAGTTGGGCGAGGCGGGATTGCTGCTGTTGCTGCTGCTATTATTGCGCAGACATTCAAGCAATAAATTTTGCGATTGCGCTGCGGACAAGCTGCGATTTGTTGCTGTTGCTGCTACTGATGATGCTGTTGTTGTTGCTGCTGCGGCTGCCGTTGCTTCTGTTGCATAGTTGCTGTTGACGGCGTGCGCTGGCGAGGAACCCGGCGAGGGCGATGAAGTCAGATCGACCGTATCAACAATATTGTGCTGCTGCTGCTGCTGCTGTGCAACAATGCCATTGCTATTGCTGCTGCTGCTGCTACTCGTTGCTGGCGGTAAATTGTGAAAGATTTTTGGATCATGCTCCTTGGATAAGGCATCATCAATGTCCATATCATCGGAATTGCGACGCAGCTCATCCGTATCGCTATCCACTGTGGCCGCTGCTGCAGCTGTGGCTGCTGTTGCATCTGGATAGTCGCTGTTGTCGCCACCATTGGTCAGCGTCAGCTTGGACGTCAGCACCTTCTCCTCAAGCACAGCGCGTACCTTGTGCTTGGGCGAACATAGATTCTTAATGGTCAGCTTGAGCATCGGCTGCTGCTGTTGTTGCTGCTGCTCGCTGCAGTTGCTCGATTTGATAGTTAGCTTGGGCACCTGCTGCTGCTGCTGTTGTTGCTCCTGTTGCTGCTGCTGCTGCAGCTCATCTTCCAGCTCAATGGACTTGGTCTTGATGGTCAGTTTGGGAATACTTTGTGCATTCCTCGTGTCGAGCGTCATGATAACCGTATGCTGTGCCTGCTGCTGCTGCTGTTGATGCTCTTGATTGCCACCCGTTTTTATGGTTAACTTTGGTATTTGTTGCTGCTGCTGTTGATGTTGCTCCTGGCTGCTGCTGCTGCTGATGCAACTGCTGCCCGCCTGCGTTGTTTTAATCATCAGCTTGGGCACGGTGGGCGGCATCGCGACCGGCTGTTCACAGCCAGATGAGGAGGAGTAGGAGGAGCTGCTGCTGCTGCTGGCGGAGGAGCTGGGTGCCGATGCCAGCGATAAACTGCAGCTAATTAACTGCGTCTCACCACCGCTGCCATCCAATTTGGTCGTCTTAATGGTCAGCTTGGGCAGGGCTGGGCTACCAGTGCCGCTACCGCCTGCCGCCATACTCGACTTTAATGGACTGATACAATTGTTAGCTTCTCCGCCACCTCCACCTCCACCAGCATCGGGCATTTTAATTATGAGCTTGGGCACCACACTGCTGACACGCTCCTCGTTAGCTGCGCGTATCGTTAGCTTGGGCACAATGTGCGGCAGCTGCTCGTCATCGGCACACGACGAAGACGAACACGATGATGAGGATGCATCCGAATTGACGGCGGCAGCAACATCTTGTGATTTTATCGGTCTTATTGTTAGCTTCGGCACCACTGCTGCTGCCGCCGCCTGCTGCTGACCCATTTGGCTAGCTGTGGCTGCAACAGCTGCCGCTGCTGCTGTTGTTGTCGTTGATGCTGTTGTTGTTGGCAACTGTGTGGACAATTGTATGCGCAGCGGTTCAACGCGTCGCTCATCGTTGCCCGTTAGAGATTCGCTTGTATTGCTGGCCGTGTTGTGCTTGGACAGCTTTAGGATCAGCTTATGGCTACTACTGCTGCCGCCCTTTGCTCCTCCTACTACGGCGCTGCTGCTGTTGTTGCTGCTACTGCTGCTGCTGCTATTACTGTTACTATTGCTGCTGTTGTTCTTCTCCTCTCCATTAACATCTATCGATGTGGCGACCATTGTTGCTGCTGTGCTGCTACTGCTGCTGCTGCTGTTGTTGTTGCTGCTGGGGCTATTTGGCAGCTGCGCATCGTCGCGCAGTCTATGCTGCGGCGGCGATGCTGTGGTGCTGGTTATTTGACCCACAGGATGCAACAGTTGCTGTTGTTGATGTTGCTGCTGCTGATGTTGTTGTTGCTGCTGGTGCTGCTGTTGATAGTGGCGATGTGTTGCTGCTGCTGTTGTCGACACATTCAATTGTTGTCGTTGCTGTTGCTGCTGTGCCGGCGATGATGTGGAGCTGCTCACTATCTGCTGCTCCTCGTCCTCCTCCTCCTGTTGTTGCTGCTGCCGCTGATTGCTGCTGCTGATGCTGCTGCTGATGCTGCTGTTGTTGTTGCTTGTCGTTGCCGTCGTCGTTGTCGTTATGACTGCCTTACCGTTCGAACCGATGCTCGAATTCGAATTGGAACTGGAACGCGGACTGACGCTGGCGCTTGAGCTGTTGCTGTTGTTACTGCTGCTGCTGCTTGTGGAGCTGCTATTGGAGCAGAGTGGTGCTGCTGCCAGGCTGACTGAGGATGATGTAGCTGCTACCTGTACCTGTACCTGCTGCTGGCGTAAATCATTCATTGCTTTATTCCTTTATCTCCACCAAACCAAACGCAGTTACTGCTGCTACCTGCAAAACGATAAAATTTAATTCTTGTTAATCATTTTAAATATATATATTTTTTTATTACTTATAATTAATCGATTTACAATCGATGGTTTTGTCTCATTTCTCAAGATTTAACACTGAGTTAGTCCAACTAGAAAATGCACTTATTCGTTTGAAAAATTGATTGCTTTTCAAATTTGTCAACATTCACATGAATTTATTTTATAATAACACACACAAATTATAAGCATTTGAATGTGTTGAAAATATGTAAAAGATCAATACAACATTCCGATTACTAATGTCAACAACAGAAAATATCGATACTGCGCTCGATACCTTAACTTAAGAATACATTGAATAAATCTTCTTAGTCTAACCGTCAAACCTAGTGCATCACTTTTTGCCGCTTTAAAAACGCAACAGAATGAAATGAAAATGCCCATTGGGAGTCAGAGCTGGATCAGCTGGATACCTTGTTGCATTTGCAGCATTTGGTGGCGAGCACAACACAAAAATTCAGCTGAGAAAACTAAAAAACCAGAAACTCTGAGAACAGCATACAGCAGCCAGGAGAAATGCATGGTTTTAATTCAAGAAGATTTTGATATGTGGAAGAGGGAAAGTGATTGTCTTTTCTCGTCCGCATGCATCTGTCTCTTTCTCTCTCTCTCGCTCTCTTCCTCTCTCTCGCTCTCTTTTTGAGCGCGGGCGGAGTTTATACAAATAAATATATATATATAAGTGCAGCAGCAACGCGCTCGCTTGACGCCAAATGCTAAGAGCGAACTCAGTTTACACTAACACTCACACTTACACACACTCACATGCAGCATATGTGGTGTATATGTTTTATATATGCAAGCGACGCAAAGCAACAAAATTGCTCCTTGTATACATTCTTTTTTTTTATACTGCTGAGAAGGGTCTCAATCGGAATCTCAATAATCCATACAATAATTTAAATAAACTATGCTGTCGTTGTTCTCTTACTTTGTCGTTCTCTCTCTCTTTCGTTGTCAGTGCCTGAGTGCATCTGCATCGCTATTGAAAAAGAGCCCGTGATTAGAAGCAATTACATACATATATACATACGCAAGATAATTAACTCTAGCCAAGTATGCGTAGTATTGGTTTGTTTTCGTTTTACAAAAACAATCATTTTGTAAAAGTAAGCAAAGATTTCAATGCCAATGACAATTACAAGCCGGCAAGGCAAGAGAGACAAGCATAACGCATTTTATCTTTTGTATTATTTATTTATTTAAAAATTAGCCAAGCCAATTTAATTATATATTTTGTTTATTTCAGGGAATATTTTGGTCTGAGAAATGCCCCGTAAACAGTAACGCACCCTAATAGGGGGGATGGGGAGCAATAGCAAGGTTTGCTAATATGTACGTTGTTAGTTAATAATAATACGCTCGGTTAGCGGCGTGGAAACATGCGCGGCACACAGCTGTCTTTTGTCGGCGGGCAGAAATTGAGAAAACCGCGCCACATTGGTACGCACTACTACAGCAACAGCGACGCCAACAACAATGACAACGACGACGGCGACTGCGACGTGGTGTATGTGTTGGCAACACTGCCAAATTCACCAGGGGCCCGAGCTTAAAAATTCACCACAGACACACACACACATACATGCACAGACAAGCGCGCGCTCATACACACACACACACACGCACCAACACCAGCATAAAAGGCAATCGCCCGTGCCGCTGCATGGAGAAAAATACATATGTACTTATGCACAATGTACACACACACACACATATAGCTATATACATTTTTATATGCATCTGCATTGGTGAGGAGCCCCCCGCGCAACTAACGGCGACAGCAACTATATATTAACAACAGCCGCTAAGGCAACAACAAATACAAAGAGTGCAAATAAAAAATAAAATACCAGCGAAAGAAAAAAAAAAAAGAAGAAGAAAATAACAGAAAAACGATGCTACATAGCAAAAGACGCCGAAAACTGACCCAACAACAACAGCAGGCTAGCTGGCTGGCAGGCAGAGAGGCAGGCAGGCAATAAACTCACCATGCGGCAAATCGTCAGACAAAAGAAGATGGAGGAGTAGAAGTTGAGCGCCTTCTCTTTGCATGCAATTCGCGTGTGTAATTGTGTGCGCGTGTCTTTGTCGGTGTGTTAAGACATAAAACATGTTTTGTTTTTATTTGCACACTTTGTAAACATTTCGTTGCACTTTTTCGTACAATTTATTTAATATACAAGAAAAAACATTGACTGAGACGACTGCTGTGGTCGTCGGTACAAATTATCCGTACTTGTACTCGTCTCGCACACACACACATACACACACGCAAGCACACACATACACACACGCAAGCACACACACTCTACACACACACACCATACACAGAACCATACACACTACACACACACACATACACAGAGTACACATACATCTTCAAGCGCAGCGCTCGGTTGTCCCACTTTCCGTGTATTGGTTTCGTACACTTTTCCACGCACTTTTAACGATTGAGCAGCAGCAGAAGACGACGACGCATAAATTTGTTATAAAAATAATTGGTAATTGTTAATTATTTAACTTGTCGAATCAACATACGCAAACTGATTCGGCGCGCACCTATCGTTTTAACAATTCATTATTAAATGTATGCCCTGCTCGCTGTCTGCCAGTGTTTTTTTCTTTTTCGCTTGGAATATAACACTACCGTACTCGTCACGACGAAATGGAAATGAAAATGCAGGGATGCTTATATTATATCGATACATCGATATCTCGCTGCTACGAATATACGATTTGACGATATTTGGTATGCTATTACAGCTAACTAACAATCTAATGTAGGCTCAAAGAAGTGCAAATAATAGTAAAAGTAAAGTTTACCCATATATTGTTCCTGTGAGATATTACTTAATATTGCATTTATTTATTTGCTGTAAAACGAATCGAAAAAAACCATCGAAACAACGAACAGCGCGCACATCCGCTATTAATAATACGCATGCAATCGATACACATTGGAAGCTTATCGACTATTGTCGATGCACAAATATCAAAGAAAGCGTTTCAAGCGCCGCATTAAAAGTTTCTCAAAATCCAAACGGGCTGGCAACACTGGCCGACACACATAAAGCTCATGGGCATAAAGCTTATGCACAAAGCTAAACAAAATCGAATACATACATACAAACACACCAAACAGAACTCAGCATTGGCGAGCGGTGGGCGAATGCGATAACTGCATTGCCAATCGGGCATTGGGAACTGCAAGAGCAGCGCGCGCGTAGCAATGTCGAGCGCATCCACGTCGTCCGCTGCAGCCGTCGCCCACACTTGTGGCCTTGGCAAGCAGCAACGCCGTCGTTTGGCTGCTTTCGATTTTGACCACACAATTGTCTCACAAAATACGGACACTGTTGTCCGCGACTTGTTGCCCAGCCATCTAATTGGGTCCAGTGCCCTCACCGATCTAATGGAGAACGATTGCTGGACACAATATATGTCCGAGGTGTTCCGTTTGCTGCATGTGCAACAAGTAACCGAGTCTCGCATTCGTGACGTCATACGGTGCATACCCGAAGTGCCGGGATTTGTACGGCTCATCAAGCATTTGCACAAGAAGCTCAACTTTGATTTGATCATCATCAGTGATTCGAACAGCATTTTCATTGATGAATGGCTACGTGCCCACAATCTATTGGACTGCTTCACCGGCATCTTCACCAATCCGGCCGAGTTCAGTCCGACCGGTCAGCTGTTGGTGCGTCCGCATCACCAGCAAACTGATTGTAAATTGAGCGCCAGCAATTTGTGCAAGGGTCGCGTGCTGGAACACTTTGTCATCGAGCAGGATTTACGGTATAATATACGATACGATCATGTCTTTTATGTGGGCGATGGCAACAATGATATTTGCCCGGTGCTGCGACAGCGTGCCTGCGATTTTGCCTGCGCCCGCCAGGGCTTCGCCATGGAGAAGCATCTGATCAAGAATCACAACAAGTTACGGTTGCGCGCCAATCTGTTAATTTGGCGCAGCGGCTTCGAGCTGCTCGACCAGATGTGCATGCTGCCCCAGTTGCAGGGACCGCCGATCGGATCGCAATCGATGTGTTTGGATGTCAATTGTAAGGCCGAAATAGGACGACGTGCGTCCGCCGTTGCTGGCCCAGCTGATCGTCAGCAGTAAAACAAAAAAAAAAAACGAAAATTTTTTTGTGTTGTCTGCCAACCCAATCCAAAGAGCGATGGGTCTCGTGCAGAACTGTCGAAGTGGATTGCACCAGTTGCCAGTTGTGCTTGAAGTCACTCTTTGTTCACATCTTCAGTGATGGCTCGCAATTTCCGAATGCATCTCGCTGCTGCGTTTCGAGAATTTCCAAATTTAAATGCGCTCCCAAATAATTTTTCCAATTTCAACGTAAACAACATTTGTAAATTCTATTTTTAAGTTATTCATTTTCTGTGGCATTTTCTTGGTGCATTTCACAATTTTCAATTTTCGTATATTTCCAAGAGCGAAACCAATTTATTGTAATATAACATATTTGAATTTGAATGACTTCTATGGAACGAGTTCAATTCGAGTCAATTCATCTAATATGTTGTGTAAGTTCGAGTTAGCGAGTTGGAAAAGTGAATGAATTGTTGTTGTTTTTTGGACAGGCTCTCAGCGATGGGGCCAAAAAAAAAGTTGCAGTTTTTGAAACAAAGAAAATCGAAGAAGATGCAGATCTTCGATGTGATATATATCCATATATATATATATCCATATATTTGCGTATATGTTTGTGGATTTCTTCCAGACACATACACACACACACACACACACTCACAAACACTCACACAAACACACACACACACACATGCAATCCCTCTGGAAGTATTGAGTGATGGAAGTGGTAGTTGTATATTTTTTTGCCCTTAGCTGTTAACTGTACAACTTTATTAAATGTGTATTTGTAATGTTGTAATTCATCTTGTTTGTATATACATGTTTATATGTATGTGTCCGAAAATAAATTTAATTATTTGATTGTTAAATAAAGCAACAAAACTTAACAATTTGCTTTAAGCTGCTGGGAGGAGTTGGGCGTAATATAGCCTTTCAGGTATTCCAAAACGCAATAAATTTAAACGACGCAAACTCTTCTCAAGTTCGAATTTACAATTTTTATTTTAAATTACAATCAATTAGTAATATTTGTATATGTTAGTTATCAGCTTAAATTACTATTCCATTTGTAAATTAATTGCGTTGAAAGCAAAACGAGTTGAAACGATTTGTTTGGGTTCTTTTGTGTTTTGTTTCGTATTTTGTATATATGTATATCGATGTATATATATATATATATATATATATATATGTATATATATTTACCCTTGCAGTGGTTCCTATAATTTTGTCATGGAGTTTATATCGATTTGGGGGGAGACAACTCCGACTCCATAAAAAAATATATATATGCTTAGTGATCAGATCTGCATCATTGTTATTTGCGTATAGATCTCATCGATATCGGACTACTTAATCTTAGCATAGGAACAATCGAACGGGTTTTATTATTATTATTTTGGTAATTAATTGCGAAATTTAGATGAGGACGATGATTGACTTGGCTCCGCAAGGGTAAATAATGTGCGGCATTCTACGATCGCCTGTCTTACTTGATTTATTTCAATCTTTTTTTAGGGTTCTAACTATCTTCCTAATACGCTAATGTTTCAAACATGATGTTTATATATGTGCATGTGTGTGTGTGTGTGTGTGTGTGCATTCGGATTAAGACGATTCGCACAAGAAAGGAAGGAAGGCGGGAAGGAAGGCGGGAAGGAAGTGGTTGTGGGGATATGCTTATAGCTAAACTGTAAATTTTTATGATTAATACGGCCTGTGCAATATTATGGGTGGCGGGGGGCGGATAAAGTACAGGGCTCAGGGGCCCAATGGCGACATGCCAATTTGACGCGGATCGGCGCCCAGCGGCTGTGGGGCGCCTGGCTCCAAATTTTTAATGAGCATCTGTAGCCATTGCTTGGTGGATTTATCATCTTGCAAACACTGCGTAAAGGTCCCATCACGCAGCTGATCCGGCAAGCACTGGCCAAGTGCCTTGCGTGCGCTGCACAACAAACCGAAAAAGAGACAGAGAGAGAGAGAGAGAGAGAGAGACAAATTAATGAAATGAAAACAGAGTTGTCATTATGTTGCTTAGACGAACCGTGTATTGTCAGAGAGGCGTAGATAGCAGCGTACGACATGCTTTAACAGGCGCGCACACGGATCCTTTGACAGCTGTATTACCATTTTGCCCTTGACACCGAATAACAGCGATGGAGAGACAGTAGAATGTTAAAAAAGAGAGCTTAAAAGCTTCTGTTTTATGTGGCTTACCAGTGTGATGGCGACATGCGAGAACCGTTCGTACGTTTGACAGATGTACGACAAACCGGATTCGTCGAGCAGGATTTTCTGTATGATAAATGTGGCAACCGTTTTACTCAACTCCGATCCACTGTCCATGATCGTAAGGCATAACGGTACAATTTCAGTCGTTAACAAAAATGTGATCACCTCCTGCTCATCGGTCTTGACCAGCGCACCAATAACACCCAAACTGGTCAAACGCAAATATTCAAATGGTCGCGTCTTCGAGATGGTCGATAGAAATGGATACAAATACAAAGGTATTTGGGCCTGCAAAAATGCTGTTCGCGTCTCCGGATGTGAGGCGACGCACTGCAGCAACGCTAGCGCATTGCAAACTCGATTCGATTGATGGGCCGTCAACGTGGGTGGCGTTATCGATGGATAAATATTAACAATCTCCTGCAGCAAAGCGCAAGTGGTGCCAAAACTATTCCACAGCATCGGTGCCAGATCGGTTTCTCGCTTCTTGCTCAACTCCAGCAATGCCGTCTCTCGCGTGTCCGGATGTGTAAGCTCGTTGATCCATTGGTAAACCTAAAATACACCCACACGCACACACATATACATATATATATTTATTTATATACACATAACAATTTTGTCGGCTTACCTTTTCCTGCTCAGTGGGCTGCTGTTGCTGCTGTGGATTCATGCAGGGACTCGGCTGGGCACTCATTGCTTGCTGCGGACTAAGATACAGAAGTGCAAAACTTTAATGCGAAGCTTTAAGTTCTGTTCAAGTTCTTGTTGCCTTCCGTTTGATTAACCACAAACGGTTTTTAAAGCGCGCACTTTACTTACATCGGAACGGATAATGGGTCAAGTGTAAATAATGCTTTGTGTTGTTCGTTTTGAATAAAATTAATTTGATATTCTTGTATATACATATATGTATATATATACAGTATAGGGTACAATAACAAGTAAAATGCCGACTGAAAAATAAGATTGCAAATTATGGCAGCTGATAGATATTTTCCTAAATATGGCTGCCACCAAAACAGAGTTGCCCATAATCGATTAATCGTTCCGGTCGACTAACAAAAAAAGGCCAAAATTGATGGTACACGGCAAAATTTTAAAATTATTATCTACTTGGTTTGGATGAAAATGAATATTTTACTAACAATTTAATTATAAAAATATACACAGTACATTCTCTGTGTCAATTTATGCACACGACATTCCTGTCCCTGTGAGGTTTCAACAGTTCTCAGGCAGCTTTTATTATACATTATTGTACATTGCAAACAGCAACAAACTCTACTATCGCCAAATCATCGATTATATTTACTATCAAAATATTTTTAACAATATTTGAGGCATGATGTTAATCATGTGTCGCCATATCAGAACGAAGTTGGTTGTTTTGTTTAAATTCCTTATTGGGATCGATGAAATTTGTGAAAGAAAGGATAGCAATGCTAATTTATCCGGCAAAATCGAATTAAACAAGGAACAATGTTCTAGTTAGAGAGATGGACGGCGAAATATGCGATAAAAGGCCAAAACGGCAACACTGGTTGCCACTGACATCTGACATCTATATTTATGTATCTGACAACGACACTGCGCAAAGCAACCCTGTTTTTTTTTGACACCTTGACGTGGACAGTTGTCAAAACAAATTCGTGTCGTTGTAGGCCGCACGAACAGCGCAAGCGGTCATTCGTTTAGAAATTTTCAAAGTAAGAGGAGGTGCGTGTGATTTTCTTTTTGGATTGCTCCAACAAAATATTTATTTAATTAAATGATAAATTACACTTCAATTAATAATTAGTGTAGAATCACTGGAGTTTATAAATACAGTTTAAGATTTCATATATATTTTGCACTGTTGCCGCAGCTGCATAGGAAACTGTTTGCGATGCCACAATTATGTTTCGCTTGTGCAAAACAATAAATAATATAAATATGTTAAAAGATAAAACAAAAAAATAAGCAAATAGTTCATCTGTGGAAATGCAGCGGCACATTTTAATCAGCACAGAAGCGACACAATCAAATTTCACCTGTGACGTTGCCGTCGTCGCTGCCTTAGTGTCGTCGTCGTCGTCGGCTGCCACGTCGTCGTGACGTTAACGCCGACGCCGACATCGACATCATGTGTTGTTGTTGTAATTGGTGTGAGAAAGTGCTGCTGGCTGGCCCACATTGTTTGACATTTAACATAATACCCTAACATGCTTGACATATATTACTGTTAACTGTAAACTTGCTTAAAATCGGTTAACATTTGCTTAAAATCTGTTTAAATCTTTGCTTGCAGCTCGAGACGCATATACTAAATATCACAGGACAAATCTCTAACCATGGACAAAGTTGTGAAATTCGATGAACCTGGTCGCGCTTTCGCCAAGGACTCGATCCGCTTGGTTAAGCGTTGCACGAAGCCCGATCGCAAGGAATTCCAAAAGATTGCGATTGCCACAGCGATTGGTTTCTGCATTATGGGTTTCATTGGATTCTTCGTCAAACTGATACACATTCCCATCAACAACATTATTGTTGGCTCGTAAATCTTATCACACTTGTCCTAGACAGTGAGAGACAGAAATAGAGAAAGAGAGAGAACGAGGAGGAGGAGCAGGAGCAGAACAATAATAATCATCAGCCTGAAACAACACATAAAATACTTTATAAATATTTTATTATTTTTTTTTTGTTTTCCTGTATAGTTAAAAAGCATCATGTACGGGTACATTCAGCGAATGTCTTTATGTTACAAGCATTTCATGTATGTGAATTGTATTGCAATAATGTTCCAAATTCCATTCATAATAACATGAACGTTAGCTAATAAGCGTCATCAATTAAAAACCGAAAAACTACCGAATTCAATGTTTTTATTATGTGATTTGCGATCTTAAAGGGGTTTATTATTTCATTTAAGAATCTTCAAATTAATCGCTGTATATAATATTACTATATAAATATATATCTAGTTTGTCAATTGTTTATTAATCGTTATAGTGCAGAGTATTGCATGTTCGGCATCTTGTCACATTTTTGTGTTACGGATAATTGTTGCACATATTCGCCTATCGATAACTATCGATATAATGCTCGTGCCTGTGACGTGGAAAGCGTACGAGACTGTTTTGACATTTGGTTGTTGGCTCAGTGTGTCTCAGTCTGTTCGATTGTCGTCGTTTGTTTGCCTCAGGATTTGGTAGCTGCTAATTTAGTTTGTAAATAGGATGTTGGACTTTGTAGTCGTGTTCACAAAAGGCGGCGTTGTGCTTTGGAATTCAAATGAGTCGGGCAAGAACTATGCCTCGTGCATAAATAGCTTGATACGTGGCGTCATTTTGGAGGTAAATCTACCAAAACAATTTTTTTTCTTGTTTTTGTTATTGTTATTATTGTGTTGATTTAGGAGCGCAACACAGAGTCCAAGTACTTTGAGGATGATCATCTGGCGGTGCAGTTTAAGCTGGACAATGAACTGGACGTGATCTTTGCGGCCGTTTTCCAAAAGGTAATCAAGCTCAACTATTTGGACAACTTTCTGGCGGATATGCAAGTGGCGTTTCAGGAGAAATTCGGTGGCGTTGCAGCAACAGAACGCCTCGGCATTGACTATGAATTCGAGCAGGAGTTCCGGATGGTGTTGAGCGCCGCGGAAAAGGCATCCGTTAAGCAGGGCAAGGTGCCAAAAGCAATGCGCTCCTACAACGAATCGCAGAAATCAAAGAAAACGGTTGCCTCAATGATGCAGGACGATAAGAAACCGCCATCGGTTGGCGATAAGCGTGTCAACATCCAGGAGAGCCCACCACCACCCAGCAAATCGGAGCCAATGACACCGCCACGCAACAACTCTGATATTATCGCGGAGAATCGACGCAAGCTGCGCGAGAAACTGACGCCTACCAAAAAGGCGACCATGGATTCAAAGCCCTTCAAAGCGACAGTTGCGGCCGAAAAGGATCGCGAGAGGGCGGGCAAAAAGCCCAGGGTCTGGGATCTGGGCGGTAATTCCAAGGATGCAGTGCTGCTCGATCGTTCCAAGGATGCGCCCGAGGACCAACAGCTGCAGACCATCAATAATGAGGTAAGTTTCCAACAACAGCAGCATTTTACAATCCGAAATTAATCGTTGGCTTCTTATTGCATTTCCGAGCAGCTGGTGGGCACAATGCAGGGCAGCATACGGGACTTGGATGTGGATAGCTCGGACGACAGCGATGATGACAGTGAGGAGGAGGAGCAGCAGCAGCAGCAACGCCAGCTCAGCCAGAAGAAGCCCAAAACCGGTGGATTACTTTCCTATTTCAAGGGCATTGTGGGCGCCAAAACGATGACGCTGAGCGATCTGCAGCCGGCGCTGGAGAAGATGCGCGACCATTTGATATCGAAAAATGTGGCCTCCGAAATTGCTGGCAAGCTGTGCGATTCGGTTGCCACATCGCTGGAGGGCAAACAAATGGGTACCTTCGATAGCATTGCGAATATGGTGAAAGAAGCGCTCACCCAATCCCTGGTCCGCATCCTGTCACCCAAACGTCGCATCGACATCATACGCGACGCATTAGAATCGAAACGGAATGGACGACCTTACACAATCATCTTTTGCGGCGTCAATGGCGTTGGCAAATCAACGAATCTGGCAAAAATATGCTTTTGGCTAATTGAGAACGATTTCAATGTGCTGATCGCGGCATGCGACACATTTCGAGCCGGTGCCGTCGAACAGTTGCGCACCCACACACGTCATCTGAATGCCCTGCATCCGGCTGTGAAGCACAATAATCGCACCATGGTCCAGCTGTATGAGAAGGGCTACGGCAAGGATGCTGCCGGCATTGCCATGGAGGCCATCAAATTTGCCAACGATACGAAAATCGATGTGGTTCTCGTTGACACCGCCGGACGTATGCAGGACAATGAACCGCTGATGCGTTCGCTATCGAAATTGATCAAGGTGAACAATCCCGATCTGGTACTGTTTGTCGGCGAAGCACTCGTTGGCAATGAGGCCGTCGATCAGCTGGTCAAATTCAATCAGTCCCTCGCCGATTACTCATCAAATGAGAATCCGCACATCATCGATGGCATTGTCCTAACCAAATTCGATACCATTGATGATAAAGTGGGCGCCGCCATCTCAATGACCTACATCACTGGGCAACCGATCGTGTTTGTCGGCACCGGCCAGACCTATGCAGACCTCAAAGCCATCAATGTGAACGCCGTCGTCAATTCCCTGATGAAATAAACAGCGCATCCCCTGGGGGATCACAGGCGGAGCAGTTGCGAAGATCAGGCTGCGAATCAGCACGCTGAACTTAATTCTAATAATGCTATAGATACACTAGATTTTGTTTTAATTATTGTCCATATATATATAAATATATATATATATATACATCGCGTAAATAAAAATGCACTTTTTACATTTGTTATTCGACACATTTGCTGATTTTTTGTGATCCTTGCATCCATGCAACCTGCCTGCTTCAGCTGTGGCTTTGGCCGCATGCGATAATCATAAGATTGTACTTTGTACAAGATATAAAGAATTTTAATATATATATATATTATGTTTGCGGTGTGTATTAATTTGTAGATTGGTTGGTTTACAGACGAGAAATGAAATAATTAAGATTATTGATAGCTAAGTGCTTATTTGTAGAACTCGTGCTCCTGTTCGTCCTTCTTGATATTGTTCTTGTAGCCCTTCTCAAAGTCCTTGGCAAGGACAATATACCGATTCTCACGCACCGCATGCATGCCAGCCTCCTGGCAGATGGCATTTATATCAGCACCAGAAATTTTATCGGGCCGTGCTACAAACTCCTCCAGGTCAACATCCTCGCTGAGGTTCATCTTTGATGTGATCGTTGAGAAGACCAAACGCTTCTGGCGCCGATCGGGCAGCGGGAACTCAATTTTACGATCTAAACGACCGGGACGCAACAGTGCCGGATCTAGTGTATCGGCACGATTGGTCGCCATGATCACCTTCACATTGGTCGTCTGATCGAAGCCATCCATCTGGTTGAGCAGTTCGAGCAGAATGCGCTGCACTTCACGATCGGCGCCAGTTTGGGCATCGAAACGTTTGGTGGCGATCGCATCGATTTCATCGATAAAAATGATTGCGGGCGCATTCTCCTTGGCCAGGCGGAAGACATCGCGCACCATGCGCGGTCCCTCGCCCAAATATTTCTGCACAAACTCGGAGCCGACGACACGTATAAACGCTGCCGTCGTATGATGTGCAACAGCCTTGGCCAGCATCGTTTTGCCACAACCGGGCGGGCCGTACATGAGGACACCGCGCGGGGGATCAATGCCAATCTGTTTGTAGAGCTCAAAGTGTGTCAGGGGCAGCTCGACGGCTTCACGTATCTCTTGCTTTTGCATGTCCATGCCACCAATGTCCGCATAGCTAACGTCTGGTTTCTCATCCGGTTGCAGCATCGATATGGAGCTATCCGCCTCTGGTGGTAATACATCGACCAATGCATTGCTATGCTTGTGCAGTGCCACCGATGCGGATGGTTTAAGCAGCTCACGATCAATGGTGGACAAGATGCGTACATAGTAATTGGAACCGGTTGTGGAGCCAACAATGCCCGTATTCTGATCAACAGCCTCCAGGAATTGGCCAATCACCAGCGGCACCGATTGTATACGCTTCACTTCCTCCTGTGCATGCAGATACTCCTTCTTCAAATTGCGCTGCTCATCCTTAATGTACTCCTCCTGTACCTCAATGAATTCCAGTGTCTTTTGCAATTTCTACATACAAATAAATAAAACGTCGTGTGTGTGTGTGATTGATTGCGATTGATTAGGCAATTGATAAGTTTGTAAATTATACCTTGTAGCGCACATACAAATCATCCATGTCCAATTCATCGAGGGAGCTGTGTGCGTCCTTCAGCTTCAGTTCGAGCTCATCCTGGCATCCATCACAAAATGTGTAGTTCAAATTAAGCATTATCACTATTTGTGTTATTATTTTGAATGGGTTACTTACTTTTTCAGGCATCGGTACATCCATAATCTTATATTAATATTATTAATGCAAGTGCAGCGAAGGCAAGTTTTATTGTTTTAATGCCGCTTAGCTGCTGATATTACAAAAAATTGAGACGAGAAAAGCAAATGACTCGTCAAAAACAAGCTGACAATACAGTGATGGTGCACATATCGATATCCCCTTGCATATATTACCGATAGTTGTCCTATCGATATTAGCTGTTTTATATGATAGTACGAAAAACACTAATTATGAAAGTGTCAATTGAACAAACATTAATCTCGTTAATTAATTAATTTAATTTGTCTAAATTGAGTAATGTAAAAATATATATTCACTGTATTTGCACGCATATTGTGAGGGACAGGTATCGATACCCAGTTAGATAAATGAAGCAGTTGAAGTATCAGTGTGTACACACTGTTCTTGCTATACGACCATTTTTTTTTGAGGCGATTTCGATTCTTCTCATAAGAAAACACATTTATTTTGGGGGCAACTAAATATGTGTGTGTGCCGTATGCATGTGTGTGCGTGAAGAATTAAAAATAATAGTTAATAGTTGATAAAAACAACAGCAACAACAACAACAACAATTAGTGATTTCGATGTGCACGTACACAATGGGTTAGCATTAAATGCGGCTAGTGAAATGGCAGTGGACTGTTTCAAACCCCATACGCTCGTGCAAGAGAAAAATCGTTCACCACCTCTAACTCAGTGTCCTGTCGCCGTCGCTGTCGCCGCTGCTTCTGGTTGGTGTTGCTGCCTTTTTGCCTCTGTCTCTGCCTCTGCTTCTGTCTCAGCCGCTGCCTCAGCCGCTGCCTCTGTCTCTGCCTCTGCTGTACGCACGCATCGATTTGGGCTAAACGTTAGATACCTCCTAACGCAGTTGTTAGGGTGGAAAAATAAGTATATAATAATAAAGAAATGCTGTGCATTTTTCAATTAATACATGGCCAAACAAATACAACAACAAATTCAAGTGCAATATTATTATTATTATCAAACGAACGAACAACAAAAAGCAACAACAAAAACGAAAAACAACAAATACATAAATACGCAAACACTGGCGCCACTCAAGCAGCAAAACAAAAGGTCCAACAAATAAAAAGAAAATTAAATTAAAAGAAATTTCCCAGAAGGCGGCAGTGCTGGCAGGCGGTAAATCAGCAAAAGCAGTGTCAAACGCAGGTTAAACACGATAAATAATGATAATAATACCAACCAATATATTGTGTGTACAAAATGTTTATTGTATAATTTTCATTACATCTTTTACACACACACACACACACATGCATGTGTATGCACATATGTATGTATGCATTCATAGAGCAGCTAACTGTGTACATGTGTGTGTGTGTGTTTGTGTGAGTGTGTGTGTGTGTGAGTGCTTGTGCGTGTAGTTTTTGTTTATATGCTGTTTTGTTTTTTATTCTTTTTTTGTTGCTCTTTTTCGTCTAGTCTGCCATTTTCGCGCACATTCGTCAACAAAATGTGCGCTCGGCTTTAAATTTACGTTTTTCTTATTGCTTTCTGCCTTATTGTTTGTTCTTTATTGATTTTAAGATGCTGCTGCAATTGTGGACACACTGACACACACACACACACAATCACACACATACAGGTTCGCTCGCACACACACACACAAATTTTTGAAAGCAGTGCATTGAATGAAATTTGATTTTGTTATTTTAATGTGCATTGTTGTTGTTTTTCTTCTTTTTTACAGAAATTTATAAGTACAAGTGGTAACACTAAAAAAAAACAGCTTCCAAATGAAGACTATGTCGCGCTTTGGCCTGCGCCGAGGCTTCAAATTCTCCGAGGAGCAGCAGCAGGTCAATGGGAACAGCAACAACAACAATAATAATAATAACAACAACAACAACAGCAGCAGCAGCCAGAGCAGCCCAATTGGACCAACCACACAAAAGCTGGCAACGCCGCCACGCAAAAAGCGCAATCACAGTCTACCCAGAGAACAACAACAACAAACACAACAGCCGGAACACCAATTGGAACTGATTGATGTTGAACTGGAGCTGGACAGGCAACAACAGCAGCCACCTTCACTCGTCTGCAGTGTGCCGCTGGAGCGTTTGCCGCGTTTCGTCGAAAAGCTGCAGCTGCTGCAACAGCAACAGCAGCGCGAACTCGATGAATATTCAGCAACAGCTTTTATCAAAGTTTTGTGCTTGTACTGTGATAAGAAGTTCGCGTCCAGTAAGCTGCAGGCAAAGCATGTGGACAAGTTCCATACGGAGCGCAAGGAGCGACGCTGCAGCAATCGCTCCACAAATAACAACAACAGCAGCAGCAATAACAACAGCAACAGCACCACCAACAGCAGCAGCAACAGTCACTTTCCTGGCTGCCAGTATTGCAGTAGCAGCAGCAATAGCAGCAACAGCAGCCACAGCAGCAACAGCAGTACCAGTAGCAAAGCCTCCAAGCCTCAGGCAATAATGCCGCCAGTCTCGCTGCCCGCCAAGCAGCTGCAGCAGCTATTTGCCCATTTCATTGCAGGGCATGCGGACAAGTATTTTGGCTGCGAACCGTGTCAGCTGCGCTTCAACGATGCTCCCCAACTTCACAGCCATATGCGTCTGACGCATCAGCAGCAGTTGCCGTCGACGTTGCCACAGCAGCAGCAGCAACGACAAAAACCTCAGCCACAGCAACAGCAGGCGGCAATGATTGGCGCCGAGGAGCCGGTGCTGTTTCGTTTAGGTCTCACACAGAATCGTTTGCCCGGCCAGCGGCAGCGAAATCGCAGCGCACGCCAGCAACAGCAGCAGCAGCAGCGGGACGACAGTGGCAATGTATCGACGCCAAAGCAGCAGCGTAGCAGCAGTCGTGCTGCACAGCGTCAAGCAGCTGCTGTAAATGCGCCAATGAGCAATGCCACAACAGCAACAGCCGCTGCAGCAGCAACAACAACATCCACAACAACAGCGGCAACAGCAGCAACTGTTGCTGTCTGTGTCGCTGCCACACAAGTCGATGATGCACTGTTCCGCATGCCCAGCCATAGTCATGTCTTCGATGACAATTTTTACAAGGATGTGGTGCTCAATGTGCGCCACAATTTAAAGCATTTCCTCGACGGACGATTGCGCAGCGGTCCAGCGCCGCCACAGCCGCTAAGCGATGCAGACAGTCCGCCCTCCTCCGCCACCGCCGCCGCCAGCAGCATGAATCAAGTGTCGCTTGGCAGCACATATCCCACGCTGCTGACAGCCGAACAGTTTGGTGATGTCTTTGGCATGGGACTGGAGCAGCTGCAGCTGCCGTTGGCGAAGGTCGCGCGACGTCCGCACACGAAGCACAGCTGGAAATGGAAATGGGATTATGTGAAGAAATTCACCGTCATCAATGAGGGCGGACGACTGGTCAAAAAGCTAAAGCAGCCATTTATGGGACTGCGCGATCTGTCGCGCCTGGACATGTGGACGCAGCTGACAATGCGACAGAAGCATGATCTCGAGCAGGCACAGCAGCAACATCAGCAGCAGCAACAACAACTGGCGCAGTATCATCAGCAACAGGAGTGCGAGCAGCGATTGCAGCAGCTGCATTTACTGCTCGATCGTCGTCTGTTGCCGCACATTATGCTCGAACAGAACGAGCAGGCCATTATCAAGGAGGAGCAGCCGGAGCAGTTGGAGCAGCAACAATTGCTATCTCTACCGCTGCAGCAGCAGCAGCATCATCACCATCAACAGTTGCTGCCCGCTGATCTGTTGCCGCAAACATTTGCCGATCAAAGCTTTTTGACGCTGCTGCAGCTTCAACCGCGCAATCGACAACAGCAACGCCAAACGACGACAACAACAACAGCAGTAGCAGCAGCAGCAACAACAGCAGCAGCAGCAACAACAACAACAATGGTGCTAAGCGGCGAATGGGCGCGTCCACGTTTATATTTATGCATTTGCTGTGGCGCCAAGTTTGAGCAGCGCAAAGCGCTCGAGGAGCACAAAACGTTTCGCCATTCGCATATTTATGCGACGCACTATGAGCTGGTCGGACGTGAACTGCTCGCTGGCAACTTGTTGCGTCATCTGTTTATGCCCAAGCGGGCGCTCAGTCATTATGCAGCCGAACACCAGCAGCAACAGTTGCAGCAGCAGCAACAATTGCAATTGCAACTGCATAAGCAGGAACGCACTGTTGTTGAGGATGAGTCGATAAGCAGCTCCTCGAATTGTTCGGCTGTCTCCTCGACATTTGGCCTGCTGACCAATGTGGATGGATCGCCGTGCTTCACGGCGACAACAACGACAGCGGGTACAACAGCGACGAACAGCAGCAGTAATCGCAGCAGCAGCAGCAACAGCAACAATAATTCAATAGCAACATCTGTGGAGGATAACGATAGCAGCGATATTAAAGCACATCCACAGCAATCTTCCTGCTCACCAGCCAGCCTCAGTCACAGCCATAGCTCCAGCTATAATTCCAGCTCCACAAACAATTCCAGCAGCTGCACAAAATGTGGTCGCAAGTGCAGCGGCCTCATGGATCTCTATCGCCACATGTTGGACTGTTCGGGCGATTATGTTTGGTCGCTGGCCAAGAAGCGTAAATATCGTTATTATTGCGGCTCCAAGAAACGTCGCACCGCCTGCAATAAGCCCGCCAAGCACTTTGCCCAGCTCCTGCGCAAGAATAGCAAAAAGGTTAAGAAGCAGCAGCAACAGTCTGACGAACAGCAGCTTCCCAATAACAACGACGCTTCCGAGGAGAGCGGCTCGTATTGCTCCAACTCCAATTCAAATTCGACTTCCAATAAGACTAAAACGCCGCCGCGTCAACGCCCCAGCGATGGTGAGTCTCTGAACAATATACACATGTAATTCGCATTAGGATCTTTCAAGGATATATGCAGCGTTCTACATGTTGAGTAGCTTATTGATTTACTGTCTCGTCGATATCTTTTACAAATTCTTGAACCTCTGGCACAAAATTGATTAATACATGAATATATATTAACATAGATAATATATATTTATAGAGCTAGGATCAACAACAAAAGAATTAATTATTGAGGTTAACAGAAAAAGGAAAGGGAAATTTGCATTGAATTTTGGAGAATTCATTTTGAAAAACTAAAATTAAAGTTAAGGAATTTCAGATATTAGAAAGTTTTCCAACAATTAGAACCACCAGCTCAGTAAGTTCTACATTTTTTTTTCCTTCCTTCCTCTCTCTTTGTCTCTGTCTCTGTCTCTCTTTCACACACACTCTTTGTTTGCTCCCTTTGCAGCTGAATCCATACGTAAAATGCTGGAGAATTTGCCGGCGAAACGTGTTTGTAAAAAGATCTTTCCGATGGATAATAAGAAGCGCTCCAAGAAACAGGGCAAACCCAGTAAGAAGCAGTTGGTTCGCGGTGCCAAGAAGCTCTACAATCATCATCATCATCATCATCACCACCACCACCATCATCATCATCAGCATGCGCTGCGCAATACGCGTTCGCGTCTGGTGCGTGCCAAGCCAGCATCAGCAGCATCGGTATCAGCAGCAACAACAGCTGCTACTGAACAGCAAAAGCAACTCCAACGTCGCAATCGTCGCAAGCAGCAGCAGCAACAACATCAATCAAAACTATTGTCTAACAGCGACAACAATTCAACAACATCAGTTGCAACAACAACAACAAGAACAACAACAGCAACACCAACAAAAACCTTAAACACTGCCAGCACAGCTACAGCAGCGACAACTGTTGCACTTGTCGATGTAGCAGCAACAACAACGACGACAACAACAACAACAACAAATTTAGTCTCACCCACGCCCAGCAGCAAACAGCAGTTAATGCCCACGCCGCCCACAACACCAGCACCAGCAGCAATAACGCCCATAACAACACCAGCAACGCCATCAACACCAATAGCAACAGTTGCTGTCAACAAACAGCAGCAGCCGGTTAAACGCAGTAAGCGCATAAGCGACTGCATTGCCATGCTAACGGGAAAGCTGGAGGAGAAGCTCAAGACTGAACAACAGCCGACGGCGGAAAAGGAGCAAATGTTGCCGGCAATGTCAGAGCAACAGTTGCATTTGCAGCTACAACCACAAACGCAGCAAAAGACGCCCAAGCGGAAAGCGATCTCCCGACGCATAATAAAGCAGCAAAGTGAGACAGCAACAGCAGCGACAGTCGCAACAGGGCCAGCAGTGACAGCAGCAACAGTGCCAGTAGCAACAGTGCCAGCAGCAAAAGTGCCAGTAGCAAAAGTTCCAGCAGTAAAAGTTCAAGCTGCAACAGGGACAGCCGCAACAGTGCCAGTAGTAACAGTGCCAGCAGCAATAGTGGCAGCAGCAACTGCCGCAGCAACAACAAAGACAATAGCAGCGTCAACAGCAGCAACAGCAGTAGTTGCAAAAGTAACAATGCCAGCAACACCAGTTGCAACAGCAGCAGTAACACCGGTCGCAGCAATTGTTGCTATTGAGCAACCGAAGCAGCCAGTGCATGTTCTGCGCTTGCGCCAGTGCTGCCACCCCAGCGGCGCGCCACACCCACCAAGGCTGCTACAAAGCAGATGGCTGCACCACAGCAACAGCAACAGTTGGCAGCATTGCCGTTGCCAGTGCTACCGATGGCACAGCCTATGCTGCTGCCAGTGCCCATGTCGATGCCTGTTAAGCTGCCACCGCCGCTGCCGCCAGCAACTGCAACGCCAACTGCAGCAGCAACACCGGCAGCAACAGCTGCTGGCACGGCACCTGTAACAGCAGCAATGCTGTTGCCAAAATTGCCATTGTATATGCCAGTGCCAGTGCCAGTGCCAGTTGTGCCCCCCAACTATGTGATGGAACCGTTAAATCTCAGCCATGTTCGGCAGACAGATGCACACCAGCAATACCAGCAACATCTGCAACAACAACACCAGCAACAGCAGCAGCAGCAACAACAACAGCAACGCACATCAGCAATGCCCGCACGTCGTCAAACGATTTGCGGCTTCGAAGCTCGCAATTTGCTGCAATTGGACGAAATGCAACCACTGGATTTATCCAAGAAAACACAGCGCAAATCCTCGCCAGTGCCACCAGCAGCAATTGCAGGTGCTGCTGCTGCTGTTACTGCTGCTGTTGTTGTTCCTAATGCACACAGTAATCTATCCGGCTGCCAGGAGCTACCGCTTGGTTTGGGCATGCCGCTACCATTGCCACTGCCGGCACATTATTATTCCAACTTGGAATTGCTGAAGATACCGCAGGTGCGTAATCCGGTGTTGCCATTACCGGTGGCAGTGCCCGCAGTAACAGTGGTGTGCATCTATTTATGGACACATCACTTACGTACGCGTCCACATGGGCGTCGACGCAAGCCGATTACGAAACAGCTGCTGGATGACTGGTAGATGGGAAACTGTTGTTGCTAGATGCGGAGGATGCAAGAACTATACAAGTTGCTGCTGCTGCTGTTTTTGCTTCTGCTGCTATTGCTGTTGTTGTTGTCGTCGTTTGGCGTTGCTGTTGTCGATTGCTCGGTTGAAGCTGCAGCTGCGTTAAAAAGCTTTGTTTGGCTAATGTTTGCGGCATCAGATTAGCGGGCAGGTAACTTTGATGGTGATGATGCTGCTGTTGCTGCAGCGGTAGAGATTGGCAATTGTTGCTGCTCCAACTGCTCCGGCTGCTCCTCCTTGAAATGGCCTGCGCGTTATTGTGCTGGTGCTGGGTTGTGGGCGGCGTGGGCATTAACTGCTGTTTGTGGGCGTGGGTGAGACCAACCACCAAAGTGCCAGCAAAAAAACGAGCCACAGAGTTGGCCAGCAAAAAGGAGAAACCGTGTCCCACGCGAATGGATGAGGTGATCAATAATCATATCGATGATGCCATCAATTCAGTCATACTTGCTGTGCACGCCAGTCTGCCGCAGGACGAGGAGGAGGAGCTGCAACAGCAACAGCAGCTGCAGTTGCTCTTGCACAAACAACAACAACAGCAACAGCAGCAGCAACAACAGCAGCAGCAGCAACAGTTGCCGCCAACAACAGTTATGCCCAACGCTGGCGTTTTGTTCAGCACAGCAGCAACAGTTGCCGCTGTGCCCGCCCGCAATCCAGCACCAAAGAAGCGCAGCATGCGCTCAAAAACCATTGATTGCCGTTCCGCACTGCTGCTACTGCCGACTGCTGTTGCCACTGCACAGACACCCACAGTGCCATTAATGTCAGCGATGCAGTGCATCCAATTGCCATCAAATGGCCAACTAGTGCAGCTAGCTGCTGAGCAGCCGCCCCTGCCGTCGCCCATTGCCACACCAAAAGTTGCCACGCCCGCACCCGAAGTGGAGGAGAAGCCCAGCATGTGCCAGAGGCAAGTGTTGCTGGCATCAGAAGTTCAATTGCAGCCAGTAATGACAACGACAGCAGCTGCAGCAGCAGTAGCAGAAGCATTAGTTGTACCAACACCAGCAACCACAGCTGCAACAGTTGGAGCTGAAGCTCCAACAAAAATAGCAACAGCAACAGTAGCAGCGGTAGCAGCAACAGTTGCAGCAGTATCAACACCAACCGAAGTAACCAGAAACAACAGTTGCAGTCTCGGCCGCTGCGAAGCCAGCAATGGCTGTGTCTGTCATCTCAGTGGCACCACCAACAGCACCAGCAACAACAACAACATTACCAACAACAACAACAGCAACAACGAAAAGCAGAAGTGTCACGCCCAACTTGCTGCTGGAGGAGCACAGCTGCAATATGCACAACAACAACAACACATCCTCTGGTTTTCATAGTCTGGCGCCAGCAGCTGAAGTTGAACCCGATCCGGAGCCCGAATTGGTAACGGAAAAGGAGACGAAGCTCGAGTCCGAGCCGGAGACCGAAGCCAAGCCTAAACCTGAACTCGAATCGCAGCCACAACTTGTGCGGGAACCGGATCCGAAACCGGATCCGGAACCAGAAGCGGAACCAACGCCGCCACCCAAAGAAGATGTGAAAAAGAAGCAGAGGCGTCGACGCAAAAACGAACTGGCAGCAATTGTTGCCGATCAGCTGCTGGAGAGCTTCAAAATCGACAACGCGCGACGCGACAATTTGAAGAAGCTCGAGAACCTGGCATATGAGAAGAGCGAGGATCTTTTGCTCACCGGCATGTTGCTGATGTCCAGCACAAAGCGAAATGCAACGCTGCAGCAGCAACAGCAGCATCCAGCAGTAGCAGCCGCAGCAACAGTTGCAGCCGTTGAGTCGAAGCGCAGCAAAGTCGAGTTCGAGCAGACGCCACCGGCTGCAACTGGGCGTGGTCGGCCCAAGCGACGGCAGAGTTGCTACTATAAACGTGGACGTGGCAAGGCGACGCCTTTGGGTGCTGAGACGAATATTAGCGCGTTGAAATCCTCACTTGAGTCCTTCTCCATTGGCATTGAGAAACAGCTGCTGGCCAAGGAGGCAGCCGCCGCAGCAGCAGCTAAAGCAGCAACGCCCACAGCCAGCTGCATACTGCGCCCAAGCATTCTGTGCACAGCAGCCAAGGAGCACCAGCAGCAGCAGAAGCAGCAGCAAAAGCAACAACAAAAGCAACAGCAAACGCAACAACGACAACAGCAGGAGCAGCAACAACAACAGCAGCAAGATCAAGAGCAGCAACAAGAGCAGGAGCAGGAGCAACAACAGCAAGAGCAACAGCAGCAGCACCTACAGTCAGCGGCAGCAGCAACAACAATCGCTGCCACATATAGCCGAGATCCTCGACTTAACAAAAATATACACAAGGAAGCCGCACAGGAGCAATTGGAGCACCGACAGCAACAGCAGCAACACTCCCACCAACAGCAGAAACAACAACTGTCGCAACAGGAACAAAATCATCAGCAGCAGCAGCAACAGGAGCAGCCACAGCCTGGCGAGGATCTGGAGGAGGAGGACAATTATTTAACGGAAATTGCGAAAAATGTCAACGACAAAATCATGTCGGCAAACAACGAGGACTTCGAGTTTGCGCACGATGAATTTGATCAGGATAAATCCCATGATCCGGATCAGGATAAATTCTATCGTCCGCCCACATCGATGAGTGTGCGCAGTGCACCCAATCTCAATGATGAAAACTCGAATTTCGGCTCCGACGATGAGAACACCAACACAGAGATCATGGACATGGATCTGGATGATGAGATGAGTGTCTATACTAGCTATTCGCAGGATTTAGGACGCACTGGTCGTGGACGACGGCGTCGGCGACGTCGCAGCGTTCTATTGACGCGCCGTCCAAAGAAACGCAACACGCGCAGCAGCCAGCAGCTGGAAGATGCCGATAAGTTTGCATGCCAGCTGTGCGGCAAGAGCTTCTTCACATCCACCTCTTTATCCAAACACAACATGACGCTGGCGCACGTCTCCAAACTCTCCGAGCTGGAGTATATGCAATCGAAGAGCAATGCGCCGCCAAGTCCCCCACAGCAGCAGCAAGTGGAGGCAGTGGTGGCGCCACTGCAACAAACTCAACAACAACAGCAGCAGCTGCGTGCCTCAGTGCTCATATCGCCGGTTGTGCATCCACAGACGATAGTCATCGGCGCGGCTTCCAGTCATGTCATTACCGAGGAGAGCCTGCGTCTTCATGACACCCAGCAGCAGCAGCAGCAACGGCAGCAGCAACAGCAGCAGCAACAACAGCAGCAACAACAACAGCAGCAACAGCAACAACAGCAGCAACAACAACAGCAGCAGCAGCAACAACAACATGCAAGCCAGCATTCAAGTCCAATTCACAGTGCCGCCCGCCTTAATCTCAATCCCGATGAGCGTCTTTTCTACGAGTGCTGCAACATTTTGAAGAGCGCCGAAACGCCTCGTCTACCCACGGCAACTGCCATGCCCACAATTGCCGTTGCGACGCCCTCTGTGATTGTTAGCGCCGGTGTGCGCAAACCCTTGTCGGAGCTAACGATTCCCGTTGCGACAACGGCTGAGCCTGCGTCACCCCCAACATGTCGTCCTCCACGTCCACCGCCGCCGGCATCGCCGTCTCCTTCGCCGTCGCCACCTCAATCACCACTGCCAACAACAACAACAACAATACCAACAGCAGCAGCAGCAACTCGTATAGTTCCTGCATCCTCCGCATCAGCAACAACAGTTTCCCATCAACCAGTCATCCAGCAGCTGTTTCGTAATCCGCCTGCGGCGACGCCCACGTCGACGCCTACGTAAGTGATGCGTCCATAAATAGATGTAGTACATATCTACTTGGTAACAAGTCAGGATGAGAGATCAGCTTTACTCTTAGTTTAGCTTTAATTTACTGCCAATTAACTTTGGGTCTTTTTTTTCTCCTCCGCAGCAATCATCATCATCATCAGCAGCAACAACACCACAACCAGCATGGCCAGCATCATCATCATCATGTCGAGCAGCAGCAGCAGCAACATCATCATCACCATCAGCAGCAGCAGCAGCAGCAACATCATCATCACCATCATCATCAGTCGCATCGTCTGTCGCCCAATTACTCAATGTCGCAATTCTCATCGATGACAGCTACAAATATGACGCAGTCCCGATTTAAGACCAAAGCCGCAATGAAGGGCTACGAGACGAATTTGGAGCTGGACATGGAGCTGGCCAAGTCGGCAAATCGTGCAGTGTGCAAGCTAACCGAATTGGCGGACATAGCGTTGGGTAGCGAGAAGCCGCCCGGCGTTAACTATAGCCCCAATCAGGTATCGACACCTCTCTCACCAGTCGCTGTTGCCGCAACAGACCATCAGCAGCAGCAGCAGCAACTGTTGCAGCAGTCGCATCAGCAGCAGCAACAATTACAGCCCGTGACAGCAACTGGTGTCGAACAGAGCTCCACATCATCCAAGACCATTATGCATGGCTCCTCCATTATCAAGGCAACAGCGGCAACGGCGGCCGCCAGCAGTGCTACATTGCCACCGGTCTCGGGTCGGATTATAATACCGGAGCGGCCGTTTAAGAATATTGGACTGGAGGAGAAGGCGCCCATTACGTTCCAGAAGCCGAAGGCAAGCGTTAATCTGCTAACCGATGATAATAGTGTATCCACCGCAAGCTACTCGGATCGCGATGATTATGATTTTGGCACGCTCAGCTGTGAGGATGTCGATGTGGATGCGGAAACCGATGCGGATGCCGTTGCGGAGACGGTTAAGCTTGCCGAGCAGCAGCGCCAGCGGCAACAGTTGCAGCTGCAGCAGCAACAGCAGTTGAAACAATCGTCTGGTGTCATTGCGTGCTCAGCAGCCACATCATCCACATCGAGCAGTTCCAGTTCCACCGCCTCCTCAACGCAGCAGAGCAGCAGTAGCAACTCCAGTCGGGCCACAGCAAAAACGTTTGAGAACAAATCGCTAATCATGGGCCGCATCTTCAAGTCAAAGGCAAAGGCAACAACAGCAGCAGCAGCAGCAGCAACAGCAGCAGCAGCAACAGTAACACCAGGAGCAATAGCAACGCTTGGCGCTACTGGAGCAACTGGGACGCCGGTCAAGAGTGCTCCCAAGGATAAAGCGCAGCTGGATCAGCTCTTTGATGAGCTGCGTGGTGCAACAGCCAAGCCACAACAGCCCGTTATTGAGCTGGCGCCAATAACAGCAACAGCACCAACACCCAATTCGACTCCGGATCCTTGGTTAGCTCCCGATGTGCCAGCTTTGTCTGCGACGTCAGCGTCCGCTCCTGCAATGAAAGCGACCGCTGCCACCAAAAAGAAGATTACCACCAAAGCAGCAACAGCTGCTGCTGCTGGACCAGATCGAAAGAAAACTGCCGCTGGCAGTGCGAAGGCGAAAATCAAAACAACCGCACGCAAACCGACCAAAGATCTCTCCAAACTGCAATCGGAGCTGGGCATGAGCACCGCCGAGATTGAGCAGCTCATCGACGAAGGTCAACGTAAATCGAAGCGACGTTGCGCGACCAATCGGCCCAAAAAACTGGTGGAAACGTGGAGCTCTGATGAGTACGAGGAGTTCCTCTCCACCAAGGATATAATAGCTTTAATTGAGCAAAAGGAGCAGCAGGAGCAGCGTCGCAAGCGCAAAACCAGCGAGGCTGCCTCACAGCAGGAGTTGCTGCCAGAGCGACCGAATCTCACGCAGCCATTGAACAATGCTAAGAGCAAAAGGAATCGCAAGGCACACAAGGATCAGGTGGAACAGCTGCAGCAGCAACAGGAACCACAGCCACCAGCGCCGGCACCGGCGCCGTCCAAACGCAGCAGACAGCTGCGCGCAGCAGTTGATATTCAAGTGGAGGCGCCGCCACCGCCCCCGCCACCGCCAACGAAAACGACGAAGGCGACGCGCGGCAAACCAGCAGCCAGGACAGCGAAAGCCACAAAGGCGACCAAAACGCCGGCTGCTGTAGGCAGAAAACGTGGCAAGCAGCTGGAAGAACTGCAACTGGAAGCCGAACCCGAACCCGAACCTGAGCCGGCAACAGCAACGATCGTTGCTACAGCGGCGCCAACAGTGCAACAGCAGCGCCTGGAACGTTCTAGTCAACGCACGCGCAGCAGTCGTCAGCAACAACAGCAGCAGCAGCAACAGCAGCAGCGAGTGGTGGAGGCAAGCGCGGAGGTGGCGTCTGCGGAGCAGCAGCCAAGGGACATGAATCACTATCAGGAGAGCCATGAAAAGGCAGCGAGCAGCGTTAATGTCAAGCAAAAGCCGCGCGGCAGCAGCAACAATAATGTTAATAAAATCAACAACAACAACAATAGCAATCGCGGCAGCGTCGCAACGGCAACAACAGCAGCACCAACAGCAGCAGCAAATGCAACAACAAATAATAACAACAACAGCAGCAGCAGCAACAAAAATTTGAAAACAAAACGCAAATCGCAATCGAATCGACAATCGCCGGCGCGCCGGAAGCGACCGGCGAGCGAGAAGCAGCTGTATTATTGGAGCAGCTCCAGCGATGATGAATTCGGTCGCATCAATGTGGATGCCGAGGCAGCGGAAGCGGAGGCGGGAACCCAGGCAGACGCCGCCGTTTCAGCCGTTGCCACAAATGAGCCACAACAGCAACAACAACAACAGCAGCAACAACAACAGCAGCAGCAACTGTTGGCGCCGACGAAGCATTTTGATGACAGCGAACAATATCAGAAGCATGGCTGGATCGTTGGTGATTCGCACAAGAAGCTGGTGAAGCTTTTGGCCATTGCCAAGGGCAACAAGAAGGTGGACAATTGCGGCGTTAAGCGGCGGACGCCCAAACGCAAGTGCTAGGGGATGAGTGCTTGAGCAATTGATCGGTTGACACTTAATGCAGTAGCACTGCCAACATTTCGTGTGCGGTATCATTTCTCCGACGTCAAGGCTTATTATTGTGCATTCGTGTATATTGAAGCAGACAAAACACGACATATATTTTACTTTCTTTAAAAAGAGAAAAACATTTAAGCGTTACATTATTTAGGTTTTTTTTTTATTAAATGTATTTATAATTAATAAACAAAAATGCGCAAGCAACAAATAAATATTTGAGCACAACAATTGATCGATCGACTTATCACATTTTTAGACTAGTACCAAAGTTAAAAGCCAGCTAAAGCTTATTTATAAAACTGCTTAACTGCTAAAATCGAGTGATTCGTTTTCGATTTCAAATTTTCACAGCGCCTAAGTGTTACCATAATTTCATTCAACCTGTCACTTTCAATTACAAGTTGCTAACTCTAAGTATCGATAAATTGCTTGCGCGTCATCGATGACCAGCGCTAAAGAAGGTGGAATGTAACTGGAAATCGATAGTATCGGTTAGTTGCCATCGATTGTATTTGTAGCTCAGATTGTTTTGCAGATTGAAGCTCGGATGAGGAAAATATAAAAGAAATAGTTTTTAATAATTTTTATAACGTTTCATAAAACGCATTGGAGCTGTGCAAGTGCAATAATTGTGAGTAAATTAGTAACTGTTTCATACAAGACGTGAATACGAAACAATTCGAAATTGTATGCCGTTTACGCCTCAACATTTTTCACTTGCGTCGGAAGTTTTCTTTCTCTCTCTTCGCTTCATTTTTTTTTTTTTTTTTTTTGTTATATTTTACGATGCTGATTCGTAATTGTCTTCTTGTATACACGCTCGCTCTCACTGGTCTATGCGTGTATGTGTGTGTTTGTGTGTAACTGCTGCTGCTGCTGCTGGTAGGAAAATAATTAAAGCAAATAATTAAAGTGTACGAGTCCAATTTGTTGCAGATTTCATGGATAGTGCCTAATTACAGTATAACCATAACAAAATCAGTGTCTGTGTCTGTGACTCTGTCTCTGTGTGAGTTTAACTCTGCCAGTCCTGTGCCTGTGTGTATGTGTGTGTGTGTGTGTGTTGGTGGATGCTGTTGCTGCCAAAGGAGTATTAGAAGAAGAATTCTGTTCTTTTTTTGGATGCCATTCACAGCATCCACATTTACTCATAAAAAAAACGCACACGACGGGAATCGAAAGCGGAATCGCTGAATTGGCCATTAGTTGAACAGCGTCTGTTTGCTCGTTTCTCTTGCTGCCCACTCGGCCGCTTCTTTGTGCGCAACTGCAGGTAATCACATCTCCCCACCCCCGTCCATTCCTCCTTGAATACACGACAACTTGAACTCCTCGGCAGTTGGCTCGTAAGTTGGCTAAAACCACTCAATGAAGTCAGTGAAGAAAGTGGTAAATTAAGAACGCAGTTGTAGTCGTCATTCGGTGCATTAAAGATTCGCTGCACATGCAGTTTTGTAAGCTCCACAACTCCCCGCAGCCATGTTACCGCCCTGCAACGCTCTTTTCAATCGACAATTGAGACAAATCAAAAACAACAACAAAAGCAGCAACAAAACAGAAAGAGAGGCATAGAGTTTTTTTGTACAAGAGTCGTCGTCGTTATCGTAGTTGTTGCTTTTGTTATTGTTGTGTGCTTATGGTTGTTGTGCAGACCCGGGAATATATACACATAAACGTATATATATGTAAATATATATATATTGTGCAGGAAATCTGTTGCTGGGAAACTTGAGCACATCTCAGCGTGAACCATTGATTCTGCGTGCTGCACTTGTGCTGTGCGACAAGGTGGCAACTCTGCAGCAGCAAGCAGCTGCAACTGTGTGTCGCATATTTGTGTAATTCTTGTATAGCCGGAAAAACTCAATTAATGTTTCGAGTGTTGTTGCTTTTATTGAAGTACGCACCCACACACACACACACACCAACACACTGATACACGTGCACACACATACAATTGTAACTGTTTGTAGGATTTTTGTGTTCATTCACAGTCCCATTGAAAGAAAGAGAGAGCCAGAGAGGGACACTCGCTGTGTTACCAGAGCTAGTCAAAAGAGCAGGATAACAGCGACAAAAATGCACAGAGCGCCACAACAACGACAACAACAACAATGCAAAGCCTCCCACATTTGACATAACTGAAAAGTGACTCTCATTCGGTCAAGCTGTGCTTTCGCTCTCACAGAGTCGTTCATTCGCTCGTTTGCTCGCTCTCTCGCTCGCTGGCAGGCTCTCTCGCTCATTAAAACACTCTGGTCAGTTGTGCTCTCTGTTTCTTGCTTAGTTGCGTTTGTCGCAGCAGCAGCAGCGCAGCAGCAGCAACAGCAGCAGGCAAAAAGGATTTTCACTTTGCTGCAGACATTTTGCAAACGGGAAAGAAAAAAAAAGGCCGAAAAGAATAGCGATTAAATCATTATAATGTTCGTAAATTAAAGGTATGTGTTCGTGTGTGTGCGAGTGTGTGTGTGTGCGTCTAATCAAGAAAATATTCAAGTTTAAAACATTTGCAAAAAAAAAGAAAGAAAAAATTGAATTTGAAAGCTTGTAAATCTCATAAGTGTAGGAGGCAACGTGGGGCGGGGGCGGGTGACGGCACAGTTGGTAATTTGCATTTGGCTGCGCCGGTTGTGCGTGCTCAGTCAGCGCAGACTCTACTCTCTATTCCGCGCTGTTCTGCTCTGCTTTGCTCTCAGCGGAGATGTGTCCAGCCGTGGATGTATCCCTGTGCGGCTCAAGACAGAACTGCGTAGCTGTTGTTGTTGTTCTTGTTATTTAAGATTTTTGCTGCTTTCTATTATTGTTAAATTTAACAAAAAAAAAAAAGAAAGAAAAGAAAAGAAAGCGAACATTTTCTAGCCATCAGCATCAACATGAACATATTAGTGGCAGTAGTAATAGTTATTCATCTATATTTTATTTTCAATTTATAGTTATTCTCATGTGTGTCATTTAATATGTGTGATATGTTGTCTAAGGTTGAATATGAATAAATATTCTGAATTGAAGAAGCTGATTGCTGCAACGATTAAATAGAACAACAAGCAAAGCTTAAATATTTGTTGGTAAATCACAATCAGAATTGATTATCGAATTACCGATTTCAATGATGATTTCAATATTCGAAAAGTAAACTTTTATATCAACTTATTGTAATAATATTAATATAATATATATTTTGCTTTTGACGCAGGTACAACAACAAGATGCGTCAATTTAATATATCGGTCATTGGACTATCCGGGACCGAAAAGGATCGGGGCCAGGTTGGCGTTGGCAAATCATGCCTGTGCAACAGATTTATGCGGCCAATGGCCGATGATTATTTTATAGATCACATATCAGTGCTCAGTCAGAGCGATTTTAGCGGACGCATTGTTAACAATGATCATTTTCTGTATTGGGGCGAGGTGCGAAAAACAACCGACGAGGGTGTCGAATACAATTTCAACATCATCGAACAGACCGAGTTCATGGACGACTCCACATTCCAGGCCTTTAAGGTTGGCAAAATGGATCCGTATCTGAAACGGTGCACCGCCACAAAAGTCTTCTCCGCCGAGAAGCTAATGTATATATGCAAAAATCAGCTTGGCATCGAGAAGGAGTACGAGCAAAAGGTGATGCCCGATGGCCGTTTAAGCATCGATGGTTTTGTCGTTGTCTTTGATGTGAGTCCCGTGCCAAATCGTAGCGTTGAAAAACAGGTGGAATTTGTCCAGAATGCCATTGCCAATATAATGAAAAACAAGAAGCCATTGATACTGGTGACCACCAAAAATGATGACGCATATGAGCTGTATGTGCGTGAAGCGGAGAAAATTAGTCAGCGCAAGGATTACAAGAGTACCGTGCAACTAATCGAGACATCGTCACATGAGAGCATCAACATTGATTTGGCATTCCTGATGCTGGCCCAAATGATTGACAAAGTGAAGAATCGCGTGAAAATTATTTCATATCAGGAGTCGGCCAAATCGCGCAAGGAGCTCCTCGATACACGATCCGAGGCGGTCACCCGGCTAATACGCAATCAAATCACCGACTATCACATATTGTGGTCACAGGGCTCCAAGATGCTGTCGCAGTATCGCGAATGGAACGAGTTCCTCAACATATTTGGACACGAGGCCGGCCAGAAGCTATTCCGTCGTCACATGAAGAAGCTGCGCGACGATCATCTCAACAAGAAGCTCCATCAGTATTTGGACAAGTTTGCACTCGCCTTGGAGTATCTGCTGCCCGATATAAGTGTGCTCAACATTATCGATGACGATCCGTGGGAATGTGCCCGCAATTTTCTCCAAAATCACATGGAGTTCGAACAGTATTTTTTCGAGTGCCCGCAGGCCACCTGGACGGAGCTGCTCGATATGGATGAGGCCGATGACGAGGCGCGTATCCCTTTCGACGTACTCGAGACCAACGAGGCGGAGACTGTGTTCCGTAACTATTTGAATTCCGTGCAGCAGGATAAAAAGAAAATTGGGTAAGTACATATTCCATTTTATAATAAAATATAAAGAAACTGTGCAAATGTTTTGGAAATATGAAGAAAGTCTCGTTTAAAATCGATTTAAAAGACAATTAATTGCATCGTTGCATCGCTTTGCAGCTGGAAGCAGCAGTTCAAGATGCTGCTGGAGGAATCTGGTTTTGTGACGCCCGGCAAACAGCTGTCGGAGGTGCGTGTCCTATTTATGGGTAGGGAATGCTTTGAGGCGCTATCCGAACACGATTGCCAGCAGATCTATGATATACACCAGGACGAGATCATCGAGAAGAGCAAACAGAATTTTGTTGAGCTGCTGCTGGAGCATGCGCAATATTTTCTACAATTCAAGAATGTGGACATTATCACACAGGAGGATGTTAGACAGATAACGGATGTCATTCAGGAGGATTCGCGCTACAAGATGCTCGATCGTCTCGATCAGGAGCGACGGGTGATGCTCGTCCAGCATTTACGCTTCATTCACTGTCCCATCCGTGATCATTGCCCGTTCTTCAACAATTGTGTGGATAATCTGATCGAGGAGGTGCTCTCCGACAAATCGGTGGCCAATCACAAGCCACTGGGCGGTGTTGGAGGCGGCGGCGTCAGCGGCGGTTGGAAGACCACTGGCAATGGCAGCGATCGCACATTGAATCTGCTCATTGTCGGCTCCGAGCATTTGGCCAGCGATCTGCTCAACGATATACGCATATGCACGGGCAGCAAGGGCGAGTATATATACGAGAATCAAACATATTATCTCAATTATCGCATTGCCAATGGCGACATGGAGGCCTTCAAGGCCATCGATGTTTATTCGAGCGGTAAGCTAAAAAAAACTATACTTTTTTTAATACTCTTGATGTACATATATATATATTTGGCCATTTTGCTGCAGGTCTCATTTGTGTCTACTCCAATCAGCAGTCGTTTGAGACGCTCAAGGATAATTTGGAACGGACGCTCCTTTGCAATCTGGAGCTGGAGGATAAATTTGAGAATCTACCCATTGTGCTTGTCTATCAGCCGCAGGATCTCAAAGAGAACGAGATCGAATATCTGCGCAGCGAGGGCATGCGACTATCCGAAATGTTGCACTGCGATTTCATTGATCATACGCAAAATCATCAGAAATATGTTTACGATATACTCAATATTGTTATACTATCGCTCAAGCTAAGCGAAATGAAAAGCTACGAGCCATATCCATCGTCCAATCACACAGATCTCCGCATCCTTGTCTGCATCTACTGTGGCGATCAATACGACATTGAGAACATTGTTCAGCCCCTAATTGCCGAATCAACGGCTGTCAAGGCCAATGAGCATAGCATCATTGTCGATGTCTTCATTGGTGATGCGAAGCGGCGCGTTGAATTCATATTGTCATCGTATCATGGCACCAATCAGTATCGAGATGAGCTCATCCACGGCTACATCTATATCTACTCAGCCAAACGACGCTCCTCGCTGGCCAATCTCAAGTGGGTAGCCACATTCCAAAGCATATTCCACATTCCACATTATCTCAAACATAACATTTATGAATTACTCTTGCAGCATTTTGGCCGCCCAGAATGCCAACATTCCATTGCAGTTGGTCGCTGTCACGGAAAGCGGTGGCGTCAATGCGTTCTTTAATAATGAAATTTGCCAGTTTCTCATTACCGAGGGTAATGCATTGGCCGATCGCTACAAGGGCAGCTTTATGACATTCTCGTCCGATCAATATGTCAAGTGTATGTGTCCAACAATTATAACCAAATACACTGATTATTTAATTAGTGCTTGTTGGTTTGAAATGTTAATGAATGAATGAATGAATTTGTCGTCGTTGCAGTTGCCTTTTATAATCCATTCCTGAAGACCGCCTGGGACAACAAATATGAGGTGGAGAATCTGCATGTGGAGGAGTCAATTACTTTAGATTCGGGCGAGGGAACGCTCGAGAATTCGGTTAATCAAATGCCGCGTCCGCCGCCACGACACGAGAGCTATATGCTATCGAATACACTCGGCACCGATGGTTCTGGCAGTGAGAATTACGAAATGCTTCCTACACGATCTCTCAACTCATTAAATGGTTAGGATATCATCATAATCATTAGATAACACACACACACCTAACACACAACTATATTCATATTCATATTCATATCGATTCACTCGATTACTATTATATCATTGCAGAAGAAAGAGATATATCACTAGATGAAATCTATGATGACAACAACGAAAAACCCAAGCATCTGCATCAAAGTAAGTTTTATCCTGGCTGCCTTATTCTCTCTGCTCGCTCCAAAAACAAAAAAAAAAATACCAACAAAATTGACACCTCTAAAACATATATAGGTCCAATTACCCATATATATACATACATACATATATATATATATATATATCACATAAACTACTACTACTACGTTAATCAAAATCCAAACAGTTAGCAGCATATGTATATAAACATAATACATATACAAATATATATATACCGTGTGACGTGTACATGATTATTTGATTACCTGTGCATTATGAGACTTCATGCTAGATTGTACCCTGTAATCAAAGCCATTAAAGGGCTGCTGGCATGGACAATGAGAGCTTTCAAAGTGATAGAACCAACGAGAAGAGAACAATAACAACAACAACAGCATTACTTTAATATATTATTCAACAGTTTATCTCATAATACCCGGGCTGGTATATGCTGGTACGGCAAGAGCTAACCAATGTAATTCAATATACATATTGACTAGATCAAATATAATACTATCAATGTGGGTCTTACCTCTTCTTAGCTCTTATTTTTAAAGCAACCCATTAGATTGTTATATATATATATATATTATATAGCAGTAGTCGTCGTTCAGCTCAGCAGAGGCAATCAGAGTCGTTCGGAGTTGAAAAGTTCAGTTGTAAATAAATATTGCTTAAATCGCATAATCTAATAATAATCATACGAATATGTTATAAACAAATACAGTGTTTAAGTTATTCCATGAACGTTATTCGCATTCACTCAGATTCGTCTTAATCGGTTTCCACATAAATATATGTATATATATATATATATATATATATTGATTCATATGGAAAACTCTTTCAAAAACTGTCTGCCACATGCAACTGTTTACAGGGTATTTGCCTAGTCACGGTGCATAGCATTTTTAGGATTATATTCATATGCATTGCTTGTAAATGAACAACCGAACCCAAAATCAATATCCAACATCGAACAAACTCTCCAACCGAAAAGACACTTATCCAATTTTAATCATATACATACATATATATATATATATATATCTCGAGACCCGCATATTCTAAGTACAGTCATACTCTTTTTAATGCTCTATATAATGATTACCATATATTAATGATTAATCATAACAATTGTTTTTTTTTATCGATTTACCTCTGTGTGTGTATTCGTTGTTGTCATTGCCTATTGCATACCAATAATTATTATATATACCAAATACCAAAAAAAAAAAATTGAAAAAAACTGAAAAAAAAAAAACAGGATTCCAGATATTCCCTCCTCCAACAACTCCTCCAGAGCCAGCCCCTCCAGATCATCAGCTCATTACATGCACATATAAGAGTCAATTCGTTTCGGCTTCAGAATCAAGTTTGGAAGAAATAACATGTAATCTAACTAATTGAATATTTTCTTATATACTCGTTTATATCGTATGAAATCGTATATACATACCAATTTACTTTTAGTAATTTCGTTTCTATTCCTTTTATTACTTTTATTTGTGCTTATACTCATTTTGGTCTTCGTTTTACAACCAAAACGTAAACTGTAAATGTTGTTTGTTCGTTCATTCGTTCATCATTATTCAACCGACCACAATCATCACCCAAACACCACACCCCCAAAGAAAAACAAAAAGAAAAACCCCCTCTCTGTCTGTCTCTCTCTCTCTCTCTCTCACACTCATTCTGTTTCTCTTTGTACAAATACCTGATATATGTACATACGTATATAAGTATATGTCTCCCGCCTCCCCCACCCCCGCCCGCATACAACATGTATCATCATTCATTATCATTCATCAGCTCATATGAATTCTCTAGCTCTCTCTCTCTCTCTCTCTCTCTCTCTCTCTCTGTCTGTCTCTGTCTCTGTCATTTTTTGTTGCTGATTTGTAACCGCCACATACAATGTACATACATATATATTAAATGCATTATGATATGATGTACATAAGAGTCTATGTACACGCATAGATATATACTATATATTTATTATATACCAACTAACATTTGGCATCGATTGTATTATTATATATATAGTGTAAACTTCGTTCTTTTTTTTTTGTCCTGTGTATATATTTTTTTGGTTGGTTTCGTTGAATTTTTTTTTGTGATTTTTTGGTTACTTTTGAACTAACTTAGCTGCGCTAACTGTTGAGATTTTGATGCGTATATTATATTTTCGTTGTTCTTGTTGTTGTTTTCTTTCGTCTTTTCCTTTTCTTTTTTCCACTCATGCATTTCATAAGCAGCGGATGTCAGCGGGTCGAAGGATTCATTGGCCACCCATGATGCAGGTTAAAACTTATGTTCCGCTCTCTTAACTAAGTCGCTGTTCAATGTCTCTCTCTCTCACTCCTTACACACACACAACAACAACAACAACAATAAAAACTCCTGCACGATCATTAGAGAAACCACCCAACCCAACCCACCACCCATCGTAATCCTTTGCCTCCTCCTCCTCCTCCTCCTCCACACACAAACACACACACTTGAGAGTGTGTGCCTTGTTTAGATCTAGCCTGGCACTTAGTTAAAAAAAAAATACAAATAAAATAAAATAAATGTTTTTGCATATTTTAAACTTGCTCCACTCCATACACCAACCCCGCCCCGCCCGCCCCGCGCCCTTTCCCCCGGCCTGCACTGCTCGCAATTAGCTTGTTTTTGCCTAGTTTAGCGTTTCGCTGCGTGCCTTTTGAGTGGCAATCAAAATGATGAATTCGATTCTCGCTAATTGCAGAATGGCTGGAGGATAAGAACGATGCAGCGCGTCGCAATATGAACAAGAACTCAATCTGGAACAATTTTAGCGGCTCAACGCATGCGTATACAACTGGACGGCGGCATATTGATTCAAATTTGAATAAGATACGTCCGAAGGGACCCAGCCAAACGTTGAAGGTGGGTGAAGCGCCCAGTCGAAACTGTGCCATGAGCTCCTCAACATTCACGCTACCCACACAGCAACCGGGCAAGCTGAACATGAAGAACTTTCAGCTGGTCAGCGATGCGGTTGCCAAGATGAACTTCAGCAGCAGCGGCAGCATGGGTGACTCCTATTTGGCGGGCTGTGAGTCCGGCGAGAAGGATGCCGCCAAGCGCTATGATCATGCCCAGCTCGATGGCGAGGACGAGGACTCCGAAGAGCTTGCCGAATACGAGCAAATCTATGAAAACGAAGGTGCGTACCCACTCAACTCTTGGATATATCGATATTGGAATCTAGGAATCTAGTTTCATTTCGAGTGAATCGTTCATCGGCTTTCTTTCTAATCATCAACTCGATCTCTCTGACTATCCTTTATAATAATTCTCTGCAACAAAGTGAGGAATGTTTGTTTGTATTAATATGTAATATGTAGTGTATATTTTATATATGATTCGATTTCGATAGTTACGATTTATAGATTTAATGCTCAGCTCCAATTAGTGGCTGGAGGATGCTTGTGTTTATTGTCCGATCGCTTTTCACCTTTTTTGTTTTCCTTTTGTGCATGTAATAAAAATCATCGCTTCACCTTTCAAATTATTAATAATTTATAAAATATATATATATATAAAATATATACTTATTTGGTGTCCCTCGTCAATCAATATAAATGGAAGTGTTTCTCCATCTTTATGGAGCGGGCAGAGTTATAGGAAGTAAACATGGATTACTAATTACTAATTAAAAATAAAATACAAAACTCAAGGTATAAATTGCGGAAGAAATTCATTCAATGAATCCCTATTAAACATGTATTTATTTCAAATATAATAATACATTTTTATTTAATTTTTTTTGTTGCATTCTTACAGACTGCACCGAGTCGGACAGCTGTGCCAGTTCGACGGAGAGACGTGTGCGTCAGCAGAACACCTACTACAATGCCAACAAGAAGGCGGCCACCTCGAAAAAGAACAAGAAGAAGAAGGTCGCAATACCGGTGCAGACACCAAGAGTGCCTCCATTTGGGGCATACGTTAGCCCGCCAGAAATACCATTGCACTACCAGCGCATGGCAGCCGTTGCAGCGGCGGCAGGTGAGAAAAGTATGTGTCGTGATTTATTTTCATTTCAATCATTTCACCAATTTTTACATTTCATTCCCTGTACCAACTAACAACAACAGAAACATTAAATTTAAAACAGTTAAACAGTTATTCAGAAAATTGCTTCAGTTTCTGAGAAACATATAATTGTGGCAAGTTATGACAAAAACGTTCCACCATTCTACAAATATTGTCCACAAGATAGCCTGCCCCTTGCTCAACCTCCTCCTTTTGCCACATTGAGTCTGTTTCTTTAAGTACCCATTTTAAGGGATGTTTACTTCGAAATTGTAGGTGTTCACATAGTGCCATCCATCTCGTAAACCCTTTTTTTTTATTACACACATTACACATTTAACATTGTTTGTGGTTTTGACTCGTGCTCTAAAAAAATTGCACCTGAGGGGACAGTATTCAATACAATTTTGTGTTTCAGAACTCAAACAACAATTGGGTTGGGTACGTTTATTCCATGTGTCCAAAATGTTGTTCATAGTTTTCCACCGATTTTAATAACATCGTAAAGTATTTTAGTCCGATTTTTTTTTTTGGTGTCGTACAATAACCAACATTTATTTATTTAATTTTATGTTTTATTTATGTTAAATACTGACTCGCTATTTTTAATTAGAAAAAACGGATTCGGGTGTTGTGGCCGAGTTTATGAAGAGCGACAAGTCACCAGAGGTAAGTCCTATCCATATATCATATATATCTGTATCATAATGATTTTTAATTGGAATTGTATTCAATTGAATTATTTGTGTAGTACTCAATGGTGCCAGAGCTAACAGCAGCAGGAATATTTGGTGCAGAGAATTTACCCGAATATAATATGAATGCCAAATGCTTGAAGGACTTTGAGAAACTGGAGAAGCGTCGTATCAAGGAGGAGGCGGCACGCCAGCGCAAGCTGCAGGAGAAGGAAAAGGAGCAGGAGAAGAAGCTCAAGCGCAAGCTCAAACAGAATGCCAAGGGCCTAACCGAGACAACTGAGGCACAATTTGGCAAGCTAATGATCACCTCCGACAAGGACGAGATACCCATATTCTTGATCAAGTGCGTGGAGTTTATCGAAAAAGAGGGTCTCGATTCGGAGGGCATCTATCGTGTGCCCGGCAGCAGAGCGCATGTCGACATGCTCTTTCAACGTTTCGAGGAGGGTAAGGCAATAATCCCCATCACATTGCTGTACATCAATTAAAATCCATATTGATTTATATTCTTATAGATACCAATACAATTATTGACGTGCTGGATATTCCAGTGAATGCGGTTGCTACCGCATTGAAGGATTTCTTCTCGAAACGCTTGCCGCCACTTTTCAGCAAGGATATTATCAAAGAGCTGGAGGAGATTGCCGGTAAGAGTGCTGCACTATAGAATATATATATATATATATATACATATTTGCTATATGCCTGCTTGCTTTCATTCTGTTCGTAGGCTCTCGGGGCGTCGGCTCGTCCAAACTGAATGTGGAGGTGAAAACCGATCGCAGCTGCCGTTTGATAGCTTTAAAATCATTGCTACAGAAACTACCACCCATCAATTTTGCCATACTCAAATACATATTCCAACACTTTGTGCAGTAAGTGCCGCCACCATCACATATAGAATCAAATTGTACTATGCAAATAATTTGTATATTACAAACCAATTCGCTTATTAGATTATTATCAAAATTAGAAACCAAATTGTTCTTATTTATTTGATTTTATTTTGTCTTTCAGCGTCTCGGACAATTCGAAGCTAAACAGCATGGATAGCAAGAATTTGGCAATTTGCTGGTGGCCCACATTGATACCGATCGATTTCACGGATATGGGACACTTTGAGCAGCTGCGGCCATATCTGGAGGACATTGTCCAAACGATGATCGATCAATTTCCGTATCTATTCTGCGGCAAAGATGCTTTTGTTATGGTTTAGGCTAGTTAGATAGATATGGCAAACGAGGCGAACTCCAAACGACACAGATAAACAGAGAAGGGAAAAGGCATTGTAAAAGAACCCATCGATCTGAAGATTTGAAGGTCATTCAAAAAAAAGAAAAAAAAAGAAAAACAGCAACAAAAAAAACAAGCATGTAATTCAAACCGGGCAGCAAGTCTCGTTATTTGTCGTAAGTTTTTGTAAACGCAACAGTATGAGAATGCATAATATATATACTTTGTACAGTACATATATATTTATGTGTATGTATATGTATTGTGCATGGTATATATATATATATATGTATATATACCATATATATGTGTGTGTATGTCTGTAAATTATTTGGTATTGCAAAAAGTATGAAACCAATTAGTTAAGTAGGGTATATTTATTTATATATATATATATATATATATATGTATGTATGTGTCTATATCTATTTGTATACATATACATATATAGATATTCAATTTATTTTTTGTATTAATGGCTTTGTTGTGTTTCCGTGATATATGTAAACGCATAGGGTTTTGCGTCCTCAAGCGCCGCCCGATCTATAGTCCCATCATACACTATCTACACATTTGTATCTCTATGTGTGTGTGTGTGTGTGTGTGTGTATTTTGACGGCGTGGTTGGGCGGTGCAGGGCGCAAAGTTAAATAAATTTATTAATTGTGTATTGTATGTTAAAATGTATGTTAAAAAAACAAAACAAAAATAAGTAAACTACTGCATTACGAATGATATATGCATATTATTTATACATATAAATATATATACGTATATTTATGTATGTATGCTAATTTTATATAAACATATATGATGAAGCAGCAAAACAAAAGAAAGTTAAAATTATAACATGTGAAAAAAAAACGAAAACAAAACAATTTCCAGCTACTAAATGTGAATCTCTTTGTATGTGTATGCGTGCGTGTGTGTGCGAGTGCGAGTGTGTGTGTGTGTATGTGAGTGTGAGTGGGTATGCTTGTTCTTCTATGTGTATTGATATCTACGTATAAGAAAACCCATATATATATATATATGTATAGATATATATATATATATAGAATTGTGTCTAAAAGATGAAATGTATTAGCGCTAATTATTATGGTACTCCCCCTACCGAAAACCATCCACCTCCTGCCCCTTCACCAATTCCCTCCCCCACACGCCCCTCACAGGATCAATATTGCAAGCAAACAAACAAACAAAAAAACTCTTTGTCTCTAGCTCTCAGCTATTATAAATGTGTGCTCTACTCTACATATGAAAAATAAAAAACAAAAAAAAAGGAAGCAAATTATATAAAACAAAAGGCATTAAAAGAAATTTATATAAAAATGATATTCATATATATATATATGTATATATATATATATATATATAAATATACATATATCTACTTATATATTTATGTATGTATATATATGTATATATGTTTTTTAACTAAAGAGCAAAGTGGAAAGCGTAAAGCGACAAACATGATGAAAACAGAAAACAGTAGGCAACATAAGCGTAAGTGTTATTTCTTGTAATTGAGCATTAATTTTTTATAAACTTAATTATATAATTGTGTATCTTGTGTCTGAACGGACCTCAAACTTAAAGCAAACGAAAACAAAAAACAAAAAAACGAAAAACCATTTAAAAAAACAAAATGTGCGAAAACTGTTGCGCTACACAGAGAGAAGAGAATGAGAAACAAAAAACAAAACAAAAAATAATCAATATATAGTATAATTTGTATAGATGTGTGTCTATTGCATTATTTGTAAACGAATGTACATGCATATATGTATATATACGCTGGATTAACGGTATATATGTATATGCATTTATTTATATACGCTAAAAAGAAAAAGAAAACAAAACAAAACAAAAATGCAAACAAATAATGTCTCAACAAAATGTAATTCGACGTGATGTGTAATGATATTTTTAAAAGCAAATTTTATGCCCCGATCCCCCGCCCCCAACCCACAGGCCTTGCGCCAGCTCCCCCCTCAGTCGAAAAACCAGGGCCCCCAAAACAAACTCTCAAGCATAGATATATGTATATATTATATATATATATATACATATATATATGCCATCTACATACATACATACATATATGTCAGGCTATGGAGTGCGAAATAAATTTGTGGGCATTTTCCAAATATTTGTGAAGCATTTACATTTCTTGTATTTATTGATTAGAACTCTTTTCGATTGGATAAAATAACAATATCTCTCCACAATTACTCATAGCTGGCGAGCAAATTTGTTACTATAGCCTCTGAGTCCAGCAGCGTTAATCTCTGCGTTATTTTCGACTTTTTATGTACAGGCTCATCATTATCATCATCAACATTATCATCGTCATCGTCTTCTTCATCATCATTGTCGTCATTTTGATGATCCGGCATTTCATTGTTTTCCCGCTTTTTATACAGCTTATCCGGATCAGGCAGCCAGGACAAGTCCACTGACTGCTCCGAGTCGCTATCCATATCATCCGGCTGCTGGTCTTCATTGTGATCTTCCTCCTCCTGCTCCTCATCGCTCTGCTCTTCTGCCTTTTTGCGTAGCATCATGCGCTGCAGCTTGTGCCGCTTTTTGACCAGCTCCCGGAAACGCTGCTTATCATACTGATCCTCTTCATTGAGCAGCGCCTTGGACAGCATTAGATTGATGCCGCCATCGTCATCCTTTTGTTTCTTTGTCTTGCCGGTCAGCGCCTTCATCTGATTGCGCTCATCGGTCAGCGTTTGGCCATCCTCATCGAACTTGAGCTTGTTGTTGATCTGCAGATTCTTTTTGAGCGCCTTCTTGGCCAGCGCCGCTTTGGTAACCAGTTTCTCGCGCTTGGGCACCACCAGCAGCTCCTCCGAATCCTCTTCATCGCTTGCTGCTGCTGGGCTTAGTCGGTCCAAGTCAACGGGCGCACCTTCGACATCATGATCCCGTCGCTTGATATTGATGAAATCATCGTCCTCAACGTCACTGTGATCAGATGCGCCGCCAAAGCTGGTTGTTGTCTGCTGAGCCGGCAGGTCATCTTTCTTCTCTTGCTGCTTCTGTCGCCACTTGAGCTTCTCGATAAAGGGCACACGCGGCGTGACCGCCAGGCCCAGCGATTGCGCATAGGCATCCAAATCGAGGCTGAGCACATTGAAGAGCCGCTTGTTGCGCATCAGGAAGACCGACTTGAGGTACGCCAGAAAAGCACGCTGTGCCGAGGCACGCAGCTCCGGGAACTGGGCAAGGAACGCTTCAATTTTGACGCGCGGTGAGAACAACTTCTTGGGATCAATGTGCACCGATTTTATCTCCACGTTCAGCTGTTCGCGCAATGCGCCAATCATGTGCTCCTCCTCGTTGGGCGTCATGACCAGAAGGCACTCGCCGTGCGATTTGTTGCGTGCCGATCGACCAGCTCTATGAATATACTGCGATACATCCTCGGGACAGTCGAGCTGCAGCACCCAGTTGACAGCGGGAAAGTCCAGACCGCGTGAAGCCACATCTGTGGCAAACATGACAACCTGGCTCTTGCGCAGAAATTCCTCGTATATGGCAATCCGTTTATCCTGATGCAGTGTTCCGTAAAGGGCGAGCAGGCCGACGCCTGGACGCAGTTTGCAGAAGATCTCGTACAGATATTTGGCCTGTTTGCAGCTGGCGACAAACACAATGATCTTTTGTTTCAAATGATTCTTGATAAACGACCAGAGCATGGTTATCTTCTCCTCCAGCGGCAGGACCACATAGCTCTGTTGCAATAGCTCGGGCAGAGCCAGCACGGCCGCATTACTTGCTGGCGTAGTCGTTGAATTAGCTGTCCCATAGCCTACATAGACGGGCTGCTGCAGATTGAGACGTGCCAGATCCTCAAGCGTATTCGTTTGCGTTGCCGAAAAGAGCAACGTTTGACGATCTGGCGGAAAGTTTTCAATGATCGCATTTAGCGTCTTTTGGAAGCCCATGTCCAGACAGCGATCCGCCTCATCCAACACCAGCATCTCCATGGTGCTCGTGTTGAACAACGGATTCTCGTCCATGTGCTGCAGCAGCCGACCCGGCGTGCATATCAAAATATTGCACTGATCCATGCGAGTCCGCTCAAACTTCAAATTCTTGCCACCAATGATGAGACCCGCCGAGAAATCATGATGTTTGCCCACCTTCTTCAGCGTCTCGAATATCTGGTACGCAAGTTCACGTGTTGGCGATATAATAATGGCACCCACGCCATCCGAGCGCGACCATTTATTCATATACAAATGCTCCAGAACCTGCCAAAAATGAACGGAATGAATTTAAATTAAGACCTCATACAAACTAAGTGGGAATCCTCGCTCTATGTGACCCATCACTACTTACTGGAATGAGAAAGGCCAACGTTTTGCCGCTACCAGTTATTGCCGCGCCGAGCACATCCTTGCCCTGGAGTGCTGGTCCAATGCTCTGGCGCTGCACTTCTGTCGCCGTTATAAACTTAGACTCGGCCAATGCCTTTTGGGTTTTCTGCGACAGCGGAAATTGTGCAAAGGTTTTGATGGTGCTGGCATCGATATCGTCGTATTTGGAACGCAACTCCTGGATTTCAGAATCAGTTGCGGCAAGTTTTGAACGCGATATCTCTTTGGAGCGCTTCTTGTTGATAGATTTTTTGTGGCTGTTGGCCTGCTTGTGCTTTTGTGGTCCCGGTTTACCAGAACCTCCAGGTCTTTGCTTGTGCATGCCGCAGCTTTCAAAATTGCTTCAAAAGCAAAAAACGTTCTGTTTATTCGACTGTTGCACGAGGGACTGGGTATCGTAATTAAATCGATATTATGATTTTAACGATTACGCCGCCATCGATATACTCAACGATTTTTCCTCACATTTTTCAAATTGTGCATAATTTTTGGTATAAAATGTATAAAATAATTAAATAAATGTATATGACTGTTTCTTCATGTACAGAATTAAGAGTTGAGAGTGAGTTTAATTCCGTCAATACTCAAATCACAAATTGCTCGTAATATCAACGATGCCATACGATAGTTGCACTCGTAATCGTTAATCGTTGCATTTATTTTTACGTTATAATTAAACGGTCACACTGCACGCTGCTAGCTGCATAGCTTAGAGGTGGTCGCCATTTTAATATCAGACAGGTGCTCGCTTCAGGATTGTGTGGATATGCACATAAAATTAAGATTTATATTTTGTTTTAATGGTTCCACATCGATTAAAGGGCATCTCACTATGCTTTTGCTTACATACATATAATTATTTAAGTAATGTTGAGAGAGTGTTGAATCCTATACAGATAAATCCTATACAAGTTGAGTTGAATCCTATACAAGCTATTATCATATTCGATAGTTGTTTGTAACGATTCTCACGAGGAGCTGACTTGATAGTCTCTAGACCATCGCACATCAGTTGGTTGGTGGGCTGGCTGGCGCTAGCTTATTGTTGCTTAGGCATTTGTATCTACAACAAGGTTGGCCCACAGTTTTGTACTAAATATGTGTTGTGGTGCAACAGTTCAAAGTATTAAATTAGCGCGCGGCGTGAGACAGTTAAATGCAATTTCCAACGTCGGCTGGCTGTGAACTGCAACATACTCCTTCCAACAATCAGCAACTGGCCCCGGCCCCCTGTCTTTCTCTCTCTCCCTGCCCTCCTTCCCCCTCTCTCTCTGTCTCGTTCCATCTCTGTCACACTGTCATTACATACAGCATCGTGAATTGTGTGCGAATCGAATGTGAATTTCCTTTTGAATCAAATTCAAATTGGTCAGCAATATGGGCACAATATCATCGGTACTACAATGGTCGTGCAGCAAATGCAATACCATCAATCCGACCGAATCATTGAAATGTTATAATTGTGGCACCGTGCGCAAGGTATTCCCGAGTCCTACCGCAACATTGTACCAGCGTCAGCAGCATCAGCAACATTCGTCATCCCAGCAGCCACCGCGACACCAAAGCACTTGGATACATCACCATCAGCAGCAGCAACAACAGCAGCATCGACAACGACAGAACGAAAACCAAATGCTAGACGCAGGTGCGATGACGACGACGGCGGGGATGACGGAGTTGGCCGCTGAGTGTGATGAGGACGTCGCGACAATTGTTGATAAGCACAAAGCTGTGACCAGGTAAGCATACATGCATACATACATAGATACATGAGCATACACGCATATGCATACACTTTTATGGGTGTACATATGTGTGTGTGTGTGTGTGAGTACACAAAGATTCAGCTAACGTTTACCGTTATACAAAACAAAACGAATTGCATGTGTGCGTGTTTGTTCTTTTCTTGCGCTCGGTCTCTCCCCACAAGCACACACACACTCCGACTCTATCTATCTAACTGTGTGTAAGTGTGTGTGCGTTTCTGTTTTGTGTATTGTATACAGTGTATACACAATAACAACAACAATTGAAGCAACTGCAGCAACAACATCAAAGGCTGACCAACAAAAAAGTGTTGCTCTTTTTTTTGTTTTGTTTTTTTTTGGGTAAAATCGATTTGAAGCAAACGCGAGTTTGTTTACAGTTGTATTGATTGTTGGATTTCTATCTGTTTCACGGCTCTCTTCAAGCAAAAGTAATAGCAATAACGAAATACACAAAATATAGAAAATTATAACAGCAAATGTTAAACAAAAAAAAAAAAAGAAAAAGCAGAAAATAGTGCAAATATTAAATAGTGCATAAGTAAAGTAGGCTAAGTGCGAGAATTGAAGGATTGACCACATTGAAATAACCTTGCACTCGTCTCCTTAGCAGGGAAAACAGCGTTTTTTTCACTTCCTTTTTTTTTTGTACTTTTTTTTTATCCTATTACTGTCGGTGGTAAAAGAAGTGTTAACCGTTAGCTGTTCCGTTCCCCTTCTTTCCATTTCCGTTATGTTCGCAGAGCTGAGCACACAACAACAGCATCAACAACAACAACAACAGCAGCAACAGCAGCAGCAACAACAACAATAAACAACAAACAGGGACACGTTTACAAATCGCTGCTGCGCGGATGTTTAAAGCGTCCGCAACGCAATAGCCAAAATTTGCCAGCCAATTGTATCGATTGCGAGGAGACGCGGAAATATATAAAGAGCTCCATTGAGCTATATCGCCATTTCTCGAATCCGGCATTGAATCGTCGTTGGATTTGTCGCGCCTGCGATACGGATAACAATTCGGTGACATGGCATTGTGTCATCTGCGATACGGTTAGCTATCTGGCGCCCATATACAAGGAGACGCTATGCACGCGACGACATGAGACGGCGTCGGCCCAAACACCCATTGTTGGTTCAATACAGCCGGAGCTAAGCATCAGCATTGGCATTGGCAACAGCAGCGGCAGTGGCAGTGGCTGTGGCGCTGCCGGCAACAGCATCGATCAACCGGATAAGGATAAGCATCTAGACCGGGAGCAATATTTGCATCAATTGGCGGAGCAGCAGCAACATCAGCAGCAGCAGCAGTCGCTGCCGGAGGACCAGCACAATCAGCAACATTCCAATAGACGTCATTTGAGGGCGCGCCGTTTTTCCTACTTTCGACGCACCCAGAGCCTGAGCACATCCTTCGAGAAGAGCTCGTCCTCGGCGCTAACGCATGCGACAGCCTCATCATCATCGGGCCGCAGCTGTCACATTTGCTATGTGAACAATCTCAGCAAAGATATATTCAATCTTCCAATCGACGCCCCACTTAACAACTACCAACAACAGCAATATCAGCAGCAGCAGCAGCAGCAACAGCAGCAGCAGTTGCACAAGGGCAGTAAGTAATCAATACTCAGTGTTGCAATTACATCAAATCACAATATCGTCATGCGATCTGATTTCCTCTGGTTTATTTACAGCTCAGCTAGCACCTATCGTTGCTGTTGTTGACTCAGTTAATCGCTTGCCGCCTGTCGCCAGCGCCGCCGCCACCGTTGTCTGTAGCAATTCGCGCTTTGCCATTGCCAATGACACATTCTGTCGCCGCAAGCAGAACAACAACAATAAGAACCAAAACAATAAATTGCGCGACGGCTGTGCCAAAAAGAAATACAATTTCACAATCACAACGCTATCAAGATCGGCCAAGGCAACTGCTGCAGCGGCAATCGCCACACCAACAGCAACAGCTGCATCAGCATCTGGTGCGGCGGCAGCAACAAAACCCATGCGACAACCGCATCCCAAGCTGCGGGAGGCCAATAGCAATAGCAACAGCAGCGCTCCAAACTTGGAGAGAAACGGTGCGGGGAGTGGAAGTGGAAGTGGCAGTGGAAGCTCACAGTTTACTATACCGCGTAACGGTGTCTTTATTGCTGTTAACGATTGGTCAGAGCCAGCGACGCGCGGCAGCAGCAACAGCACTAACAGCAGCAGCAGCAGCTGCAGTGGCAACAATCGAAATCCAAACCAAAGCGCAGCCAACATGCAGCACTGTGATACAACATACAACAATAACAATAGCAGTAACAATAGCAGCAGCAGCAGCAGCAACAATATTAATCACAACAACAACAATAATAATAACTGCAGCAACAATAGTAGCGGCAGCAGCAAACTGAATCAGCAACTATATGAAAACGAATGTGTTGCAATTGCACAGCAGCAACAACTGCAACAACTACAGCAGCAGCAGCAAATCAAAACTGAACCAATGGCGCCAATATATGCTCAAGTTAATAAACAGCACAAGTTGCACAAAAAGAAACTTAGCAACGATACAGCGGCAGCGACAACAACAACAGCATTGCAGCTGGGCAACAACAACAGTCACAGCAGCAGCAATCACAGCAACAACAGCAGCTTTGATAATATCGACAACAGCATCGAGACAGCAACAGCAGCAGCAACCGCAGCAATTGAGCACACTGGCAATGAATTGAACAACATGGAACCAGAGTCCAACACAGCAGTAGCAGCAGCAGCAGTAGCAGCAACAGGAGGAGCAACAGTATCAGCAACAGCATCAACAACAACAGGACCATCAGCAGCAACAATAAGTGATTTTTATAATGCGTCTGAGCATTCCATATACGCCAAGGTGTGGAAGGGACCCCGCAAAACGACTGAATCGAAAATGTACGAAAAAGATTACGAGAAGAATAAGTGACAACCACAGCAGCAACAGCAATTGTTGCGCACTTTGTGCGACATTTGACACCAGCAGCAACAACCACATCAACCACAACAACAAATTATCAATTACGCTTTTGTGTTAATATGAATAATTTAATTTTTGTTGATTACTGTGACTCTTAGTCATACGGCCCTGCATATATATATATATATATATATGTATATATCTAGATATATTTGTAGATCTGTAGATCTCGCTGGATATATATATATATATTTACATATATGTGCAGTTTTCAATGTGCGTATATTTCATTTCGTTTGTATTGTTTCAATTGCTATGCTTCGCTAATTATATATATATATATATATGTATATGGTTATGTATATGTATATATATATATATATAGATATAGATATATATGTATATTGGCTCACTGCTGCGCTACGTCAATTGTCTTTTAATTGATAGTTAAGCGAACAGAATATTAACTCGATGCATGTGGGCTATTTGAGTGTTCCATGCTTTACTTGTGCCATTGAAACATATTTAAGCAGCTTAAGTTTAATCAATGCCTAATCTCTTTTTTAATTGCTTAAATGAAACTAATTAACTCTATTAGTATTTATCATTTAGCCAATAACTCAGTTAAACTTGAGGTTTTCATTTGTTTTTGTTTTATTTATTTATAATTTGTAGTTGCAGGTAAATTCAAATTGTGAATCTAACAACAACAACAACAACAACAATCTTTGTATTGTTAGCTTATCTATAAGCTTAATTTAAACCCTGATTAATTTGTGACATTTAGTTATAGACAAATTCATTTGTTTGAGGGTCGACATGGTCGATCTTTGGTTTTATCAGTTCATATTTTGTTATTCCAATTGCTTATCAGCTGTGACTCACAATCGGCAAGCGTATTTATTGTGCCGCAGATAACAATATTCTTCTTCTTTTCGGGGTTTTTTTTTTTACTGTTACTGTTACTGTTTCTTTTAATTTTTGCGAATGAAATGCCAATTAATAATCCGCCGCAGCTTGAACAACAGCAGCAAGCAACCAGCAACAGCCATTTTTTTTTCTTGGTTTGACCTGTTTTTTTCCTTTGTAATTTTGCGATAATTGACGAGGTTTTCATCTAAACATTTGCATTTGAGCAGTTAATGGGCCGTGTGTAAGTTTTGGCTAATCGTTTCTCATTTGGATTGTGTGCAGCACGCATGAGGGATTGCCAGGTGCGTCAGCGATCCCGGCGAACAGTAGTCGTCTCATACCGCAAGCGTCGCGCAACGACAATAAACAGCAACCGATGATGTTGCTGCACGGCAGCCGCAAGATGTGGACATGCGGCAAATGTTCCTATGCCTACAATCGCCTCTGGTCCGAATCCTGTGAGATGTGCGAGACGGTATCCAAGCAGTACAACAGTACAACAGCAGACCCAACAACAGCAGCCGCAGCCGCAGTCGCAGCCAGCAGTCGTGAGTCAAATCGAAACCAATTCATTTCCAATCGAATTCATTTCACTTTATTTATATTATTTTGCAGTTGGGGCTGCTGTCTCGCTGGAGCCGCGCAGCGATGAGCCCTGGACATGCAAGAAGTGCACGCTGGTCAACTACTCAACGGCGATGGCGTGCATTGTGTGTGGTGGCTCCAAGCTCAAGAGCATCTCCTCCATTGAGGATATGACGTTGCGCAAAGGCGAGTTCTGGACGTGTAGCCATTGCACGCTAAAGAATTCGCTGGCTGTCGGCTTGTGCAGTGCGTGCAAATCGATGCGTTTGCTGCCGGTCGACTCGGTCCGAGAGCGACCCGATGGCCAGTCATATGAGGAGCAGGATGCGGCCGCCGCACAGCCAATTGGCGAGCTAAACACACCAACGCCCACACAACAACAACAACAGCAACAACAACAACCACAACAGCAGCAGCAGCAATCGCAGCAACAGCAGCAACAACTGCAATTGCCACTAGTCGCGCATCGAATCTCGCGAAGTCCCTCGCCTCGAGCGGTTGCTTTGCCAGCTCCGCCCGCAATTGCTGCTACCAGCAGCAGTCAACAGCTGCAGCTACAACAACAACAACAGCAGCAGCAGCAGCACCACCAGCAACTACAGCAACAGCGAAGCTCTTCGGGTGCCATACCAAAACGTCACAGCACCGGCGGTTCCATAGTGCCGCGTAATATATCCATAGCCGGAATGGCGATGCCATCTTCCGCAGCCAGCTCTTCCTATAATCTACAACAGCAGCAGCATCAGCCGCTTTCGATGTCGGTCAAGAAATGGCAATGCCCGGCTTGCACATATGAGAACTGTGCCGCCTCCGTTGTCTGTGACATTTGTTCCAGTCCGCGTGGCTTGGTCAATGCGGTGCTAACGGATGCACTGGCACGCAAATCGATGCGCGTCACATCGCTGACAGAGATACGGCAGGAGAGCAAACTAATGGAGAATCTAAGGCAGCTGGAGGAGACGGAAGCGTTGACCAAATGGCAGAATATCATACAATATTGCCGGGATAACAGTGAGCTCTTCGTCGACGATTCATTTCCGCCGGCACCGAAGAGCCTCTACTATAATCCAGCTAGCAGCGTTACCGATGGCGGCAATCCCGTTGTTCAGTGGCGTCGCCCCCACGAGATTAATTGCGACGGTGGCGCATATCCGCCATGGGCTGTCTTTCGTACACCGCTGCCATCGGATATCTGTCAGGGTGTGCTCGGTAATTGTTGGCTACTCAGCGCATTGGCCGTGCTCGCTGAGCGCGAAGATCTGGTCAAGGAGGTGTTGGTAACGAAAGAGATATGCGCCCAGGGTGCCTACCAGGTGCGCCTCTGCAAGGATGGCAAATGGACAACGGTGCTTGTCGATGATCTGTTGCCGTGCGACAAGCGCGGCCATTTGGTCTATTCGCAGGCGAAACGCAAACAGCTTTGGGTGCCACTCATCGAGAAGGCTGTGGCCAAAATCCATGGTTGCTATGAGGCGCTCGTCTCTGGTCGCGCCATTGAGGGACTCGCAACGCTAACGGGTGCGCCCTGTGAGAGCATACCGTTGCAAGCCAGCTCACTGCCCATGCCCAGCGAGGATGAGCTCGATAAGGATCTGATTTGGGCGCAGCTGTTGAGCTCACGCTGTGTACGCTTCCTAATGGGCGCCAGCTGTGGCGGCGGCAACATGAAGGTCGACGAGGAGGAGTATCAGCATAAAGGTCTGCGTCCCCGTCATGCCTACTCGGTGCTGGATGTCAAGGATATACAGGGACATCGATTGCTCAAGCTACGCAATCCGTGGGGTCATTATTCGTGGCGTGGCGACTGGTCGGATGATTCGTCGCTGTGGACAGATGATTTGCGGGATAACCTAATGCCGCACGGCGCCTCCGAGGGCGTCTTCTGGATCTCATTCGAGGATGTGCTCAACTATTTCGATTGCATTGACATATGTAAGGTGCGCTCCGGCTGGAACGAAGTGCGTCTACAGGGCACACTCCAGCCACTATGCTCCATCTCGTGCGTATTGCTCACCGTATTGGAGCCGACGGAGGCAGAGTTCACGCTCTTCCAGGAGGGTCAACGCAACTCGGAAAAGTCGCAACGCTCTCAGCTCGATCTGTGCGTTGTGATTTTTCGCACCCGCTCACCGGCCGCCCCAGAAATTGGACGCCTTGTTGAGCACAGCAAACGACAGGTAAGAAACACACACACACACACACAGGTCTTCCTAATGCCTAATCTGGTTTGTTACATTTTGGGTTACCAGGTGCGTGGCTTTGTTGGCTGCCACAAAATGCTGGAGCGTGACATCTATTTGCTGGTCTGTCTGGCCTTCAATCATTGGCACACGGGCATCGAGGATCCGCATCAGTATCCCCAGTGCATTCTGGCCATACACAGCTCCAAGCGGCTGCTTGTCGAGCAAATAACGCCCTCGCCCCATCTGCTGGCCGATGCCATCATCAGTCTAACGCTCACCAAAGGACAGCGCCACGAGGGACGCGAGGGCATGACTGCCTACTATTTGACCAAGGTGGGTACATTCTCGCCTCCAATCCAATCTCTCGCCTCGGCAACTCTCTATCCGGTTTTTTTTTTTTTTTTTAGGGATGGGCTGGCCTGGTGGTCATGGTGGAGAATCGCCATGAGAACAAGTGGATACATGTAAAGTGCGATTGCCAGGAGAGCTACAATGTGGTATCCACGCGTGGTGAGCTCAAAACGGTCGATTCTGTGCCGCCACTGCAGAGGTGAGCAGAAAGCTAACAATCAAATCTAGACCCGCTAAAAAAAACTAATCCCAAATCATTTTCGTAGGCAGGTGATCATTGTGCTCACCCAGCTGGAGGGCAGCGGCGGTTTCAGTATCGCCCATCGGCTGACGCATCGTTTGGCCAACTCACGTGGCCTCCACGATTGGGGGCCGCCGGGCGCCACCCATTGTCCACCTATCGAGAATGTGCATGGGCTGCATGCGCCGCGTCTGATAACATAATTGATCGAAAAGTGCATCGTCGCTGAGGAGGAGGAGGAGGATGGGGCATTAGTTCAAAACCAAAAAAATAATATATATATATATATTTATTTATCTATGAGTATTCTTTTCGCCTTTAGCCATTAAGTTTATATTTTGTAATTTTTTATAGGTTTTTGCTGTTCAACTGCATAGTTCACGTGCACGTTTATTTTGATTTTTTTTATTTAAAATTTTTTTGTAATAATTGCATATTCTAGTCGATGGTTTGGTCAGCATTATATGCATAAATACAAACTGTATACTATGAAATAGTTAACGATGCAGTATTGAGAAGAAGAAAACAAAAACAAAACAATTGTGAATTATATATATACATACATACAGACATACATACATAGTTAAACAACGGCCTGATCCTGAACCTATCAAGTGTTTTCATTTCATCGATGTATGTATTTATTGTAGTGAATTTAAGTGCATGTGCGTCACGATCCATAATACATACATAAAAATATCTTATTGTTTTACAAATAAAATACTACCAGTTATAAAAGACAAAGCAAAGCAATTATCTTACAAAATTCGTTGCTCCATTCTTGGTGCATCATTCCAACACAAATAGAATTTGATTTGAATTCAAATGCTCATTTGAAATATTAACGTATTTCACATTTTTACTGCGGCCAACGTTGCCACTACGTTGGAGTTGCCACATGCAAGTATAGAGCTGCCAAGTCGGCCAAATAATGGCCGTAAGCCCAATCGGTGCTTGCGAAACATTTTGGTAATTTCATCATATACAATATCTGGTCACACTGTGCGCTGTTTAGTGTGTGTTGATTCTAGTTCATTTCAGTTCATGAGCAACATATTTTGTTCGTCATTTAATTTTTGTTTTTTTAAAATGGCTGATACAAAGGGCGTAAGTAATTCGTATATTTATTTAACAAATTTTATACATAACTGAATGTGCTAGCGTGTGTGTATGTGTGTGTATCGAACATATTGTAAACGCTACTGTTAAACAGGGCGCGGCTTCCATCCGCGCTTCAATTCCGACGATGGCGTTCTTGTTTTTGTATATGTGTGTGTTTTTTGCGGCTTATCATGCAAATTCTTATTCCCAATGCCAATGCATATGCACGCACACACACACACTCACACACAGACAGTAGCTTATGCACTTAAATGCATTCATACTTTTGTCAACACTGCAACACTAACACTAGCTCCGCATTCAAGAATGAGTTCAAATCAAAAAGTGCATGAATCACTAAAGCCGGCAAACAACAAAAAAAAAAAAGGAAGGCGTCGGCGTCATGTTTTTAGTTGCTTCCTTTGTTGCGGCCTGTGACCTACAAATATACATAATATATAAGCATGTGTACTTACACACACGCGCGCACACACACACACTGGTGTCATTGGCTTTAAGTACTCGATATATGTGCATGTGTGCATATGAATGTATACAGTTATATTAATGTTTTCATGTACTTATGTGCACATGTGTGTGCCAGGGTGTGTGTGTGTTGGTTTTTAGATATGCAAGAGAAACTCGCGCGTGTCTGGCATTTAAAATGATCGCCGCCACTTTCTTTAAGCCAGACTTAGACTTAGGCACTCTGCGCACCCCCGCAGACATTGTTCACCATGGCATGCATTTCATTTACTGTTACTGTTGTTATTTTGCTCGCAAAATGAGAGTAAAAAATACTGCAGCAATTTTAAAAATTTAAGCGCTGGTTGATGATTCAGAAAAAAAAAAATCGTTTGCCAACCCCTTCTGCTTATCAATAAATATTTCAATTGATTTTAATTATTTGTGTCTGCTGTTTTTTCATCATCGACTTCTGGTTTTCCAGTTTTCCAGCATTGAGACACCCGGTTATGTGGGCTTTGCCAATTTGCCGAACCAAGTGCATCGCAAGTCAGTGAAGAAGGGCTTCGAATTTACGCTAATGGTTGTCGGCGAGTCGGGTTTGGGCAAATCGACGCTGGTGAACAGTTTATTCTTAACCGATCTATATCCGGAACGCATTATACCCGATGCCATAGGTATGTATATTTTGGTTGAAAATAGTTGAAATCTATATTTATATTTTGTGTATTTGCAGAGAAACAAAAACAAACGGTTAAACTGGAGGCATCCACCGTGGAGATTGAGGAACGTGGCGTCAAACTGCGTCTAACTGTTGTCGATACGCCCGGCTTTGGCGATGCCATCGATAATTCGAATAGCTTTAGCGCCATACTGGAGTACATTGATGAGCAATATGAGCGCTTTCTGCAGGACGAGAGCGGATTGAATCGTCGCAATATCGTTGACAATCGCATACATTGTTGCTTCTATTTTATATCGCCCTTTGGGCATGGGTAAATATAAATATATATTAAAATTCATTCAACTTAATCTCAGCTTAATTAACCAAAATTATCACAATTATAGACTAAAGCCCCTGGATGTGGAGTTCATGAAGAAGCTGCATTCAAAAGTGAATATTGTACCCGTCATTGCCAAGGCTGATTGTTTGACGAAAAAGGAAATATTGCGTCTGAAATGTCGCATTATGCAGGAGATCGAGAGCCATGGCATTAAAATTTATCCACTGCCAGACTGTGATTCAGATGAGGACGAAGACTACAAGGAGCAAGTGAAGCAACTGAAGGAAGCAGTGCCTTTTGCCGTTTGCGGCGCCAACACCCTGCTCGAAGTTAAAGGTAAAAAAGTGCGCGGCCGCCTTTATCCATGGGGCGTCGTTGAGGTTGAGAATCCCGACCATTGTGACTTTATCAAGCTGCGCACCATGCTGATCACCCATATGCAAGACCTGCAGGAGGTCACACAGGAGGTGCACTATGAGAACTATCGATCGGATCGCCTTGCCAAGGGCATCAAGGGCAAGGATAATGGCATTAAATCAGATCGTGATAATATGCCCACACAGGCGGGCGTGAATAGTGTCTTCTCCGAAAAGGATCGCATTCTGCAGGAGAAGGAGGCGGAGCTGCGACGCATGCAGGAGATGCTCGCTCAAATGCAGGCGCGCATGCAGGCTCAAAAGTGAGAGAACGATGCGAAGACACATACACAGAGAGAAAGAGAGAGAGAGAGCAGCACACATTTGTGCAATTTACATATATAGATATATATATATATATTTATATACAAATCTTAATATATACATATATTTTTTGTACGCAGTTTTTAAGTTGCAGCGCTTGCATTTTCACGATGAGCGCTATCTATTTGTTTGTTTTTATTTTACATTCTAAACACATATATATGTGCATATATAACCTATATATATATATATACATATATATATATATATGTTGATCAAAAGTGATTTTTATACATAAATGCAATTGCCAAAAAAAAAAAACAATATGCATCCAAGTCAAGATCGAAAATCAAATCTCGAAGCATCTGAGAAACACAGATACACACACACACACACATCTCTCATAGACACACACACTGATACACACACTCTCATACACAAACTTCATATCACTCCTATATATAAAAAGAAAATGAATGAACATTAATAACGAACTGTATTCCTATTATGTATTTAGACATGACGTCTTCGATATTAACAATTGAATTATGTGTAATTTTTATTGTATTTGTACATGTGCCGCTCTTAAGTTAAGTAAGCAACAAACCAATTTTGCCGATGTTAAAACATTTGATCTGTTTATTAGTCTCGAACAAAGAAAAGAAAATACTATGAATCGCCTCCATTTCTGTTATATTAAGTCATTTAATTATGATTTAGAAGGTGCGTAAACGCCTAAAATTGTTTATCAATAACTAAAACTAAGAAATTAAGTTGAGCGTTAAACTATGGCATCTAATTTTATACACATATATATATGTATTTATATTTATATATATATATATATATATGTAGGTGCGTTTTTGTATTTTAATTGTGTATTATCTATCCGTGCGAATACTTGAAGTGCTCCAGCAATTTTTGCATTCACTTACATGTAATCTCCTCAGTTTGCAATCGCTTAATATAAAAAAAGAAACAAAACTCATGCTAAATCACACGCATTTAATGTTAAATGAATCCTTATTGCTCTGTATATGAACAATTTAATCCTTTACATATTCCTCTATAAATATATACATTTATATATATATGATTATTTGTACAATTTCTTAAGTATTTTGGGAGTGGTTTTCAGAAAACAATCAAATTGTTATCATTTTGATTTGCAGCTGAATATTCTGTTGATAAATATCAAGTACAGAACTCTTTTTAGTTGTTGATCATAACACAACAAGATTTGAATTATTTATTTTTTCTTTTAAACTTTATGTTTGTAACGGCTAACAGAGTTGCCATACGTCCAAATTGAACAGTAGAATGATAATGGTGCTCATGTGGATATATTAAAGCGAGTTGGCAGTTCCGTCACTCAGCTCACATGTTGTGCGGTAACATTCTCAATGTGCCGGCTGATTTCCATTTGATGTAGAGGAAAAAAGAAATGAAATGAATATTGAAAATCGAACAAAATGTACAAAACAATTCGCTGGACATTAAAGCAGACAACTGGCCAGTGGACATGGAAGCGCACATCGGCATATCGTACGATCTGCACGACCTTGGTCAGGTCGGAGGAAGTGCAGAAGTCCGAATCGGATTTGGATTTGTCGCCGGATGCTCTGCGGCGGCAATTTGCCCAGATGCCGGTGCATCGTATACGAAACTTTAGCATCATTGCCCATGTGGATCATGGCAAGAGCACGCTGGCGGATCGTGTGCTGGAGCTGACTGGTGCCATTTCGCGCAACGCTGGCCAGCATCAGGTGCTCGACAGCCTGCAGGTGGAGCGGGAGCGCGGCATAACGGTTAAAGCGCAGACAGCATCCATATTGTACAACTACAAGAACGAATTGTATCTGCTCAATTTGATTGATACGCCCGGACACGTGGATTTCTCAAATGAGGTGCGTATTTCAGCTCAAATTTTGAAATTGGAAAGTTTAAAGTTGTTGTTACTTGATCGTCCTAATTGTGCAGGTTTCCCGCTCGCTGGCCGCCTGTGATGGCGTCATTCTGCTCGTCGACGCTTGCCATGGCGTGCAGGCGCAGACCGTGGCCAACTATCATCTGGCCAAGCAGCGTCAACTGGCCGTGGTGCCGGTGCTCAATAAGATTGACATCAAGCACGCCAATCCCGATCAGGTGACCAAGGATATGCAGCTGCTCTTTGGCATTGAGCCAGCGACGGTGCTGCGCGTCTCAGCCAAACTGGGCACGGGCGTTGAACGGGTGCTGGAGCGTGTCATTGAGGTGATACCGCCGCCCAGTGTGGAGCGGGAGAGCGGATTTCGTGCGCTTATCTTTGACAGTTGGTTTGACAAATATCGCGGCGCTCTCAATCTGATTTATGTGCTGAACGGACAATTGGACGTCGGTCAGGACATTCAATCGCTGGCCACAAAGAAAGTGTATCCGGTGAAGAGTCTATCCGTATTGCGTCCAGCGGAGTGTGGGGTGCAGAGCCTGTTGGCCGGTCAGGTGGGTCTCGTTGCGTGCAACATGCGCAACAGCAAAGAGTCCATCATTGGCGACACTATCCATCTAAAGCATCAGTCGGCCACAGCGGCCGGCACCTTTCGGCCACAGCCGCCCATCGTCTTTGCCGGTATCTTTCCGGTCGATCAGTCCAAGCATGTCGCCCTGCGCAGTGCCATCGACAAAATGGTTCTCAACGATTCGGCGGTGACAGTCAATGTGGACTCGAGTCCAGCCTTGGGCCAGGGCTGGCGTCTCGGTTTCCTTGGCCTGCTGCATATGGAGGTGTTCTGCCAGCGACTCGAGCAGGAGCACGGTGCCGAGCCCATCATCACCGCACCGTCGGTCACCTATCGTGTTGTGTTGCGCAATCCGAAGCTGATCAAACAGCATGGCAAGGACACTCTCGAAATATCGAATGCCGCCCTGCTGCCGGAACCCAGCAGCATTCTCGAGTACTACGAACCACTGGTGCTGGGCACTATCATAACGCCCACCGAGTACGTTGGCCAGATAATTGGACTGTGCGTCGAACGTCGCGGATTGCAGCAGAGTGCGGTGAATATCGATGAGACGCGCATCCTAATGAAATATGTCCTGCCTCTAAGTGAGATCATTTTGGATTTTCATGATCGCCTGAAATCGCTTAGCTCGGGCTATGCCAGTTTCAGTTATGAGGATCATGGTTATCATAGCACAAATCTTGTCCGTTTGGACATTCAGCTCAATGGGCGGCCCATCGAGGAGCTGTGCCGGATTGTGCACGCGTCCAAGGCCACAGCTGTGGCACGTCAGATGGTGCACAAGCTCAAGGATCTCATACCCAAACAGATGGTGCAGATTGCCATACAGGCATGCGTTGGCAGCAAGGTGCTCGCTCGCGAAACCATCAAAGCCTATCGCAAGGATGTAACGGCCAAGCTGGTAACTGATAACCGAATAGATCCGTTTAAATCCTTGATAAGCCTGTCGCTAATTCTGTGTCTCTCTCTCTCTCTTTCTCTATATCTTTGTAGTATGGCGGCGATGTGACGCGACGCATGAAGCTGCTGAAACAGCAATCGGAGGGCAAGAAGAAGATGCGCATGTTTGCCAACATTCGCGTGCCGCACGAGACCTTCATCAATGTGCTCAAGCGCTAACTACGCCCAATTGGGGTGAGTGGTGGGATTGGATGCTGCCCGCGCCATCTTATTGATATTATTATTATTTCCATTTCTTGTTTTCTGTTTGATTTGATATAGAAGAACAAACATAGAGGAATAATTCACGCTTATCGCGTCTATAACAATATTTGCCTAACGGCAAACTTGCCTCGGCTCTCGGTCGATAACACTGGCCATAAGAATGCCCCCTTATCATTGCTGTGTGCTCTCTTGTCTGGAAATAGAAAATAATCAAATAGAAAATACAAATACAAATATATATATATATATATATATGTGTGTGTGTGTGTGTGTGTGTACATATCGGTTTTTAATGCGTGGAGCAAGTGTGCGGTGTCAGCTGCCCCACAGCTGTAAATGCTGCACAGTGCACCACATAGTGTATTAACACAGATACCATTTGCTGTAATCTATCTAGATATGTGCTACAAAACAATTGAAAAATTAAATTTTTTTTTTGATTTGAGAGAGAGAAAATCCATTTAAAAAGTGAAGAAATTGTGAAAAACTATTGCACGACTTATATTTAGTTTAGTATCGGTCTGCATGCCATTTTCAAAAGATCTTTAAATGTACCATTTTCTTACATTTATGAAAAATGATTTCAAATTATTGCCATAATAAAAGATTTTTTTTTTGGTATATATAAATGGTGGAAATCATTACTTGCACACTGTACTTAGTGCAGTTCATTAACATTAGCGTTATTTACGAGTCTCATGTTCTTGCTTAAAATATGATTGCTGTTGTCGTTGTTGTCTTAAAGCACTTTCAACAACAACAATGACGACAATGACAAAAATCGAATTTCCCTGACCCTGAATAATGCTGGGCACTAATACGCGCGCACACTCGCACTCACACACACACATACTCATATTTATATATATATATATATGTTGACTGCATAACGGTATCCTCCCGTTGTCTGCTCGCTCCACAAACAAAAACCTGCACACACATACACACATAGACACATTAAATTAGTATATGTTTAGTATGCGAGATAGCAAGTTTGAATGCTTGTGCCTTGCTCCCGGCTACTTTTGTTTGCGAGAGCGCAACAATCTAGCGAAGATAGGCAGACGGCCAGAGAGCGAGAGAGACAGAGAGCGCGCGAGAGAGAAAGTTAGAGCGAATCGAATGGCAAAGAATACAACAATTGAACTCAACTGATTGGTGGGTGGGTGGTCGGTGTTGGGGACGTTGCGGCGTGCGCCTCTATTGCTATGCCTGTGGTTGTATATGTGTATGTGACCTTGAAAAACAATAACATTGTTATTTTTGTGGTTGCTGCTCTGTTTTGGTATAGGCAATGCTGGGCAAATGCAAACGCAAATGCAAACGCAAATGCAAATGCAAAACTGCTCAAAATGTTATGCAATATGAGAAAGCCTCCAATTTGCCAAAAAAAAAAAAAAATGGATGTAAAGTAAAGAAAGAACAAAAGCTAATCAGTAATTGCAATATATATATATGTGTATACATATATATAAATATATGTATATGTTAATAATTCGTTGCAGTCAGTTCGCAGTTCACAATTCTTTTTCATGGAAATCATTCATATTTCCTTCCTGCCTTCCAATTTGCGTATGCCGTATGAAAATCAGCTGCACTCACAGTTTCAATCAACAACAACAACAACACGAATAAGAGGAATAAGAAGAATAAGAATAAGCAGCTACAGCCAGTTAAACAGCTGAGTCTGAGCCCCACACGCAAGTGCAAGAGAGTCCCCATACAGACACACATACTCACTGACAACAAAACGGAAAAACTAGCTCTCTCTCTCTCTCACATTCACTTACTATGTGCTTGTGCGATGTATGTGAGCAGCACGAACATAAAGAAAAAGCAAAAACAATTTTCGTTATTTTGTTGTTGTTGTCGCTGCTGCTGCTGCGCCGCTCAATTGAACGAAACAGAAGCGACGACGACTGCCGACTTGTCGACTGTCGTCTCGCCTAGCGCCCGTTCCGTTTCTCTATTGCCGACGCCGCCGTTGCCGTTGCCTCTGTCCGCAGCACAACACAAAAAACAGTCAGTTTTCATTCTCATTTGACATCATCAACATTGAAATTTAATTAAAACAAGAGCAGTTCGAGTTCGATTGCGATTCCAATTCTCCGATTTATTGTTGCTGAAATTCAAAGTAAATTATTTCATTGATCAAATTTCAAATGGTGCTTAATTTATGTACATTTGCGTTGTTTTAATTTTCATTTATCAAACACCTTAAATGACTTTTCGTTGTTGTTGTTTTTTTCTTCCGATTTTCTTTGCCCGTTTTTTTTTTTTTTTTTTTTTTTTGCAAAAAAATCACCGCGAACAAAACAACAAACGTCATCAGCTGTTCTGTGCTTGTGGTTAGTTGGTGTGTATGTGTGTACATATCTGTGTGTGTCTACGTCGAAATGCATATGTATATGTGCATTAATGCGTGTGTGTATGTGTGAATGCAAATACTTATGCATTTTATTGTATATATTTTATATATATTTGCAAAAATACAGACATACCTGTATTAAATTGAGAGCGCTGTGGAACATTACAAATAAATAAATGTATAGCAGAAGCAAACAATTGTTGCACTCAGAAGAAATACCTACCCCCTCCCCCACGACCGTGTCTGCCGCCCCCCGATATTTAGCTAAACGTAACATAACCTAGAAGCGTATTTAGAACGAGAACTTATTTGAAGGTTACGGCACGGCGCCACGAAACACTCCTTCCTTCCCCACCCCACCGCTTTCGCTTTTCTCTTTTCCCTGCCCGTTAACAATCTTCGCGTCTCATCAATGGTAGCCTCGACACCGCTAACTTTGGCCTTGACCGTGTACTGTTAGAGCGAAACAACAGCTGACAGCTGTGACTGCGACTGCACTTTTGACGCTGCAAATGCGTCAAGTGGCAACGCTGTCGATTGTTGGAGATGAACACCGAGTTATAACACAAATACTATATGCTATCCGCTGCCCATTACCCAGCCAAACAACAGTGGTGCTTGAGCGCAGTTCGCCGCGCACACAATCACAATCAAGTTCAAAGTAATCGCAACGAAAACAAAAAAGGAAAAAAAACGGCATCAGCATCGGCATCTCCCGCACATACAAACACACACATGCACACCAGCAACTGCGCGCATTCGCACTCTCGCTCTCACACGCAGACACACACATACGTATATATATACACATTTGTATATATATGTAAACGTCCACACAGCTGTACACGTAGCAATGTTCACAGTAGTTTTTTTTGTTGTTATATGAAATCCAACGGTAGACAGGCAGTCACAATAAAAGTCAGCAAATTGTGCAATAATCGCAGAATTAGAGAGAAAAGTGAGCGAGAAACATAACAAAAAAGTGCAAATAATGCTAATAATCAATTACACATGTTTAGTTAACAAGGCACCCCAGCCAGTGACTTATTAAGACTTAACAGTTATTTACAAAATAATTGGCTAGCTGGCAGCGGCACAGTGTTTGTCAATTTGACAGTGTTGAAAAGTATTCCATGCAATTGGAAACTTTGCTTTCGCGCTGCGCAGTTGCCTTTGCTGTTTTCCCCCGTTGTTGTGTTTCATTGTGCGTTCATTTTTCTATGTATGTATGCGAGTGTGTGTATAAAATATTTATGCAAATATGTACATACGTATGTACGTACATACATACATATATATATGATTATACATACAGCTTATGTATTCGCTGACGTTTCGACTGTTTGTCCGTGTGCCAGTTAAATACATACATTCATATATTTTTCACTTTGTTCATACATCCATACGTGCATACTTCAATACATTTGTACATGTGTGTACATACGTGTATATGTATGTGTGCATATATTTTGTTTAAAGTTTGCAATGAAAGAGAGAGTGAGAGTTAATTATTATTATATCAATATTGGGTGCTTGTTGACAGTTCTTGTTATTGTTTTTTATTGTTTTCGTTTGGTCGATTCAACAATTCTTATAATATATAGTGAACATTATTTTTTTTAGCATGTTAGTGTGTATTTTTGTGTTTTATTTTTGTTTTGCGACTAACGGGCGCGTCAGTGCCAATGGCAAAAACACACACACACACACAGCTGTGCATATTCACGTCAAACGTCACACAGCTGATATGTGCTGTTGTTAGTGGTTGGCGCACACGCATACATACAAACACACTCACACGCTTGCGAATATCATCGATACTCTCCCTCTCTCTCTCTCTGTCTCTCGCTTGCCACCCACTCTCGGTGCTTTATTTTGTAAACAACTGAGCAGCGCGCGCAGTGCTGCCAGATGTTTAACAATTTTAAGCTACAATGGCAGCCCTGGTTATATTCGCTCACACGTATACACAATCCCTCACACACACACACACACTTACACACACTGTGATAATATATGCATTTGTGAAATTCCTATTTCATTTGATTGCTTCATTTTTTTTTCTTCTTTTGTGCAGGTCGCGCAGCAAGTCCACAAAAATCCATGCCACTAAGGAGGACACTAGACGCGTGCGTTGACCACAAATATGATCAACAGTTTTAGTGTTGCCAGCTCGCATACAGCTGCAGGTGCTGCTGGTGGTGTTGCAGGTGCTGCTGCAGGAACAGGTGCTGCTGCTGCGATTACCCTGCATTTTAATTACAACAACAGCAGCAACAATAGCAAGAACAACAATAACAACAACAGCAGCAACAATAGCAAGAACAACAATAACAACAACAGTGGCCTTAAATTTCTGCCCGCACCCATGGCAACAGTAACAGCAACAAATGAGCACAAAAGCCACAATACAATATCAACAACAACCACAACAGCTACAACAACAACAACCACAACGGCAAAAATGTTTAAAATAACACAAAGCGAAGTTGAGGCAAAGCATTTCTTAATGACTTATCCACAACAAGAACAGCAGCAACAGCAACAGAAAAAGGCTGGAGGCGCATTCAAGTGGATGTGGCCGGGAAAAGTAAATACCTCAGCAAGCACCAAAGAGCCGCAGCTTATACAAGTCAACATTCAGTCCATCAACAACAACAACAACAACAACAGCAGCAGCAACAACAACAACAACAACAATAGCAACAGCAATAAATCGAAGCAACAGTTGCAAATTAACAACGACAGTAATACCTAAAAGTGCCTTTATTGAAGTATTGACAATGCCACAGCAACAACAACAGCAGCAGCAACAAAGAACTGAGGACCAAGAAAATGCCTTTCGCCAGATCGAAGATGTGCACAATTATGCAAAGCTGCAGCATCATCAACATCATCACCAGCAACATCAGCATCCACACAGCAGCAGCAGCGATGAATTGTTCGAGGAGGAAGATGATGATGATGACGACGACGATGATGATGACGAGGAAGATGAACTGCAGCGCAAGCAACAGCAGCAGCAGCAGCAGCAACAACAGCAGCAGCAGCTGAAAAATAGCGTTAAAATTAATGTGCCTAATATTGTAAATAATGATGACAATGATTCCGAGGAACATGTAGAAGTGGATGTTGTTACTGTGACACCAATAACCCCGCAGCACCAACAACAGTTGCAACAGCAACAACAGCAGCAGCAACAACTGGTGTCAGCAGCAACAGTTGTCGATCAGGGTATGCGACCGGAGCACCATGCACGCCGTCCCATGAACGCATTTCTCATATTCTGCAAGAGGCATCGTGCCATTGTCAAGGAGCGCTACAAGTCCCTGGAGAACCGGTGAGTGCAATCACTCCAAATGAAATGAGATTTAATTTTTCAATTTTAAATTTTGTATAATTTGGCAGATCTATTACGAAAATACTCGGGGATTGGTGGGCCGCACTGGATGAACAGGAAAAGCAATGCTTCACCGATCTGGCACAGCAGGTAAGCGGGGAGCCTGATAAATGCGAAATAGACGGCATATTGAGCACTTATTCCAATTGATTTCCATTCAATTAAAATTCTAATAAGACCAACATAAAATAAAATAAGCAGTCTGACAACTTGCTTGAAATTCAAATTGTGGACGCAAAGGTTAAACATAAAGTGAGAAAAAATAAAATAAACTTTTGGCAGCCTTTGTGGATACAAAATTTCCATCTCTTACAGAAGATATGTGCAAATAACGACAACGAAAATATACAGCTAATAATTTTTGAAGCGAATTTGCTTTTTTGCTTGTGTACATCAGCGAGGGTTGCCACATCGCTGCTGTCAATGATCTGGCAACACTTGAATGTTTAAATTCAAATTGTGCGCTAGCTCGTAGTAATTTCTCTCTCTTATCTATTTCTGTCGTGTCTATTTCTTATATTTCTTATATTTTTTTTTTTTGCCACAGAACAAGGATGCTTTTTTCAATGCCAATCCCAATTTTAAATGGTACAAACTGCCAGCACCGCCGCTGCGCACGCTAGCCACGCGTCCCAGCAATGCTGTCGCCGCACATCCCAACGAGGAGCACCAACAACAACAGCAGCAGCAACAACAACAACAACAGTTGCAGCCTCAGCAGCAGCAGCATCTCCACTGGGAGCCCAATGAGGTGGCGCATCTGCTGCGTCGCAATTACTTTAAATTTGCGGATGAGACGCAAATGGGTGAATTGAGTGCGCTCCTCAGCGCCAAAGCGGTCAATGTGCGTGACAAGGAATATGCTCTGCAGCAGGCGCTAAGCGAGACAACACAATTTCTAAGCGCCCACATGCCCAACAACAACAACAATAACAGCAACAAAATCAAGCGTGGACTGCAGCCAGCCGTGGACAGTGCAAGCAATTCAAGTGAGGAGGAGGAACGTGGCACGCCCAGCAAGAAGCTAAAATCGACGCGCAGCTGCAAGGGCAAAATATATCAGGAGCTAATCAATTCGGGCCAATTGGCGGCCATTGCCAAGAAGAGTAAATGCCGTTCAAATAGTGGTAGCAGCAGCAGCTGCACAACCGATGCAACCAACAGCAGCACGCCACCTGTTTCACCCATTGCAGCAGTGGCTGCAACTGCAGGAGCAGCAGCTGCAGCAGCTGGCATTGCAGATTGCCAGCTGGAGCTGGAGCTGGTGGATGCGTCGGCGACGGCGCCTGCGACAAGTGCCACGAGCGCGAGGCGCAGCAATTGCGATGAATTTGATTTGGAAGAGAAAATCAAGGAGCTGCCGGCGCTCAGCTTGGATGCATATTTGCAGCGCAAGCGCAGCACCAAAAAGAAGAAGAAATTCAGCAGCAGCAAGAAACAGCGCAACTCCAATTCCAACAGCAGCAGCAGCGGCACAACAACAACAACAGCAGCAGCAGCAGTTGGAGTAGGAACAGAAACAGGAGCATGCACACCAGGAGCCGGTCTCGTCAAGAAAGCTGCAACAAAAAGCGAATCGGAAAAATTGCATGCAGCTGCTGCGGCTGCGGCTGCTGCAGTGGGCAGCCAGAAGCGAAAGGCGCGCAAGGAGAGCATCACGCGCCGTGACGTCAGCGCCATCGAGCAGGAGGTGGCCTCCATTCTGCCGCTGACCATCAATGGCTGTTACTACTTTAATCATCAGACCCAGTCGCCGGCACAGTTGCAGTCGCCACGCGCACACCCAGCAACAGCAGCAGCAGCAACAACAGCAGCAACAACAGGAGCAGCAACAGGAGCAGCAGCAGCCACGCTGGTAAAGCAGGCCTCCTCCTCCTCCTCCTCGCCGCTGTCAACGGCATCGTCAGCGTCATCGTTGACGCTGTCCGCGTACGAGCAGCCCGCATATGATGCGACCTCTACCTCAGATCTACTCATTCTGGCCGAAGTGGCCGCCAATCGCACCGAGCTCTCCAAGTCCAACTAGGAGCAGCAACGCCCACTTGTTAGTTGTTAACCGCAGCGCGCATCAAATTGACAAAAAAAAAAAACAAATCAAACAAAAAAAAAGCATTTTGTTGCGACTGTACTTATACATATATAAATTTACACATACATATGCATATACATGTAAACACACACACACACATATGTATATATATATATTATACATATATATATTTATATATATATATATTATACATATATTGTAATTGTTATTGTTTTACTTCCTTTAATGAAGATGTTAATGATGATGATCATGATGATGATACAGTGATCGCTCGATAGTTAGAATTATATAATGAATTTGTTTATGAAAGCACTCAAAAATTGATTGTCCTTTGATATGCGTACAACCTAAAACTTTCCCTATTCTCGCAATTTATGCTTACACTGTGAATTACCACTAATTAATAATAAATTGTGTGAAAAGCAAGAGATAAAAATAGATTCGAAATTTAGAATGCACTCATATGTTACAATTCACAAAATTGTGTGTAATTCTAATGTTTGTTTCAGTGAACACTTCGATCATGAAACTGCATCCTATTTGTAAATAATTCTAATTCTATTATAAAATGAAAAGACGAAAATTCGATATTTTAAAGTGTTTACAATGATATTACTATAAAATATGCGCAAAAAAAGAAAGAAAAGAAAATCGGAATTTTAGAATCAAGTTGTAATAATTTCTACGAGTTCCAATTAGCGAGCGATGACTGTAATATTCGTGCGCCAAGTGCCTGTGCCACGCTCTGTCACTCTAAAAGTAGCTGTAAATTGAGACACAAACACACACACAACACACACACACGCATTGAGAGTTAATAGACATTTGTTAATCTACAATTTAGTCAATAATAAGAAAACAACAACAACAACACATATGTATAAGCAACGAGCGGAAATGTTAAAGTTAAGTGCAGTGAAAGAGAGCGAAAAATGTTTTCGATCTGATTTAACAATTATGCCAAAAGCGACATATCTTTATCGTTTATTTTTAGTAATTTGTTATTTGTTTCATCCTTCTACTTTTTTTTTTTGTAATCGCTTTGAAAGATGTGTTTTTTCTCAAAACTTGTTTTTGTTGCTTCTCGATTGATTGTTAAGTTTTAAAAAGCAAGAGCAACAACAATAATAGAGAATATATGCATATGTGCTGCGCTTATTAACTGTTAATTAATATTATTATTATTTCTAATACACATTTTAGCTATAATTTATTATCTATTATCTATTGTGAAAGTGGAAACATGCAAACATATACATTATATATATATATATATATATATATATATATATACATACAATATATATTCATACAAAATGAATGCGACTTTTAAATTTCAATTTTGAACAACGCACAAATCGATAACAATCGATGTACGGTAAAATTGCCCGTTTTTGTTTTTGGCGCTGCCAGATGCGCAACAGCAGTGAACTATTTGCCGGCGTTCCGTTGTATGTGTGTGTGCACAAGATAAAGAGGGGCAGATAAGCGGCTAGCCAACCGTCTGCTGCGTAGATAAGCTCAAGCATTCCAATTGGACGAGCAGAAGACAAAAAAAAAACAAATAAGTAAAGCAAACTTATCAAGGATCGTGCTGTTAAAACTTGTATTGAACAAAATAAAAATGGCGAGCGCGTGATTTACGTGCACTTACGTCCAACGCGCTCACGTGCAAAGCAAATAATTGAAAAAGTTAGCAGCGACATTAGCAAACAGCTGGCGTTGCGAGCCGCCATTGCCACTGTTGTTTCCCTTACTCGCTGCTGCGACTGCTTCACGCGATTTTGGTTTCGGTTTCGACCCAGTCGGAAGCTTCGCGAGAGCTTTCGCCAGCAGCAATGTTGTTGGCCTTAATTTAGTTTGCTCGCACATTCAGACCCTTACAGTTGACGGACGTTATTCGTGCGAACCGACAAACCGACGACAACAACCAACAGTTTAAACAAATCAACAACAACACAACAACGGCAGCAACAAATAAAAACAAAATAAACTCATTTGTATGAAAGAGGTAGGAAATGTGCTGCATTGCGGTTGTTGTCAAATTTTGTTTATTCACAATGTGAATTCTATTTTTTATACAAAAAATGTGTTTTTTTGGTCTTTGAATCGTTGTTGCTTAAAATGTGACAGTGTTCGGCAAAAAGAAAAGCGCAACAGAAATTGAAAGTGTTGCTGGACCGTGTGTTGGTGAACAGAATGCGGCGAAAATTTGTATGTCAATTCTGTAATTGTGCATTCGAAATATACAGAAAAAACAAACACGTCACAAGGAGCACAATTTCAATGTACGCATGCATGTGTGTGTATGTGTGGGCGTTATAATAGAAGGATCTCTGTTAGTGTGTGACGAGAACACGAAACGGTTATATAACTGTAAATACAATTATTCTAGTAAGCGAATACAACCAGAAAAAACAAAAACCAAAACAGTTTCTTTTGATGAAATTGCACTTTTTGTTGTGCGACTTGCACGACGCCAAACGCATTTCGATTTCTATCTGCTGCTGCTCTCTGTCTATCATCCATCGCAGCAGCATCGATAATTAAATGTAATGAAATCTGTGTGTGGAATGAAACCCGCTAAGTTTTATTTTAATTTGATTGCTTGACTGCGGTTACGACGGCTGCGTCTCGTCTGCTGTTGCATTTAGCGTGACGCTAATAAATTAAACGAAACATTCGCAATCGAATGAGTGGGAATGAGCATATGTTGTGTGGGGGGGGGGGGTTGGTTGGTTGGTTAGTGCTTTTGCACGTTTTTTAATTAACAGCAATTAGTGGTTTCTCTCGCAGACGACAATTGTTGGTCTTCGCTTCTCCTCCTCTTCTTGTTGTCGCGCATTTTTATTTAAACGGCAGCGAGATCTAATTATTATTATTTATTATTTTTCGAATTAGTAATACCGAAATTCAGCACCAATTAAATCAAAGCGAATCCCATCCACAGTGATACACATAAATAAATATACATATATATATTTAGAGGAGGCTTGTGCGCGTCTGACGTCACGCAGCAAAGTTCTTCGACTCGAATGGGCGGGGGTTCGTGGGTCGCGACCACTTTAGTGTTGCCACTTTCGGTGTTTTTAATGCCTTCAAATTACATTTTTCTGAAAGAGTGCTGACGAAAGTTCGGCTATTCGGCTATTACATTATCATGACAAATAAATTTCTTATATATTTTCAATCTGTATCATAAGCAAAGGTAAAACCAATTAGAATTGTTGGTGTCAGAGTTAGGTAGTGAATTCATAAAAACCACATGCATGAAACATTTAAATAATTATCCAATAAGATATGTAATATTTATTAAATGAATTATAATAATCTAATAAGATAGCTAAAAATAGTTGTAAAGAATTATACAAATGGGTCGAAACAAACCGAATTGCAGAGCTATTAATTCGAAGTGAATATTTTAGAACAGTGAAATCTTAATTTTTTAAAATTTAAACTATCTTTTTTACATTCCAATTCGCCATAAAAGAACTAGCCTGATTACTGTTTAAAAGATGGCAACACTGCCGCTGCTGCTGTTATGTAAGCGAAAAGAGACGAAGACAGCAGCGCAGGATGAATGTGCCTGATTGCGGGCCGCCTGCTTGCCTGGTGCTGCCTGCAGTTCGTTCGTGTGTGCGCTCGTAGGCCGTGTTCGGTCTCGTTGCTCTCATCTCGTGCGCCTTCGTTAGTCATTTCGCCGCTGTCGTCTTGACAGTTTGAACTGTGCTTTTGCCGTGGCAAAACGTTCGGCGTACGTAGCGCAAAACGTAATCAAAAAGAAAAAATCAGAGCAGCGACAAACAGACAAAAAAAAGCAGGTACAACACATAACACAAGCAAAGTCAGAAGCAATTTATGCAGAAGCTTCGCAGCCCAATATTGAAATTCGTTTTTAATTTAATTTTTAGTGCACATTGTTTAGTTTACGGTGTGTGTATGAGAGAACTACAATTGTGTGTGTATGTGTGTGTCAAATTTGTGTGTTCTGTGCACGCTCTAAGCTCTCTCACTCTCTCAGTGTCTAATATTTTTTGTATTTTGTTTCTTCCCCCTTTTGGCGACTGTTGTATAACACATGTGTATAATGTGGACGACAGCTTCTTGCATAGAGAGAGAAAAAGCTCGAATAAATCAACATTACGCACATCAAGGCAAAGCAAAAGAAAAATACTAAGTCAGCTGTGACATTTTTCATCATCACATTTTTGGGAGTAAGCAAACAGTAGCAGCGGCGAACAGACCAAGCACCACGAGCCGAACGTGAGTCAAAACTGAAATCCAACGAGAAGCGCACAACACAAGTTTTGAGTGCTGCTTCTCAAACAGCAAAAGACGAAAGAGGAATCGAAACAACAATAGCAAAAACAATAGCAATTCGCACTCAGTACTCACTCCGTTTGTAATGGCTCAACTCCGTTCGCTAAGCACTCAGCGTACAACAATTAAATTCGTTTGCTACACTCGCAATAGTAGCGGCAGCAGTAACGGTACTTTTGCAGCAGCAGCAGCCGCCGCAGCGTCTGTTAACAACGGTAAACGTTATCAGCAAAGATGTTTACATACAGCGACATGCAGCAGCAGCGGCAGCAGGATTGGCAGCAGCAACATTCTGCAGCGACAACAGCAACAACAGCTGCTGCTGCTGCTCTGGCAGAATCAATTTGTGAGCAGCGCGCGCTGCTTACATTCGGCAGCGCGCGAACAGCAGGCACAGGTGGCAATCGCTGAAGTGTTGGACGAGAGCGGCAGACGGGGAGCAGCGAAGGGTGCTGCGAAGTCGGTACAACCGCCACAGGAAGGCCAACCGCAACGCGATCCACTCGATGTGAGCTTCAATGATCCAATTGCCGCATTTAAGAGTAAGACAACGTGGGAACTCGTCCGCGCCTATATGGTCTACATGGTCTGTTCGAGCGAGAAGCTCGTCGAGCATAACATGAAGGTAAGTGAAGAGAGCGCATATTGAAATTTATTTTGCTCTCTCTTCTCTATTCTCTCTTTTACACAATTATTCTCTTTAGATTGCAGTTGTGTGTTGCTTGCGGGTGATCAACTCGATCCCCCCTCTCTGATCTGTTAGTCAGCCCTGAGTCAAAGCTCAGATTTAGTTCTTCATATCGCTTTCACCCCTGGGGCTCCTGTGTGCAATCTGCAATCGTCAATCTTTCATTCTCTTCCATTCTCTCTTGCAATTTGTATTTCAGAAAAGATCAGTAGTAATTACTGCGATATCCCCCACAGCACACATATGCACTATTTGATTTATGTATGTCAGTTGATCTGGCTTCCCTCCTCCCTCCCTACCACGAGTCTCCTTTGTCGGATTCTGTTGATGGCTTTTTTAATGACATATCAAAATTTGAATGCGCTTCTAATTGCCACGCCAATTTGTGTTCGCTTGTGTGGAAGGCTGGTGTGGGGAGGGGCGGGGATGCTGTCGAGTGTTTGAGTGTGTCTATGTGTGTGTGTGTGTGTGAGTCAGTTAGCGAGTAAATCATGTGCATTTGAATGACCTTGTGTGAGGCCGTTGTTGTGTTACAGTATCTGAACGATAGACTGTCAGACAGTCAAGTAGACGCCAGCAACAACGCGTTAGTCAGAAGTTCAGACAAACACTAACACACATACATACACTTAAGTATGTAAGTGTAAGCTTCTCAGGCAGGCAGGCCCCCAAAAGTGCGCCAATCAAATCGCCATTCGCAGCAACTACAAAGATAGTGGAAGAAGCAGCGCTCTCTCTCTTTCTCTCTCTCTCTCTTACTCTTCGCCCATGTTGTATACACATGCACACATGCATATGAGTGTATTGCTGTATTACGTATACGTTTTGTTTGAAATATATATACATATATATATATATATATATGTGAGTGTGTGTTCGCTTATCGATTAGTTTGCAGTTTGATCGATTCATATAAAAAATTGATTGCAGTGAATTTAGCAGTAGTCGTGTAAGCAATCTGTATGTTTGTATGCATTTATGCATATGTATATGTTGGCAACACTTAATCGTTAGCTGTTTATTTCTTTTTCAGCCGTATTTCGTTCTATTTGCGGTTCATATCTGTAGGCAGTATGCTGACAGGTCTCGTGACGCGACGCGGGGGCAACACAGCTCACAGCGAACACCTGCTTGTCTTTTTAGCAATCGACACTTTAGCCAAAAAAAAAAAAATAAGAAAAAAATAGTCGAATATCTGAGCAGACAGTTTTATGTAACCAGTTTTGGTTTTCACATGTTTTTAGCATGTAGAAATGTTTGTGTACACTTGTTTAATCATTCTTTCTGCACTCCCTTCCCTCTTCCCCCTTTTCACTCAATAACCGGTCCGTTTTGTACAGATAAATTCGATCCTGTGAGCGAGCAACGTTCAATGACTTCTTTACTTTTGGCAGCTGTTTGACGTCTTATTAATTGCTTCGCAGCACATTTACCTCCGCTCGAACCCCTCCCGCTCTCACTCTCTTTCTCTCTCTCTCTTTCTCTCTCTCTCTTTCTCTCTCTCTCTCTTTCTCTCTCTCTCTCTCTCTTTCTCTCTCGCTCGCCACTTTCTTCACTCTTTGTTCGTTTTGCTTTCGCTTTGTCATCTTGCTTAGCCTTGACACGATCACACGACTTTTTTGTTATACGGATTCTCTTCTATCTGTCGCTGTGCTTTCGCATTTGTATTTGGCTGTCGTCCAAATGATTTATGCACGTTGAAACGTGAACAACAACAAAGCAACAACACTGAACCATAACAAGCTGCAAATAATACAATTTTTGACTTTGGTCTTCTATCCATCTTGTGGGTGTGCGAGCGAGAGGGCGACATACATACATATGTGCTTTAAAATGATTGCGTTGCTTTGCTTGAGGTAGAAAACATGAGTTAAATTTTATCGAGAATATTTGTAATTTATTTTCTCGTTCGACGAATTCTGGTGCCCGCCATTCTCATCACAATTTGCCACCGCTTCTATTTACGTATTCTTTGTAGTCATTGAAATTTCGCAATTAACTAAAAACCCAAAAATATTTAAATTTATGTAAATATATACACACATATATATATATATATATATATACAATATATATACAAAAAAAAACAAACTTCTTTAAAATGTTGTCTAAAAACGAAATTATCGCAGCTTTTGAAACTGGCAAACAAAATATTGGGTAAAAGGTTATTTACAGCATTGATGAAGGCATCTTTCTATGGCCATTTTGTTGCTGGCGAGGATCAGATCAAGATAATACCCACACTGGAAAGGTAATTGTAAAACGTATATTGAATGCACTAACGCGATATTTTTCTTCTTTCTTTTTTTCTTTTTCTCCATTGTACATTTCGCTCTCTGTCTCTCTTGCTTTGCTGTTGTGCTATGCAAAACCAACCAAAAATTAAAAAAAAAAACAAATTAATTACAAAAATAAAAATGATAAAACAACAACAAAAAACTACTGCAAAAAAAAAAAAAAATGCGAACAACAATCGACAATGCTGTAACGTTATCGATATCCGATAACCGCTCAATGATAAACGATGTGCAACGCTTTCTACATTCTCAAAAAAAAAAAAGCTTTTAAAAGTCGCTCGTACCGTGCTGGGCAGCAGACTATTTGTGATTCTGATGAAGTCCAGCTTTTACGGGCACTTTGTGGCCGGCGAAAATCGCCACACGATTGTGCCCACGCTTGAGAGGTGCCCAAACCGTATCCGTACCCTAAGCCCATGCCTAATCATCCAATAATAATAATAATAACCAACATTGACTAAACACCATATAAAGAATATATATCAAACTCAACTCAAATTCGAATCGATTCAACTAACTTGAACTAATGCAACGCTCATTTGTGGCATGTGGCATGTTGATTTCGGGATCGCTTCTTCCACATCCGATTCCCATATGTACAATTCCATCAAAGAAAATACATATATATCCATATATTATCGAATACTTAAAAAAACAACAATTTATTTTCTATGTATTTTCCTTTATGTTGAAGTTGTACTGTAATTTGCATATTAAACGCACTTTTGCACGCACAAACGAGTTTAATGCAGTAATTAAAAAAAAAAAAAATATATATATATATATATATATATATATATATATATATATTCATGTATATTCACACTCGTGCGTTCCCCCCACACCGTCAACCCACCACCCCCCGACTCCATCAACACAAGAAATCTTTTTGTTTTGCAAAACGTTTAAAGGCCGAATTTTCAGCTGCATTTCTAATGCTAAACTTTTTCGCTCTAATCTTTTCGCTATTTAATTCGTGGCCGGCGCAGACTTCGCTCGTTTGGCGTCAAGCCCATCCTTGATTATTCCGTCGAAGAGGACATCTCCCAGGAGGAGGCCGAGAAGCGTGAAGTTGAGTGAGTACCAAATGCAACCAAATTCAGCTCCAATTCAAATTGTGGCACTGTTGTTATCACCGTTGTTCACTTATTCTTTATCAGATCTTCCGTTTCGAGCGCCGGTGATAATGTGAAGGATGCGGGCGCCTTGCCCCAATATCATGTGGACAAATCATTTGCCGATCGTCGCTACAAGGTGAGCAGCGCTCGCACCTATTTCTATCTGAACGAGGCCACCTGTGAGCGCAACATGGAGACCTTCATCAAGTGTCTGGAGGCGGTTTCCGGTAAGCAAACAATCCCCCCCCCCCAACCCCCCCATTCGAAGCATACGTGTTTAATGCATGTGCATCTGCATCCCCTGTGTGCATTAAGCTCTACCCTTTTTTATTGTTCCATTATTTCTCGCTTAATTGGTGAAGGGGTCACTCTAAAGGTCAACTATTGCGTGCCGCTTTACAGCTCTTTTCCAACTCGCTTTTTTCACTTGTATTAAATATTTGCAAACCGGCAAAAAAACAAAAAACAATCCGCATTTGTAATCCCTGCGGAAATGTCAACTGAGAGCAGCTAAAGTAATTAAGAAAGGAGGAAAGTTTTATAATTTTGTCGTAAAAGTCGTCTCTGACTTCAATATATATATATATATGTATTCTTGTCAGGCTGTCCGTTTGTGTGCATATCCCCATTATTTATACCCATTTCTACTTTAAAAGGGAAATTTGCTCAGCTTTAAAGCTATCTCGTTGCAACTTGGCTTGTATCCGTTATTGAAAAACGGATCGGGTCTCGATCCTGCTAAAGAATATGTCACAGCGAAGTCAAGTCAAATAATGATCACTATTTATATGCATCCGGGGTATGCCTATGATAACCGTTATTCCTTATATCTTGTTGAGTTTGAATTGAGCTAGGACCATTTATAGGAGCAAGAAAAAGTTAGGTTCCGCTTAGCCTATTTGTATTTCATGTGCAAGGATATCAATTATGATTTTTGCACTTTTGTTTTCGTTGCCATGATTTGTAGGATTTTTGGTGATTATGTTTATGATAGGGATTATATATGCTTATCTTTTATAATTTATATTTATTAGCCGTTTGTAGACGTATCTTTAGCTTCCAACTACTCTGAATTATGTGTAATATATATATATATATATATGCATATATATATATGTATATGAGTTTGTTTATAATTTTGATTAATTTTCTTCCGAATGCGTCTTTCTTTCTCACCACTCACTATTTGAAAACCGTTACGTAACCGCCAACCAAATGCAAAACCGACGGCGGCCCGCTTCCCAAATCCAAAAAAAAAACAAACGAAAAAAAATTTCTATTAACGATTATTGTTGCAACTGCAACAAACTGAAATGAATCGGAACTAAACGCCAAAAATGAATACAAAAAATTCGAATACTAACCAAAAACTGAAATGTGCCAATTTGTATGTATGTGAATGTGTATATATATGTGTGTGTGTGTGCGTATGTGTATGTGTGTGTGTGTGTGTGTGTGTGTGTGTGTGTGTGTGTGTGTGTGTGTGTGTGTGTGTGTGTATGTTGGCCAGATGATGATGCCAGAGAGCCTCGTGCTAAGGCCGAGGGTAAGCCAGCCTGCTTAATAAAACGTTAATCAAAAACCATAAAAAGAAATGCAACTCGAGACTCAAAGTCAAAATCTATTTATTTGTTTGCTTTTTTTGCTTCATTTGATTTGTTTTGTTTTGTTTCTCGTATTAGATTTAGACTGATTTATTCTGTAAACATTGCGTGTGTGTGCACAGTATGTGTGTGTCTGTGTGTGTGTGTGTGTGTGTGTAAATTGTATCAATTGCATGTGTAACGAGTAGATCAATTGGCTAAAGCGCCTGCGGCAATGCCACGCCTTGCCTCGCCTCGACTCGACTCGACTCGTCTCGACTTGCCTTGCATTCATGCACTCACTTACCTTTCAAATGCTTCTCATTTCCGAACAACAACCACAACAATAACAACAACTTGCAACAACAGGCGCCACCTTCGGAACTGGCATCACAGCCATCAAACTGACCGCACTGGGCCGTCCACAGTTGCTGGTAAGCTATATAAATATATATATATGTGTGTTCGTATGTGTGTATATAGAACAGCATTCTCTATACATATATAGATATATATATTTAATTGCATTCACTAACTAACTGGCTTGTTTTTAATAGTTGCAACTATCCGAGGTCATAATGCGCACACGTAAATATATGGAGGCACTTGTTGGCGGTCAGGGCAATGTGCTCACCCATCACAAGACCATTAAGGATCTCGAGAAGTATTATGCCAGCGTTGGCGACAACAAGGATGTGCAAGCGTTCTTGCAGAATGTTACCTCGGACAAGGAGGGGTGCGTTCCAAAACCAATCATTTTTCTTTGTACATATAAATATATATATGTAACAAAATGTATGAAAGAGTCGGCAACTTTGTCATTAGATGTATAAATTAACTTACGTTATTAGAAAGCTCATTTATAAATCATTCACTTGAATTTCGCTATTATAAATTAATCATCTAACAGGTTTTTTTGTTTTTGAGCGATTACTAAACTCCAAACTATTTTGAGTGATTACATTCAGCAATGAATTGAAAGCCTCTCGTAACCATTAATTGAAGACACATGACTAGTAAGAATCTTTAATGAAATGACAGCCTAAGTATAGCTTAAGCTTTTTATATATTTAGATATAGATATAGATATATACGTTCCATTTATTCATCTCTCACTCTCTCTCTGTATGTCTCTCTGTTGTTTAGCATATTGCATCTGTTTCCCTGGTCGGGCATTGTGGATGAGGATTCACAGCTGAGCGATACATTTCGCGTACCCGATCCGATAACGGGTCAAATGCGTCGTCTGATCTCACAAATAGAGCCCAAAGAGGAGGAGATGTTTAGAAATATGATACGTCGTCTAAACACAATTGTAAAGGTAAAACAAATGAAAAATGAATTGCACACATTTATTTGTATTTAACTGCAACCCTTCTTTTCTTCAGACTGCTGCTGAGCTGGATGTGCGCATTATGATTGATGCAGAGCAAACTTACTTCCAGCCAGCAATCTCGCGCATTACGCTTGAGATGATGCGCAAGTACAACAAGGACAAGGCCATAGTATTCAATACCTATCAATGCTATTTGCGTGAGGCCTTCCGTGAGGTGATGTTTACCTTACCCCGATAGCCATTTCGATTTGAGTTGACTTTTGCTTTGCCGTATTGCAGGTGGGCACTGATCTGGAGCAGGCGAAGCGACAGAATTTCTATTTTGGCGCCAAGCTGGTGCGCGGTGCATACATGGAACAGGAACGGGCACGCGCCCAAGCGCTGGGCTATGCCGATCCGGTGAATCCCAACTTTGAGGCCACCACAGATATGTACCATAAGACGCTAGCCGAGTGCCTGCGTCGTATTAAGGCAAGCCACCATCTCCATTTCAAATGACACAATTTCATTTAAGTTTTGCATCGTTGTCCTGTCCACAGGTACTTAAGGATTCCGGCGAGGATGCTCGTAAAATTGGCATCATGGTTGCCTCGCACAACGAGGACACTGTCCGCTTTGCCATTGAGAATATGAAATCCATTGGCATTTCGCCGGAGGATAAGGTCATCTGTTTTGGTCAATTGCTAGGCATGTGTGATTACATCACCTTCCCGCTGGGTGAGCACCACAAGTCAAATATCTATCGATCCATACCAATACATTAACTCTCAACGCTTCCTACACAGGTCAAGCCGGCTACTCGGCATACAAGTATATACCATACGGCCCCGTTGAGGAGGTGCTGCCATATTTGTCGCGTCGCGCCCAGGAGAACAAGGGTGTGCTCAAGAAGATCCAAAAGGAGAAGCGTCTGCTCGCCAGCGAGATACGCCGTCGTCTATTCCGGGGACAGCTCTTCTACAAGCCCAAGGGCAACTATGTGCCCATCTAAGCACAGTTGGCCAATCCAACGGCCAATCGACCGATACTCGATTAACCCCACAAATACACGGACATCTCACTGACAAAATGACAACAATTGACAACTGGAAAACACCTGATCATTGAATGGACACCGGAGAGAGACTGCTGCGAGCATGCTTTTCAATTCAACAAAAATTGTTTCATTTGTTCATTATACTCTCTAAATGTTTTATCGCTGGACACGCCCCATATATGCATCTATATAGTATGTGGCATAAATATACAATATATGTATGTATACACAAGTGAATCTCCGCAGCAATGCAACAAAATGTCCGTTCATGGAGCAAGAATATTCATATATACGTCATGCATCTTTATATATATATATATATATATATATATATATATATATATTATATTTATATATATATATATTTATCTATGTGTATGTATACTCGAAACGAAAAGACAACATTTGAATAAGCGGAGCGAATACGAGAAGAGAATGCATAGCAAAGAACACCGAACAACAACATAATAATCGACTAACGACAATTGTTGCATGTGCATACATATATATATATATATATTTCGATATTTGTCAAAAATATTTGTACGTCTTGTTGCAACATTAATACAGCAGTTATGCCTGTGCGTTATACATAAATAGTAATAAAAGCCGAAAACCAAAACATGATGCAAAAATTCTCTTGCGCGAGTTACGAAATCGACAAAAAAAAAATCACATTTTTAGCAAACTTAAACATAAGAATACATAAAAATATATATATGAGAAAATGTTTATATATATATATATATAAATAGATGTATAGTATGTGGCTGCATTTTAGAATAGTTTTGAGAGAAATTTAATTCAAATTGTTAGAGCAGTTTCTTATTTCGTGTTATTTCTAAACAAAAAAAAACTAAAAAAAATCTTAAGTTGCTTTCTGCTTTTCATTATATGTGTGATCTTTTATGTTGTTTCCTTAAGCATTAACTGTAGTTTAGACCTACATACATATATAAATATATCTATATATATACATATATATATATATATATATATATAAGTATATATGTATATGTGTATATATATAGATCGCTTCAGCATAGTCGCTGCATTTGTTCCTTTATGCCGCAAGAGCAACCCTCAGATATATGTCATAGTTATACATACTATATTATATTGCCACCCAGGGATACGCCTAAATCTAACTGCAAGTTTTATTATATTATTATCATAGTTAATGCTAAATTTTAATTGTAATATTTGTTTTATGTGTTTTTCGTGGAAAAAAGTTTAGCGAACGATTTCGATATTACGAATAGACTATATACCCCATTATCCCCTCTATCCATCCACATTGTATTCTGGCTATAGTTTGTCGCTTCAGTGTGACCGTCGTTAATCGATAAATAATTATGTATGATGTAGTTTCGCGTAACCGAATCGAATCAAATTGTTTTTTTTATTTAAATATATATATTATTCTATATACATTCATAAATATGTATTGCATAACGCAACTTTTGCAGTTTAACTTGGTATGTGTATTTCTATATACGAAACTATACATTTTCATATGTAATAAAAAACACAAAATAAATGAAAGTCAATAATTGTTAACTATTTCAATGACAATAATAAAATGTTAAAACCTATTTCTCGTTATAAATGTAATATATCCCTATGGCCCCTACTTGCCGCATATTCCAATTTGATCATTTTTTTTTTGGCTAGGAAATCGATAAGATCGATAAAGCTACAATTTTTATGGCTACAGTCATAGTCAGATTTGTTTGGTAGGTTATTGGAGATGTCCTTTAAGGATAAGCATCGGCATCCTAGATTACTAGGAGGCTCCTTGCAGATAGGTGTTTCATAGCTATACCCAACCTGCTCTGTGGCACCTTTTGTTAGATTACTTATTTGTATCAGAGTGTTTCGCAACGTCCTCAAAGATATTGCTTAGTATTCCACCTATAAGTTCTTGGAATTATTTTCAATATAAATATTGTTTTTTCGAATATGAAATGAGCTAAAAAATGACTTCAATTCAACTGCAAGAGTGCACACGGCTCGCTTATGTCAAAGATAACCCAACTTAAAAGCCTGCCTGATACTACTCCACTTAATATATGATATGCCACCAATAAAGGTCTCTCAACCCCAATCACACCACCAATATAGTTTGAAAAAATAAATCAGCGAATGATTTGGAGTTGTAGTAAATTGCTGTGAGTAAAGTTTTTATTTAATTCTAATTTTCATATACATCCAGCAGCCAACACAGACCAATCAGCAACAGAAAAAGCGTTTTGGCACACGAAGTGTTCGTTTATTGGTTGTGCCCTTGCAGAGCTTGTGTTTTTACTTAAGTACTTATGAATAGCACTTAATTGAACATATTGCTTTAAAATAGTGAATTATCTGAGAGAAAAAAAAACAAATGAACACATTATACAGACTCTTATGATAGATCACTTGACTAAACATTGAATTGGACATGAGGCAAATAGGATACAAGTATTATAATATTACACACAATACACTGAGTTAAGTCATATATAAATTCACTAGATTGACGCAGATTGCGTCACAGTTGAAGTGGGTAAAGTAAATGGAGTTGCTAAACCTCGATGCCCTCATCGGATCGCTTGTTCTGACGCTGCAGAGCCTCCTCGGAGTTAAGCTTGGTCTTCTCGGTGCGTGTGTGCCAGACGAGCACATCGCGACAATTGTTGGCCAGCGTTTGCAGTTGGTCCCGTGTGGTGAGGTAGCGCAGAATTTCGCTCTCCTGATAGCCGCGCTGCACTTTATAGGAGAATATCGCCTGTGGATACTTGAAGAACAGATCGATGCTAATGCCAAATGCGGCCATATCGAGGGGAAATGGACGCTCTGGCCGCCAGGCGGCATTGAAGCCAACCACCTTGTTGTCGCCATTGAGCAGCGGACGCTCGACCATTAGGCCGCCCACTAAGCCGACGGGCCAGATGCCCACACGCCCTGGCTGAATTTTAGCCATTTCGGCAAACAACTCCACCGAATAGGAGTTGTCATCATCCATAAAGAAAACAATCGCATGACGATCGGGCGACGCATGTGAACGCAGCCAGGCGAGCGCCAAATTACGCTGCTCGACGCCGCGTGGCTTTATCCAATTTGGATCCTTGCTCTGCAGCTTGAACTCCGCCGTCGTCTTAATGTTTAGCTGCGTAGAGCGATTCTGCAATCCGGCACGGATCAGCAAATTCTGCACCAGCTTCGTGGTAACATTCGAATCCTCAACAATGATCCAGTGCAGATTCGGCACCAGCATAAACAAATGCGAAAGCCTAAAATTATTGTTGTTATACGCATTTCATTCATTTTGTGAATTGATGGAATTGATGATCACCTGGTTAGCTCCGCTTTTTGTGCGGGCCGCGCATACGTGGGCGTTATGGCAAAGATTTTGGGCAACGTGTCCGCCTGGGCTTTTGAGTACATCGCCTGCAGATACTCTGGGCCCTGGCAGATGCGTTGGCCGTTACGATGCACCATCAGCAGGATGACAATAAACACAATAATCAAAACGAGCACTTGGCGCGGACGTATGCGTACCTCGGACATGTCGCATCTAATCTCTCCTCAAGTAACCGAAATTATACAAAAATCGCCAGCGTGCCACTGCGGCAAAACAAACAAAAAGAAAACAAACAATAAACATACATATAATTCTCTGTTTGCCTTCTGCTCATTGTACTGTCTACCTTTTCACCATTCCCTACACCGTCAACATTAATAAAACTAGCGCTTAAATTCGTGTTCTGATATTAAGATGGAAGGTAAAAAAGAAATAAGTTTACAAAAAATGATACATTTTAACAAAATTGTGCTATTGATAAAAATATCGATAGGCGGGCCATAACGATTTGGCCATTCAACTGACTCCCAATATTTGGGAAACATCGATATATCGATAACTAGTTAAGAACTCAACGGTTATTGTGACACCATCGTCAAACGGTAAGTTTAAATTGAATTTAAATTGACACAAATCGGAAATCGGAGCCAGCCAGTAAAACAAAACGTGTCCGGCTTTTACAAACAGTAATTCATAGCGATACAATGGGAAAAACTTTGAAATTATTATCTGTATTTTGCAACCGTTGATAAAATTGAATTGAACTGATGAAATTCCAGCAAATTCCGAAAAATCAAAAATGGCAGGAGCAGATCAGCACAAATTGAAATTTATCGGCTTCTGTACGTTAGCGGATAGCCAACTTTCTAAAGTACACAACCCGGATAAACTCACTAACAAAGAATTTATCTCGGTACAACTGATCGCTGATCGATGACTATCGCCATCTGAAAGTGATGTCACTTCGACATAAACTGAATACATTCCTCGAATTCTGTCGCTATTTATCTTATTTTACGTATTTGGATAGTATGTGCAAGAATGGCCAGAAGCCAACTCATGGAGATTGAGGCCAAAGTGATGTTCCATTTCCATCCTGATCCGAATCCTATCAAGATCAAGCCCGAAGATGCTCCGCTAATAACACAATTTGAAGAGGTAATAAAAATTGAATAATGTCTAAGGCTACGCATATTATTTCTTTCATTTGTTTTATTCGATTCGTCATATTGAAATACACTTATTTCCGTTAGTATTATTTTAAACACATTTTCAATTTAATTTAGTTTATCAATTTGTTTCTTTTATATATCCTTGTATGTATGTAATTCTTGCACACTTACTACCGAATTATTTTTATATATATTTTTTTTTTCATATTTAAATATGTTTTTTTTTTTTAATTTTATTCCTTTTGAATTTTTTTTATTATTTTTAGTTCTGGGACTGTCATCGAGTTAAGACTGAAATTGGTTTGCATCCCGAACGAATTTTAAATTCTAAATGCCCGACGCATTTTTACTTGTTTTTTTTGTTTTGTTTTCAGGGTAGTTTTTAGTTACACTTGGTTGGGGCTCCATGTACAAATATTGGTATGTATATTGTATATAAGTTAAATATACGTTGGGGTTTGGGGTCGACTTGGGGGTTTGTCTACGATTAGTAGTTGTAGGTAATCCTTGTATTTAATTGTAATTGTAATTTGTAGTCGGTATTTGTAATTGTAATTATAATAGTAGTTGTAGTAGTTAGTATTTTAATAGTAAATAGTAGAGTACATATCGAAGTATACATTTATATAAATTTACGAGTTTTTCATTATTTTTTTCTTCAATTTTATTTTCAATGCCCAACGCAGACAGACAGACGGAAACTCACACATACGCACACACTCACACATACGCACACACACACACATAACCATTGATATTCATTCAGATTTCAGACAAGTTTTATTAAAACTAGTACATTGGTATCTTTTAGGTTGTTTATTATAAGTATTTCCTTTGTTTAGCTAACAATTAACTTAGTTTTTAGTATGTCTATGATCATAGTTCTCTCTCTCTCTCTCTCTCTTTCTCTATCCTTCAATATTTCCATTCCCTCTCTTTCTCTCTTTGAAGTAGCTTTATTGTTATTCCAAACTAACAAGTGCACTCAAGACGGATATATATTTATAATGTATGTTTATAACAAAAACAAGATAGAAAATAGAAAGAAAAAAGAAAAAAATTGAACTCAGGGGAAAATTGTCGGATATAGGTTGTTCATACACATATGTATATAGGAGGTATATGTATATGGTATATGTATATATGTATTTGTAAGTATAATAATGCTACTTTGGTCTGTTAGCCAACAGCTGCCAAACTTCAAGCTCGAGCCACAATAATTATAATAATAACCATAATGAATTACAAATAATCATCAAGAACTATATGGTAATATCAGAAAAATACAGCCCTGCATATGGGGAGTGACACAGCGCTTAGCTTTTGTGCGTGGTGCTGTGCACATGATTTACACAATTTTAAAGAGGAACGGGGAAATCGCAATAAACATACACACGCATACACACACACACACACACACATGCACAAACATACACACACACACACATGCACAAACATACACACACACACCCACGCAAGTAGACTATATGTATTGTATTATTGTATTTAGGTGCAATATTTGTTGTATGTACGCACAAAACTACCACATTTAGATTTTAGATTATATATGCATATATTATATATAATACATAAATACACACACTCACACAGACACAGACACACACACACACATACACACACACATAAGAAACATTGAATTTATAGCCTAGCACAATAATAATCATACTTCTTGTTGTTAAACTGCTTTTAAATTGTCTTTCGATTGAGACGCTGCGTGGCTATGCGTGCGAGTGGGTAGCTGTCATGCAAATGAAAGAGACAGCACTATGTGTGTGTTTCGAGGATGTTTTCGAATTATCCTTTTTAGTTTGAACGAGCTCACATTTAATTAGCTTTTACAAATCTACAGCACACTGAACATCAAATATTTATTTAGTATTTCGTTTTCTTTAACTTATTTCTGTTACTTTAAAAATTTTAAACATTCTCTATGCGCACTTAAGTTCTCTAACAAATTGTTTTTTTTTTGTTTTTAGAAATTTTTGTTTGTTTTTAAGTTAAGAATTCGATTAAAATAATGACGTTTCTATTAGCTCGTGTTTAGTTTTGCTTACGTTTTACATGGTTTTAAATGGGTTTTGTGTTTATTTATTTAGTATTATTTTTATTATATGTGGCTGGGTAGCGTATGTTTTTATATATATATATATATATATATATATATATATATATATATATTATAAAAAAAATGTTTGAATTTTCACATAGTATAAGTATAATATGTTATTAGTTGCTTCTTACAATGTCTAGGCTTTGATTTATGTGTGTGTTTTGCATCGAACTGCTGCTGTACTTAACTTTCTTTCAGTATCTCATTTTTTACTGGATCTATAGCCTTTTTCAGAGGATTTGTTTTTAGGGGGGAATTTAGGATAGTTGGCTGTGCTGCAAGAGAGTGGTTTCTCTTTTTCATAGCATAGTATGCATCTCTCATTAGGCTTATGGCTGTTGTGGTTGGCAACAAGTTTCGCCTGCTTACAAACTATAAATAGGTATCTTTATATAGATATTTATATATATATTTAGATATACATATATAATTTTTTTTCTTTTATACATATATCAAATTTTTTAAATACATATAAACGCAAATTTCTTTTCGTATTTACAAACACCATTTGCTCTGTTTTTTGCATACTTTTGACTTTTACTTAATATTTTTTTCTTACGTTTTTTTTTTATATTTACTCTAAACAAATTAAATTTTCCAGGCGTACAAATATAGCTCGTTTTCATTTTGTTTACCACGCACCTCAAGCTTTGGATGCGCATTTCTAACAGATAAAATTATTTATAATAATGCCTAGACTTCATTGGTGTTGATGAACAAAAAAAAACTATGTATATGTATATGACAACCCTCTAGACGAAAAAAAAACTTCCAAAATGCTCTTAAAAATTCAATTTCTTCAAATACAAACTAGATGCTCTATAAACCTAAATAAATACATTAAATAGAATTAATTCTTCTTCTTCATCTGGTTCTCTTTACGAGTTACTACTAGAAAAATAACAAAATCCAATCAAATATTATATTTGTTGTTGGTATCTTCTTAAGTTACAAGTGTTTTATGTATATTCGTATAAAGTATTCGAAACAAAAACTGAACCTAAACGCTTTTCCTGACTTGACATGATGTTGTCCTGTGGTTGTTATTGTTATGTATTGTTAATTTGTATATTGATATTCTGTGTGAGGCTTCCAATGGTGATCAATAGTTCAACAATAGTTGGATTACAATTAAACATTACATTAGCTTAAAAAGCGTATTGTTATAGCAAACATAGATATATATATATAATATAATACAATATAATATGCGTATATTATATTATATGTATATTTATATATGTGTAGGTGTAGGTGTAGGTGTAGTTGGTAGATGTTCTTGTGTACGTTGTGTGTATATATATATGTGTGTGTGTGCAAATGTGTATGTTTGTTGTCTTCTACAATGGATGTCACATATAATCAAGCAACTTAATATAAGCCTATGTTTTCATATGTTTTGCGTTTGCGTTTGCATTCTGTTTTCCCATTTTCATTTGCGTTTTTCCTTTAATTGTTGCGTTCCCAGTTCGAATTCAACAAACACAATCAGGACGAAAGGTGAAATGACATATCGAAGTGAAGTGCTGGACGCCGGCACTTAGGAATCCTCTGAACTGTCGTCCTGCTCGTTGTAGAAAAGCACGCTTTTGCTATTGAATACGTCATTCCAGGCTAATAATTAAATCAAAGAGGAGAGTGACATATAAGTAATTAATTCAATATTAGCACTGCTTACGTTCATAATCAACAATCAAAATTACTACGTAATCATAATATAAACATATAACTTAAAGATGGAATATTTTTTATTTCGTTAATGTGGTAATTTGATTAGGAAATTCCGCCTAAGATAAGATTAACCCTGGTGACACTTTTTAATATGTCAGCGCAGTCACCAAATCAGAATTCTAAGAAAACAAACTATAGAAATGGATTGAAAATAGTGCTAATACCGTCCGATATCTGGGTTAGCAAATAATAGGTAATCTTCTTCCGAATTTCAGCACGATTGCCTTCTAATTAAGAACGAACAGACAGATGGACATAGCTTTATGCTGATCGTGAATGGCTTTAAGCACTTACGACAATATAAAAATACTCTAAACAAGAGTATAATAATAAGAGATAATAACTCGCTGGACTTACAGTTGTTGATGTATTCGACGAGAACCTCTGTGTAGGAATTTATTTGTGGGGTGGGAGGTGTTGATATTGACGTGCCTGCCATCATCTCTGTGGCTGTTAAGGCAGCCGCTGTCGTTGCCACTAGGTCCGACTTGAGATCGGACATGAAGCTAAGCTCGCACAGCTGCTCCTGTTCGTCCAGGGCGACGGAAGCACCGCCACCGCCACAACCACCGCCAGCTCCATCTCCAGTTGCTGTCTTTTCTGGCTGATCCTGTGAATTGCTGCGTGTGCAGCTGCCGCTGCGCGACCCAGAGGCCGACTCGGAGACGGATACAGAAACGGAAACCGAAGCAGATGCAGATGCTGACGATGAACTGGCGGCGGCAGCAGCAGCGGCACGTGCGGCTGCAATGATGGCCGTCTCAATATCATTGCACGTCTCCAGCTGTTGCATGGGGACCATTGGCTGCTCATCGTGATTGCTGCTGCTGCTGCAGCTGCTACTGTTGCTATGGCTGTTGTTGCGACTCTTGCTGGTGCTGGCATTGGCCTTGCTTAGAAAATTGGACACATGTTCCTTGATGCTGGCAGCGGTTGCGATGGCGGCCGCAGCGCTTGCGGCAGCGGCTGCTGCGGCAGCTGCAGCGGCTGCCGATGCAGCTGCAGCAGCGCTGCTGGATATGTTAATGCCGCTATCGCTGGACTGATTGGCCAATTGTGAGCTGACGCCCATGTTGGCCAGGTTACTGTTGCTGTTGTCATTGTCATTGCTGCCACTGCTCAGCGCCGATGAGGACGCCGAGGTGGAGCACGAGGCCGAGCTGGATGCCGTTGACGATGTGGATGAATTATTAACGGCTGATGCTGCATTGGGCGACGACTGTGCCGCCTGCCCTGAGATCAGCAGCATATCCAAACAGGCCGAACTATTGACCACATCAGACGCAGCGTCTGAATCATTTAAGAGCAGCTGTTGCAGCTGCTGCTGTTGTTGTTGTTGCTGTTGCTGCTGCTGCACATCGGTTGCTGTTGCTGTTGTCGCAGTTGTTGGCGCTGTCTGTTGCTGTTTGTGCTGCGTTTGCAATGCCGCTGACTGCTCCTCCTCCTTTTGCTTATCCTTACTGATGGGAGACGACTGCTGCAGCTGCTGTTGTTCCTTATCGCTGCTGGCATCGTCAAACAGTTTCAGTTCGTCCTCATTGAAATCGCCAAATATGAACTCGTTGTTGAGCCTGCCCAGCGCCGAGTCGCGATCATCGTTGAGTATAATTACAGCCGGACGATTGCCGAGCGGCAACAAGGTGCTTGTGGTTTGCACCGATGCCGTTGAAGTGTTGTTCGGCTTTTTGGCGGTTTCCGTTTGGGTGGCTGCAGTCGCTTTGTTGCTAAAGATAACCGGCGGCGACAGCGGCGGCGGTGACGATTGCGACGATTGATCCTCCTGACTAGGCTTTTGGCTGGAAGATTTATCTTGCTTTTTGATGTTGCTAATGCTATTGCTGCTGCTGGGCGATAGCTCCTTTGGCTTGCTGCTGCTGCTGCTGATGTTGCTGCTAGTATTGCTGCTGCTCTTGGCCTTGGCTGAGATAGTTGCTGCTGATGTTGATGTTGCTGCTGCTTCCAAGCTAGACTTGTCGGGCAACTGCTGCTGATGCTGCTTGGCAGCTGCCGCAAAATTGTAGCCCGTGGACATGTGGGCTGGCAGCGACACATAGTTCACGCTGTGCCGTTTGACTGTCTTCTCCAGCGCTGGATATTGTAAGTCCAGATTGCTGCTATTGAAACTATAACTGCTCGCATCATGCTCCACACTTTTTGACTTTTGCAGTGCAGGCGCCGACGCCGACGCTGAAACGGACATTGCAGCAGACGATGGTCCGCTTAAGCTGCAATTGCCACTGCTGCCAGCTGCTGTTGTTGTCGGTGTTGTTGTTGCTGCGCCTGCTGCTGCTGCTGCTGCTGACAAAGCTGATGGCTCATTGTGTGTATCCGTTTCCCAGTTGCTGCTGCAGTTGTTGTTGCCCAGACTCTGCGAGTAACGAATTAAAGCGGCAGCAGTAGTTGCCGCTGTTGTGGACAAATTAGAGACGGCGCTGGGCAGCTCGGGAAAATCGGGTCGGGCCAGCTTAGACTTGGCCTTGGGCAACTGTTGCTGCTGTTGTGGCGGCTGTCCTTGAGCTTGCGGCTCGCCAGATTCGTGACCGACGTCCTCACCGGCTTTGGCCAGCTCCTCTCGCTTGTTCCGCGCTATGTCTGCATACGAAATGGGCGCTGGTGAATTGTTATTGTTGTTGTTGCTGCTGCTGCTGCTGCTGTTGCTGATGTTATTCTTGTTGTGCTTGTTTTGAACGACAACGCGCTTGTTGTTATTACTCTTCTTTTTGCCAGTTTGGATGGGCAGCGAGTGCACCGAATCGAGATCACTGGAATCGGATTTCTCCGATGGAGGCATTGAGGATGTGGACTTGCGACGCGAATTATCTTGTGAGGCAGTTGCAGCAGCTGTTGTTGCGGCAGCAGCCGAAGCTATTGTCTGATGCTGTTGATGTTGCGGCTGCTGATGTTGCTGCATTTGTTGATGCTGTTGCTGTTGTTGTTGCTGCTGCTGCTGTTGCTGCTGCTTGTTGATATAGTAATTGTTGCCGCTATTGTTGTAGTAATCGATGGTGCCGCGCAAGCGTTGCGACATCATGTTTGATGATGCGGACTTAGTTATCTGTTGCATGCGCTGCAAGTTGCCACCAGTTGCGGCTGCCGCAGCAACCGCTGCATCATCCATGGTGACGGCGCGTTGTTTCTTTGGTTTCTTCTTCTTGGTCACCACATGAAACTCGGCCGTCTCGCTGAGCACCGTATTGAGCGCCTCCAGTTCGGACATGCGCGCCAGCGTTGGCAACGATGCCAGCGTTGACGACAACTGTTGATACTGCTGATCCTGTTCGTCTAACGGCGGCGTTGGTGGTGATGGCGCCACAACAGATTCCGTCCATTTGCTGGTAGCGGCTGCAGCATCATTGAGTGTCGGTTCACCCAAATACTGTAGCTCCTCGGTGCCCCAGGAGCGACGTTCGCCCTTACGCGAGGGCTGATGGTGTTGCGAGTGTGACTGTTGGTGGTGCGATTGTGGCTGCTGCTGCTCCTTGTTGCAGTTCTTGTTAATGTCGGCAACGGAGGCGGAATTGTGCTTGCCACCACCACCAGCGGCACCCTTCTTGTTGCGCATCATTTCGGTGGTGGCCGCTTGTCGCTTGAGCTCATCCACCTCCATTTTGGCACAGCTGCGCAGCTCCTCGAGAGAATTGCATTTCTTGAGCTTGTTCTGCTTCTTGCGCTCCTTTTTCTTTTGCTGCTGCTGCAGCCCGGTGGCGCCATCGTTCTCTATATACTTGACCAGTTGCTCAACGGGATCCTTGCCACGATAGCCGGCAACCGATTCAACATCCACAGTGGTCGTATTACGCTCCTGCTGTGACTTCTTCTTCAATTTGAGCTTGGTTGCTGGCTGCGATATGGAAACACCGGCGCCACCAAAACCAGGCGCCTGTTGCATTTGACTGTTGAATGAAGCAGCAACGGCAGCGGCAGCCATCGCTGTTGTTGTTGTATTCGGACCAGTGGTGAGCAATGTGGAAACGCTATTCGAGCGTTGTTGTTGCTGCAACTGTTGGTGTTGCTGTTGTTGTTGCTGCTGTTGCTGATTTTGTTGCTGTTGTTGTGGCAACTGTTGCTGCGATCCGCCCATTGAGCTAGCAATGAGCGTGTTAAATTGATTTGAGGAGCCACTGGCACTGCTATTGCCGCTGCTGTTGCCACTGCCGCCATCGCTTAACGCGTTCCCATTCTCATCAAACTGGCGCTGCAAGCAGAATATAAAAATCAATTACACAAAAAGAAAACACAAACCAGAGTTGCTTGATAAATTAAGGAATGGGCTGTGTGCTCGAGAGATCTATTGAGTTCTATACTACCGATGCTCAGTTTGTAGCACACTTACCGATGTGGTCTTGGTGCCGTGTGAGCTGGCAATAGCTGCTGCTGCGGCTGCCGACGTCATGCGCCCAATCTTTGCCGGGCGTAAATCTAAGCCGGCATCGTTGGCCGACGACGAGGTGGACGGGTTAGACATGCCGCTAACACCGTAGACGGATGAGCAGGCCGCATAGCTGTCATTGAGTGACACATAGCCAACCTCAGGTCTGCGCTTCTCATCCTCCAATGCAACAGAATATCCAGCTGCATTGCCCAGCGCTGCTCCGTAAATGTTGTGGTGTTGATATTGTTGCAAGTGCTGTTGCTGATTATGTTGTTGCAGCAGCTGGTGCTGCTGCTGTTGTTGTTGCTGTTGTTGGAGCTGTTGTTGTTGCTGCTGATGCTGTTGCTGCTGTTGATTCTTAGCAGACAGCTCGAGCACAGAAAAGTGAAGGGGATCATCGATTAGGAACTCTTTGACTGCGCCCGCATCCTTGTTGTCGGTTGGCTGCTGTTGTTGCTTCTGCATCTGCTGGGTGAGAATATCAAGCAGCTTCTCGCATTTCAGGGTTACGGATTGGTTTGATGACGACAGCTTCCGATTCTTGCGGGCCTCACGCAGCAATTCAAGCTGCATCTTCTTTAAAAGGGATTGAAGAAGAGTCGGGATTAGTTCTCTTTGTACAATATATATCTAAATCAACATCAACTTCGCCTCTCTCCCACACAAACCAAATTCGAAATGCGACTCTTCACATTGCTTTCATCCACCACGACTGTTGCAAACGATTAACGAGTAACGAATAGCGAATAGCGAGTGATAAATGTCGAGGTGAATAACAGCTAAAATGGAAGTGCGTCTACTCTGTATGCTAACACCCAAACACACAATTGTTGTGCTTCTTTTTCTTTTACATAAATAGGCAGGAAATGAATTTCACTTGTAAACAAACTCTTGATCTACGGGAATAAACCTGTCAAAACCGGCGTCGAAATTAATTTTGATCGATCTTAGCGATATGCACGCAAATATCGATAATGTTAATACGTGTACTTATATTCCATTATTGAAGCTCTGACTATGAACCCGACGTGTTCACACAACGCATACACATATACTCTATGGGATTTATCTACCTGTTTCACACATTTACTCATATTTTTAACACACACATATATATTTCTATCTAGAGAAGAGAGATTGGCATAATCATACTGAGTATGAGTATTAAACGATAAGATTAGGAGTTTGATTGATTAATATGCTTGTTGAACCTGAACTTGATTCAGTTTAATTACATTTAAACTGAGTTTGCTAAATTGTTTTGTTAGACGAAGAAAAGGGAGATGTATGCGAGCTGGGGAACCTTTTACGCTCTCTAATTCACCATATCGCAATTGGTTTCATCCAAAAAGATATACCATTTGGCAAGCGCAATAACCCTTACCTCCGACGGATGATCAATTTGATATTGTTTAACGACAGGCAAACCGTCGCCAGATACATTATCAGGTGAATAGCCCCCAGCAGCATCCTGCTCATCCAAATCGAACTGCATGTCAAGGACTCCTCCACCTCCACCACCAGTTGCTGCACCTGCTGTTGCTTCCGTTTCATTCAGCTGACTGGGCTGACTGCAACGATAGCTCTTGCTGCTGGTGCTGCCGCTGCTTGCCGTTGCGGCAGCAGCATTTGTGTTCATAACAATCTCCTCGCCCAATGCGAGTTTCAACTTGGCCTCCATGCTGGCCGCCTCGAAGTAAACGTTGCCTGGCAAGCTGCCGCCTTCGCGCTGTCGCGCCGATACAGATGTTGAGCTGTTGCTATTGCTGTTGCTGTTCTTGTTTTTCTTGCCGGCGAGTGTGGCGTTTTGGTTGTTACTACTGCTGTGCTGCTGCCGTCGATTGGTACGCGCGTTGCCGCCACCACCACCACCGCCTAGCTGATAATCACAGTTGAAACGTTGGGCTGCCGCCGCTACTGCTGCAGACGTTGTTGCCAGCTCGCTGCGCTGCGTGGCCTCGACCAGATCCTGAAGGGAGCCGCCCTGCTTGTGACGATTCGTCGTCGTTCGATTATAGCTACTGCTACTATTGTAATTGTTGCTATAATTGTTGCTATTGTGCGCTCCGAAATTGCTGCCGCTGCCAACGCTGCTGCCAACGCAGCCGTGATAGCCGCCGGACGTTGATGATGATGCGGACGTGTTGCGTACTAGATTGGAATGAAGTGCACGATGAGAGTTCGCCTCGTCGTACTCAGCCTTTTTGAGCATTTGCTATTGGGGGCCAAGCAAACAAAAAACAACATTAAATGCTATTAGTTATGGGTGGGGGTCGGGATGGGTGTAACGAAATCATGTGTTGTACTTACCAGAAAACGCTCACTTTTGTTTTTGCGATCGCCGGGATTGCGATACCAATAGGCCTCCTCGAGTAGTTTCTTCAATGATGCGTCATCGAGATCATTAATTTCGCTATCCTCCCAAGCATCGTACTTTGTCTGCAAATTGTTCGTGTTTTTAACTTTGGTGATTGTTGTTGTTTTTATTTTTTATCGTTTGTTCATGTGTTCATTCAATTCAATTCCTGTTAAGCACTGAGCAGCGTGTTCGCATCTAACCTCAAAACACTTAACAATGAGAGAATAGGTGTTTTTTTGGGGGAAAGGAAGTGAGGCAAAGAGGGCTGGTTGCAAGCTGAACTTAAGAAACTTCAGGTTTAGTTGCTTCCGCGTCTTGCCGCTGCGCTTTCACTATTTATTCTGCCATATGCAATGCAGTTGTCTCCAGTTTTTATAAAGTTTCAATTTATGTAGACATATACATATATATATATATATATGTACATTTATACGTATGTATATGTATCTAAGAATTTATGTATGTATTTATGTATGTACAGCTCAAATCACATAAACACAATTAAGCGATGATAAATAAATATTAAATAAATTGAAACAATTTTGTGCGTGTGGTTTGGTTTACAGTTTTGTGTGGCGTCGGTGGTGGCGGCGCCACAAAACCAAACGTTTCACGATAAGCTCAAAAAATTGCAGTTGAAGCCAATTCCGAAAAAAACATAAAACTAAACTCTTTATCAGTGCGAATACAAATAATTATTTATACTTTATATATAAATATGTGTATATTAAAAGAAAACGAAATTTTATAGATAATTTGAAAATACACGTTCGGCCTGCCGATCTTCACTTCTATTAAACCAGCCACAAATACAAATACAATGTACTGGAAGTTAACGGCATTTTTCCAATAAAAGATAGTGTGTGAGAGTGAAAGAAAAATTTTGAGCTAACATTGCTTGCGGTTTTCGTCTCTACGAGTGCTTGCTTGCTTACTCTGTTGCTGCACTTGTTGTTGTTGTTAGTTAGGCGTAAGTAACGGCTTTAATTAACAGTTTTGCAGCACATTCTTGCAGACGACGTTATCTAGCACTGCAAAACAAAACAACTTCACTTCCAACAGAACAGCAGCAACAATTAAATTTAAATCAAATAAGTGCGAGACTTTAAATTAATCGAGTTTGTAAAGTTTATGATTGATCGATTGATTGATGTGTGCACGTATGTATTTATATACATATGTTTGTGAAAACTATCAACAAAAACAATGATGTCCAAATGATCTTTAGCAAATTGTATACACATACATGACGTATGCTCACACAATTATGTTTGTGTGTGTGTTGTCGATATTTATAGAATGTTTGTGCGATTTTATTGGATATGTAATTTATAAAAAAAAAAAACAATTTTTAAACTGAGATATGACGTGCGACCTCAACCACGAAATATGAGTGTGTGTGTGTGTATACATATGTGCGTGAATGTGTGTATGTGCGTGTATGCGTATGTGTGTGTGTACAATTGTTGCAAATAAACGCTGGGAACGGTCAGAATAACCGCAAGAAATAGACAAAAACACATGCAGTCATGAAAAAAACAATTTTGTTTTGTAGAAAGTTATCAAAATAAACACAATAACCAAAGCAGAACGAAAAAAAAAAACATGGAACTGAAAAACAGTGAAGTGGTCAATTAAAATATTAAATAATAGTGTTCAAATTGTACTCGTAATTTCTCTAACTTTAACCACCAAGAATATATTTCGAAACAACATTCGGTGGAAAACTAAATTGTTGCTTGAGAATTTAGTCTAGATTTCCAAAATATCTATCAACCGAACTCAACTTATTATTATTATTATTTTACTAATGAAAAAAACGTATACAATTTGTTCTTTTCTCCTTTTTTTTCGAGCTACTGAGAAATACGAGTAATGAAGCTAATGATGTGGGGTCGAGTGTTTATTTGCGAATGCGAAATCCGTTTTAATTAGCGAATGTTTACTGTATATTGGAATATTATTTTTTGTAGCACTTTGTCACAGATGGACTGTTGCATTGTTGCTCTGTTGCATTTGTTTGCATCTCTTTCTCTCATCATCCTCTCTCACACTATTTGTATATTAGATGAGGTGAGTTGTGGGATGGGGGTGTGGATGGGTGGGTGGTGTGGTAGTAGTGTGTTGGTGTATTTTTGTTATATGGATAACTCACCTTTTTATTTTTCTGACGCTGGCCCACATTTTGGTCATCTTGGGTTTTGCCTTTGGCGGTGGCGCCACGTCGCTGCTGGAGCGTTGTCGTTGTCGCCGCAAACACCTCGGTCGGCGCTGCCGCCGCCGTTGACGCCGCCGCCTGGCCACCATCCACCGACGATTCGCTTATCTGTGGCGTCAATGTCAATATGTGATGCAGTGCAACAGCAGCTGGCGAGCTATTCGATTTCTGGCTCGAGCCCGGGCTCTGGGTCTGGTTCTGGCGCTCATCAGTTGCAGGGGTAGCATGATTCTGGCTAGAATCGTTAGCGACTGCAGCTATATCCGCTGATGTTTCGCAGTTGTTGTTGTTGCCACTGTGGTTGTTATTGGTGTTGTTATTATTATTATTATTATTGTTGTTGTTGGTCAGTTGTGTGTTGGTGTTGGTGCCACTGGTGTCGTTGGCCGGACGCTGCTCCAGCTTCACATTGTGCGACATTAAGGTGACTAGATGCTCCTGGAAATAGGGCGTCGGTGTCGTCTTAGTCGATGTGGTTGTTGAGGTGCTCTCACTCAACGTGCCAGCGGCAATCGATACGATGGGCGTATCGGGAATTATCGCTTGAATTTTTGTTACCAATGTGGCAATATTGCTATTGCTGACGGAGTCCTTGTCCTTGTCGTTGTTGTCTACGCTGGCGTTGCCGGTACCGGTGACGCCGCCGGCAGCGCCTGTTGATATGGCCTTGATGAGTTGCTGCTGTTGCTGCTGCTGTAATTGTTGTTGTTCTTGTTGGTGTAGGTGCGCAGCTGCTGCTGACGATGTGGTTGTGGTTGATATTTTTTCTGTTGTTGCTGTTGATGTTGTGGATGCTGATGATGATATTGATGAAACACCAATTTGTTCATTGTTCATCTTTTGTGGCATAGAACAAACAACGAAATGCCATTAAAAATTATCGCGCCTGCACAATTTGGCTGCTTTGAAACTTGGGAAAACGACACAAACATAAAAATAAATAAAAAAAAAAGAAAAAACAATATAGAACCTGGTAAAATACAGAATTTTAAGTTTTTTTGAGCTGCGTAATACCAATTTTCTCTGTACATTCACCTTCACACGGTTACTGGGATATTAATACAGATACGGACATAACTTCAGAGAAGACATTAAAACGTGCATTTGGAAGTGTTGCTCACAAGTTACTTACCAATCCGGGTGCCGAAAATGAACTGCGCGCTACGGATCCGTATATCCTAGAGAGAAAATCAGCTGTCAAGGCCGCCGCCGCCGACGTCGCGCGCGATTTAACGCCGCCGGGCACCGTTAGTTTATTCAAGGTTCGATGTTCGTTCCCTTCTGTTGCTCCTCATGCGTTGTGCTTATTCTTCTCACTTGAAGCGTTGCCCAATTGCAGCAATTTTATGTTGTTTTTTGTGTGGTGTAATATTTTTGTTGTTGTTCTTCTTCTTGTTGTTGCTTTTTTCACGCACAATCACTGAATTGTTTGTTTCTTACTTCTTGGCGCATGCAAATTGTTTGTTTGATAGTCGTCGCACACTTAATGCTGCTGTGCACGTTGTTGTTCAATATTATCCGTTTTTTATTTTATTTTTGTTTGAAGTTGTCGACTTTTTGCCTCGATTGCAGTTCTCAATCCATCAAAATTGAAGACAAATCAGTGGAACTGTTTTAAAGCGACAAGAGCCTTGTCACTACAAACACTCACATCGGTCGAGATTCCGAGTCTATAATTTCCAAATTGAAAAGCGATGAAAAAATAAATGGTAAAACAACAATTAAATACGAGTTGTCAAAAAAACAAAAAAAAAAAACAACAAATAATATCTCAGTTTCCTTGCGAAAGCCGAGCAGCAGTGTTGATTTTAGAGATGTGCGATGTGAACAAGCGTCCATCGCTAACTGCAAAATCGAAATTTACATACTCTCATATCTAGTTGCCAATGTTATTTTTGGCACAGACACACACACACAGACACGCACACAGGCACCACACGCACACAATCACACAGTGAGCGCTGCACTGTTTAATGCTTGATTATGCGTTTTATTCTTTGATATGCTGCTATCACAAAACAACGTCACACAATACAAAATGTTTGGAGTGGTGGGTACGGGAGAGGGGTTGGGGGAGGGAAGCAATTGCCAACAGCTAACCGCCGCTTGGAAGTATGGAAGCTGGTTGTGCACACGCGTTGGCAGCCCTGGTCGACTGGCTGGCTGTTGTCAGTGGCAACACTAGCGCAAACACGTCATTTTGCCACACACTTTTTGTTGTAGCAAATTTACAAATACGTTCTATTAGCATGGAATGCGCACTCATATGCACACACACATGCGAACACAAATACATGAATACGCACACATAGATGTATGCGCATATACACACAGATATGTGTATGTTTATGTATGTACTAACAGTGCTTACTTTGCACTTTTATTTTGTTGTTAATCGCATTGCGATTTGTTTTTTTTTATACATACGCAATGCACACATACAGATACACTCACACGCACTTGCTTATGCACCTTCTACTACACACATATGAATGTACATTTTTCTGACCTTCTCTTACACACGGTGAGGAAAATAGACATTTTGCGTTGCACGGTTTTGTTAGTTCACACACAGGCAGAATTATGAACGTAGTCAATGCAACATATGTCAATTATTTAAATGCACAAGTTTGGTATTTGTGTGTTAATTGCACATGAAACGTAAAATTCTGAAAAGAACGAACACTTTAGAGCGCAGTTGTTTTGCTTTACAACACTTTTGCATGTATTTTGCAGCACTATCGGCGATAATGAACTAATCGAATACTCGTGTGAGTTTTTATCGAAATACAACTTTAGTTCCGTATGCGTTAACATTATGTAAACTTTGCTGCTAGCATTGCATGTCTTCTTCGTACATTGGACATTGCTTACCTAACTTTTATATTTTCATGAATATTTATTAAGCTGATCGCAATTGAATTGATCTCTATTTAATTTAATTTTTTGTTTGATTCAATAATTTAGCTACACCGATACATTTAAAAAATGATCTTAACAGAGTATGTTAGCTAAGACAGCCGAGCTATCGATAGCTTATCAAATTCAATGCTGTAAATGCGACAAGCCAGCTATGTGATGTTGAGCGAATCAGTGTAATTTAAAGCTTATAAAATTTGTTTTAGATTAACAAAATGAAGCCCAAATACGAATTCGACGACGATGTTGCATCAATCTGTGAATCGACGGTAAATATGAACGATGAACTTGCATGTGTAAAAGACGCAAATACAAAATTTAATTAATAATCTCTAACAATTGCCGGCACTTTTTTTTTCTTATATTTATTTCATATAATTGTCTAATTGTTTCAACAGGCTGCCTTAACCGAGGGCTGCCGTCTGTCGGTGCGCATGCACAAAACTGATGACTGGCCGCTGGCAGAGATCGTCAGCATCAAGGAGTTGGAGGGTCGGCGTCAGTTCTACGTGCACTATGTGGACTGTAAGTAAAAAATTACTGCAATATTTGACTCTGGTCCGCAAAAGGGGATTGTTAAACTCATTGATGTTATTGTAGAGACCCCATTTTGTAGAATGATTTATGATTTATGAATTTCGCAACCAACGATCAAAATAATCATATAATTTATTATTTGGTTAAGCGAGTGATGGCTTGTAACCGATGCAATTTGGTATCATTTCATCGACAATCAAAATATAGCGAAATCATCGACTAGTTTAGCAAGATATTTTGTAAATTGTTAGCACTTCATGAAAATGAATTAAATTCTTTTAGCCTACAAATCAGTGTCCAGATTTACCACTTCGAAAAGTTGCTGCATCGTTGCGATTATTCAATTTGTAATTGTTATTTCAATTGACTTCACTTCAGCAAAACATTGATAGTTTCAATAGCTCTATCATTCTCAATTACAAATTTAAAATCAATCAAAGCACTAAAATCACTCTTTTGTTTGTATTTATTTAATTAAATTCGTTGGATATATTTATTTTTTTCAAAAACAAAAAACATCCGAGTAGAGGATTAACACAACTTCGCGGAAGCAATGCAATGCAACAATGATTGTTGTGTCATGTGTGGTTTGCTGGTTTGCTGTACACACACGCTCCAGAACACACTTGTCTGTCTAGCAGCGTTGCCATGTTGTTTATATTGCAGCTCCTTTTGGTGACGCAGGTCACACACTGATGACGCTCTCGGTCACCTGAACTTCGCCACACATCGCACTCTGCAGATAACAAGCTGCAACTTCGGTCGCATGGCCTTCAAACGTGACAACGCGCGCAAGCAGCGAATTTCAGTTAGGCAGTTTCTCGTTTAGCCAGCCAGCTCATCCCCCACAAACATATTTCAGCGAACTTATGTAGGTCCTTACGTAGATTGAATTATTGAAGTGACATTTTCAGTAGCTCGTTATGCTCTGACCGGTTACACATTTTATTCTTTTGGGACGAGGCGGCATTTTAAATGCAAATTTGGCGACTCTTCTTCGTTAGTTGCTGGCAATCAACCATTTATGGTATTGCAACAAAAAAAAAAAAGGATTAGCATCCATATTGAAGCCTTTAATGAGATCATCTTGTAAGCAGCAAATAAGCTTTTATATTATTTTGAAATGATCACTTTATTTTGATCGATTCAAAATGCTCAGATAACTTAAGTTTTTAATAGTTTACTCAATGAACTCTTAATAAACTAGCTCAGTTTTAAATATTTCGATTATTTTCGCCAGCAAAGAGCCCAGAACAGGACCCAAATAAATAAAATAGGTAAACTTAAAAAAAGAACAGGATTTGTGGAAATATGTTGAGAAGTCAAATGATCCGAGACATTGAAAGGTAACATAAAAGAGGGGCTATGATGGGACCATCATTGATTGTATGCAAGTTCAGCACTTAAATAAAACTCAAAGATTTCCACTCTACAATTCTACCAATTTAATAGGAGCCTTCTCAAGACATAGAAGAGAAATGTTGTCAATTACAATTGAGTTGTGGTTTGCCTTTTGCAGTTAACAAGCGCTTGGACGAGTGGGTCAACGAGGAGGACTTGGATACGCGCAAAGTGCAATTTCCGCGTCGCGATGGCCCACAAACTGGTACCAGTACCGGGGTGACGACGCCCAAGCGTCATCATTCGCTTGCTGGGAGCGTTTCACGGCCAACATCGCCGCAATCGCTGTCGGGTCATCATGGCGGCAGCTCCAGCGTGGGCAGCGCCGTCGGCGGTGGAGCATCAGGTGGCGGTGGCGCTATGGGTGGTGGCAGCGGTGGCGGTGCAGAGCTGGTGAATGGCAACAATGTGCTAGCGGCGGCGTTGCAAAAGCGAAACAATCGTCGTCGTAAGGTGCACACTGGATCGCAGCACCTACAAGCGCTGCAGCAGCAACAGCAACCGTCGCAGCAACAGCAGTTGCAGTTGCATCAACAACAACAACAGCAACAACAGTTGCAGCAACAGCAGCAGATGCAGTCGCATCCACAACAACACTTGCAGCAACTAGCAACGTCACAGCAGCAGCAGCAGCAACAGCAGCAGCAACAGCAGCAGCAGCAACAGCAGCAGCAGCAGCAGCTGTTGCAACAACAGGTGCCGTCGCATCAGACGCCAATGCAAATCAACTCGGATGTTAGCATGACAACATCAGGCGTAGGAGTTGGAGGAGCCGGTGGAATGGGAACAGGAGCTGGAGCTGTTGTTTCAGCAATTGAGGATGGCTCACAGGATGGGAAAATGGCGACACCGCGTCAATCGGGCAGCATGGTCACACATCAGGATGATGTCGTTACACGCATGAAGAATGTGGAAATGATTGAGCTGGGCAGACATCGCATTAAGCCGTGGTATTTCTCGCCATATCCGCAGGAGCTGTGCCAGGAGCCCTGCATCTACATATGCGAATTCTGTCTGAAGTATTGCAAGAGTCGCACTTGCCTCGAGCGTCACCTGACCAAGTGCCATTTGCACCATCCACCCGGCAATGAGATCTATCGCAAAAATACCAATTCCTTTTTCGAGATCGATGGCCGCAAGAATAAGGTTTACGCACAAAATCTGTGTCTGCTTGCGAAACTCTTTTTGGATCACAAAACGCTGTACTATGATACGGATCCGTTTCTATTTTATATTATGACTGAATTCGATTCACGCGGCTTTCACATTGTCGGCTACTTTTCGAAGGAGAAGGAGAGCACCGAGGATTACAATGTCGCCTGTATATTGACAATGCCGCCATATCAGCGCAAGGGATATGGCAAGCTGCTCATCGAGTTCAGCTACGAGCTGTCCAAATTTGAGGGCAAAACGGGCTCACCGGAGAAGCCACTCTCGGATTTGGGGCTGCTCTCTTATCGTTCCTACTGGGCCCAGACCATACTCGAGATTTTGATCAGCCAGAATCCCAGCACGGATGGCGAGAAGCCCACCATAACCATCAAGTACTGTATAATTGCAACATTTACTATATAACTGTGGAAATATAACTATATAAAATGACTGCTATCTCTTTGTGATTTTAGCGACATTTGCGAGTGCACCTCGATTAAGAAGGAGGATGTCATCTCTACGCTGCAGAATCTCAATCTGATCAACTACTACAAGGGTCAATATATTGTCTGCATTAGTCGCGACACCATCGAGCAGCATCAGCGTGCGATGGTTAAGCGCAAGATACGCATCGACTCCAAGTGCCTGCACTGGACACCCAAAGACTGGTCGAAGCGCTCCAAGTGGTAATGCCCGAACTGAATTATGTTCTGTTCTATTCTGTTCTGTTCCCTATTTTCTGCTCTGTTCTGTTGCATTATGTTGTGGTGCTCTCTCTCTCTCTCTCTGGCACTCACAACTATAGCTGAGAACTGATCAGAGAATCGAATCGTATCGTATCTAATCTGTGCCATTTCTCTTTCTTAGAATTCGCTATGCTGCCGCCTGACACGCAAATTAATAACAACAATGAATTAACAAACCTCCAAACTGAAAGTACAATAAATGATTGCTTGCAGCGCTTGCATCATCAGCATCGACATCATTATTTTATAATATTTACTTAATATTATTTATTTCACTGTAGTCGCTTGAAATGAGAAGTTCTCCAATTCTATTATTTTAATTTTTTTTTTTTAAGAATTTGGAATTCCTACTTTGCAAGGATATGTTTTTTATTTTATTTTTATTGCATTTAATTATTTGAACAAATTTTGAAATGGATTTCGAAGTCCTGTTGAAAAGTATTTAATTTCATTTTTTATTTTGTTTTTGTGTTTTATATGAGGACTCGCAGATTCAAAAGCTAAACTCGGATTGAACATTTTGAATTCTGGAGCCTTTTAAAAACTTTAATAATAAAACCATAGATTTAGTATTAATTTTCAAGCGACTACATCTTACATATTATAATCATATTATTTTTAAAAAATATCAAGAAGTTGTGATCACTTATGTTCCTTTTTATTTTTAATTACTAATAAAGAAGTTACCTAATTTAAGGTATTATAAAAAAAGAGTTGTTATTACTATCTTCGCTAAAGCGAAAGCGGTTTTTGACGAAAATATCGAATTACAATTTTTTACGGAAATTGCCAAGTTCTGAGAGTGTAAAAATCAGGTCTTTTAGTTTTAGTATTTTTTTATTTTCAAACATCTTACAATTCATTGTTTATACTTAAGTGTTATTAGAATGAGCCGTTGTATTTCTAGTCATTTAAGTATTCGACATAATAAACTAAGCCAACAGTTATTATTCAATTCAATGCCAAAGGGCAGTTTCATGTTTTGAGCGAGTATTAAAACTAATAATTATAATTATTACAATTTAGACCCAAAGTGGGATATTGTGAGTGTGTGTGAGCTTTAACTGCTTGGGAGGTCATTAGTCTCCTGTGGCGACTGCTGCTGCATCGTCGGTGGCTGCAGATCGATTGTGAGCTGGTTAATGGCCGCTAGAGTGGTCTTCTGGAAATCATTCTCCGCCTTGTCGAGCATTGTGCGCAAGGAGTTTAACGTCTCGCGATTGTTAGCATAGCTGAGCTGCTGTTTGGTGAGCTTGGTGCGAGGTCGCTGCTCCTTCTCCAACTGCAGCTTGAACTCATCGAGGGTGTGTTCGTCCAGATCAATTGGACGTTTATCACTGGATATCTTTTCGCAGATTTTGGACAGCTGGTCGGATACGTTTGTAACATACTTGACATCGATAAGCTTTTTTTGTTCCTCCATTGCCGAACACAACTTGACTTGCGTGACCAAGTTGACGAGACGCTCGAATTCGTGCTTATATTCCAGCTTGGCCTCAATATAATTGCGGACATGCTCTTCCACTTGGCGATACACATTCTTCTTTTCTTCAACGAAGCGCTTAACCGCTTCTAGATGCAGCAAGTACTGTATATCATCCTGGAATTGTACATCATCCTTAGATTCGGTCATCTTTCTTGTAATAATACGATTTGTAAGAATCAGGCAATCAAATTTGTATATTTTTTCTTCTTTCTTTATTTCGATTTAAATGAAGTACGCAATGACCGATTGCTATCGATGAGTACGCATCGGTTTCAACAGTGCTGCACGGGGTAACTGAAATGATGAAACGATAGCCAATACTATCGATATTTTATAGCTCGATAACGCTTAAGCGCTGCCAGACGTCAGCTAAGACACGTGTTGCCGGCTATTGCAATAAACACAGCGAACGCCGTTTCCGAATTACTTGACTCACGTTTTATTATAAAAGATCAGCAAATCAAAACAATAATTTGGACAATGGCCCGTGGAAAGAAACAGAACCCGTTTGCAGCAAGAAAACGACAAAAGCGTGCAAATGTAAATGGCAAATACTGCAAACTTGCCCTATATAAATGGGGCTAATTTATTGCGAGAGAGTTCAATTTTCACAAATATATATTGTTTTTTCCTTTGGTCTTTGATTTTAGGGGGCACCGGAACGTCCAGATCGACGCGCCGAGCCGTATAAGGAGATCGAACGGGATAATGCGTTCTTCATCAAATACTATCATCTGCAAAAGATCTGCGACACGGAGGAGGAGTGGACACAGTTCCTGGCCAAAATACGTGACAATCTGCCGACGACATTTCGTGTGACGGGCTTCAAAGATGAGGCGAAAGCTCTGCTGAATATAATCAAGACACAGCTATTTGAGGAATATGTGCGTGCCGTTGCCGAACTAAACGAATTGCCCACCGAGCAGGTGGAGCGTCCATTGTGCCTGCCCTGGTATCCCAATGGCATGGCCTATCAGCTCCATTTGACGCGCAAGGATATACGCCGATCTGAACCGCTCTTTCGGCTGCACAACTTTTTAATTGTGGAGACAACGGCGGGCAGCATTAGCCGGCAGGAGGCGGTCTCCATGATACCGCCACTGGTGCTCAATGTCCAGCCGACGGATAAGGTACTGGACATGTGTGCGGCGCCTGGCTCAAAGACGGCACAGCTAATCGAGGCGCTGCATGCATCGCCGGATCAGCATAAAATTCCGCCGGGCTTTGTGCTGGCCAACGATGTGGACAACAATCGCTGCTATATGCTGGTGCATCAGGCCAAGCGCCTCAATTCGCCATGCCTGCTGGTGACCAACCATGACAGCAGCGTCTTTCCCAATCTGGTCCAAACGGTGGATGGCAGCAAGTCCATATTGAAATTTGATAAAATCCTGTGCGATGTACCTTGCTCCGGGGATGGAACGTTACGCAAGAATCCGGACATTTGGCTGAAATGGAATCTGGGACAGGCATACAATCTGCATGGCGTCCAGTATCGCATTGTGCGTCGTGGCGCCGAAATGTTGGCGGTGGGCGGTCGTTTAGTTTACTCCACCTGCTCGCTGAATCCCATTGAGAACGAGGCGGTGCTGCAGCGCATCATTAAGGATGCGGATGGCGCCTTGCAGCTCGTCGACGCCTCACATCTGGTGCCGGGCCTGAAATACAAACCGGGCATGACAGACTGGAAGCTGGCCACCAAAGAGGTGGACTCCGTCTACACTAGTTTTGAGGAGGTGCCCGAGAATCTACATACGATAATACGACCGTCAATGTTCCCATTGCCGCCGGCGGAGATCTCAGGCATTGGCTTGGACAAGTGTATGCGTGTCCTGCCGCATTTGCAGGATAGCGGTGGGTTCTTTGTCGCTGTGCTTGAGAAACGACGTGCCTTAAATTTCGAGAAGAACGATCTGCAGGATTTGGAGGAGCCGCAGAAGATGGAGACAGAGGCGGAGACAAAGGATGACGAGGAGAAATCGACGCCATGGGGACCGCAACGCAAGCGACGTCGTCTCCATGGCTACAAGGAGGATCCGTATGTCTTCTTCACGGAAGATGATGCCGACTACGAGTCCATCAAGCGGTTCTATCAACTAAATGATATGCTCAACAAACGCTGCCTCCTCACACGCTGCCAAACGGAGCGCAAAAAGAACATCTATTATTGCTCGGAACCCATACGGGATCTGGTGCTGCACAACGAGAAGACGATCAAAATCATCAATACGGGCGTGAAGACATTTGTGCGCTGCGAGAATCGACACACAGAGCATCCGTATCGGCTGGCCCAGGAGGGATTGCAAACATCGAATGCATTCATCGGCGACAGTCGTCGCATTCAGGTGGAACGCGATGATCTCGTCCTGCTGCTTAACTGCACAGACCCAACGAAGCCGCCATCGACGCTCGAACTGCAAACGGAGACACAGCAGCGCTGCAAGGAACTGGGTAAGCATTAGTCAAAAAGTTCACACTTTATGCCATTCTATTCATCGCATTCCCCTCTTGCGCAGGCATCGGCAGCTGCATTCTCAAGTATGTGGATGAGGCATTTACGCTATTCATTGTCGGCTGGCGGGGCACATCCAGTCTGCGGGCCTATGTCGATCGCGATGAGACCGTGCACATTCTCCGACTGCTCGGCGCCGATCTTACCAAGTTTGAGGTCAACAAATATGAGAAGGCCAAGGAGGCAGCTGCAGCTGCAGCAGCGGCGGCAGCGACGACGGCAGCAGTAACAGCTGCAACATTAACGCCAGAGGAGGAAACTACTGTTAAGGACGAACTTACTGTGAATCTTACTGGGACCGAGCGCTCAGTTTTAGAAGACGAAAACATCTAATTGGATGTGGATGGTCGAGTGCAGCATTTTAGCATTTAGTCTATATACAAATATTGATATTTATAAATATCAAAGACGAAACTGTTGATTATTCCCCTTCTAATTTTACGAATAATAAATTTTGTATTTTCCTTGTTCAAAACATTTCTCAATTAATACTGTAGGCCAATCGATAGTTTGAATTAATCACCTTTTTCAGCTGCTATAACAAAATATGCCAATACTTAAAAAAGCTGCAAAGTTTTGAAAATTTGACAATTTTACATTCATTACTATCGCTGTGAAGAAATCAGTAGTTTTAACCCAATGTTCTATCGATGATTTGGTAAATTCGGAACTATTCGCTGCAGAGCTGATTTCAATAATCGATTACCGTGATATTTGCTTATCGAAAAACTATAAATCCTCCGTTATTTTTCAAAAATTAAGTAACGTGCAACTTGTGTGCAAAGTGATTGATTAATTGCTTTAATAATAACGATTGATTTGTATATGAGTGTCTCGAATATGTGAATAGCATATTCAGTATTCAGAGTATAAATAAGTAACTCATAAAATAGAGTGTGATTATGGAGGATCGTCGGCCAAGTCAATTTGCATGATTACTAGCGCAACACTGGCATTTCACACATTTCAACAAGAGAGCAATTTCTTATGATGCCGCACATAGATCTCTCATTTTCGGAGTACTGCACTCTTCTTTTCGCTGTCCATTATTTGTGAAGAAATTCAAAGTTCTCAATTTGAAATAATTTTCATCTTTTCAACGTCAACGTTGTCAAACTGCTCTTCTTAATAACTTGTTTTAAAAGCTCCGCTTATCTTAACGTAACAGAACGTAACGTAAAACAAAAACACTAAATCGTTACGTATAAAATTAGTTGATCACCTTTAGTTCCTAAATCATACAACAGTGGCGCCTACTGCGTAACTAGTTAATAAAAACAGAGGAATTTTATCGAAAAATCGAGAAGTTCAAATAAAGTTTTGTTATAAAATGTTACATTAATGGTTTTATTATTTAGTTTTTTTCCCAGTATAAATATATCATATGTAAAGTATATAAAAAAAAGTTGTTTAAAAAATTACACATATTCTTTTTTTCTTTCGTTTTTTCATTTTATATATAAATGGTATCTCGCGTTTGCATTTGTCGCAGTTATGCATAGTAAATTTCAATTTTTATTTTCTCGTATTTTAAAACGTCTTTTGCGTTGTTTTTTTTTTGTCTTTTTTTTTTGTGTTTGTGTTTGTCTTTTAAAAAGTACATAGAAGATAAAGTAGTATAAAAATGTAAATATTTTAGCGCTTGTGTTGTGTCTGTTGTGTGTATTGCATGTCTTTCATTATAGATTGCGAGAGAATTTATTATATGCGATGTTTAAATAGTAGGAATAAGCTTTAATTCGCTGATTTATTGCAGATGCATTTGACAAGACTTGGAAATCAACTTGGCAATTTTAATAATACGACAAAAACAGCAACAGCACCAACAGCAACAACAACAATAAGACCAACTACAAAATGCAGTCACGATTCCACAAACTAACTAAATAAAACGCGAATGACGCATGCGCAACATTTTGTTGCCGATGTGGCATTGATTGACTTTTTTGTAGAATTGCTTGCGATTGTTGGCTGGTTATTTTGTTGTTGTTGCTGTTGTTGTTGTATGGATGGAGATGAAGTGTCGTTGTTTCCAATATTACATGTTGCTTACAAAAACAAAAGAGAAACAAAAGAAAACCAAAAACAAAAAAAAAATTAAAAATACATTTTTTTCTAAAAAAACTAAAAAAAATAATAAAAGAAATCGAACTTTAAAACTGAGTGAGAATGAGAAGAGTTGTAGTTAGTAAATGCTGCTTGAATGCTAGCTGGATGCCAAATTTGCTGTTGCGGTTGCAGTTGCAATTGCTGCTGTTTTTATTATTATTTAGGCCTTCTTCTCGGCCTCGATGACCTCCTTGGTTGGCAGCACGTTCTTCTCAGTAGTTTCAGTGTGCTTCAATTTTTTCGCATCAAAGTTCTCGATGCCGGCAATGAATTGATTCTTCTCCTTCTCCTGTTCAATTGCTGTCGAGACAAACACAAAAATACAGAAGATCAAGCCGAGAGAGAAAGAGAGGGAGAGAGAGAAATAGTTGGTTTAAATTGTTTGATATTAGTTGGAATTGCCATAAATGGCCACAGCTGGTTTTTCGAGGCACATGTTCGATTCGATATCGACTTGAGAGGCGTGTGCCTAGTTCTCTGTACGCACCTTCCTTATTGGGCAATGGATTCTTCTCATTGGTCTCCGTATGCTTCAAATTGGTCTGATCGAATGCGGTGATGCCCTCGAAAATAGACTGTTGAGTCTTCTCAGCGGCCACATCTGAACGAACACAGCAGCCAACATGCAACATGCAATAACAAATTATGTTAGTGAGTTTATTCAATAGTTATCGCACAAAACTCTTACCCTCAGCGGTGGGCAAAATGATCTTCTCTTGGGTGCTGGCATTCTTCAGTTTCTCCGTATTGAAGCCCTCCAATTGGCTTTTCAGGTTCTCGGCCACCTTGGGCAAATCCTTGAGTGCTGGTGCTGGGGCTGCCATCTGCGCATAAAAATAAAAATAAATAAGTAAAATGTGGTTAAATAATTAACTAAATAATTAAATAACTATATAAAAGAAAATGAGTAAATATAAATAAACAAATATACAGAGGTATTTGGCAATAACACTAACTTTTGTCGTCAATTTGAGGCCATTTAATTTCAAAAAATACTGTGGATTTGTTTTAAGTCAGCTGCAGCTTAATAGTTCAACAGAAATTTGAATAATTATCAATAAACAAGCAATCAAACATTTCCTCTTTTGATCAAATTTACAACTACCCCCCCATTTGCCTTTTGCGACAAAAATATTAGTCAATATTTCAAAATTCAATTTCGGTGAACAAAAGAAAGAAAAGCAACTGGAAAAAGAATAAGCCCGGATATCGATAACGCAACAATGAACAAAGACTGTGCGGTAAGTTTGTCGAGCCCTCGATAAAGAGGAAATGAGCATCGATAACGATGATTAAGCACGTATGCACTCACACACAAACATATTTGATTTTGTGTTGAGAAAACGTTTGCTTTTGCGTTGTTTACCGTTGGGTTTATTATGCGATTTCTCATGGCGATTCCCCCGAAAGGCGCGACTTATTGAATAAGATAGAAGAAATGCATCCATAAACACAAACACAACACATACTCATTCAAATTTGTCACACAAGCAGCAGCTAATGAGTCATGCACAGCAAGGACGCATACTCACACACACATATGTATATATATATATATATACACACAAAAATATACATGCGTGTGTGTGCGCTGACTATCAAAGTACCAGCAGAAATATGAGAGCGAGTGAGTAAGTGAGTGTGTGTGAGAGAGAGAGGGAGAGAATATGACTGACTGCGAGTGAGAAGTTCAGCGAACCTTCCGCAGTAGCAGCAGCAGAAGAGCAGCAGCAACAGCAGCAGATTAAATTCCAATTGGACAAGCTAAGCGACTTGAGGCGAGTGTACCGTTATCAGTGGTGTGCCTTGTTTTGTTAGTCGTCGCACACAACAATAAACTGCATTTTATCACGTTTATTTTTAGTTGCAAATCACCCAAAATGTGCTTGCTAACTTAACTTGTCCATTGTTCGTGCGCGTTGTATAGCCAGCTAATCAAAAAAGAAAAAAAGTTTCCATTGGTTTACTTTAGTTTTTAAGAAATAGATCGATCGCAGTCGTGTCGCTTGAATTCTATTTCTCCCCTATTACTAATTTTGTTTGGTTTGCCTCGAATACCCACTATCCAAGATACAAAGAAAGTACTTCATTAATATCGATAAGTGCATCGATGCATGTGTGTGTGTTTGTATGCATGTGTGTGTGTGTGTGTTTGTATGCATGTGTGTATGTCTAAAAATTGCAAAACAAGCGTTACAAGGGCGGCTACCGCTCCAAAAAATATACATAAACGTTCAAAATGAAAAATAAAAACAACAAAAATTAAATCTACGCTTAACAGTCGTCTGTATTTTATTGACCATATTTGGGTATTAAGGCGCGCCGATCTTGCTGATAGTTTGATGATTGACTTGACTACTAGCGGCGGCCGTTTAGCGCCTTAGTCATTTTTCCAGTAACTCCTTTTTCAAGCAAAAAAAAAAATGCAAACAAAGGCGAACATTGCAGCAAAGCAATACACGCATATACACACACATATATACATATACACATGCATATTCATGTATGTATACGTACTTATACGGCGAATTGGTGCTGTTCGTTTTGGTTTGTGTGTGTGGTTGGGGGGGGGGGGGGGGGTGCTGCGGCGGCGTTTCAGTTTGCATGTTGTTGCCTTGTTTGCCATGAATCAACTTCCAACTTCGAGCGAATTATGGCCGAGCGATGAATCATAAATTCGCCGTTGCCGCTTCAGCCCACACTTGAAACGCCCTCTCTCTTTCACTCTTTTCTTTCACTTTGAGCGCTCTTTCCAAAACTCCGCTTGCCTTTTTTTATGGCTTGTCTTTTGTTTTGTTAATTTTGTGACTTGTTTCTTTTTGTCGGGGTTTTATGCTGATTGGAGTGTGTGAGCGGTGACGGGGGGTGAGGGTATGGATGGGGGTTCATTTGGCCGGCGCCAGCAAACCGCAAATGTGCCGTTAGGCTAATTTTGACATTTGAAAAAATGTCGTTGCCAGCTAAAGCAAAAAGCCGCTCAAGTCTTAAAAAAAAAAAAAACGCCTACGACGTCAACGTCGACGGGCGCTGATGCGTGGCTCGGGTGGAGATGGAGGCGGGGATGGGACCGAAGGGCAAGTGAAAGCGCACTGTACAAAAGAAGGAAGACAAATGACAGACACGTCCGTTTTACACCCTCGCCAAAGCAGCAGCAGCAGACATTGGCTCCTGTTATGCATATACATGCACATATACACACACAAGCACACATGCTCAGTGCACGTCTGGCAGTTGGTACATAAATTTTAATATGTGCGCCCCGCGACACAAAGTGAATTTTAAATATGCGCAGTTTAGTCATCCTCAAAAAAAAAAAAAAACACACACACACATACATGAATGACAAATACATACTGTTGTTTTGAAATACATTTTTACATTCGCAGCAAGCCGTCGGCGGCGATAATTTAAATGCCAATTGGATATTATCGATAACAATCGTTGGCAGTGTCGTCTGGGACACGCCCTCATCTAAAAAGCATTTTTGCGACAAGCACACACATACATACATTAAATGCAGCTGGAATGCACAGCTGCACGCATACACTCGCATATGCATATGTATGTTTGTGTTTGTATGTATATTTGTGTATGTGAGCACGCGCAAGCACACATTGTGGGGAGGATATGTAACAGCGTCAAATGCCCCGCCCAAGCACACACACAGCACACTTAGAAACAGCAGACGCAAAAAAAAAAACGAAAAAAGCCGGCCGGCAAAGCTCTAAAAAAAAAAAAACTGTAAAGAGAAGAAAGCCAGCTTAAAGCCATCGACAGCTGCTCAAAAGAGCGAAAAATAACTAACGGGTTGGTGGCTGAAGCCGTCTCCGTCACAATAAATAATTTATAACAAATGGTAAGTGACGAATCTGCCATTTGCAATGAATGAGAAGCGCAGCCACAAGAAACACCAACAAGATCAGCAGCAGCAACAACAGCGGCGCAAACAAAAACCAGTTGGCGTTGACTTTTGCAGCAACGCGCTTTACATTTTTTTTTTTGCTTTTCGTTTTTATATTTGCAGACTTTTTTTTGTTTGCCCCCTTCTTTCTTTCTGCAAGACGGAAAAAATACGAAACGTAGCAATGAATTGAAATTGAAAAAAAAAAAAAAAATGAATTGCCGGCGCAAAAACTTGAACATTGAAAGAAAAAAAAAAAAGAAAAGATTAAACTCACCTTAAATCTGTGGTTGGTTTTTTCTTTTAACTCTTGACAAGTTGGGTTTTGTTGGCAAAAGAATTGCGCACTTTACAAAAAATAAATGCGGGTGGGTGAGTTAACTGATTGGGTGGAAGTATATATGTATATATCTATGATATATACAAAAAGTCAGTACTTGGCAAATTTAACACTCGCTACTATATAACTGCTATATCGCGAAAGCTTACAAGCAAACAGAACGACACACAAATTAATACTGCGCGATAACTGTTGAAATCCAAAAGATGAAGGCGTACGAATGACGTTCGAGCGGTTTGAACGAACGCAGCATTTGCTGCTGTGTATCGATAGACGTTATCGAATGCGTTTTCATTGCCCTGCGGCTGTTATCGCATGGCTGACCTATACAACACTTAGCAGCGTACGGTATGAATTATACTATCGATTGTTAGGCTGTAATAATTTAACCTCGATGAAAAGCTTGCTTTAAAAAAAGCGATAAAAAAGCAGTAATTGAAAATGTCGGCAAGAACATTGATCCAAATGCGTCGATATGGATGAGAACATATTATGGAAGATACGAGAACAATCTTTAGCCAAATTTATGATCGACCTTAGTAATTGAAACGCGTTTTTGTATTTATCAGATGCAGGCCAAAATCCGATAATAATAAAATTGAAAAAACACATTTATTTTTCAATATTTTTGCTGATTTAACGTAACGCCTTTTTACAATTAAACTCTCATTTCCATTTGCGTTTATTGCCTAGTTTCTTATGCAGAGCAAAGCTGACCCCAAAAATGCCCAAAATTGGGCATAAACTATGCAAGCTTGCACACACAGCAAATAAATACACAAGCAATTATGACTTTATTTTTATTTTTTACTCATCTTTGTTCTTTTCCATATCGAACTGCAAAGCAACAACAAAACTTTCATATGATCATAACTTTTGTTTGTTTTGTAGTTTTGGATTTTGTTACAAAAAAAAAAAAACGTTTGTATCTTGGTTTAAATTTCACATGTAAATTATTCGTAATTGGAGTGAAGGTATTTCCACCAAAAAGTATCAAGAATCTTGAAAACCGTTTCTACAAGATAATCTTTTTTGCAAGGAATTTTTCGTTTGCGAAAATTGAAACGGTTCGTGTAATCTACTGCAATTGACATTCACCACGAATCGCAAAACGAGAGAAAACGTTAACATTTAAAATAAAGCAACCATTTATTTTTTGTTTAAATATAGTAAGGCTTAGTCTGTGTGTATTTATAGTTATGGTTATGTATGTACAATAATATATCTAACTATAATAGCACATGCCAATTGATCACTACTATAAAACATATGTCCGTATTATTGCTACGCATAATTTGCCGAGCGGCATTCGTTCCAAATGCGCTCCATTTCAATGGGATCGCTGAAGCCATGTGAGGCAATCACATCGCTATAACTATCGGGTCCATTATATTTGGGCCGATGGAAGTGGAATTGATCGCAACGATGGACGGGTATATGTGCTTTCAGTGCTACCATGCCCAAGTAGACGTCATCGAATCGAAACAGGGGCAGACTGCGTCCCACCGCATACATCTGGAGGAGGGCATCGCGGGACAGGATGAACGCCCCCGCCGTCACATACGGTGGCCACTTGTCAAACGGATACTCCTCGAGGGAGACATACCACTTGCTGAACTTGTGCCGCAACGGGGCACTCTCGAACACAAAGCCGGCAAAGAGCGGACGACGATCCGGATGTGGCGTCTGACGACCTCCTCCCAAAAATCGCAGCACATTCTTGATGGACACATAATAATCGTCGTCGACAAATAAATAGAAATCACTGGTGTTGAAATGTTCGCTGGCCCAGCGCATGCCCATCATTGTTTTGATCGTATTATTGAAATACGTATCCACAAAGTCCGCACGCAAAATGTCACCATGATGTTTGGCCTCTGTTGCAGTTGCATCCTTGCTGCTCGCCAATGCGGCAGCGGGATTTACGCCCAGCACAAAGACGCGTCGAATGTTGACGTCCGAGAAGCGTGTCTCGTAGCCCCAGGTTTTGCGTATGGCATGACGCCGCTGCAGATTCCCAATGGCGCTCTTCACCACTATCGTAAGTCGGGGCGGGTCCGTTTGACGAGTAAATGCGGGCATTTGCAGAAACTTGTAGTCCAACGTTGGCGACGCCGTGACGTTCGCATTGTGCAGCGGATAGTAATAGTGCGTCTCAAAGTTCAGTTCGTACAGATGTGTGAGTATGCCACAAAAGTCCACCAGCAGGATAATGGGTATGGCGAGTGCACATTTTAGCAGCAATTTGTAATGTTTTTTTAACATTGCACGATGCTTGTTAATAGCGAAGACATGATGATGATGGTCGCGATATATATCGCTTGCACTCTAGAAACGCTAGCACGAGATATCGATAACATTCAACATTACAAAAAATATTATTAGTATTCGCATAGTTAAAACGTGCTGTTATGTATGAATCTATTAAGTTTTATAGGGGCAATTCAAGTGTGCCACTACTAAAAATTTAACTTGACAAAATGTATACTCAATAATTTTATATTTCTAATGTATATCGGAGCGATATATTAGCATAAACAAAAAAGCAACTGGCCAAGTAAAAAGAAGAAGAGCATGTGTATTGAATTTTACGAAACTGCATGAAATGAATTTTGCCCTCAAATTATTTGAATAATGTCTGAAGAAATAGTCAGTGAAACAACAGCTACTGCTGGCAGCTCAAAGCTGACAAATGCACAAAAGGCACGCATCGAACGCAACCAGGCCAAGGCGCAAAAGCTGAGGGAAGCCAAGCTGGTCTCGCATCCCAACAAGAGCAATATACAAAAGTAAGTAAATGAAATAAAAACAATCGAACAAATGTGAAACAAAGCATTTTTAATTGACTAACAAACAGCATAAATGCCAACGAGGAGCGTCCAATTGGCGATCAGACCAATAATGTGATTAAAGTGCAGGGCACCAAATACATCGATAGCGGCGGCGGTTTCCTATTGGAGCAGCCTGTGCTGGCCAATAAAACAACAGGTTCGGAGGCAGATGCGGCTGTGGTGCCAATTATCGATGATGCCATTGCCATTCCAGTGGTGTATGAGGAGTGCTTGGACTGCGGCGATCAGTTTGCCGATTCCTATTTGTTTACCAATTTCGGGCACTCCGTTTGCGATAAGTGTCGCGACACCGAAGATCGCCATGCCCTAATCACACGCACCGAGGCTAAGGCGGAGTATCTGCTGAAAGACTGCGATTTCGATAAGCGTGAACCGATGCTGCGATATATTAGTCGCAAGAATCCACATAATGTGCGCTGGGGCGAAATGAAGCTCTATTTGCATCTGCAGGTCGTCAAACGCGCCATGGAGGTGTGGGGCAGCGAGGAGGAGCTAACGCGTCAGCACGAGCAGCGCGAGGATAAACGTGAGTTGGGCAAGGCCCGCAAATACAATAAGCAAATGAAACAGCTGCGCATGGAGGTCAGAAGCAGCATTTACACAAAGAAAATAAAGGCTGTCCACGAGCATGAATTCGGTCCGGACAGCTACAACGAGGAGGAGGACAGCTACACTCATGTCTGCTTGCATTGCCCCTATACCGAAACATATGAAAAAATGTAAATCCCTACAAATCATCAATTCAAATGTATTGTATTTATTATAAATAAGGAAACTGTAATTGCAATGTTTTTTTTTTTGCGCGCGCAATTTAAATTGTGTATAGTGTATATCGAAAAGTGCCATTAACAAATTTTTTTAAATCGATATAGCGCTACTTTTAAATGGAATTTTTTTAGAAAGAAGAAGATGAGGTAGGCGCTCATCTCATAGGCTTCAATATTTGGCCACAAGTTTAAGAAAGCTGTATGATATAGTAGTCCGATTTTGTGTACAATTTTTAGAAGCATAGCACACACTTATATTTAAGTTGTAGAATCCGTAGATATTGGTGACCAAACAATTTTTGTATACAATAACTCATCTGTCAACGGATTGTTCCTATGGCAGCTAAATGATATTTTAAACCGAATCCGCGGGCCTGCAGGAATAAGACGGATACATACCAAACCTCATCATGTTGAAGACAAAATTCTAATAACCTCTGCCTGAATATAAACACAAAGTGTAAACAAACCATTGGAAATGTTTGAAATATACAGTATACGAGAAATCTATCGATATTTGTCATTCGCAAGAAGTCAATTTGATATGTTATCGCCATTAACTGTCATCGCTAAAACAAACGCCAAACTGACAGACCTGCAGCAACAGCAGTATCTAGAGGCAGTGCAAGAAAAATCATAAACAAATTTGCTGCACAAACGGGGGACCGAAGATTGCGCCCAAAATGGAAGAGCCATCGGATGATGAGAATTTTGAGCCGACGCCAAAGAAGATCAAACGCGATTGGCTCAATAGCTATTGCTATTCCAACAAGGCCATGGGCATGATGAAGAAAATGGGTTACGAGGACGACAAGGGTCTGGGCAAGAGCAATCAAGGTCGCTTGGAGCCCGTAATTGCCGTCCAGCAGGATGGCCGTCGTGGCTTTGGTCTCAAATTGGACACCGTCCATTGGTCAGCTGGCAAATGGGATCCTAATTGTGAGGATCTCGAGATACCCGAACCAGTTATCTGGCTAAAAATTGAGGGCAAAAATTGTGGTGCCTATACGCTCGACGAATTAATGGCACACATGGTGACCGGTCCGCGCAAGCTCAGTCTGGATGATGAGACGCTATTCTGTGATCCCGAGATTCTTGATCACATCCTCAAAGCGAAGACCGTGTTCGATGATCTCAATGATACGGAGAAGCGTCGCGCCCGCTCCCGCTGCAATCCATTTGAGACTATACGCAGCTCCATCTTCCTAAATCGTGCAGCCGTCAAAATGGCGAACATTGATTCCATATGCGAGTATATGTTCACAGAGCCGAGAGATCCACAAGGAAACACACTGCTTGGACACAATGAGCTGCTTTACTTTGCGGATATCTGTGCCGGTTGGTTTGTCTGTCTGACATATAGATTTATAAGCCCAGCTCTTATACTTACTCTGTGTTTCTTACAGGGCCTGGCGGCTTCTCAGAATATGTGCTTTATCGCAAATCGTGGGAGGCTAAAGGATTTGGTTTTACGCTGCGCGGTGCCAATGATTTTAAGCTTGAAAGATTTTTTGCCGCCTCACCGGAATCCTTTGATGCGTTCTATGGCGACAAAGATGATGGCAATATTTTTGATCCGAGCAATCAGGACTCGTTGAATAATTATATACGAAAGCATACGCCGCATGGCGTTCACTTTGCCATGGCCGATGGCGGCTTCTCTGTGGAAGGACAGGAGAACATACAGGAGATACTCTCGAAGCAGCTGTATCTGTGCCAGTTTGTGACGGCCCTAAAGATCCTGCGCGTCAATGGCAGCTTCGTTTGCAAGCTCTTCGATTTGTTTACGCCATTTAGCGTGGGATTGGTTTATTTGATGTACAAATGCTTTAATCAGATTGCGATTATCAAGCCGAACAGCAGTCGTCCTGCCAATTCGGAACGTTATATTGTGTGCAAGAATAAGATGCCGGAGACGGATGCGATAACTAACTATTTTTCCACCATAAATCACATACTGCTTGAGCAGAGCGAGAAGCAGCCGGAGGAGCAGCTGGATGTGATTGAGCTATATAATCGCAAGGAGATGCTGGAGGATGAGCACTTTATGCGCTACATCATCGATTCTAATAATGCCATTGGAAATAAGCAAATTGTGGGATTGCGGAAAATTGCTGCATTTGCCCAGAATCTGGAGTTGAAGGAGCCTCGTCACTCGGAGGTGCGACAGGAGTGCTTGAAATGCTGGGCACTGCCCGATAAGCTACGCCAGGCGCCCGAAGTGAAGACAACGGATCGACTGTTGGAGGAGCTGTTGCGTGATTGGTCCAAGGATCGCGCCTGGCTAAACGTACCCGCTCTGGAGCTGAACGGACGGACACCGTTGCAAAACAGCATCCTGAATGTGAGCGATTGGCATTTTATGCCAATTGGACGCGGCGAGATCAATATCAATGGCTGCACCCTGTTCCTATGCAAGTCACGGGGCAATTTGTTGCGCTACACGGAGCATCGCAAATGGGAGCTGGTCGAGTCCAGTTTCAATGTGCAGCCACGTTCCATATTTTTCGGTGAGATCGTGTTCGAGTACAGTGGCGAGGGACGCACCTCGCAATGTGTCTCGGCGCTGCACATTATGGATGCAATCTGTTTGGGCGGCATTGATATCCGTCGCCGTCCGTTCCTCGAGCGTGTCGCCCTGTGTATGAAATATGCGCGCAGCCTGAATAAACCGTTTAAAAAGGAGCGCACCTGTGGCGCCATACGCTGCAAACCGATCTTTCGGCTCCAGGACATGAGTCGATTCTTTAACGCGATGCGTCCGTATGTGCTGAAGGATAACTCACAAAGATTTGGATATACTCTCGATGATCAACGATTTTTGGTGCCCGGTGGCATTATCATATTCTGTGAGCTGACCATGAATTTTGTGACGGCATATTCGAAATCGCATCAGCAGATCTATTATTTCAATACCATTACCAGGGAGTCGCAGTTTAAGGAGCAGATCGAGCCGCGACGCTTCAACGAGGTGTTCGCCTCGTTTCGCCATAGCTATACGCGACGGCATCTCTGGAAATGGACGAGTACTTTGCAGGTGGAGGAGCATGCCACCGAGGAGAATCCAAAGATATTGTATCGCAGCAACTTTGAGAAATTCATTCAAAGAAAACTAATGTCTAATCCCAACTAGAACAACTACCAACTAAGTTACATTTTAAAAGAGCGCTGCACGGATCAGCGCGATTTTTACGCATATATATATATATATATATATATATATAAATACATATATATATATTATATATATATAAAAACTTTTTTTTTTTTTTTTTGACAAGCTCGTATGCAATAATAATCACAGATTTGCATAGAGATCTACATTAACATTTACCTACAATTTGTTTCCAAATTTTTGTAAAACAGGACAATTTCGTTATTATTTTTTAGTTGTTTTGTATTGTTTTACTCGAAATACTAAATTCGTTTAGTATTATAGACGTATTATCGCGCCGATCCGTTCTCACATTTAATTGTTACAAAAAGAAAACAAGAAAAAGAATATAATGCAATTGTGTATCTGTAATATCAATGGCTGAGCCCACAAATACACCCAACAAGAAGGAAAAATACAGCATTAAATTAAAAATATAAATAAATAAATAACACTGACACACACACACACACACACACACACACAGACACACAAAGATAGGAAAGTAACACTCAAAAACACACTAATTGAATTTTTTAAAATAAGACGGACAAAAAACACAAAAAAATCTCACACACACACACACACACAGACACACACACAGGCACACACACAGACACACACGCACACAGACACACACGCACACAGACACACACGCACACAGACACACACGCACACAGACACACACACACACACACAGACACACACGCACACAGCTGGTCTAGCAAAAGTTATGACAAAGCCCCATCTATATAAATACTTAAGTTATTGACAACAAAATTGCTTGCATTTTTATTGCATTGGGCATATGTACATACATATATATATATATCTTATTTCCTCCTCTGATCCGTGTTAGCTTTACCTATCAAGGATCTTGCCAGTTAGGCTTCATTTTTCTATGACCGCACAATTTAAGTGTAGATTGATAGAAAAAACACAGCGTGTCCTTCCAATTTCTTCAAGGATGTGTCCGAGTATAAGTTGTTTGTTATTTTTTGTAAATAGACATGCGTTTGGAAGCCACAGATTGGCCATACCCTCAAGGATCAGCGAAAAGTTCCATTGGACGCCATTGATGGATTTTCAGGATTCCAGAAATCAATTTGGGCAATAAATTACACAAGGTGGTTGAGCAGAAAAAATGAGCACAAACGAAAAATCGCGCCTAATTTGGTCAATTGAAGGACTAAATGGATTTCCTTTTACCAGAGATATTCCTTCGAATAAGGCGATATTCCTTCAAACAGCATATTCCTTGAATGCAGTTCAATAGAGCTTTTCCGAGAGATTGAAATGCACCATGTCCTCTTAAAATCTGTAAGGATTTGGTTGACAATTTTTTTTGGAAAGCGTAAATGTCCTGGCCGTTTTAGTGCTATCCTAAAAGTATGCTTTGAAAATTGCTACCAGAAAGTCGCAACTGTTTACAAACTTTGAGTTTTATTGGTAAAGAAATGCTAGGTGGCATGTACTATAATGTCTGTAGATTCAATTCAGATCCGATAGCCGGCTACTTTAATAGCTTCAGATGCTTCACATATTTGTGGACCACATCCTTCACGTAAGGTTTGAGTGCGATGCAGGTTGGAATATTCTCCGGCTGTTCGATCCAGAGTTTGTGCTTAATATCGTGCTCTTTTAGCTTATCGACAAGTTTCATTAGCGCCGCCTCGTCCTTCGCCTCGAGCACCACCTTGTGCATGTTGTCCAGATCCTTGAGATACGCCTGCGTATCCTCATCTTCCGTATGCTGGCTCATCACCGCCGCCGTCGCGTGGCAGCATTGGGCAATCACTGCGCCTAGTGGCCAACTTAGAGCGGAGCGCAAATCACTCCGCACCACAATATACTGCACAATGTTGCTCATCTTTTGTCTGTTTAAATATATATATGCTTATGGGTGAAAATGTCCTTGTCTGTCGCGTAAAAATATATAAATATTTTCACTAAGCACAATGTTTGTGAACAGCTGATAAAAAGCCGGCAATTAGGGTGACCAGAGTTTTTCTTCTTTTTGGAAAAATTCATTGGCCACCTTATTAAATTTCGTAATTCACATTTTGGCGGAATTTTTAAAATTGTTTTTCAAATTATTTATTTCATCGAGACGAATCGAAAATATGCATTTGAACTTAACTTAAATCTATACTAACAAGATCTAAAACTACATTTTCCAATTAATATTCTTGATTTATTTAAGACAAAAAATATTATCAGTTCTTTTTAGTTATCTAACTGTCATTCTTGCCACAATTAATCATTGATAATTGAACTGAAATTCATTAAATTTAGTCTAGCGTGGGTTACTTTTTCTCTAAAAATTCAAACAATGATATCAATGATAATGTTGGCTTGTAAAATGAAGGCGACGCTGGAAAAAGCTTTCCGGAACTGTGTCGATTTTCTATCTCGAAGCCATTTAGTTGCTAAATTATATTATTTTAAAGACATTTATGTATAGATACTAAAGTTTATACATAGGTAAAGGTATGCTACGCTCTTCCTTCGGGTTAATCGTGTTATATTCTTTATATGAAAGGGTGAGCTGGAGTCTTTCGATTCGTTTAATTCTGTTCATTATATAATTGGGTAGTTGTTGTATTCACTCCAAGGCTAGCTACATGTCAGAAACAGCGGGCTTCAGTTATTTATTTATATTTATTTTATTTGCAACACTTGCAGCTTAATTAATCACCTAACGTACTGGAGAGCGAGGGCTTGCATTATAAAATGCTGAAAATATATTTTGAAAATTTCGAATTTTATTCATCTAATTTAAAATAAGCTAAGTGGTGGATTTCCCATATCTGTTTCTGTGGTAAAAAAAATGCTTTTGTATTTAATTGGAATAATACAAATGTGAAATACTAAGCATTTTGATTAATTCGAGGAAAAGTAAATAAAATTTGATAAGTACTTGTAGTGGTTGTGGTAGCTTATTGAACAACCCTCGAATTTTTCGTTGGGTCAGTGAAGTAAGATTCTGTTTTTGGTTCGACAAAAAGCAAATAAGTAGTTTATATATTGCAATCACTTCTGCAGAGGCTACTGCTGTGAATTTGAAGAGTAAGGATGAAGGATGCATGGAGGAAGTGGTAGAAAGGAGGCGATTCGGCTGGGGGCGGTGTACTGTTTTCCGGCGCATAGTGCCAGTGACATGCGTCCGTAATTAAGGTCCCCATTTTGGGTTAGATTATCCATGAATAATTGGAAATGATGGTCGCTCCTGGTCTTCGACTTTATCCGCAACTGGATGGAATGTAAGGAGGTGGGGAGTAGGTGCTCTGCGGGAGAGAGGAAGAGGGAGGCAGAGGAGTAAGGTACAACTGCAGCAGATTGATGATGCCGGACAAAACAGCAGCAGCACACTGAAAGAAAAAAAAAGGCAATTCGATTTTGTATGCAAAAAATTCAAACGTTCTTAATAAATAAAAACAAAATTCTTGAATCGAGTAAAAGTTGCATTAATTAAGAAAATGGTATGTGGACATTCTGGCATTTTTAGCAAAAATATATTTTTGAAATACAATTCTGGATTTGTTTTTGAGCTAAGTATAAACTTCTATAGGGTTTTTCCGGGTGCAGCTACTGTTGCCATTTACTGCTGCGCCACTACTCGTCACATCCTTTCGTCTCTCTCTCTCTCTCTCTCTCTTTCTATCTGTCTGCTTCTCACTGTCTCGCTCTGTCTGCTGAAAACTTTGCTAATTGCTTTTTGGCCACATTGGCCAAGGCGCTTGGCGACGACAACACCAACTAACGGGTTTCAGTTATGACCAGTTACCCAGCAGCCAAAAATGCCATTTGCCCAGTTTTGCCATTGCATTATTATACCCTGTAATCGATCTAACTCAAACTGGATATGTTCCCTTGCCCAATTATCATTCATTTTATTTTCATTTTTAAAGACAAGTTTTTTGTCATGTGGGAATTATTCAAAACGTAGCTTTTACCTTAGATAATTTCTGCATTTTGCAATTTTGAAACAGGCAAAAGTGAGTTTAAAAAAAAGAAGAAAAAGTTATTCCTGATTTGTCTTTATTTATGCAAAAAGAACAATATTTCTAGGGTATTTTGGAGTTGATTTAATTCGATAAGCTCATTTGTCTTTGTTGCTATTGTTGTTGTAGCTGTGCATTTAATTGTGCCTTTTTGTGCCTCGGCCTACAAATCGCCGAGTCAGCATAGAATTAATTGCACAGCCAAACAAGCAACACACACACCAGCACACACACACACACACACACCAGCACACACACACACACACAATGGGGCAACAATTTGAATAGATAGTTTTTCGCACTTTTGGCGTTCCATAAATTTTGCACTCACTTCTCAATTGTCAAAACAAATTTGCCAAATGTGCCATTCATTCGTTATGAGATTAGGGCATAGCAGCCACATTCACATTCACATTCACATTTACACCCATATTCACAAGTACACAGCGAGAAATATGTTCGACGTTTGGCAATTTGCAAATCGATACACTTTTATACATTTCTTTCAGTATGAATTATTTGATGGCATTTTTGCTCTCTGTGCTAACATTCATCCTCGTCTTCGTCCTCGTCCTCGTCCAGAATTCACATCCTTGTCCAGGTTTACGTGCCCACAGTGCTCCCCGGGGTCCGGCATATGAGCCACAGCTGTAGAGCTGATTGAGGGGTCGGTGGTTGAGAGTTTTTGGGTAGGGGATGGGGGGGGGGGGGGGTTGGCTCTGACCGCTGCCCAAATGCAAATGTCATTTTGTGGCCATTCGAATGAATAAACGAAATTAAATGCAAAGAATGACCCAAAAGCGAACGAGTTTGAATGGCAGCTCAACTAGCTCAACAAAGCCACGCCCCCCCATACCCAGCTAACGCCTACCCACTTGGGACCGCACATCAACCTGACGTCAATACATCTGTACATATATATATATGTATATAGAATATGCGCAGGGTTGCAAATTGATTCGAATTTGAATCGGAGTTCAGTTCAGTTTTGGGGTTCCATTAATCAAAATCCAACATTGGCGAAACCAACTACGAATCAACCCTCGAGATGATAAACGCAGTCTGCTCTGAATGGGAGCCTAACTAACTAGTTAGTATTGGTAGTAATTAATTTAGTATCTAATAAACCAAAATCATTTACAATTGAAATCAACTTCAAACTGCGTGAAGCCAAAAAGTTTATCCTCAATTCGAATGATAAGAACTTAATTTTGCTTAACTTTATTGCATTTCTTTCTTCTGTCAAAGTTTGAATAATATAAGCCGAATGAGAATCGTTTTCAGGTAAATATCGGCTGTTTGATGTTCTGCTTAAGCTAATACTACAAATTAAGTAATCTTCATTGAATGCCAAAATATAGCGTTAAGATTATTAAAGTTTTAGTTTAAGCATTTAAACGTCGATCTGAATTGTATTGTGCCATTAATTTAATACAATTGCGAGCATTAGGAGATCCTAACAACCCTTTTAAAGGGGATATACCCTTTTAAGCCATAACCATGTTATTTTGTCGAGTGGCCCAGAAGGATTTCAAGATGATTTTTAGTATACACTATCCGGAAAGGACGAAATTATTTCTAACAACCGAAATAAAAATACTTTGAGTATAATTTAAAACTGCTTATAGCTTGACAAAGATCCAGGCGATTCCTGTGTAAAACACTTTGCTTAGAGCAGAACTACCAACTAGCTAAATTAACTATAAATCGTGTTTGAAAACCAGGATTTTCTAGTAATAATATTATTAGATCGAATTTAAAAGAGATGGCAATTAATGTTGATATTTTGAGCAAGATTGTTATGCAAGCTCAACTTTAAGATCAAAGTGCAAGCATTCGATATAATTTCTCGATATTTAGATAGTTAGCTCGCTTAAGTATAGAAATTTATGTGTGTGTGTGTGTGTGTGTGTGTGTGTGGAGGTGAGGCTGCACAAGTCTCTTGGGTATTTAAGCGTCCAGAATGAGGCAAGTGTATAGCAATGACAGCAGGTGCACACACAACACACACACCACACACACACACACACTCACACACACTCGCACACACTCAAATCGAGGGTTTTTGGGCACACATGAAAATTTAATGTGAATGCAAAAGAAAGCAAAGAATTTGTAATTAAATTAACCATTTTCGCCATTTGCAGGCTGAGAAATGAAAATGCTTTCGTCTTACAGTGGTTCACAAAACAAAATACTCTCCTAACTAGGCATAAGTCTGTCTTCAATCAGTTTCTTTCTCGTTTTTCGAAACAATTTTAAAAAGTTTGCATTTTTCTTTATTTTATATTATTGACAGGCATATCTGACATAGCCTCAATTTCAATATACTTTATTTTTGACTTTAATTACGACTTAAGTTTCAAAAAGGCTTTGCTTTTTTTTCTCAGTATATATTTTTTTTTGTGGCACGCAGGCAGTTCTATAACCTCAAATTCCGCTCACGACCTGTCGGACTGTCGGACTACCATTCACAATGGGAAAAAAGGGCTCAATCAGTTGCTAAGTGGCTCAGAGACCAGGGATTCAAGACCAAAGGACTATCCCAGAGTAGGTCCAACACTTTGGGGGGGTGGGGGATGGGTGGGCGATAGCAGGCAAGGAAGGGTGGAAGATGGGGCACAAAATCATGAGAAATGTGAAATGAAAAATCGACTCGCAATTAGCAAACATGAAGCACGTCGCGTTTGTTTAAGTGGAAGGGCAGGACACACACACACACACACACACTCACACGTACAACCCCTCAAGCTGTCCTGACTCACGTCACACATACATAGGGAGATAGAGATAGACAGAGAGAGAGAGAGAGAGAGAGAGAGAGAGAGAGAAACAGAGAGAGATACAGGAACTGGCAGCGATGTCAGCATGGTTAATAAGTTACTTTCGAGATACTTTATTACTTCCTTGGTGCCGCACGACAGTATGCGATTGTGGGGGCCCGGGGGCGGTGTGGCATGTGGGGGGCGTCGTGCCACATAGGTCGCACATTAAAAAACAAGGAGCTCCAAACAAATGGCAGGCGACACAGTGCCAACAAAAAAAAAGAAAAGGGTTGCTAGACTGCCTTTCATTAGGCATACACGCATACGCAAGTGTGTGTGTGTATGTGTGTGTGTGTGAGTGTGTGTGTGTGTGTGTGTGTGAACATTTTTTAATTTATGCGATTTTTGACTGCGGGCGTAAAGTGCCAGCGGGCGGGGAACGAGAGAAATGAGATGAGTGCATTGATTCCCTCGCGCACAAAAGTAGGCAATAGTTTTTTATTACATTTTCTTATCAGACTCTGTGTGTGTATGTGTGTGCGCACGCCACGCCCACAGCCATTTGCACTCACAGGACATATATTTTTCTTACAGAATATCCAATGCACTCGAGGAATACGCAAAACGACAAATGTATCTGAATTATTTACAATTCTGGTTGTGGTTTCTTTCCATGCATAGTTCTAATTACTCAGAAATTATATAATTCCATTAAGAATATGTTCATGCATATCATAAAGAACAACAAATAAAAATCAGTATAGTTCAAACGGATTGCTTAAATGCTTATCGATTTTGAGTTAGTGATTTTTCCATTTTGTATTTAAGTCGAAGAAAAATAGATATTTTCTACCTGGAACATCATTGTTTTTTTTGTTGTCAGTTAACTTTAAGCTGGTCTGTGTAAATAGGTAAATATTTTGTGATAAATCTAAAATATGAATGCTTAGTTTTTTGGCAAGGGTATTTTGCATTCGGCATGCTAATGACACATTTTGGCTCTCATGTATTTTTTAGCCTTATTTATGCGAGTGAAATCAATGCTTGTTGTGGGTGTGTGTGTGTGTATGTGTGTGTGTGTGTGTGTGTGTGCGTGTGTGTGTGTGTGTGTGTGTGTGTGCCCCTACCCCTACCCCTACCACACCCCTACATTGCTCTCACTCTCTCTGTCTTTCGAGATATTGAAGTAAAGCGTTGTCGAACCACATTAAAGGTAACTATGCAAATATTTTTGCGGCCCACACGAACAAACAACGAACCTTTTCATAGACCACACTTACACACACACTTGCACACACACACAGTGGCATATGGACATTTGTGTCCTTTGAGTTGAGCGTCGAACATGTAGGTGGCAACCAAAAATATTCCATGCTGGACATTAGTCCAAAAACTAGTCATCCACAAAAGTGAACCAATTCCAATTGTCGGCACGATGCGAACAAATCGCAGGCCAGAACCCCTGCCATTTTCCCTTCCCCATTGCGTGCTGTTTGCAACCCGTTCTAATCGTTTGCGTTTGCGTTTTAGTTTTTGGATTTTATTTTATTATTATTATTATTTGCCTATTTTTTATTATTTTTTTTGTTTGTTGGCAATCACTTAGCTTACTCGTAGATTTTTGGCTATGTGCGGAATGTCTAATGAAGCCACATAAATCAAATGGCAAATGCGAAAAGCAAAAAGTCATTTGCCCCTTTTTACCTCCAACTGTTCTCCGTCCCCCTTCTCGCTTGACCAACCATCCCTTGAAACGAATCCTTGATTCCAGTTTCAGCTTTGTCGTCGCCGCACTAATTGAAATTAAAAACGCTGCCAAAAAAAAAAAGAAAAAAAAAAAGAACATTTCTAAAGTGAAGAGGGAACATTCGTGCGAATTGGCTCAGTTTTCGTATTTGATTGTCGCGTTCTGCTGCTTCTTCCTGGCCAATTAACAGCCTAGCGAGAATTGTGGCCCTGATTTATGTGATTTGCACTAATGCAATGGGAATTGCTTTTAGCAAAGCAGCAAACAAGCCGACAACTTTATCGAACTTCATTCTCACTCGGTGCTCGAATCTCCATCTTGGTGTGCAAAAGACCTTTTTATTTGTATCTATTTAAAGTCAACTACTTAGAGTGGATGGGTTTATTTGTTCCCCTTTTTTTTTGCCTAACATAATACATACTCAGCTTGGTTTGGCATTGCATTGATCACCTCCACAGGCTATTGCATTTTCAACCCATGATATTATGACCTTAATGATTTTTGTTCTATTTTTGCTTAATCCTCATGGATTATCTAATTGATTTTTGTTGAGATTAAGTTAAGGTTATTTTAAGCTAATTAAATGAAACGCTGATATTGTGTATATCCTTTATTTGTATTTGAATTATTTATTTCTTGTAATATTATTTAAAAAAAAAAGACAATGATCACATAAAATATTTTGTAAATTACAGAATTCTTGTTATACAATACATATTACATATATGTATAATTATTATTATATTTATATTTATATTCATATATTTATAGATTTTTAGTTATTTTGTTGTTGTTGTTTTTTTGTTTTGTTTTGTTTTGTTTTTTTTTTTTGTATTTTTTGTTGGTTTTTGGTTTTAAATACAATAATTTTTAAGCCTGCTATTTTTTTTTGGTTTTGTTTTAAAATTCGTCTAAATTTCCTTTCGGTTTTTTCTTTGGATTTTTGTCCATTTTTGGTTTTTGGTTTTTCGTTTATTTGTTTATATTTATATTTAGTTATACATATATTTATAAGTACGTAATACAATACAAAAAAAAGTCAACTACTTTTACTTAAGTTTTACATTTCATTTTGTTAAATTTATTGCACTGAACTTTTTTTCCTTTCTTTTCTTATTTTCTTTTATATATATATATGTGTATATATATATAAATATATATATATTCCATCCATGTATTCTTCTTGTTTTACTAATTGTTGTTGCTGTAAGTTTTTTCTGTTTTTTTTTTGCTTAGCTTTTTCTGTTTGTCTGTCATTCAAACTTCTTCTCTTGATGCCGAGTACAATTCATTCATCTTTTAGTTATTTTTAACATTAAAACTTATCGATCCTAAATATATATATAATCGTATATATATATTTATATATATATATATATATTTTAGGTGTGGAAGTGTTGGTTTTGTGTGTGTGTTGTTGTTGTTGTGTGTTGTGGTTGTTAGTGCGAGTACTTAGTATTTATAGTTGAGTATAATATAATTTGAAATGGACCTTTGGTCAGCCCATGGAGATTACGTTCTAAATTTTTAAGATTACAAAAAAAAATCATTTTGTTTAGTTTAGCGTTGATTACATTTGCATATTTAACTCCGTTGGTGTTAGACCTTCTCGTACCACTAACTAAACTTATGTTCAAGTATTTCTTCTTTCTTTCATTCTTTTTTTGTTTTTATCATTTTTATGTTATTTATGTTTTGTTTTGCTTTTGGTTTTCTTTTTCGTTCTTGTTTCAAGTCGCACGTTTAATTTGTAATACAAAATTGACCAGACATCAACATCAAACAAATGTCCTAATATATATATTATATTTAACTGCTAGTTAGTATTAGATACAGATACAGATACTAATCCAAAAAAAAAAAAAAAAAAAAAAAAAAAAATACAACTAAAAGCGCACATTTAGTTTAGTTTAGTTTGGTTTTTGGTTTTATTTCAATACTAGAATAATTTATACAATTTATCAACACGACAAGCGCCTAGGACCTAAACGTGGAACAGCTCAATCTACGCGATAACGTCAACGTCACAAGGACATCATTTCCTTGATGACGCCTCCCAACGCTTCTGTGGATCTATATCTATATTATGTACCTTATCTAAATATAGGTTCTCGTATAGCCATATCTTTGCCGATACGAGTAAATTAAGAGGTTGAACTAAATGGGGATGAAATAAACTTTAACGAATCATGAATCAATCCATTGACTCCATTGAATTATACTAGTTTACTATGTAATACTATCGTTTCTCTTTCTTTTCGAGCTGTAGACCTATCCAAAAGTAATTAAAGGAAATGAATACAGAAGAGTGGGAGAGTGGGAGAGAGATATGTTGGGCTATTCGGACACTAAATCGACACTTCATTCTCACTTATAATTGATGACATATATATATAGTATAGTATAGCATATGATTCGTAACTCATAATGAATAACTCATATTCATGTTTCGATTCATCGAACTCAACTGGCTCAGCCATCATAGCCCCCATTGATCCAACTCATAGCTCAACTCCGGCGTATTGAGTCAATACACACACACACACACACACACACACACACATTCGATAAACAAACACGATAACTACTTGTATTCGATTACAGTGTGTGTGTGTGTGTGTGTGAATGATTCGTAATTCATAAATGATGTATGTACACACAGTGAAACACCGCTGGACGGTATTCACTGTACCTGTCCCTGTCTCTGCTCACTGCTTAAATGGGCGTCGGCATCAGTTTGCCATAGTCCTGGTGCATGCTGGGCTTCACCGAATTGTAGACAGAGGGACGACCTCCGTCGTCCGGTAGGGCATACACATCGGGCGGCACGCACAGCGATTGTAGCTTCGAGATGTACGAGTCGAAGTGCTCGTGTGGATGTCCGTGGTGCGGATGTCCGTGCGGATATCCGCCCGGATGATGCACAGTGTAGGCATGGTGTGGTGCATGCGGCGGCGGCGGCGGTGGTGGTGGTGCTGGTGGTGGTGCGGCTGCTACCGCTGTTGCTGCTGCTGCTGCTGCCGCTACCGTTACGGCCGACTGATGGCCGTACATGGACGACGCACTGGGTACGGCACCCGTTGGCGGTGGCAGCGGCGGCGGTGGTGGTGGCAACAGCGTCGAATAAGCACTCGCTGCGCTCGTATGATGGTCCACCACACAACCGCCGCTCAGGCCGATGCCAGAGGTGCAGCCGGTAGTGTCCATGCCAGTGTGCAGGCTAACGGGCACACCAGCTCCACTTCCAGTTCCACTTGTAACCGGTAGTGCACCGGTTGCTGTGCCTGGTGGTGGCGGCGGCGGTGGCAGACGGACGTGTTCCAGGAGCGTGATAACATTGTTCCTCAAACTCTCGTAATAGTTGTTTAGATTCGCATTCGGCGGTGCTCCGCTGCCGTCGTGCGATACGTGCGAGAGGTCGCCAGCGGTACCGCTGCCTGGTCCGCTGCTGCTGCCGCCAATGATGGTCGCTGTGGTTGAGGAGACGCCGGCAAATGGCGATTGGCCGCTGGGCGAGCCTAAAGCAGAAGCTGTGACACGTTGTTGTTGTTGCTGTTGTTGTTGTTGTTGTTGCTGCTGATGGGCGCTCAGTGGAGAAGCCTCCTGTTAAGCAGAATGAGAGAGAGAGAGAGAGGGAGGCAGTGAGGGGGGGAGAGAGAGAGGGAGAGAGAGAGTAGCATTGCATTTATATATTGTTTGAAATTGAATGTGATTTGATTGTTTATTATTCGTAACTCATTTAGTGCATCTAAGAAAATCTTAAAATTGCTGTTCAAAAATATATATATTTATGGAATATATGAACTAATGGAAGTGAATTTCAACCTCAACTAAAGATCTGCAAGCCCAAACCTCGCAAATGAGTAGGAGGAAGCCAACAATCTCTATAAAAGATTTCCGATTTCCGAAATAAACAGACTCAATTGAAGAATTCATGCTTATATATTATCTATATCAGATCTACACCTATTTCTTTACGAATATATATATATATATATATATATATATATGTAGAAACGGCATCCAATTTAATAATTTATAGTTTATCTTTTAAAACTTTGCCTTAACCCTTTGCATCGAGTTAATAAAATACCAAAAGCATTTTTAAATTAAGAACGAACCAAATTCCAATTGAATCAACAATATTAGAAAATGTTTAATGGCATTTTGCTTAGCAATCATTATCAGCTTAAGCTCAAAGTCTGTAAATCAATTAAATAAAATCCTTTATATTCATGAGCTGAAAACTAAACAAGGATTTTCAAGGCTAGTTTTGAACTATTCACGTTTTTAAGGCGATTTTGATTTTACTCAAATTTAACACTTTTTTCCCCTGTGAAAATGCGAATATTGTAATTGAAATAACTTTGGCAAAAGCTATCGCAAACTGCTAAAAGGTGCTTCAAATTTCACATATGTATTTGAAAGTGTGTTTTTCTTCCCCCCCTGCACAAATTGAAAATGAGATTTGGGCTTAGTTACTAATACATGCACAACAAAACGAAGCTAACGATTTGCGCAATACTCGAAATGGGATTTTAGTGTTTGATTATTGGCCATCGGTTTGTTTGACTGTAATTGTGTGTGTGTGCGTGTGTGTGTGTGTGTGTGTGTGCGTATATGATCGCTATTTGATGCATTGACATATTGATTCATGTTGCTTAAATTCAATTTGCTGAGCTGCCTATATAAAGTACACACACACACACATACATAGACAGATGTATGCGTGTACTCAAATTGAAATTCCAATAAGAACGCAGCAGCAGCAGCAAAAAAAAGCGAGTCAAACGCAAAAGAAGAATGAAACAAACAGACACACAAACACGAACGCGTGACGAATGCACACGAACACACACAGCCACAGACAGAAACACGAATTCGTGTGCGTGAAGAGCGAGAGCGAAAGAAAGAGAGAAAGAGAGTGTGGCGCTAGCGAGGCAGCCAACGGCGGCCACTGCTGCTGCTGCTGCTGCTGCGAAGTGCCTCCCCACATTTTTTTTTTATTCGTTCGCTCACATTTTTTTTTTTGCCGTTACTGCTGCTCATAGGGAGCTGTGTCGAGGCCACAGAGGTTATGCTGTCGACTGCGCTGCCAGCGTTGTGACGCGTCGTAGCACAGTTTTTAGCTCGTTAGGAGCAAATGGACAAAAACGTTTGGCGCTCTGCGATTTGCTGTTTGTGCTGCTGCTGCTGTTGCTGCTGTTGCTGCTTTTGGTGCCGACTGCGGCCAGACGGATGGGATACCCAGAGACCGACAAATTGACTGGCTGTGGGTGTGGTGGGTTAGGTGGTGGGGGCTGGGGAATTGGGGCTGCAGCTGCCTGCGCATGACCACACACATACACATACACACACACACACACACACACGCAAACGTACGTGTGTGTATAGGGACACGTTCTGTTTAGGGATGGTGCTGCTGGTTTGTGGTGCTGCTGTGCGCTGATTCGTCGCTCGATGCAGTCGACAATGAGTGCAGCTGCTATGCAAGGCACGCCGATTGGCTGCTGTGACGCCATTTTGAACGATTGTCGACTGCAACAACAAAGCGACAGAGGCGACTGCAACAGATCATTGGCCGCGTGCACCAAACAAAAACAAAAACAAAAACAAAATAAAATACGAAATATTTGCAAAAACAAAAAAAAAAAAACAGCCCCAAATTTTCAAGTGAAAACGGAAGTTAGTTGGCCCAATATCAAAATGTGCAAGCATAACTTGGCTAAAACAACTACAACAACAGCAACAACAACAGCAACAAGAGGCCAAGGCGCGATAATTTAAATATAATAAAAGTTTTTTAACTAGCAGACGTCGCCCAACTTTCTTTGGCCATGTTTTGGGTTAAAAAGTATATTCTGCCAAGAAGAAGACGAAGACTAAGACGAAGAAGAAGAAGAACGAAAGTTAACAGCGACGACGACGTCGACAGCGACTTCGGCGGCTGCTAAAACTTTTGTTGGCGACTTTTGCGCCGAGTTTCGAACATATTGTTGTTGTTTTTATTATATATATTTTTGTTGTTGTTGTTGTTGCTGGCTTACAGTCGCTTTATTATTGCGTTGGTTTTGGTTTTGGAGTTTAGAGACGTCCTTGAAAAGTGGCCGCAACTTAGAAGCGACTGCGACGGCGACGGCAACAGCAACTCAGGTGCCAACATAAACTTCAAGAGACAAAAACAAAAAAAAAAAACTCAAAAAATGTGGCAACTTTCGCTGCGCCTACAACAAGAAGGGTTTAATTGGAGAGTGCTCGCTAAGCAGATACCCTCTGCATAGAACTAAGAACCAAATCAAGTGAAATTCATTGCTAAAAATAAACCGAATAGTTCTCGAAATTAGTACAAATTAATAAAAATCATTTGTTTTTCATTGAAGCAAGACTTGAGCTAATTCGATTAAAGGTGAAGTTGATGTCTGACTTGATTTAGAATATATTGAATGCAAACAGTTTGCTTTAAATAAATTATTATTACTTATTTGGTGTTATGTGTGTTTGTGGGCTGCTGTTGTTGTTGCTGTTGTTGTTATTATTATTATTGTTTTTTTATTATAAGAAAATACTCAAAATTTGTTGCGGATCAACGAACCTGAGCCTACGTACCCGATCGCTGGTGCTCAGTTGCGATTCCATCGCATTGATGTCCGATTTGAGGCGCATCATTTGCGATTCGACGCGTGCATTTTCCCGTTGCAACTCCGATATTTCCGCTTCCAGCGTGTTGAGATCATCGCTGCCGCCGCCGCCGCCACCGCCACCGCCGCCGCCGGCCACATTTACAACGCTCGCTGATTTGTCGCTGCTGTTGACACCCAGGCTGCTGCTGCTGTTGCTGCTGTTGTTAATGACGGGTGGCAGAGGAATGCCGACGCCGCTCATAACAATGTCCAAGCCGCCGCCTCCTAGATCAGCCAAGAGAGAGTTAGAGTCGAGATACAGATAGAGACAGAGAGAGAGAGAGAGAGAGAGAGAGAGAGAGAGAGAGAGAGAGAGAGAGAGTCGTTAGTGCTGGAGACGCTCTCATTTGGAGCAAAAAATCATTTCTTTTTTGTATTGTTCAACTTTATGCAACTTGGTTCATTGTTCTCTTGGACGTGAAACTTGCTCATTTCTTATTTATTTCCATTTTTTGTTGTATTTTTTTTTGTAATTCTTTTTTTTTTTGTTTTTTTATCAATGTTTAAGAAAAGCTCTCCACGGTTGTCTATGTGCGCGTGTGCTAGCAACTCAATTGGAGCTTTCATGTGAAGTGGGTGATTGTGGTGTGTGTGTGTGTGTATGTGTGTGAGTGAGATAGCAAATATCACGGCTTACCTTTGATCGTTTCTTTTTGGAAATATTCATTTGCTTGTGTGACTTGTTCTTGTTGTTGTTGTCTTTTTTGGTATATTTGTTGTTGTTCTTGTTCAATTCATTTGATGACTATTATTGCATACATATTTCATTTGTATTTCAAAGTACTTTTTTTTTTAAATATATCTTTTTTTTTCTTTTTTTTTGTTTGTTTTTTTTTGATTAGCTTTCTGGTTTTTGCTGCGGTCTAGTTTCAATATTAATTGTTTTTCATTTGTCTATTTAGAGTAGATATTCAGCACCGATACAAAACGTCGCGTAATCTAAAAGAAATCAACGCCAACGAAAAACGCCATGAAACGAAACGAAAAAGAAGGAAAACGGAATTAAATTAGAAATTGAAACGTGGCATATATGTATGGTATATACAATATCGTGTAAGTATCTAGTAAGTATTATGTTGTATCGGGCAACGATGTTTATGTTATGCACCGGGGTGTTTTTCATTTCTTTCTTTCTTTTTTTTTTTTTTTTTTTTTTTTTTTTTTACTTGCCGGCCGGGAATCCTCGGAATTCTCGAGGCCCTGTCGAGGCGTCTGTCGTAAGGTCAATTTTGGTATATTTTGGTACGCTTCGGCTTATTTTGCAGTTTCAAATATTTGCACTTGTTTTTGGTAATTGTTTGGTATTTTTTCTTTTTTCTTTTTTTTTTTGTTTCGATATATATATATATTTATATATATTGTTTTTTTTTTTGTGTGTTTTATGGGCACATTCCGAAGAAACCGAAACCAAAACCAAAAGCCAAAACGTAAGTATTTCATTTGTTTTATTAGACATTAGCACACGCACACAAAATTCCAACCGAAAATGCACAATACGAGAGAGCAAAGAGAGCAACAACAAATAGCAGATGCAATTAGCAAAATTCAGCAAATGTCACACAAAATTCCCAATTCGATGAATGATGAATACTAAAGAGATTAGCTGATTTGTATTGATATATCAATTTGAAAGTTGCTTGATCATTTTTTATTGTTTTGTGATTTTGAAATAACATTTGTGATGCTTTCTTCTGTTGTTTGTGTTGCAAACTTTATGACAATGCTATAATGCCAAATACCAGCAATTGGTAGTGCATGATAACAACAAGCCCAGTTCATAACAGAAAACACGCAAGAGATATACGACACAATTACAGATAGATTGTGAACTGAACTCAGAGCTCACTCGCACTCACCTGTATAGCCTTTGGGGTATACCATGGTGACCTCATCGAACTTGGGTTTCTTAATTCCCTGACTGCCAACTGTGGTACACGCTACAAAAGAGAATGGCAAGAGAAGCAAAAAAGAGAGACATAGAGAGAGAGAGAGAGAGAGAGAGAGAGAGAGATCATTTAGTGCATGTACAAAAGTGAATTTTTGGTATAGTTTCCAGTTACTTTGGTGGTTCTCATCTAATCTTAAAATTATTGAAACACATCTGAGTATTATTTATTTTTTAAGTATTTTCCAATCGTTGTTTTTGTAGATTTTAATATAGCTTGTACGTGAATGCAAAAATCTTTTCCCTCAAGTCAATTTTTGTAAATTTATTATTAAAATTTTTGAAAAACATTTGACTATTTTGTAGTCGTAGTATTTTTTTAGTCGTATTTGAATATAGTTTATGCCTAAATGCGAAAATCTCTATTTTTCTCAAAACTAGAGAGTAGAGTTTGAAACAGTCGATTTTTGTTGAGACTTACCATCAAATTTCATAGCCGTGGCAGCTGCCACAGCGGCCTTGTGCTGTTCCACGGTGCCGCCGGCCTCCAAAACACGCATCTTGTTCCGATTGGCAATGGGACAGCCCGATGCACTGCAGCGCCAGCGAAAGACACAGAGAAATAGAGACAGAGAGAGAGCGAGAGCGAGAAATATAGAAATGTAAATGTAGCAGAAATGAATTAATTAGTCGTGCTCACCTTCTGTGTGAGAGAAATTTGCCAGTGGAATGGCCGGAACCATCACAACCTGGTATGGGGCAACGTAATGGCTCCGAATCCTGGCCATCTCGGGGCTTGCTCTTCGGCTTGTTGGCTCGCGGACAACCGGAGAGGCTGCGATGCGATGAGTAGTTGCCAGTCACATGTCCCGAACCATCGCAGCCGGGTGTCGGGCACTTCAGCTCCTGGGAGTGCGACTGCAGATGGTTGCGGTCCGAGCGCGAACAGCCCGTCAAACTGCGAATTGAAAGTCAAGACAAGTCAGGCATTATTGTGGATTAACACACACACACACACGCACGCACACACACACACACACACTGCTGATTACGTGGCCAAGTGGCCGACGTCAGATAAGCAACGAGATTTGAAGAGTTTCCCAGTTTAAACTTAGAAGTTAGGGGTGTTAAGTTAAGCACGTAGTTTATTGCACAGTTGTAGTTTTAAAGGATGTGCGGTCTGCGACTGGGCAGCCTGGGACGGCTTTTTATGAGCGCACTGCGTCCGCATAGCCCAACTCATTAATATTAAAGTTTCACACAAACAAACAAACAAACAAACAAACAAACACACAATTAGCAAGCTACTTTAAAATTGAACACCGACTTTAAATTTGATGGCGGCTATTCGAATTTCTATGTCAAATTATAAATAATTTATTTTTGCCAACGAGGTCAGTGAGGTCATTCTGTATGCAAAGTGGCAACTTTATTGTTTGACCAATAGGAAACTAACTAATGCTTAATTGATAATACTTTTTCCAGCCTGTCATTTCACAAAAACTGAATGCCAAGAAGACGATTGAGATAAGAAGACTTTCTCCTGCTGCTGATGATGATGATGATGATGATGATGAGTGTACTCACCCATCTTTGGTCTTGTCGTGCTGCGGTATGTGCTGCGGCGGTGGCATCGAGTAGCAGGTGGCCGGACTGGGTGAATATCCGCCGGAGACTGGAGTCGGATAGCCTCCGGGGCCAACGGCTGTTGCATACGGATTGCTGCATTGATAGGCGGCGGGCCCGTATCCATGGTAACCAGCTGGTGGATAGTCTGACTGAACTACCATCCCATAACCCGGATGCGGCGAATAGCCTGAAACAATTTACAAAAAGAAACAGATAAACCCATTTTACATATTAGCAATCATTTGTCACCGATCTAATTACTTAATTAGTTTATAATTTATAATTTGAAATATAAGAATTGTTCAAGGAGGGGCCAACTTACCGCTCGGATCCCGATACGTTTCAATGTAATGGGAGCCGCCGCTGTCCGGCGTAGATTCGCGACTGTAGGGTCGCGGCCCGCTGATGTGACCGACCAGGCCGAAGCCGAGGGGACGCGGCGGTCCACTAAAGTCCACTGGCTCCATTTGTGGTGAACGTGGCGGTCCGTTCGGTCCAATTGAGCCGGGTGCAGCGCTGCCAAAGCCCTGACCGTGGCCCACAACAAGGCCGTCGGCGCCGTACTGCGGGCTGGTGATAATGCTGTCGAGTAAATGAGACCGAAATGAACAGATTAAACAACAGTGTCGTATAACTAACACATATATATGTATATATACATATACATATATATAAATATATATATTCCCACAGATTAATCCTTAGTCTAGTAAATTCATTTAAACACATGTATATTCCCACATATTAATCCTTAGTCTAATACACTTATTGCGCAAATGGTACACAACAAATTTGGTGACTCTACCTCTTAAGGTTTACGGAGTGTGTATTCAGCTTGATTTGCCCAATTATTTAGTATCACAATTTCTATCATAGCATTCCCATATGTGAGTCAATATACCAAATTTCACAGCTCTACCAATTATGGTCGTTGAGTTCAATGAGGTTGGTACGGTCGACTTGATTATGTTAAATGCCTATATTATTTCAAATGCCGCAAAACAAAAGCACAAAGCCACTAAAAATATTTAAAGCAAATTAAAGCGAAATTAAATATTTAGTAATTAAAAAGTAATTAAATGAGTTAAAGCCTGCAAAATATTGCTCAGATCTCTAAGATTGCTGGATGGGTTTGTGGGTGATTTTTAAGGTTGCCGGTTGTGGTACGGTAGTTGGGTAGTAGGGTAGTGGGTTACGGTACGTGAGTCTCACCTGTGCGGTAAACGTGTGACGCTCAGGTCCAGCGTTTGACCCTGCGGACTGGGCACCTGGGGGCTGGCAATGTTTGGACTGGCACCCGGCTGTGGACTGCCATTGCCCATGCGCTGGTTGTTGTATTGGTTGTGCGATGCTGGCGAGTTGAAACCGTGCGGACTCGATGACGTCACCGACGTGGCACCCGAGAGATCTACAGCGGGCGCTGCCACGCCCACATTTGGCGTGGGCGAACTACTCTGCTTGCTGTGCTGTTGCTGCTGCTGCTGTTGCTGTTGTTGTTGCTGCTGCTGTTGTTGCTGTTGCTGCTGGTGATGTTGCTGCTGTTGTTGCTGCTGCTGTTGTTGCTGCTGTTGCTGTTGCTGCTGCTGCTGTTGCTGCTGTTGGTTTTGATAGGCAGCTGCTGCTGCTGCCGCCTGCGCTGCTGCCATTTTCACGGACAAATTGATGGCGGAGAAGCCCGGTGGCAGGGGACCCATCGTCGGATCATAGTGATACATGGGTCGCGGATAAATGGGTCCGCCTCCGTTGGTTAGCTCCTCGTGCTCCGCCTTGGCCATGAGCAACTGTTGCTCCTGCAGATATTTCTGCTGTTGCGCCTGCAAATCATCGGCAGTCTGCGGCAGATAATGATAAGCAGCCTGTCGCTGCCCGCCGCTGGGACAGCAATTTGGATCGTAGCGCTCGAAGCCGGTGGCACCCGTTGGTAGAGTGTCGCCGACACCGATAGCAAATACGGGCGCTACCGACGATCCTAGCGAGGCGGGCGGATGCGGATGTGGATGCGGATGTGGGTGCGGCTGCTCGTAAACACTGCGCGCTGTAACCGGTGACAATTCACTGCTGCTGCCATTACTGGGCTGAAGCAACTGTTGCTGTTGCTGCTGCTGCTGCTGCTGTTGATCTGCGGTAGTGTCATTGGGTGCCAGACCGTGTCCATGACTTTGGGCATATCGCATGTGCTCATACTGTTGCTGACGTTCGTCTGCCTGCTGCTGCTGCTGTTGCTGCTGCTGCTGTTGGTGCTCTGCATGGTAGCTCGCTGCATCGCTGCCATCGCCGGCACCGGTACTGCCACCGGGCATCATTTGGCTACCCTCAATAAAAGGGCCACGTTGCTGATGCAGCGTATGCTGTTGTTGCTGCTGCTGCTGCTGCTGTTGTTGATGCTGCTGTTGTTGCTGCTGTTGTTGTTGCTGGTGGTGGGCATGTGGATGCGGCTGCGGGCTGTGCAACCCTACAAAGCGGCTCAAATGCGGCTCGGTGGCAACATTGGTTGGCACGCTAGCAGCACTGTTGTTGTTATTGTTGCTGCTGCTGTTGTTGTTATTGTTGTTGTTGGTACTGCGAGCACTACCAGCGGGTATGGCGCTGCTGGCCGCAGAGGCGGCATCATTGGCCAGATAGGAGTGCATGGGGCTCTTGTTGTACTCCGATTTGATGCTGGCAACGGGACTGTACTCCGATTTGATAATGGGCATCGTTTTACTGGTATTGTTGTTGTTGTTGTTGTTGTTGATACAGCTGCTGTTGTTGTTGTTCAGATAGTGGTTGGATGTGATCTTGAGCTTGTCCAGCGGATGGAGGTCCTTCTCATGCTTTTCCAGTTCGGCAGCTGTGATGGCAGATGCGACCAATGGATACAAATGGAAAAAAGAAAAAAGAGAGAGGGAGACGGGTGCAAAAGAAACAAAGAGAGGTACAGAGAAAGAACAAAATAAGATAGATAGATAGATAGAGAGAGAGAGAGAGAGAGAGAGAGAGATAGACAGTGTGTGTGTGAGAGAGAGAGAGAATGAGAGAATGAGAGAGGGCGCAAGATAAGTATTGCTTTCGATTTTATGTTGTTGTTGTTTTTTTTTTTAAATTTTGAGAGTTGCACCTGATGTGGTATCGGTATTGGTATCGCTATCGCTATCGATATTGCCTAGCGGTTGTGGTAATGGCAACGCTATCGGTATCGCTATCGGTATGGGTATCGGTATTGGTATCGGTAGCTCTATCGCGCTATAATTATCATTATCGCCTATAGCCGGATAACGGGCTACACTCGAACGGCGACCCGCCGAGCGCCGTACCGCTCTCGGGCAACCGGAGAGGCTGCGGTGCACGCTCCGATGCGGCTGTACGTGACCCCTGCCGTTGCAGCCGGGCGTGGGGCATTTCAGTATCTGTTCGTGCAACGCCAACACTGCACGGTGATTCGTTGGGTTCGTTTAAGTTGGGTTGTGGGTTGAGTGGGTGGATGTAGGGCCGCCAGCACGCAAACAGTGTAGGGTGGAGGTTGGAGGGGTTGGAGTGTTATTAGTTCTTTATTGTTTTATTCAATGGCAGCGGTAACGGTAAGACGCTAAGAGACAGGCAGCCATTACATAACATACAACTACAATTCACACACATCAAAAGAGCACAGACTCAGAGTAAAGGAGAAATAGAGAGAGAGAGACACAGATAAGTAGAGAAAGTGACAGAGACAGAGAGATAGAAATAGAGAGATTGACTACGGCAGACTATACTCGGTTCGCATCTAACCGCAGCAATTGCTCCTAACCAGCTGAATAGCGAATTAATGTGAAAGAGGTGCTTAGATAGAGAGAGAGAGAGACAGAGAGGCAGCGAGAGAGAGACAGAGAGAGAGAGAGAGAGAGAGAGAGAGAGAGAGAGATATAGAGAGACCTTTAAGTTTAAAGTTCTGTACAGAAGCAGATCACACATCCAGATACAAATGGAAAGATGAAGAAGATCAAAAGGACCTTTTCTTAAAGAAGTTGAGAGAATTTGGATTAAGGACAGCAGGAGACAGAGAGGAGAGATAGAGAGAGACCATAAGAGAGAGAGAGAGAGAGAGAGAGACCATAACTTTTACAACTACCGATATAAATATATTTATATATAATGATCCAGGGAGAGATAGAAGGACCGAGAGAGAGAGAAAAATAGAGAGAGAGAGAGAGAGAGTGAAAGAAAGAGAGAGAGAGAGAGAGACTAGGAAAGAGTGAGATATGTAATATACCCTAACCATTCACACGCATAGACATACACATACTCATACATAGACGACAACATGCGTTTTGGTCAGCTGCAATTAAGCTGATTGAAAGAATGTGGAAAGAAGGAAGGAGAGAAAAAGAAGCAAGGCGACAGAAAGTGTATGACAGAGAGAGAGAGAGAGAGAGAGAGAGAGAGATAGAGAGAGAGAGAGAGAGAAAAGATCTACATATGTGCTACAAAATACGAAACTTTTTTGTTGGGGCACTTACATTCCGTGGTGACTTTATCGCGTTTCGGACAACCCGACAAACTACGGCCGGAGAAGAAGCCCGGAGCAGAGAAGCGTGGTTCAAAGGGAATAAAATTACATAAGAGCGAGTTGAGTATGCATGTTTCTCTGTGTGTGTGTGTGTGTGTGATTGTAGAAACTCAAAAATATCAAGTGTTCTAGAATTTTGAAAATCATCCAGATTCAAAAATGTCAAAAAATACAAGTTTAAAAAAGAAAAAAAATTATTGTTCACGTTTCTAAATGAAAATATTTTAAATTTACAAGTGTTTTTTTTAGGATTTACAAAAAAAATAAATGAATTAAATAAAATTGCTTAGTTTCAGGTATTTGAATATATTAAAACGAAAGTTTCTGTTTGATTTCTGGCTTTCTTAAGGGCGTTTTCAAATGTTGTGAGTGTAGGTGTGTGTGTGTGTGTGTGGTTGTGTGTGGGTTGTGTGTTGTACCTTCGATGATGCGAATATAATCCTGTGACATGTCCTTGGCCAGTGCAATGAGGAGTTGGGCATTTGGCGCCATCTACAAGTAACCAAGTACACAAAAATGAAATCAAATCAGGAGCAACAACTAAACACACACACACACACACACGCACACACACATAGCAAATATGTGACAGCAGTAGAGGGGAGAGTTGAGGGGGGTTAAAGGGTTGAGGGCCAGGAAACAGGTTTTCTAATTAATTATGTGAATGCGTCAAAGAGTAGAGCTGAGACGGGCTGAGAGAGATAGAGAGAGAGAGAGAGAGAGAGAGACTGGTGATGGACGGGATGGGGGACGACAACTTGACATGTCCTGGCAGGCAAAATGTGAAAAATATATACATGTACATATATTCTAACCAACAATTTAGAGCTGACAACGCACACAGCGCCAGCCAATACAACAGCAACAACAACAATTAAATGGGGAAAAAAGACAAGCAGCAGCAGCAGCAGCAGCAGCGGTAGCAACAAGCGAATTCTTTCTGCCTAAATAATTAATTAAAATTTGATGGAAAACAGCTTTGCATTATTTACTTTAAAAAGCACACACGCACACTAACACACACACACCCACACACACGTACAGATGACAGCAGCAGTTGGTGGTGCGACAGCAACAGCAGAAAGAAGCGACAAAAAATCAGACCAGACCACGTCTAAACTTGGCCTTCTAAGCACAAATTCTCAAAAGATAACGGTAAAACACAATACAACACACACACACACACACACACACACATATATATATACAGAATACCCCCACCCAATGCTGATGTTGCTGCTGTAATAGACAGCAGCAGCAGCAGCAGCAGCAACAGCAGCAACAACATCAGCTTCGAAAGGGTTTTAATGAAATATTTTTCGAAATATTTATGCATGTATGTATGCGTGTGTGTGTGTGTGTGTGTGTGTGTGTGCGTGTTTTGTGTGTGTGTGTGTGTGTGTCTATTACGTGGCCGTTCAAAATGTCAAACTGCAAGCAAGTAAAAACTCCCGACTCTAATTAGAATTTAATTAAAATAAAGCAAGCTCACGAGAGTAAGCTGCTGGTTGCAGTTGCTGCTGCAACGACAACAGCAACAGCAACAGCAACAGCGACAGCGACAGCAACAGCGACAGCAACAGCGCCAGCAACAACAACATAAAGGTTAAGTCTAATAAGCCATTAAACATTAGCACAGCAAGAACAATAACAACACGCTAATGAGTTATTACGTGCCCTTGTTGCTGTTCTTTTAGCTGCTGCTGTTGCTGTTGCTGCTGTTGTTGTTGTTGTTATTTAGCTTTTGTATCTCATAGTTTGTATCTTTTATATCCGGCAAAAGTCGCTGGCAACTATTTAAAAAGTCATTCAAATTATATGAATACCATACTGAAAATGTGTGTATGTGTGCCTGTGTGTGTGTGTCTGTGTGTGTGTGTGTGTGTGTGTGTGTGTGTGTTGCTGGCTTAAAGGCACTTCAACTTTTGTGCCTTTGGCTTCTACACACAGCATATTAATGCCGAGAACATAATGATAAAATAAATATGCAAAAGCGGTTGCCAAAACGTGCCTCATATTTACCCTTTATATCTCTAATCATACAACCTCTTAATGTCTGTGCCTGTTTCCATACACATATAGAATATATATATATATGTGTGTGTGTGTGTGTGTGTGTGTGTGGGTGTGTATAGACATCCTGTGTGTGTGCTCAGTTTTTGACAACAAGTTCAATTTGAAGTATAAATTGTACAATGCGCTGAAATTAGTGAAAAGGCTAAAACCAAAAGAGCCACTCAACTAGCTCTAATTTTTGTTTATGCCATTCTGTCTTGTTGTGCCTGTGTGTGTGTGTGTGTGTTAGGGATGAACGCGTGTCGTGAAAACTCATTAAATAGTAATTTATTGACATACGAACAACTACAATGAGAGAAAATGCTTTTATAATCATGTCTATCACTTTTTCAAATAAATTTATGCAAAAAATATCTACTTTTATTTGATATCTTTCAATATATACTTAAATTTCATATATTATTTCAATTACAAAACGATAAATACTTAGATGTATAAGATGTATTTGATTAGCATTTAACTTCTTAAACAATTGCTGTAATTTTCTCATTTTACACTCCAAATTCATCGAACTTATTGTTAAAGTGTACAAAATGAAAACCGTTTCATGAAAAATAGCTAAGTAATATTCAAATAGTTACAATAATACAAAAAATGCTAGAAATTGCTAAGAAACCGATCTGAAATAAGGTTGCTAATATTTAAAAAAAAAACTGATAATATTCAGGAGTAACAAAATAAAACCACAGAACTATCTTGCCAATTGATTACTCAGACAAAATATAGATGCACAGCTTAAATGCTCAACACTTGAAACAAAATTGTCATAATAATGATGGAAGGCCGAAGAATGAAGTTTCCAAAAAAATGATTTAAATATTTGTGGAAAATTGGTCTCAAAACTAATAAATTCAACTCCATATTTTTCATCAGATTTGCTTTATCTTAGTACTGATTTAAAATAAGTAAAGTAAATAATAATTGTTAATAGACTTTAAGATTGCTGTTAAAATCAGAAATCAGAAACTTATTAATATATATTTTATTACACATATTTATTGTATATTTGTTGTGCCATTTGAAATTTGAACTCGTTTTTTTAAGCTCACATTTTGAACTCGTTAAGTAATATCTGCCATCTCTAAGCTGTATGTGTGTGTGCGTGTGTGTGTGTGTGTGTGTGTGTAAGGTTGTTCATAAAGGGGTTTTACAAGCCATTAGTTGGTGTCCTTGTCTCAGCAGGAGATGCTTGCCCCGCACGCTCCTCAACTCTCGAGCACCCAAACTTCTTCTCAACTCATAACGACAAAATCGTTTAATGTCTTTTGAGCTGTGTGTGTGCGAGTGTGTGTGTGTGTGTGTGTGTGTGGATGGGCGGGCAAAGCCGACCACGGCTACTTTCAGCTAAATGTGCAAATAATAATAATAATAATAATAATAATAATGGTAGCAAAATGGGGCCACAGTTTATAATAATGATACAGAGACAACATGTCGAGAAATGAACTATTTGTTGAGCACTTTTCACAAAGCACTTAACGATATACACTTGAGTGTGTGTGTGTGTGTGTGTGTGTGATCTCTTCTCTCTCTCTCTCTCTCTCTCTCTCTCTCTCTCACTCTCTCACTCACTCTCTCATTCTCGCACTCTCTCAGTCTCTGTCTCTCTGCCTGTCTCTTGCTTGGTGTTGTTGTTGTTATTTTATTTAGTCTTTTTTAGCCAATTTGTAAGTCTTAAAACTCAATGCAACAAGAAGTTTCGCACATGCGCAGCCGATTTGAAGGTTTAAAAATGGGTTTTTGGGTTTATATTTTTGGTAGGTTGTACCGTTAGCGGTAGCGTTACTGTACCACCAGAAACAATTAAGTTAGGGTATTTTATTTTGATTGATTGGTTTTTGATTTGTTTTTTTTTTATTATTATTATTTCTGTGTGTCTAGTAACAACAACGACAACAACTTACCGCGATTTTGGCTGCCCGGCGAGTAGCTGGGCGCCGGCGTTGAGGATGCTGCTGCTGCTGCTGCTGCTGATGATGATGATGATAATGATGTTGGTGTCGATGTTGCTGCTGGTGTGGATGCTGTTGCTGTTGGCGAGGCTGTTGCTGAAGCTGCTGCTGCTGCTGTTGTTGTTGGTGGTGTTGCTACCAGAGAAACGCCGACAACGCCCTCTCTTGCTATATCCTGCATCACGGATGCGGCACGACTGCCAACGCCCGCCGGCTGCAATATCGTATATTGTTTGGCATCCAGCAGTTGCTCCTTTGGCAGCAACTGTTGTTGCTGCTGTTGCTGCTGCTTTGGACTCTTTTCTGTGGGCGAGTCCAGCTGGGCGGCAATATCAAAGCTGCGATCCAAACAGAGTTGCTGCTGCTGCTGCTGTTGCTGTTGCTGTTGCTGCTGTTGACTGGCAGCTGCTGCTGCTGCATAGCCGTAGTATGCCTCGGCTGCATTGTAGGCAGCGCTGCTTGTGTATTGGGCATGTGCATAGGCCTGGGCCTGTGCATGGGCGTGTGCCTGAGCCTGGGCGTGGGCATGGGCAGCGGCATGGGCGGCGGCAGCTGCCAATTGGCCATTGCGTTTGATGATATCGATTGGTGGCTTAAAAGCGGATGTTGCTGATGCGTATGTGGCTGCTGCTGCTGCCGCCGCTGTTGCCGCGTCCAGTGCTGCCTCCTTTTTGTTGCTGATGCTGCCAATGTGATTGAGACGCGCCTGATCGTTCTCCTTCTGTCTGTGGAAGCGCAGCAGTAGAGTGTTGTGTGAGTTTTGTTGTTGTTGTTGCTGTTGTTGTGTGTTGCTGTTGCTGCTGCAGTTGTTGTTGTGGCTGTAGTTGTTGTTGTTGCTGTTGCTGCTGTTATTGTTGTTGTTGTTGTTCAGATTATGATTGTACTTCTGCTTGTCCTCGAACAGGTTCTGAAATGGCGGCGGATTCTCATCCTCTTGCTCCTGCAAGCGATACAAATTGGTTCGAGCATCCGGCCAGCTGCCGGACAGACTTTTCAGTGCAGCTTGCGTCTCACGGATTAGCGTCTCATCGTCCTGATCTGTTGCATCCTGAACGACGGCAGCAGCAGCAGCAGCAGCAGCAGCAGCAGCGGCGGCAGTAGCAGCAGCAGCAGCAGCCGTAGCAGCAACATTTGGTGGCGTGTTCTCGCCTGTTGTTGCTGCTGTTGGTGCTGCTGCTGTTGTTGCTACTCCAGTTGTGGTTGTTGCTATTGCTGCTATGCCAGGTGTTGCTGCTGTTGTTGTTGTTGCTGTTGTTGCTGTTGTTGCCTTGGCCAATCCCAGGCTTAGACTGAGACCCAGCTGCCGCTTCTTCTGCGGCAATGTATTGTTGTTGTTGCTAGTATTGTTGTTATTGTTAGTATTGTTATTGTTGTTGTTGTTGTTGTTGATGGCAGCTAGTTCATCATCGCGACTGCAGCGTTTGCGTCGCTTGATTGCCGTCTCATGTTCATTGTTGTTGTTGTTGTTGATGTTGTTACCGTTGTTGCTGTTGTTGTTGTTGTTGTTGTTGCTGCTGTCGACCAGAGGCGTCTCCTTGCTAAGCGGCCGCTTGGACAGCGCCATTTTTGCCAGTTGCCAAAATGCCTTAACAACAAATTTTTTATGAAGGTGAGCTCAGATATTTGTTTGTTTTGGGTATTTCTATTTTTTTCTATTTACTTTTTGTTTTCTATTTTTTGTTAGTAACGTTTTTACTTACGGCTATGTGTTAGTTGCATTTGTTGACTTGTTTTTTGGGATTAGGATTGGGTTTCAGTTAGGGGTTGCTTGGGGTTTTCTTAATTGGCATGCAGTTACATTTGGAGAGGACAAATCCTCCCAACTGAACAAAGATCCTATTCAACTGCTCAGTACTCAATAAGAATAATAAATAAAAAAAATTGAAAAGCAAAGAAAAAACAATGCAAAATTGTAGCTGAGAAAGTGATAAGGAAACACACAAAAAGATACGGCTTAAACAAAGTACCGGTGAACAATATTAATCAAATTTCACTTTAAAATGTTTCACTCTAAAAAAAACAATCACTCTTCTTATATATTTCTTTTTAAGTCTAAAAATGCTGAGCATATTTGTGTTGGTCATTCCCAAAAATTCCAACTTCAACTTTTGTTATTTTCAACTAATTTGTATTTGTGGGCAGAGCGAATCTTAAGAACGCATTTCACTTAAAAGCAAATTTCATTAAAAGCAAATTTAATATCAACTTTATTATCAAACTGCCTGGCAAAAGTTCGAATCGAATTTTGCAATCTAAATTGGAACAGCATTTAAGCATTAAGCATTTTAATGTCAAATGTAGAATGTAGTCAAAGTTTTTAATTATAGAATAAACAGTTCTAATCTAAGCATATTTTCGTGGCTTACATTTTTGCCGTTATCTTTCGATATGTTTCAAGCTTAAATCAATTCAGTTAATATTGTTGAACTTAGACTTATATCTATTTCTGTTTCGGCTCATAAAAGAAAACATAAATCGTTTAATGAATTCTTTTTCTTTTTTTTATGAAACTTCCACCAAAATCAGTTGAAAATTCAGTCGATAATTTCATTATCTGAGCTGGCTTAGCTTAAGTAAATTATTTCGATTATTTCTTTAATGGAATGCTTTTTCTTGAATATCTCTCAAAAAAATCTCGGTATCTGTTGTGTCATACGAATTGAGCTTAAACAAATTTGAAAATCTGTACAAAAACCGAAAATATCTGTCCAAAAATGTAAGCAAAGCAAAATAAAATTAAAAAATGATAAATTTTCACCAGATCGAATCGGATACAATCGAATCTTTTGCACCTCAAAATATTCATTATTCATTGAACAATTACTTACAAAGAACAGGCAATAGAGATTAGATTAGATTAGATTTGTGTACTCAACACTTGTATAACCCAATAAAAACCATAAAGTTGTGGGGCTTATCTTAAAAAAAGAATTGCATAGAATATTGAAAGTACATTTTACAAACACTGTTTAACCTATAGAGTAGTTTAGATATTGATATTTGTTGGTCATTTTGCGAATAGTTATAGGTTATAAAATAAATGGATATTTCTAAAAAAATTTCAATGTGATTATTCTTGTTGCATTGAATTTGTATTTGTTGATTTCTTTCATATTTTTGTTTTTTGTTCTTTGTTTTTTTCTTTTTCTTTTCATTCTTTATAGTATTTTGTATTTTGTATGTGGGAATATAATAATTGAGTTCCTTAAAGTTTTCATGGTCTTCAAAGTTCAAAGTTGTGTATTTTTTTCAATTTGGTTTTTTGTTTTTGGATTTTACATTTAGATTTAGAAAATTGAACTTTACCTATTTGATAATTGGGAGAATCGGTATTATTTTTTCGTATTTTATTATTGCTCGATTTTTGGCGATTTCTCTTAGTTGTTGTTGTTGCACTTTGTTGTTGTTGTTGTTGTGGTGGTTAATTGAGTTGTCTTTGTTGGTGTTTATTGTGTGTTAAAATAATTTATTGCTTGCATTGGTTGTTTTAGTGGCTGCTGCTGTTGGGCTTGTTGTTGCTGCTGTTTGCCTTTGGGCTGCTGCTGCTGCTGCTGTTGCTGCGGCTGTTGCTGTTGCATGTTTGACATGCATGCTGCACCCGCACACACACCACACACACACGCGCGCACACACACACACAACAATGGAAAAAAAAGACAGAAGAAAATATTGGCAAAAAACACAAACAAAAATATTCTTCGATTGGACACTTTTCACTTTCGCGAATGATTTGTTTCCAAATTGGATTCAGATGTGTCGCCACTCAGGAATTATTGGATGCTTTTGTGATTTCTTCGATTTCGATTTCGATTTCGACTGCGATTTGTTTTTGTTTTGAGCGCGTCTTGAAAGTTTTCCTTCTACTTTTTTTTTGTTGGCCAGCGACGCAAAACTTTTTGTGGCAGCCTTCGCGGCGTATACGCAATATCAATTAACGCGTTCACTTTGCTCGACTTGACTTTGACTTTGTTTTTAGGCCGCACCAAAAAACAACGACGACGCCGACGACGTCGACGGCGACGGCGACGGAGACGCTTTAAAATTTCCTTATGCTTTTGTTGTTGTTTTTTTTGTTGCGTTTTTGCTCCTTTAGCAATGCAGTTGCTTCAAGCGTGGGATGGGGGACGGGGGTGGTTTGGGGGAATGTGGGCGAAAAGAATTGGGGCGGGTGGGGCGGTATGGTCGTAACTTTATTTAGTCGCGTAGTTTTTTTTGTTTTTTGTTTTTTTTTGGGTAAAAAGTTTGTTTTTGACTTTTGATGCCGCGCGCAAAGTTTTTTTTATTTTGTTATTGTTTTGTTTGTTGTTGTTGTTGTAGCGCGTGAAATTGCAATAAACTCGAAGCGGCGAATTTTATTTTGGCGGCGTGAAGTCCGGACGTCCAAAAACCGACTGTTGCGATGCGTTTGGGGTAATAAAATTTTACATCGTCGTCGTCGCACACACACGTTAGCTGCGCAGTCGGCGTCTACGCAGCGTCACAAGCGAACGCATCAGAAAACGAACAACGATGCGGTGGCGGCAGGGCGCGGCGGGCGCGGGGGGAAGGTGGGAGGCAACACTCGGTAAAAACACGACGTTGCTAATGCTGCTTCCTCTTCTTACTGGCTGCTGCTCCTGCTGCTGCTGCTTCTTCTTCAGCTACTGCTGCTGCTGCTGCTGCTGCTGCGACTGCTGCTGCGACTGCTGCCTGCTGCTGCTACTACTACGACAGGAGGAAGCCCGAAAAACGTGCGTCTCTACCTGTTCTAAGTTCACTGCTAACTGACAGTTTTCCCAAAGTTGTCGAACTTTCGAACGCAATGAAAATTGCAGCCAAAAAATGTGTTGTTTGCCGTTCGGACCGAAGCCGACCGCTGCCAGCGCTGCCAACATTTTTCGGAGTAAAAACACGAAGGCCGACGACTTCGTCGCATGCTCGGCTCGGCGGCTTCCCCAGTTGTGTGTGCATTAGCACAGTATTGTGTAACTGTTATACGGACGCTCGTTTAATGCGCCGGCGCAATACAGCTGACGTTGACTGCGACAGCGACAGCGATAGCAGCAGCAGCAGCAGCAGTAGCAGTAGCGTTGCTGTCCGAAAACAGAAAACAGGCAGCGCATTCCTGCAGCCGCCCTCAGCGCTGATTTGGCCTTTTATCTCTCGCACGCTAATTGTAAATTCCAGCAGCGATGTGACGATGACGATGACGATGACGTCGATTCTGACTGCGACTGCGACTGCTTGCGTCGCTGTCCACAAATGAGTTTGTCCCGTTTGTCGGGCGCAGTCAGCAGCAGACGTTTGTCGCTTGGCGCATTACGCAGCTGGATTGGCAGAGGCAGAGTCTGATTTTAGCAGCAGATTTGCAGTCGATCAGTCATTCGGACAGCGCTTCTTATCAGCTGCAGCTGCTCAGTCGCAGCTCAGTTTGCTGCAACTCATTGATTGTGTGACGCTGCATCGTGAATTCGAATGTGACTCAGACTCAGTGGCAAAGTGGAAACCTTCAACATGCCACTCGATCATATATATATATATATATATATATATATATATATATATATGTATCTTCTACTTCTTCTACCGTTTTTTTTTGGATTCGGTTGACCTGAGCTAGTTCTCAGTCGGTGCTTTTTTTAAAGTTCATTTAAGAAATTATTGTTGCATTTCTTTTTTTTTTTAGTTACTAAAGTTTTTCTTCAAAGTTCGCTTAAAGTTTTATTGAATTGATTCTCTGAATTTATTATTTATTATTTTATTATTATTATTTACTTTTCTCATAGTTCGAACTTTGGCCAATTTGAATCGGCTTAAATGAATTTAAGTCCGCTTAAAGTTTTATTTGTTAGATTCTTAGACTGCAGAGTCCTTTCAGTCAGTTTATTGGTTTAATTAAAAGCGTTTTTTTTAAACTTTATTTTTTGTTAAAGTTCACTCAAAGTGTTGTTTAATAAATTCTCATAGTTCGTATTCGGGCTGCTTTTGAATCAGTTGAAATTGACTAGTTCCTCGAGCAGTTGGCTCAAAGTTTTGTTAAACAAATTCTCGGCGTTTTGTGTAATACTTTCTAGACTTATTTCTAGACTTCAAAACACTGAAAATAAGCAAGAATTATATTTTTATGGGTTATGCTTGTGCGCAGCTAATCGATTTTTATATTCATTTCGAGTTGTTTAAAGACCGAACTTAAGGAATAACAATTTGAGAGCTCTTCACACACAATTTACTCCAATTTACTTTAAGCAGCCATAATTTATTTTTTTTTTTACAGATTCTACTTTAAAAACTGATTTTCATAAGAGTTGTGTTTTTTTTTTTTAATTTTGTTGCAAGTTAAATGAAAGTGAAAGCTTAAAGTTAATATAAGTTGAAATATCACGAGCGAAAAGTTATCTTTAAGACATGTTCCACTAAGCTAAGTAAAAGGTCAGCCACAATAAACTCAACTCAACTCAACTCAGCACAACTTAAACTGAAACTTAAACTTAATAACTTTTCACACAGTTTTAAGCTATTAACGGGAATAAATTCATGTCGTGTGGCGATGACTCAAAACTTTTCATAACTTTCTCCAAACTGAAGCTATTTTCAA